CATCTTTTGCTGCGTTCTGTCGACACTCAACGTGTATATGTTACTTAGTCGCGCTCGTAAGCCATGAGATCCGGTGTTGGTGTGACTGTAGCTGTTGCTGTATGCGGGGTTGACAGTCGTTTTCGTAACGAGACATAGTAACATCCACAGCTGAATCCTTAGAATTTGTACCTTCGTGAGAAACCTTTTTATGGTTTTTGCAAAACCGTCAAAAAGCTTCTTCCCGGGGGCCACCGGAACAACTCTTTTAGGTCTTGTACTCTTGACTGAATCCTTTTAAGTTGGGTATCGTACTTGTTTTTATTTTAGAGTGCACAATACTGCCCAAAGACAGTTTCGAAAGTCAAATTCTTTCCAACAACTATTACTCGCTTTAGATTTGGGCGGAAGGTCAGCATAACTCAAAGTTCGATCCGCTTAATCACTTAAACTTTCCATGCATACTGGCTAACTACATATTACAATAGTCTTTTGTGTATGTTTTCAACGAAGCCCGCGTGTTACCGGAGGAGTGGTACGAGAAAAATAGTCGTTAGTAATTTTTCCTATATTATTCTATGATTGATGGCGTCGAGATTCAAGCACAGTTTCGTGTGAATATTTGTCAAGCGTCTTGGCCATTCAGCCATAGTAACTGGTCTGGCCCAACGAATCTATTTATTCTAGAAAGAATTCGCCTGATCTCAATCCTCAAAAGCAAATAGCAAACAAATCCACTTAACTATCGAACCAATGATAAGCTGGACACTTTTGTTTTTGATATGAATGATTGAAATAGAAAAATAAATACATGCTATGATTTTAACTTAAAATAATATTGATCTGTAGCAAAACAGATTCGCTTCTAGAGTGATAGGCAGAATATGAAGACTATTCTTATGGATAAACAGGTCTCGATTACTGTTCTGGACGTCGAGAATCACATATCCATGTTTTCTAAATAAAATTCAATTAGATTTACTACTGCTCACATAGTGTTTAATGGGATCGATCATTTTATTTCACACATATTTATTATAATCGTTAATTAAGTGCGTTCAATTAACATTACTGTTAATGCTAGCGTTAAGTAAAACAACTTGATTAATGTTGTGTTAATTAAGGTCTGTTAGATAAAATGGTCCACCTCTAGATACGGGTGTTTACACACCCACATACTTTCTTGAACGCAGCACACATTTGTAATGCATGTCAAACAATAATAATAGCCGATAATAAATATAAATAAATTACTCATCACACATTTATCATTAGAAATATGATTTGATTCTATTTATTATTTATTTATTTATTTATCCGCTTCACTCTTTTTGTGTCAAATGTTCAATGAGCGAAGAGCAATGACCCATTTGTTTATTTCATTGTCAAAGAGACATGATTCAATGGAGAAATAAAAATGAGGTGCAAGTAAATGTTCTTCTTCGTCAAACTCTGAATATAACGAAAAATCACAACCATCAGCTTCACCAATTTCGATAAGAAAAAGTATGTTACCAAATTGTTGAGCCTTCTCTCTATTACGACTTGTTGATGTAAATGCAGGAAATTGACCATAATTACGATCTGCTTTTGAATAATTAGTGATTCGTTGATATTCTTTGATTTGTTCAGGCGAAAAATTGGCACCACGATAAACAGTTTTCGTTTGGATAGTAGCTGAGACAGAAAGATCTCGTTGTAAATTAAAAAGTAAACAAGCAAACGGTCCAAATGTCAATAGCTTACTCTGCCAAAGAGCCTGATATTTTTCATCTGTTCCTAATCGCATTATTTCATTCATTTTCTTATACAGAAAAGATTCCATGCAGTAAAGACGAGCACAACATTTGGCTACTTCATATCGACTTTTGCTTTTTGTCTTGAGTAGCTGTTCAGCCATCCATTGGCCTTCTTTTTCTTTGCCTACTTTTTTTGCTTCACTTAAAATACCTTCGGCGGCTTTTTCTACTAACATTGTTACAAAAGTATCGTCAGAAACTTTCAAAACAGATAAATTGAGACATTGACCTGCTGCATCAAGAAAACTAGCTCTATGACGAGCATCAGTAAAGCCTTTTGATGGTAAAATGGGATCAGGCATAAAACGTTCTTCTCTCAATCGACTATCTGTACGTTGTTTGATAACACGCTGAACGGAACATTGATCTGTATGGTTCTGGTTAGATACTTGAAGGAGTCGCTTTAAATTAATGTGATAATCGTCAAGTAATGCTTCGGATTGTTTCTTTTGATAAGCTTCTTCAATAATTATTGTTTCGATGTCAGAATAGGCACGCCATTCTGTTGGATCTCTAGAATTTTTATACATCCATTCAATGCGTTGTGTAGACGACATAGAATGTGCCATACATTTAATAGAACGGACAAAATCAAAAACATAAATGTAACAATCATTATAAAATGTGTTCGCCAGAGAAAAAAAGAATCAGAAGAAAAATTGCAAAAGTAACTAATGGAAAAACACAGGAGTGTGAATTATGGATGCAAAGTTAAATTCTACTTTATACGAAATAAACAAATCAAATCTTTATCAATATAAGTTGATATATATATACGTATATATATATACATAAAACAATAAACTCGAAAACTTTTCTGTGCATTATATTGCCCCTATTTTAGATTACAACGACGAAAGATAAAGATTTTTCTCATCGGAAATTGCAAGCAGGACACAAAAGTGATGGGGGTAAAAATTGAAAATGTTGCCATATGTTGTCAATGAAGTGAAATTCCATTTTATGTGACGATAGTAAAGAAAAAGAAAAGTTTTGAATAAACAAAAATATGCAATCAGAAATCAAAACAAGAGTAAAAAAGCTTTTTTTACTCTGTTGTATGTTTGCACGTCACCGAAGAATGTGTGCGTTACTTCTATATACTTCTCAACAGGAGTTTAAGTATCATTTGTCCTCAAAACGAATTGGTTCTCTGAAACAATGATAAAAACTTAAATGAAATGACAAGTCCTACAACTGACACAGTTACACGAATGACGCAGAAGAATGCTTACTTTCTACCACGCATAGTTCAGAAACATAAAATTGTTTTGGTAAATGCCAATTTAAGCTCATTGAACGAAGAATTTAAAAAAAAAGATACTTGAGCAATTATCTATGATCAGCCATGATGTTCAACATTTTATGGAGCCTAGCGAATGTGTACAGTTTCTTCAAGAGCACTAAAACGATAAAATATTTGTCATTATTCATGACTATCAAGGAGAAAAACTGATTCGAACGACTAATAAAATGCCACAAGTAGAAGTTGTTATGGATGTTGAACCAAACAGCTAACTAAAATCAAAGGAATTTATACAGAAGCGAAAGGAGTTTGTGATGCACTTCAAATGGCCATCAAACAATTCAGTCAAGACTCTATCGGAGTTAGTTTTGCACATGAACGTGTTGATGACTCTGTTCCCGATCTGAATCGACTGAATTCCTCATTTATGTATACTCAACTATTCAAAAATGCCTTACTTGAAATTGAATACAACTAATAAGAACAACGAAACTTAGCGACATACTGCCAAAACATTTATGTAGACGACTACGCTGAATTTTCTCGGGATTATCAACTGAACAAAGCCATATGGTGGTATGCCAGAGAATGTTTTACTTATAAAATGCTCAATCAGGCACTTCACTTATTCAAAGCCGATATTATCGTCAACATTGGTTTCTTCATCTACGATAGTCATCGAAACTAGATGAATTGCATAAACAACAAGTTACTCAATATCATGGAAAATCTTTTCTTGTTTACTGAGGACAAGGACTATCTATAGATGATTTTGAAAAGTTGAAGAAAACGCAAGGTGGACTTATGGCGTTTCACTGTTTTCTGTCCACTAGAAAAACTAGACAAGTTTCTATTGGATTCGCTCAAAGTTCTTTGGCAAACCTGGATATGATTGGCATTCTCTTCTTCGTGACTATCGATCCTAGCCAAGCATCAACACCATTTCCCGATATTGAAAATGTCAGCTATTTCCAAAATGGATCAGATATACTCTTTTCTATGCACGTAGTGTTCCGTATTGAACACATCAATCGTATGGATGATGGTGGACGACTATTTGAAGTACAACTGAGCGTCATCACTGATAGTGACGAAGAACTTCGTTCTCTTACCACTCACTTGAGTGATGAAGCTCAGAATAATGTTGCAAGAACTGGTATTGTAGCTTTCTAATTCTAAAATTAAAACTCATTATGTCCCGTATCTGCAGTCATATTTATAAGCACATCACCTGAACTGTGAGCTCATGTACTACAATTTGATATACGCGTCCACACCTTTGTCAATCTAAATAATATGATGAAAATAACATAAGCAAAGAGATCAATGCGAATATTTTATATTTATATTTTGATGTGCACTATTTTTTATTTGAGAATATACTGCAACATTATATCCATGTGAATGTTTGTGCTGGTGCCCTAAACAAGTCAGCTATTTATTTTTTTCCCTCTTTTTTATATTATATTTTAAGTAATATGGCATTCTTAGGATATTTAATCTTCATGAGCGATGGTCTCCATCTCCATGATAAAATATCTTTTTTTTTTATAAATTTTATCGCTCTGGAGAGAATAACACTTTACAGAAAAAGTTATTAGCGTAACCTTTTTGGGGCTAAAATGAGAAATTCACGTATATTTTTCAGATTCACTTAACTGATGCAAACAGGTTGTGTGAAAATCTTTCGTAAAAGTTCACTAGGTCTCTCAGATCTATAGTTGGAACTTTATCTATTTACTTGTATCTGTAATGGTGGCCTAGTATAGCCATCCAGGTTTTTATTGGTGAAGACAGATATAGAACCATACTTATAATGATCTCTAATTAGATGGGGCAGATTTTTATTAATGGTATCTGCTACGTAGTGGATAGAGAGCGGCTAAATACCTTGCCTTAAAACTTACACTCAACATTTTATTCGAAAATATATGTGAGTTTCACAAAAATTATCTAAAATACTAGCCAAACATCACTTTATACTAAGCATAACAACTAATTATTCCCTTAACCAACATAGACTCACAGAAGATATTTCTAGATACTGTTAGGTCCTTTTCTCCTGTTCCCTTTTATTCCTTTTTCTTCCCAAAAACAAACCAACGATCCACACAACAAAAAAAGCACAAAGCCTCCACTCTCTCTATCTCTCTCTTCCACCAATCGGTTCCATCTCATGAGTATGATAGAGGGATAAAGAGGGCCTTCTTATGTCAGGAGATGTCTCTACTGACATAACAGATACACATTAATATTTGACGAATATTCATAGTATGATAATAATTCTACGTAGTATTCGTAAGATATGTACGTGAAGTTCATTTTCTCATTAACTAAAATCATCTACAAATAACCGAGCCCATATTATCACCTGATGAGTCCTTTTGGATGAGAGAAACGTGTCATAATTCCTTAACTAGCGCCCCGACCGCCGATTTTCCCAATATCTTGCCGAAAGAATTCTATCGTTTCTAATAACACAAGAAACAATGCAAATAAAATATTTAATATTGAAGGTGGGGTTATTATAATATGCGTATTTTATTCAAGCAATAGAATCAGATAAAAAGAAGGCGCACAATATGAATCAATGTGAACATATTGTTGATTTTCGAATCCATGGCGCCAAGAAAACGCTCTTAGAATTTGTCAACAGCTTAATTATAGCAATCGCAACGAAACCAAAGCAAAGCTGCATTGCAGTAGCCACCTTTGAATCCGTTACTTTTGCAGTGCTTGTTGCATTGATATTCGTCCTTATTCGTAGGCCCACTACAGCCGAATCCACGAGGGCTGACCGATTGAGATCAGATCTTTCAGCAAATTTATTTTCATCATACTCATCGTCTTTGAAATCTGAAACAAATTAGTTATTATAAATACGCAAATCATATTACGCTTACAGGCACGACGTACATATGCATTAATCTGTACGAATAAAACAACGCCGATGAATAATAAGAGGGTTACGCACAAATTTGAGTTCATATTTATGATGCATATTGAATTGACAAGCTAAGTTAAAAAATGCCTGCAATGGAGACAATAGTTTATATCATTACGTTCGCAATAAATGTAGGGTTGAATCGAATATTACAAGAAATGATTTTAGCATTCCAAATATATATTCACTTTTATACGCCAATATGATAGCAAATAATGAATCAAATACATTTATTCTTGATATTAGTCAGTATTTCAGATTGATCGAACTGATTAGACTGTTTGACGTAAGATTTAGCAAAGCATTTACTAACGATAAGTAGAAGTTTGTTGATTCATGTATATACATAGAGTGCTGGCCTCCGATTGCACTTTTTAAAAATATAGGATTTTCGATAAAAAAAATGACATAAAAAGAGGATTTTTTATACATCATTTCTGTTCAATTGTTTTGGTGTTTTTTCACTGCTCTGTTCGAAAATCGTTTTAATGTAGCTGTTATAAATAGTTCAACCGTAGACAAGATCCTTATGTAATTTTTTTCTACTGTAACAACTCGACAATTCGAGGATCATTATAAAAGTTTTTCACAAATCGATAAATAACAATAAAGTAAATCATAAGCTTTGAAAAAACAAATCCTATTTCTCATAATAAAAAGAGACGTTTCAGATTACGGATATGGCTTCCTAAAAAAATCTCAGCCTAATTTTATTGTCCTGATAATCAGCATTCATCGCTTATTATTTTCCACTAGTTTATTTTGTATTTTATCATAACTCAATTTTTTCTGGTAATAAATAAGTGTAAATGAAAATGCATACTCACAGGACGGTGTAAAATTTCACGGGCTTTCAGAATATGCCGTTACTTTTTAAAAATATATTCTTTTGGTAACAATATCCTCAAAATACAGAGTGAAAGTTATTTTCTCCAGGGGTATATATATATATATGCAGTTTTTATATCTAATTAAAACTTCACTCAAAACCCGAAACTAGTACATGATCACTTTGTGAATGTTTTTTCTTTTGAACTATTTTGTATTTTGTACTTGCGTTACTATTAAACAATTTCTTGTCAGCCCACTAAATAGGCGCAAGGAAAAATACTGTTTAAAACAAATGTTACTATAATACAAGAATTTGTCCAAAACACAAGATTATACACATTAAACGTTTTTTTTCGTCTGAAAACAATAGCAAAATTAAGAAGGTTTCGAAAATTTTCTGTTTTTTTTTCGATAAAATATAGGGAAAATAGGACTTTTTTTTTGAAAATATAGGAATTATAGGAAATGTAGGTCGAATCGCAGCCCAGAGAGTGTTCTAAAAGTTCGGTTGAAAAACAATTATGAAAGTTTTTTTATCCGTTGGGCCTCAAAATTAAAAGCTACTCACGTTGGTCAAACAGGCAGAGTCGTCTACCAACATGATTCTTCAATCTGGGAATATGAATCACGGCACACTGCTTTATTAAAATTTTTAAAGAGACTTTCTTCAATCTTTTTTTATAAAAACATATTCCTATTCTTATTTGATCTAATGAAATGAGAGCAAGGACACCCATTATTTTATAGAACACTTACCAATGAGAGAATAAAAACGGGATGAAATTTATCGAAAATTTGAACATGAATGAATAATAAAATGTTCAAATCTTTGTTGTCTTCAACATTCTTTAAGATCTTTTCGACTTTCAAATACGTTTAAAGTTAATTTATTTTTGATTTCGTATGCATAAATCCAGAAAATATGAAACAATTGTTGATGGACTTTTTAATGATGAATGATTCAAACATTTTCGAAAATTATTATCAATCAATTGTCAACAAAGAACATGAAAGCAACACCGATACCAGCGAAAGCACAATAAAAAAAGATATAATAGAACAGAACAGTGAATCTTTTTCTTTTTCAATTATTAAATATTTCATCGTAGTGAATAGTAAAAACTTTATTTTAATGGATTTTGTTTTAACCAATCGATAACTTGTTGTGAATGTTTATCAGGTGGAAATATTGGATAAAAAACATGTTCAATAGTATCATATTTGATTATTATTGTCAAACGTGCAATTAATGGAATATTATCCAATTCTGGCAAAGTAAAGTGAGGTAACTTTAAATGATTTAATAATTCTAATTTTGAATCACTTAATAAATCAAATGGTAAATGTAATCGATCGGCAACTTCTTGTTGATACTCAGTTGTTTGAGTACTACATCCATAAACAGTTGCACCTAACGATTGTAATTCTTGATAATGATCACGAAATCCACATGATTCTGGTGTACATCCTCGAGCGCCAGGAATCTCATCCCAACCATCAGGAAGCTTTTGATCTGGTTTACCAGTCCGAGGATAAAAATATATTATAGTACGTGGTTGGCTAACAATGTCTACCGAATTTTTACTAGTCGTAGGTAAATGAATTAAAATATCAACAGGAAATTTCGTGCCAGCCTTTAAGTGTGCACATTGACCATCATCGACTGGTACCGGTAAACCATCAGGCAAATCGAATCGATTCATAACAATTAAAATAGTTATTATCTACTCGAAGAATAAGTGATTCTTTGTGCTAAGTTACCATTACTGTCGACAGCAAGTTTGTCCTCTAGACAGGTTCTCATATAACAGATAATGCTCTTTTTTTTCTTTTTTAAATTACTTTTCGTCAGATTTTCCTTCCTATTGGAAGTGACTTACGATCGATTTCTTACATCTTTCTTTTGTGCTTTTCGATACCAGTATGAATAAGATATTATATAAATATTATGTTACTTTTCAAATAGTAACTGTATATAATTCTTTGCTATCCGTTGAATCAAAGAATATTTGATGAATGTTAGTATTTACGTGAAAAGTGTTATAAGCATGCTTTGCATTTATATTATTTTTTCTATTTTCGGACAGTAGAAAAAGAGAATTTCAATGCATCAAATTCAGTGAGCTTGAACTGTTTGACATACAAAAGAAAAAAATTCTACATGGAATAGCTCTTTCCAAGCCAATCCTCCATCACAACATCAATATAACCTAGCGTCATCTATGCTTGTTTTGAAAAAAGACAAGCGTAATATTTAAAAGAAATTAATATTCATAGTATGCTGATTTTGAATATATATTAATCTTAATTTATCGACCGAGTCTGAAAACGTCATCATATAGTGCATCTAAAAATAACCAGTGAAAGATCAACGCATTCTTGTCATCAATAGTACTAAAGAACCAAATAGACAAAAACCGAGAAGAAAAGGTCAATATACGAATTATTTTAACTGAACATTTGTTTACGTACCTTTTGATCTCTTTAGGTTTCGATACTGTATGAGTTTTTTTCTTGTAAAATAAAGATTTCACCCCGTCGGTGTTGTAAGTTAACTTTGCGTCGATTGGTGTTCAATATCTGCGCCTTTTTCTTCGCAATGGGACAAACCTCGTCGATGACACGTTTTTTTCGTGATATTAGAAATGCTGTGACAAACAAAAGAAGGAGCAGTCAAAATCCTATAAGAACAATAACAACTGACAGTGATATTGATTCAAAACGGATAATAACGATAAATCGTGGAGCACAACCAATTAAATCTATAACGAATCATATTAGTACAAGCAAATATTCAATTATATCATTTTTACCGAAATTTCTTTTTGAGCAATTCCGTAAATATTCAAATATATTTTTCCTTTGCATTGCTGTGCTCCAGGTAAATTGAAATATTTCACATTATTTTTCATTCAATACAATTTCAATTTCAGCAAATTCCTGGTGTTTCACCAACTGGAAGGTATACCACAGCTGTTCCACTATCGATCATTCTTTGTTGTGCAGCTATTAAAGAAATTATTGAGGATGTGGTTCGTAATTTTTACATAGAAATCTACATTTTTACTAAACTATTTGCTCCTATCTAGAAACGACATATACAAGATGGTTCAGTGAATAAAAGAAAAGTTTTAAGTAAAATGACAAAAAAAAAATTAGGTTCGATGAATTTAATGAAATAATTTAATTTAGTTTATCGACATGGCAACTGGTTGTATACAACTTGGCAAAGAGTTAAAGTTGGCGATATTGTGAAAGTACTTGACAATGAATTTTTTCCGGCAGATCTTGTTTTACTTTCATCAGGGTGATTATCGAAATAGTTCGATTTAAAAGAAACAAAAGCACACCGTTTTTATCTTATCTAGTGAACCGAATTCGATATGTTATATTCAAACATCTAATCTCGATGGTGAAACTAATCTCAAAGTTCGACAGGTTTGATTCATAGGTTTTTGTTTTTACAAAATGGTTCAATGTATCTTCTATTTAGGGATTACCGCAAACTGCTAATATGATATCAAGTGTACAATTACGAGATTTATTTGGTGTAATCGAATGTGAATTACCTAATCGGAATTTATATGAATTTGCAGGAACACTAAAACTCAATAATGTTGCTCATCCAATTCCATTAGGCGCTGATCAAATACTTTTGCGTGGTTCACAATTAAAAAATACTGCATGGATTTATGGACTTGTTATTTATAACGGACATGAAACAAAATTAATGATGGTTTGTTTCACAAGATAAGAAGATTTTTGTTTTGTTTTGAATGATTTCAATATTTAGAATTCATCGTCTGTGCCTTTCAAACGAACTAATGTTGAACAAGTGACTAATAGTCAAGTAAATATTTCGAAAATAAATATTTCTTTAGGTTTCTTGTTTTTTTTTTGTTCTCTAGATATTGTTTTTACTTGTACTTCTGATAATCATATGTTCATTCAGTACAATAGCAGGAGAAATTTGGAATTATAGAAATAAAATAGCACATTGGTATCTTGGTTTGGCATATGCTACTGATGATAAAGCAACTGGTAAAGGTTTTTGTTTTTCAATAAATAAAGTACACAGTTTCTATTTTGCGTTTGCTTTAGCTACAGCACCCAATCATTTTGGTTATACATTCTTAACATTCTTTATTTTATTTAACAATTTAATTCCTATTTCATTACAAATAACAATTGATCTTGTGAAATTTATTCAAGCATATTTTATCAACTGGGTATGAGGAAAATATTTTTCAAAATGAACATTTAACTTTTGTGTCCTATAGGATGTCGATATGTATGATCGAGAAACTGATACACCGGCAAATGCAAGAACATCGAATTTAAATGAAGAACTTGGACAAGTGAAATATATTTTTTCTGATAAAACTGGTACATTAACGAAAAATGTCATGGTTTTTAAACAATGTACTATTGGTGGTATTATGTACGGGTAAGGAAAAACCATTCTGTTACATTGAACTTTTCAATTAAAGTTTTTTTTTCTATTGTAATTTCAGATCTGGAAATATTGCAGAATTTAATAGTTATGAATTACTGAAAAATTTAGAACAACATGTAAGTTTATAATTATTTGCAGAAACTTTTGTATGAGTCTGCTGTGATCTGAAAATACCCTGTAGGCATTCGTGCTATTAATTTTAAGACTACAAAAGACTTGAACTCAGAAAAACTTCCATGTCTATGAAGAACAACTGAAGATGTGCAGGATTAGACTGGGATTAAGAGGAAAATTTTCTTCCGACCTGAACAAAACATTACGGATAACTAAATATTCTTTTGTTTTAAGCGGATTATGTTATTAACGATTCAGTAAATAAAAAAAAACAATGATCAATGCAATCTTTTTCAAATGATATATGAAATAGATTTTTCTAGAACGGAACTAGAGGGTCTTCAAGTTGTTGTCATCAGGGAAATAGATAAGTAAGTCGTGCATAAATTCCAAACAGTTGATCCACTTAAGTAGTTTCTTTTTCATTATGTCTCACATTAAATTGATTATTTATATATATATATATATATATATATATGTTATTTCATTTCTAGAGTACTGGTAATCAAATACGCGAATTTCTTGCTCTTCTTGCAACATGTCATACAGTTGTACCCGAGAATAAAATGCATACTGATTTATTAAATGATATTGTTTATCAAGCATCATCACCAGGTAAAATTTCGCTCACAAACAAATGAAGAAACAATGTTGAATTGTATTTTAGATGAATATGCGTTGGTATCAGCAGTAAAAGAAATGGGTGTGATATTTTTTCGTCGTACACCGGATAGTGTCATTATTAATTTTGTAAATAAATCAATCATTAGTTTTCTTTTTATAGTTATTGTCTAATTTTTCTAGCGAGGCGAAGACGAAGCATACGAAATTTTGAATGTACTTGAATTCAGCAGGTAAAATATTGAATAAATTTATTCAAAAAAAAACTAAATCTTTGGTTTTGAAGTGATCGTAAACGGATGAGTGTTATTGTTCGAACAGCCAAAAAAGAAATAAAATTATTTTGTAAAGGCGCAGTAAGTGCATACAACTATTTTCTATTAGAAATGAAATCTCTCGCTCTCTGTTTTTAGGATAGTGTAATTATGGAACGTCTTGTTGCAAACGATCCTAATGTTCCATTAACAATGGAACATTTGGAGAGTTTTGCTAAAGATGGTCTTCGTACATTATGTCTTGCTTGTCGAATTTTAACAAATGAAGAATATAATGTAAATCAAAATAATGTATTAGTGTTTCAACTTCTTTTAATTTATTATTAGGAATGGTCACTTGAATATCGACAAGCATCAACTGCAATCAATAACCGCCATGAATTAGTTGCTGAAGTAGCAGAGAAAATTGAAAAAGAGTTAATTTTATTAGGCGCTACTGGCATTGAAGATAAATTACAAGATGTAATTATTTTTAACATTAACAGGCGACTAGATTGTTTAGATTACGAAAAACCAGACATCTGCATGCCTGAGAAGAATCAGTTTCACTATTTCATATAGTATTAATTATCATGTTCTACTAGGTATAGTTGACATATTAATAAGTAATACCACCTGTCGATTTGTCAACAGTACTCAGGAGAACTTGAGAAAGCATGGGTTGGACACCTACTGCTAATAACTACAGCAAAAACACTCATTAATAGCCTATAAAATTAGTATGATTGTTTTTTATTTGTTACTATCTCGATGTGACATTTCCAACAAATATCTATTCTCATTATCTTGAAATTTTGTTTTTATTTACAGAATGTTCCAGAAAGTCTTTCTATGTTATTAAAAGCTGGCATTAAGGTAAAATAGTAAACAAACGAAATGATATTTTCCAATGTATACATAAATAAATAAATTCTTAGATTTGGGTATTAACTGGTGATAAAAAAGAAACTGCAGTTAATATTGGTTATTCATGTAAACTTTTATCTGATCAGTTACTTAATCTAACTCTTGATGAAGCAACGCTTGATGTAAATAAACAAATGACGTTCTTGTTTTTCTTAAGAACGTAATCGAAAATATTTTGTTTTTAATAAAAGGATACTCAACGACAATTACGTGAACATTGTCAAACATTTGGTGAATCATTACGTAAAGAAAATCTAGCGTCACTGATTATTGAAGGAAGAACACTAAAATATGCATTGTCACCAACATGTCGGCAAGATTTTCTCGATTTAGCTGTATCATGCAAAACTGTTATTTGTTGTCGGTAAGCAGAAATTGACTAAATCCAAAGCAGTAGACTAAGTTATGTTTTGTTATTGTTTTTCTCAGTGTTAGTCCAAAACAGAAAGCCGAAGTTGTTGAACTTGTAAAACTATCAACTGATGAAATAACATTAGCAATCGGCGATGGAGCCAATGATGTTGGCATGATTCAAACAGCACATGTTGGTGTCGGAATCATGGGCCGTGAAGGTGTACAAGCTGCATGTGCGGCAGATTATACAATTGGACAATTTCGATTTTTAACAAAACTATTATTTGTACATGGTGTTTGGAGTTATCGTCGTCTATGTAAAGTTTTACTTTATTCATTCTATAAAAATATTTGTCTTTATGTTATGGAGGTTAGTTTTAACATTTCAAAAACAAAATGAAGTGATTTTGCATGAGTTTTTGTTTTTAGCTTTGGTTTGCATTTCACAATGGATTTTCGGGACAGATTTTATTTGAACGATGGACTATTGCAATATACAATGTACTATTTACAGCAGCACCACCAATGGCACTTGGTTTATTAGATCGATGTTGTAGTGCTGAAACTATGATGCGATTTCCAGCTATGTATAAAATGTCACAAAATAGATCAGATTTCAATATTAAAGTAAAATATTGCTGGTGTCGAGAGAAGAAAACAAAAAATAGTACTTAACGTTTTAGGTCTTTTGGACATGGTGTTTGAATGCTGTTTATCATTCCATTATTCTTTATTTTATGTCGTATGCAATGTTGCGACATGGTATGTAGACGTGTTGATTGTTATTTTAACATATAATCTGTTTTGGCCCCATGCTTTCAAATAATACCGACAGAGAAAAGTTGATTGTCTATACTATTTAGATGTTGCTCATTCTGATGGAACGGTTTTCGGTAGTCATTTATTTCTTGGCAACTGCGTCTATACTGTAAATGGAGATTATATTTTCTTTAGTTTTCTTTTCTTGATGTTTACATGCATGCTTAACTAATCTGATAGAAAAGGGAAAGGTTATTTAACTTTGTTCTTTCTTGGCTTTTCAATGCACTAACACCTCTTCTTTTAAAATTATTCCCTAGCATGTAATTAGAAAAATAACTAAATGCACATCACTAAACTGGCTGCTTCTTATTGTTTTCTATCTGTAGACGTTGCATATAGTAACGGACAAGTGGGAGACTATCTACTATTAGGCAATATGATTTACACGGTATGTTTCAACATTATACGCTGTGTTTCAGTTTTACTCACCGCATGATTAATATTTGACTGTTGTAAAATTACAAAAGTTGATGTATTTTATTAATAGATTTCTATCTAAATATTTTAGTATGTCATCTTCGTCGTTTGCCTCAAAGCTGGACTTGAAAGTGATTCATGGACGTTTGTAAGTGAAATTTGGAATAGAAAAAACAGGGAGAAGTCTTTTTTTTATATGAAAATCATTCAATTTATTAGCTAACGCATGTTGCAATTTGGGGAAGTATAGCATCATGGTTTTTGTTTTTCATCGTATACAGTAGTATATGGCCAACTATACCCCTAGCACCAGAAATGCGTGGCATGGTATGTATCTCTGTTTGCTTAATAGAATATTCAAAAATGTTAAGACTGCTGCTTTAGGCAAAATATGTTTTTTCGAGTATGTACTTCTGGCTTGGTTTAATAATAATTCCGATAACTGCATTATTCGCTGATTTTATCTATAATTGGTAAGATTTGCTTCTGTAAATTGGCTTCATCTCTGTTGTTTTTTAATAGTTTACAAAGAACATTATATAAAACATTAATGCAAGAAGTGCAAGAAAAAGAAGTTGCAAATCAAGATCCATACGATTTAGTTATGGCACGGCAAACATCAACGGTTTCACGTGTTGCTGAACGATTAGCATTATTAAAAAGTGTTTTTATTCGAACACGAACACCAAAAATGTCTGGAATTATTCCTGGACCTTATCGTAAATAATCATATTGAATTGCTATTTGATTTAATTTAATTTAATTTTAGATGGATTCGCTTTTTCGCAAGAAGAAGATGGAGTTGTTCCACAAGATCAATTGATTCGAAATTATGATACGAACATTGAAAAACCATTAGGATACTGAAAAAGACACCAAACAATATTTTTGTTCCATGTTAACTAGTCATTCCATGGGTTTTAATCTCTACAGAAAAAAGAACTACTTTTTCTATTCAACCTTCCTTCTAAAAGTTTTATCGTTTATGCAAAAAGAAGATGTTCTCATTCAGTAATAAATCGTTTTTTCTTCATATCTGCTTTCAATGCGTAAATCTTATTTATTGATGTTTCCTTGTAATTCTATTGGCTATTTTTTGACATTGTATTTCAAGATTGTAATAATGTTTGTTTTCCTGGAGTCGTGATCTCTCTCTCTCTCTCTCTTTCTATATATATATATATATATATATATATATATATCGATAATTTTGGTTATATTTTTTCTTGTTGTCATTTGAACATTGTGCTATTGGCGTTAACATGCATTGTATTTATTGCCTATTTCATTAATCATTGAAATTGAATATTAATACATAATATAAGGTTGAAAATTCATGAAAAAAAGAGAAAATATTAGATAAGTATTGCGTCTGTATATGATAAAAGAATATGCATAGGTCGACAAGTAATTAAATACATTCTGACTAATCACAAACATTCTTCCTTACACATGTTGGTTTCAATCGGAAAAGTATTTTTCATTGAATGTTTCTTTAAGAATAAAAAGGAAACTATGATGTTAAATCGTTTTATTTTTCAATAGACTTATTGACTCTCGTATTAGTTTCGAAATAGAAATACACACTAAAAACAAATCTTAGATAATCGAGCTACAGATGTATTGCCTTGTAGAACACGAGAGAATCAATGATTATGAAAGAACTTGTTATTAATATCATCTGTTCTCTTTATCAATAGAATAACATTTAGCTGTTGGTGAGCGTAATAATATTTTAATAGTAATATGTATAAAAAGAAAAAGGCAATATCCAATTTGCATTTTCATTATAAAAAGAAATTCAATGCTATTTTCGGTCAGTTACAAAAAAGAAGAAGACAAAAAAATACAACTCCTGAGGCTTCTTTCGTAGCATAAAACTTTTCTATCCTATTTGTGCTTGTTTTTAATTGAAATTCATGTTTTACAATAAAAAGTAAGAACATTGATGGATGGAAGACGTATGTTGACAAGTATAATATATATACATACAAAATATGAAGAAGGATCATGTTATTTGACTCTCGCTTGCTGTTCGTCGTGATAAGAATAATGAAAGTAGCACAATAGAGACAAGCATTGTCATTTGTAAACGAATAACACTCCCGGCACAACTGCGACTGTCGCCTAAAATGTAAAATAAAAGATACCTGTCAGCTTAGTAGTTTAATCTTTGTAAAAGAAGACATTTAATTTTCTTAGCAGTGCTATGATTGATTAGATTAAAATCTACTCATTTGCATAATAAATTTCTCGCCAACCGACACAAAATGAAAGAAAAAAAATCAATTTCAAATTTAAGCTATATACTTTAGTATTAATGAAGCAAAAACAAGAGAACTGTTGAATTTTTTTCAAGTATAAATTGAATAGAATGCTCTGATGCAATATAATATATAATCAAACTTACGAACAATAAGTTCGACTGGCTTAATAAAACCGCTTGCTTGATCAACACAGGAATAAGTACCACTATCATTATTAGTGATTGGTTTGATTTTAAAAAAATGTTGAATTTGATCAGGTGAATAAGCTGTATAACGATGAGTAGTTGAACGACCACGTTGCCAAATAACACGCGGCGATTTAAAAGAAGTATGCGGTTGAAAATACCATTCGAGTTTATCATGAGATACTTTTTCTGGCGTAGAACAATTAAGAATAGCAAAATAATCATCAACTGACACGGAAACTATGATAAATGGAGTACCGGGAGAATTATTACTGTCACTAGAAGAACGTAGTCGACGATAACGACGAAATGAATCGTCTTCAATACACACTAGAAATGAATAGACAGGCCATTTTTAATTATTTTATTCATAGACAACACCTGAATCAACTGAGCTATTCAATTATCTAGTTGACAAGTTATCTTCATATTAAAGGTCATATTATTAGATACAATTTTGTTTTGTTGTTAGTAGAAATACCATTTGTCTGTACATGCATATGTATGAAAGAGAAGGCAAAGAGAGAGAGAGAGAGAGAGAGAGAGAGAAAGGGGAAGCCAGCATTTTTTCTGCTATTATTGTAATGATCAAAGAGTTTCAAAATCTTATCAATGCATAATGGAAGACTAAAAATCGGCTGAGTAAAAAAATCTAAATATGTATTCATGGTGTGGTAGTGGTAGTGAGTGAAGCTCTATACTATTGTTTGATATACGTATGCAGTGCATTTGGCACAATAGTTATGAGGGTCCATAGAATCGCGTTAGAAGTTGATTATTTGTTTGTTTGTACATGAAGAAACCATTTCGATGTGTCTCTAATAGACAAGTGAAAAAATAAGAAAAAAAAGAAACTTACTTAGTCCGAGTACTTCGAAGAGAATCAATTTGATGATTACCGATAATTGATAAGATCCTAACATAATTTTGATATTGACGACACGTTCTATCAACAGTAGGATAAAAATGCGACCTGCTTTGTACAAGAGCAAATCAATACAAGATGATCATGAGGTTATTATCGATTGCTTGCGATGATCGAAGAATGATGATGTATAATAACGTCTAGATATATAAAGAACCGCAAGAAAATATTTTGTCATGCACTAATATCTCTATCGTATATTCTCGTTGTCTCTCCTTCTCTCTTTCTTTTCTCACGTCGTTTATTAAAAGAGGATAAATGCTACTACGATGATTACAGTATTGTAGAAAATAGTAGAGGCCAGTTTGATTAGGACGAGTGCCTCCTTTGAGACAATATGCACCCAAACACACGCGCACACACACTATCTTTCTTTTTCTCTCCTGCTGCTCTTTACTACTCATTTTCACTATATGTATACAATAATTCTGTCGGTTTCTCTCTCGTCTTTCTTATGGATTGTTCATATGTTCAGCAATCTATTTTGAAGCTAATTTGCCGTAGCTGATTTCTAACGTTTTTTTTTCTTCATAAAAAAGCGGCTTATCATCGATAGAATACTCTAAGTGGTTACCTGTGAATTCATTTGCTGAACTTCTTCTTCTTTTTGCTTTCGTTTCTATCTGTTGTCCTTGTCGTTCTCACATAAGTTTGCTGACAATTATCATTTCTCAAGGTATTCTATATCGTTCATAGTCCGATTATCTCATCGTTAAGTAAAACGAGGATGAAAAAATCGATTTACGATCCTTTTCACTCATCGAACAATTACCTACTGTTAGCTGGCGTGCATTTTGTTTTATGACTTCCGCTTTTCTTTTTCTGACAAGCGTTGATTGTCGTATGAGCGAGTTCTGCGCAATCTTCAATAAAACTCACAGCTTGTTTAGTCAAATATTTGTTCTCTTCACTTACTAGCATTACAGGAAAAAAAGATACGCTAGAGTGGTCAAGTAGCTCTGTTTCTCATTCGTCTTAAACGCATACCAGCTGTCATAAAATCGTACAAAGAACCTTGACGGTGCGCTTCTTCGTCATAATGTCGATTACAAGTCATAATTACTACTACTACACACACATATATATATATATATATAAAAGAAAAGCCGCTTATATGCACACATTACAATGAAAGAAAATGCGTCGTTTTTCTTGTTCTCTGTTTCTCTGTCTTTATCCTCTCTTCTTACTAGTGCACATTTGCTTAGTCGTCGAACCACTTAATTAGTAAATGTAAAGGACTTCCGTTTTTGTTTTGGGTAAAGCGAGAATCAAGCTTGCTTATTATTGTAGAAGAAGGAACACAGTGAAGCGCAATGAAAAGGAACAGCTACAGTCATAGTTACAAAAATGAATAGCTAGATTCCGATACAAGAAAGAAAGGAAGAGAAGACGAAAGAGAGAGAGAGAGAGAGAGGGAGAGGTAAAAGAAATCATGTTTATATGTATGTGTGACTTTTGGTCATGCTACTACTGCCCACCGGGGGAAAACGTGCTATGCTGACGGATGGCATAGAAATACAATTCACCAGAAAATTCATTATAGTTTCTCGCAATAACTGTTCTCCATTCATTTATTCATTCTTAGAGATTACGTGTGTAACTTCACCAGTCTCTATAGATTTAATGAATGCAATAGAATACAAGAAATTACTTGTTCACAGTTCAACACCAAATTTATATAGGCACTGATAGAAAATATCACAATTGAGATCATCAATCACTACTTTCAAAAAAAAACAGTCAGCTACATTTCATTGTGTATATTTACACTATTTAGACAATGTTATAAATCAGACAACTGACAGTATGCTTTAATTAGCCGCTAGCTAAATCGAGAAGACAACATAAAATAATCATATTACCTCTCATTTGTCTAATCGGTTTACAGGATGCATATGCTGTAGTAGTAGATTGAGTATATGCAAAAATGAATTTTCATCGTATTCTAGTCGATTGCATTTACTCGTGATCTTGTTTAATGATTGAAAAGTGGTCAACACGAATGAAACACCCCACTAATCGCAACAGTATTTCTTCTCTCTTTTTACTTTTCTGTTCTTTGCTCTCATACATCTACTTATTCATTAATTCACCTATTCTGTCTTTTCATAGTTCAAAAAAAAGGCAAACTAAAGTAAAGCACCTCCATCTCAACGACTTAAAGTAATACTAATATAAAAACGAAGGATGATGATGATGATGATGATGATGATGATGAATGTTATAGCGGCGTCAACGGAATATGCGCAACATTGAACACGCAAGCAAGCGCGCAATGAGGAAACGCAATAAGAGAAGAGCGGAAAGAAATCGGCTAAAATAGAACTTACACATATATGTATATATAAGAAAAACCTTCTTTGTTTTTCTTTGTGCTACTATTCACTTAATACTTAATTTTACTCATGAATAAGGTTAAAACAAATTTTGTCATATTACATCTATTATTTCAGTCATGAACAATTAGCTAGATGACTAGTATATCTTACGAATTAATAGGATAATTGTGACAGAAACAATTAATCTTTATGAATCCTTTTTTTATTCTTTTCGATCGATGAGGTGTCATATACTGATTTTTTTTCTGTGCTAGTGTTGCGTGCTATGCATATATGTGATGATGGGCTAGTTGAAGAGTCCTCTTTTTCCTTTTCTTTTTCCTTCATTAGATCTCTGCTCTACCAACAGCACCATCTCGTCAGTAAAAGCTTTCGGTACTTACGCTTCTGATGATCCAAAAAAAAACTAAGAGCCAACGACTGAAAGTGATAATGAAGCATGAGTCTATCGAGAACATAATGGAGCAATTCATCAGTTATTCCGCATTTTCTTTTTCTTTTCAACCATCAAGTATCGATTGAGTCGCCATCAACTGTTCAAGTTGATGATGAGACACCATCGTCATTATAGTCGACAAAAAGTGATCAGATAATGTGTATAGATTCGGTGCCTTTATGTCCATAGTGTAGCATAGAAAAAAAAGCGTGAACGACAACGAGAAGTATGCCTCTAAGGGTTCATCTTATCATAAGTTGATCGATCAATAGTTATAACTGATCTATTCTCGAATGATAAAGTGTCATAAAGTTCTATTGAGATTCATATAAAAAGAAAATCATTGATTACAGAACAAATGTTTCAGTAGTAGCAAAAGAGACATTCGAAATTTGTCATTTTATTTACTTTTCCAATGGATCTATTGGGATATTTTTGTAAATATGAACAGTAACTATTATTTTCTGAATATTTGCTATGCTATATACAACACAATTAGTTACTATTCAAAGTATAGATTTTTATTGCCTATAAACATCATACAATCATTTCAAGCAATACATTAATAAAGATTGACATGAAATTATGAGTCATACTTAGACATACATCGATTTAAAGATCATTTTTGTATCAATAGAAAATTGTAGCTGAATAATGCTGAACTTAATCAAGATATTATTCAAATCTCATGATTTTCAATTCCCGTTTTTCTTCTACACTTGCAATACTAATGTAGTTCATACTCAATCAAATAGATTTGAGATATTTAAAACAATCATAGTTTTTCCATTCCTGCCTGTTCCAACAATAATGTCGATCGTTTGCATGACTGCAATCAAGTGTCAGCGAGTCTCTGCAGCATAGAACGAAATTTCGTTTTCGAACAAATTCAGTGAAATTTACTTCTAAATCTTAGATGATTCAGTATATATTTCTTCACATTTAAAAACTAATTGACTCTTAGTCAAACCCATCCTGATCGATATTTTAATTACTCGTAAAATATTTTCGAAGCAAATTAAAGAATTCTATCTAATAAATACGTTGCTTCTTTTCTATTTTATCTCAATGTATCAAATAAAATGTATTGTTTCCATTTGTTATCTTATAGAATAATAACAAGCATTAAAATTCCGATCGCTAAACTTAATGATGAGCAGCTTATCAATATTTTCAATCTAGGTGTAATATTTGGTAGATTCCATCGAGATGAATTCCAATGAACTGGCATCTGTTGACAAATGTTTATGTTTGTATTGACTTTTGCTGGTAATAATATGTCTCCGACAATTGCCGGTGAATCTATTGTCATCAAACCTCTATTGTCTACATTTGGCATAGTTAAACATGATAGATGTTTACGATATGAGGATGATAGGTCTTGTTCTAATGTATTATCTTTTGAGAATACAACAGATTTCATACTGGTGTCTGTATCATAGATTTGAGTAAAATATTTACTATGCCTAATTTTAGCATTAATATTAGTCAATGAAATTTTCCTATCAAGTGACAATGATTGATCATGATCAGTATTTGCTGATGAACTTGCAAGTGTATCTGTACTGCTTAATTGTGTTAAATCAATTCTAACTGTTTCTGTTTGTTTTGTATTACTATATGTCAAAGCTGTCAGCAGTGTTGTGTTAGTTGTAGTTTTTGACAATGGTGTAAGGTCATCGGAGACATGTGTTGGTTTCGGCATACTATTAATAGAATTAAGAAATAAAACTGATTCATCGGATGATAAATGTAATCTCTGATCTTGTTTATGTTCATTTGATAGATTTGTAATCGTATCAACTAAAGCACTGGTAGGTATACGATTCGCATTTTTATTAGTTCGTGTAATAGATTTTTCCGGCAATGTTTGATGTTCGAGATCAGATTCATCATTATCACTTTCTATAGATTGAACTGACGAATGTTTCCGTCGACGAGACAAACGAGGTCGTCTTGAACGACGTATTGCCTTCATCTCATCGATAGATGATTATTAAAAAAATGTTTATTTGAAAGAGAAGAATAGTAATACACATGAATAGAATCGGAATTAGTTAAACGAAATGCAATTGGATTAATTTTATTCATTCAAATTTCAAAGCGCCAACATCTTGTTTAGAAGAAAAAAAACAATTACAAAAGAAAACTCCTATGATCAATTACGATATTTAAATTGATCTATTAAATCCCAAAGTCGAAGAATACCATATGTTAATGCGAGTGGTATGCAGAGTACAACAAACCAAACTAAAGTATTCACTTGACTGAACTGAATTTTAGTTAGAAAATCTTTCAATTGTTTATGTAATACGTCTTTTGTACTATTATTATCGATAATATAACGTGCTCGTCGACACTTTTCATTTAAATCCATTTGAGCATTGATACGTTTTAATGCTTGTTCATCATCGCTGATATCGCCGCGTTTTTTCAAACGATCTAATTGAACTGTTTGATCACAAAATATAACTAATGTATTTGATAAAAATCGATCAAGACCAACTTCAAATAAAAGTGGGACATCCCATATAACAATTGATCGAAATTGAAAAAAACTTCCTATCAATTGTTTAAGAGCTTCACGACGAATATAGCCATGTGTACATCTATTTAATTGTTTACGCATTAGTTCATTAGTAAAAATAACATCACCTAAACGCTTTCGATCTAACGATCGACTATTCGTTTCAAGAATATTTAAATGACCAAATTGTTTTAATATTTGATAATAAGCAGGCCTATCAGGTTCAACAACAAGACGAGCAATTTTATCAGCATCAACAATAGGAATACCTTGCGATTTAAAATAGGCACTAGCAGATGATTTACCTGTGGCGATGCCACCAGTTAAACCGATAATCAGCATGCTAAAAAAAATTAAATTGAACAAATATTTTTATTCTATTTCCTCTTTTAAACTATGGAATAAAAATTGATATTTTATATTCGAAAACAATAAAGTTTCTTCGGCATAGATCCTATCAGAATTTGTTGTGGTGTTTCTGATTAAATTTCTGTAAGCTGCAAGAAAAAGATAATCAAGCAATGCGTCTCAAAACTAGATAGAATTAAATTAAAGGAATATTCCTCTGAGTATCAACAGGAACTACATCATATTCCGCATATTAATATCAAAGGATTTGCATTAGTAGGTTTTTTTTATATTAAGTTTAGAACAAGAGGAAACATACTCGTTTTTTACGTTCGATCATGACGACCTGCAATAAAGATATGTGATGATAATAGCTTTGTTTTTCTGTCTTTTCATAAAAACCATCTATGAATGACTGTGATGATGTTAATATTTAATTATTGTGAAGTCAATAATTATTTATGAAACAAGGTGGTTTATTGAGACTTGTAAAATCGATATTAATACAGCTGTAGCAAAAAGTATCGCGTTTCAGATACGTTCATAACTGTTCTATCAACGAGGATTTGAAAATATTACCATTTAAATCGATTGTGATAAACAGTAAAAACATTCATTTTCAATTGGCAGAACTGGTTATTTTATTAAGAAAGTCTATTTCAATTTACGAATGAAATGCATGACTTCCTTGTGAATATCTCGATAAGGAGCATATGTTTGTCTCAGCTAAGTTTCGTTAGGAAGTATAGTATAACGATTATTTGTAAAACTTAATCGCAAATCAGACTAAAATAGCATCTTTTTTATTCTTCAGTGGGTCCCACCCGATGACATCATACTCAAGAACAAAAAAGCAATCAGATAATTGGAAACATTTCCTCGTTGGCTAACTGGCAGTATGGCACCATATCAAACCAAAATTTCCTTCAATCTATCTAGAAAAGTTATCTTCAGTAAAAATTTGATTTTTATTTATTAGAAGTAGAATAAACTTTTATTGTTTGTAAATTAGAAAAAGGACGGTCTGAATACATAATAGTTATAAAGAAAAATTCTCCCTTAAAAATGCTTGATTGTACAACGATAAGAAAAAAAAACTTTGAAATAGCTCCATCACTATTCGTAGATCGCTGAAAAACAACCTCATATATGTATCTCCAGTCGCATACAAAATATAAGCTGCAATTTATTCGTTAGTTTGCACATTTGCTTTTGTTTAATTTATCCTGCACACAAACCCCGAAGAATAGGAACATGAAATCAAGCAACAAAACGAAATTCTTCTAATTTGTGTCGATACATGCACGAAAAAATAAAGGATTAGTAATACCTAAGGAAACAGCACACAAGAATAAACTCTGTTGTATTTTTTTCTTCTTTCAGAACATCGTGTTGGTCATTAAGGAATAATAAATAAGGATAGGCGAGCGCACACACATATTGTCACTAGGCATAAAATGAAGTAGAAGAGAAAAAAAAATAAACAATGCATGAACAGAATGTGATTGACAAGCGAATGTAGGAGAGTATTGAAAAGAAAAAGAATATATATTTATTCTTCGCCGGTATAACCTTGTTTCTGACCTGCTTGACGTGCTTTTTCAAGCTTTTGAGCTGTAGCAACTTCAATAGCTCGAATATCTTGCATTGTTAAACCATACCATTCATCCATCCAACAAAACAGTTGACGATGAAAATTACGGAATAAACGATCTTCTTGTGTCATAATTAAATTTTCTACTCGTGTTTGAATACCGAGCCACTTGAATTTTGCTCGCACTAATTTGTAACAGCACCTAAAAATTCGAAAAAGAACCAGTTATTTCGTTTTTTTCTGTTATCATGAATGACGCAAACACTGCATCACGCGTCAAACATTCTTTCAAGAGTGTACTTAACGAAAAGAAAGCTCGATATTGTTTTTTTTATTAAGTGAAATATTTTACAAAACATGTTTATAGCTCGTATTGCTAACAGGGTTTCATGTGTTCACTTGACAAAAGGTGAAATATCTGTTTTTATCTTCTAATCTTTATCGAGACAGTTGCGTTCGCATCGACTAATTCTTATATACAACTAGTTACATAATCTCATCATTCGTACTGATCTGTGTCTATAGGACGCCAACTAATATTATAAAGCTATCAACAACAACAACAAAAAACAATAGAAACTTACATATGTGGTTCACAAGTTTTGTACCATTGATCCTGTGATACAAGTGGACCACGGCCAGTTTTTGATGACTGGAATTTTTCTGGATCTTCTTCGGCTTTATAGTCATGGCGGCTAACTTTATCAGAAATATAAATGTAAACAACGTGACGTTTCTTAAGTTCATCATGATTCAATTGATGTACATTTTCTGATTCACCATGATCAGCCAAATGTAATGTTGATATTTCAATTAGCATATTATCTTTCATGTATGGATTTGTAATTACTGTTTTACAATATGGATAAGCATTCCATGCTTCTTCGTGCATAGATAAATTTGATTCTTTAAATACTAAACGAACAAAACCTGGCACACGTGAAGCAAAATGATAAACTTTTCTTGTATACTGCCCAACATTATATCGACCAAGAAAGCCTTCTGCTGATGATTTTTCAAATGGTTCATTAACGAGAACCTCGACACCTTCACCACCACCTGTATTTTGTTCAGAAACTTTTGCAGTTGAAAATAATTGTGCAATTTGATATTCTTCCACAGTCATTGGTAAAATAATGCGAAATTCGGTGATATGCATTTTGAAATAGATTAATAAATAATAATAATAAAAATCAACAAATCTAGAAAAAAAAACTAAAGCGCTTCAAAAAATTTATTTTGTCATGTTTCATCTTGCTGTCGTTTTCTTTTCCATTTGATATATACTATTCAAGCCTTACATTCATCAAGCATGATGTTTTTCGTTTGTTGTTCGTCTACCAAATGGTAGTTTTTATCTTGTTTTTTCATTATAACAAAATTTCATCAACTCCGATATGTTGACACTCACTTGCACTATGGACATCAAGTTCTCGTAGCAACACCTGTTTGCATTGTAAGTATAATAAGCATCTACGTGTGTCTTAACGCAATAACAGAATAAAGCAAGAGAACGGAATAGTCAAACATGCTCATTCTCTCGTCATTTTCTAACACCAAAGCTGCCTTCTTCGCTATGTATTTGTATTTCTTTTTCGCTCTTGTTCTCTGTCTTAATTTCTGTTTCTCTATTTATGTTAAAGTACGTCAACAACACAAGTTAAGCATGAAACTATGCAGTGTACCATTGTTTATATTCTCCCTCATATAACATGAAAAATTCGATAAATATCACTTAGCTCTGATAGAAGGGAAAAAATAATTAAATATTTTATGTATTTCTTTTTTTTTGGTTTTTATTTAATATAAGCCCAACGATATAACACTGTACTGCTACTACTGTGACTGATGTTGCTGTTCATTGTAGTAACAAAGTTCTTCTTTCTTGTACATAAGCTTTATGATGCTTAGAAAAACAACAAATTTGTTAATTTTATTTTGTTTTCTAACATGAATCACCAGCCGCTTGTAACACCGGTGGTGACTGGAGCAGCTGCTGCCTGTGTCCACTCGTTTGTTTCAGCAGTGCCTGTTGCAGCGCCAGTAACACCCCAATTATCATTTGCTGATGCACCCCAGTTGTCTTGATTACCTGCGAAATTTTCGGCGGCAGGCATCATCGATGGGCCATCGTCATAATAGTTATAATCGGCTGCATGTTGTTTTGTGTCACGATCTTGAGCACTTGGGCCAGTTTGATCTTCTTTTTCAGTCTTAAAAAGATATACATATTTTTTCATTATGTATAGTATATTTTTTATTTTACCTCTTCAGGATCACGATAGAAGAATAAATCGACCATAACATCCCATGGTGCTTGTCGATTAATTTCACCACGTAATCGAAGTACTTCACGTGTTAAAAACCACCACATAAGACCAATTGATTTACTAGCCTATTGAAATAGAAAAATAGGATTGAAGTAATTCGACATTTATTTTAGTTACCTTGTTATTGCATGGAATAGCGATATCAATATGACGAAGATTTGTTGACGGATCACAAAAAGCGATAACTGGGATGTTAACAAATGATGCTTCAGTAACAGCTTGATGATCAACAATTGGATTCGTAAGAATAATCAGACGAGGCTCTTTGAAAGCTGCTTGAATTTGATTTGTAAATGAACCGGGTGTAAAACGACCAGCTTTTGGAAAAGAAAAAAAAAAGAAGACCAAGATTATTAAATTTATTTATTTGTTTTTTTTTCTTTTTTTCTTACCGATAGCTGTAGCACCCGTGTATTTCGCATATTTCAATACGGCACGTTGGCCTAATTTTTAGACAATAATAAAAATAAATTTTCTTCTTTTACTATTATCTTTACCTTGTGGTTGACATGATATGGCACAAACATCAGCCGAATTTTCAACAGCGACAATTGCACGAGCAGCTAAGACAAGTTTCTCCCAGAATTTACGGATATTGATAACTGATGAACCTATTAAATCAATAAAACTGATTATGTGAAAATAAAAATACTGAGTTAAATATGAACCTTCATTTTTTGGTTTTTTTTTCCAAACGTATGTAGCCATTTGATAATCAACATCTTTGGATCCAATATGAAGTTGAGCTGCAAGTATCTTAAGTACATCATCCTCTTTCAATTGGAGTACAGAATAACCCGATGTCATTTTAGTCGTTTGACCCTGATGGAATCTTTTGATGATCTAAAATTATCATAGAAAAAAAAACGATGATAGTTTTTTTTCACTCCCTTGAAGAAATAAGTTATATTATTTTATCCAATTTCGAACGAACCACGGATGTTAACGCGTATTCACTGGAATCGAATTCGTAAACAATTTATGTCGAGTCTAATTGGTGTACACACATCAACATAATACTTAGTCTCCACATTGCGTTTATCAAATTTTTATTATTTTAATATACTGATATTTTAAATCTAGGGATTCAGATTAAGTAAATTCTTAATTTTGGTCTCTCATAGATGGCAGCACCAGCTAAGAAACAATATTTTATCGTGAATATACGGCACAATTATATCAGTGACGCATCTTGAATTTCCAAAGGAAACAAGATTTATCATAGGCCATAAGCTTTTTCATTTTCAAATGTAGTAATGTAAGAAATTTGTTGAAATTATCCTTGAAAATTGATCTAAAACTACTATATGTAGATTTTTAAATGTCATGAGCTTTCTAAGAAATGCGTGGCATATAATGAAATCATTTTGATGAAAAATTTTCAGCTTTTCAACATAAAATTATGGAAGAATATTCTACAGAAAAATAAATCAAAAGCAGCTACTTTTTCATCCTAAGTTCTGTCATAATCCTTTTTTTTCTACTCACATTTTATTTGTTGAAAAAGACTTGTGACAAGATTCATAGCATCATGAATACTGTTGTTTTATAATTTATAAATGTCTAAGTTGGCAAGCTCTTTATCTTAAAAAAAAGCTTTCAAGAAAACACTGCTCTACTTACACAAGCACTCTTTTTTTTCATATTCCTTCAAAACCTAATTCCAAAATCAAAAAATAAAAGAAATAATTACCTACAGTGAAACCTTTTTTATATTACTAAGATTCGCTATCAAAGAAGAAAAGATCATATTATGATAATGCTAAGCAGAACAAGCATAGCGTTTCAATAAAGGCGTCATGAGAGATTTCTTTTCTCTATTTCTTTCCGTACCATAATTAATTTTAGAGTACAAAAGTAAAATTTTCAAATTTATATGGAATCTAAATTGAAGCCTCATCGTTTTGACATGTCTTCAACCGTAAGTTAATAGTCCAGGCAACGTTTGCATATTGTTTGAAAAAAAAACTAATCTATATTACTTCATCAAAATTTACATCAAGATTATCACAGTGCTACTATGATAATATTTCTGTTAAAGTTCCATAGAATTGTATTCGCAAGAAACAGTTCAAGTTTTAATTACATCCAAATATTCATCGTTTATTTTTAATTTTTTTTAAGAACTTTTACAAATAAATCAGACGTAATTTTATTTTATTTGTTTAAATTAAAAAATAGTTACAAATAAAGCACACATACACAACACGGGCATTAGTTCATGTTAAATGACAAGTTCATTTTTCTTTGACCAACTTTGATCTTTTGCTTGTTGAATAGCATGTGATAAATGATGAAACCAAAGAGAATACTCATTTGTATGTTCAAAACGTACATGTACACGAATCATTTTTACAGATGAATGCTTCGATGACTTATTCGCCGTTGCAGCTACTACCAAACGTAGTTCTTCATTTGAACGATCTTCTTGTATATGAACAACATTTGCCAAACAGACACTTGTTGTGAGTGACGAACGAATATCTGTTCGATCAATGCGAATAAATAAAAGTTTTGAATCTGATAATTCAAGTCGTTTCTGTAAAAGAAAAACGAAATAGTTTATGAATTGAATGTTTGCGTTTTTCAAGCAAAATTAACCTACCGGTTCCCATGGTTCCTTATTAGTACGTTGAAGAACAATAGTTGAGGTGATTTCTGATTGTAGAGTTGTATCTTGTGATGTTTCAAGTGTCACATTCGGTGCACAATATACTGACGATTCTAATGTAGATATTGTACTATCATGTTGATTAGCACATGATGATTGAAGAATGACATTAGCTTGTAGTGCTAGAAGTCTTATGTCTAACCAACAGGAAGAGAAAAAACAATATATTAATCGATGTTTTCTTTTCTTTTCATACCTTCAATAATTTTTCGATCAACACCATTTATAACAAGTGAATTAACAATAATTTCCGATTGAAATAAATCACTGAGAAGACAGATATGACGAATAGGTAAGAGAATAAACTCAGATATTTCTCGTGAAATATACTCCATTGGAATCTAGAGAATTATTCTTGATTAATCAGTATTCATTCATTAATTATTTCAATGCTTACTTGAAGAAAATAGGCAATTTTATTTTGACATTGTTTTAATGTCGTATGAGCTTGTACACTGCGAGATAAATATGAATTATAAGAATCAATCATCACACCAGACTATGAAAAAAAAAAGGAAATCTATGAAAATACTGTTTTTCTCTCAAGGTTTCAATTTATACCCATGATTGATAGATAAGTGAAATCGGTATATTTGATACATTTTCTGTATCAAATAATTTTTCACATTGACGAACAATTGAATCTGATATGGCCGAAATCTAGTAGAGAAAATCTATGAAGAATTACTATTTTAGATTTTCAAAAATTTTACTTTTTCAATATTTTGAAAGAGATCTACAATTTCATCCGGATTTAGATAACGTCTTAAAGGTCGCGAATATTTAATAATATATTGTTTTAAATTTTCATAGTAGATTTTTTCAAATGAAAGAATTTGCTCAAGCAATGATTCCGATTGTTGCATTGATGATAAGGTTGTTGCTGTTTCAGAAAAGCCACTATCAGATTTTTTCATATTATTTCCTATTGACATATTTGTACAGTAAATCGATGAGGATGACGACGATGACGACGATGATGAATATATTTTCTCTTTTGTTTTTTTTAGTTTCTTTTCATTGTTTTTATTCAATGATTTCTATGAAAAGAATAAGATCAAATAAGATGAATATTTCAAGTAGAAAAATAGATTAATACTCATAGAAAACAACAACAAGAAAAACAAATTATAACTTCTATGATCATGTTGTGCTTCAATGAACCATTTAGTCTGTCTTTAAAAGTAGAAATATCATGCACACGAAATATATTCGTTTTTTTTTCTCACATGCACACAAATAGAAATTAGTTTTTAATAGAAACAACAAAACTGAAACGTTCAAAATATCTATCAGTATTCATCGACTTCGTTACATATCTATGCAAGGGATAAGACATAATATTGAAGTTTTGAAAGAAAAAGTTCAAAACTGTCCTTTCAATAAGACTCTCGCGTTGCTAACTGTGAATTTTCTTTTTGACTATCTATATAGTTTAAAGTCATGTTATGTAACTTACTCGTTGTTTCGAATTGATCGAACTTGTGCAGCAGAATTTCATGTTTTGTATTTTGTACTTTGGATGTATGTACTAAGGATTGTAGATGAAGTGATGGTCTTTATATTTAAAAGAAAGTGTGAACAATTGGTAGAGAAAACATGCAATCGACCAATCGTCGAGAGAGACAGACACAAGGAGAAAGGGAGAGAGAGAGAGAGAGAGAAAACGGAAGAGAAAATTTGGTCTATCAATTTAGATTCGTTTTCTTTCAATTATTCTTTTCATTTATATTTTAACCAATAGATTTTGAGTGCCGAAAAAAGGTGTGATAGGATAAAAACAAGATTTTTTGATCGATATCATTCTGACACAATCTCTACTATCAAGATCTGATCCACATGCCTAATTTCGACTTGAGGCGTTAACAAGAGTGAAACAGTTGTTTTTCGTTAATCTAGTGAACCCTCCTTCTCTTTTTCGTTATTGTTTTTTTTTGGCTAATTCCAATGTATTTTATTCATGATATTCAAAATTAGCTGTATTTCAACATCCGATTGCTAAATGAAACGTTTTCTTTTTCTTTTGTATTCAATATGTACAAATAAATAAGGTTTGATTCAAAATCATGGTCAACATATATACATTATACGTGATGATTGCATAAAAGTTTATATGTGTGTGTGTGTGTGTGTGTATACATAGGCTTCGCCTGAATGCATATGAACAATAGGAGGAGGCGTTTAATCTGAAAATCAAACTTGATCATCACCCCCATTTGCATTTTTTGTCTGTTAAAGTATGGTATTAAATAAAATAGAAGAGAAACAAAAGCAAAAAAGAAAAACGTTGAGTTTATCATATTTACAATGAAGTCTGTTCAAGCTAAAAGATTATTCCAGTTGAGATCATTCGATATTGAATGTCGAAGATAAGTGCTTGCCAATTAAATGACATCATGAATCTAATGACATTCTCCTTTGCTTTTATTCTATTTTACTTTCTAAGACAGAATAGTAGACTTTTGCCCACTGGGCATCTTAATCGACCTTCAAAAAATGAACAATGAAAACTGGTTTGGTAACGATGCCAGAGGACAAAAGAAAAGCTTGTGAAAGGCGGGACGAGAGTGATTATCAAGCATGAGAAAGAATAGAAACGATCAACAATAACATAACGGTGAGAAGACTAATTTGTTAAAGCCAGTTGAGTCACAACTTAAGTGGAAGTAAAGAAATGTACATTTCTTTTTTTTAAAGAAGAATAAAAACGAAGTGTCATGCAGCTAAATTAAAAGGTGTACACAGCCGTGCATCCCGCTTGTATCAAACAAATGTGTTAGAAATAATTGATCGCCAAATGATCTTAAATCGAAAACAACGAGTAGTATTACTTTTCTTTTGATAAAAAAATAAAATAAAAAAGTTAAACAAATTTTTAGAATTTAAAAAAATACAAGATCTTTCATGTTCATTCTTGTCGTTGTTTTTTCTATTAATTGATGATTTCATCATGTTATTGTTCTCGTTGCTTGAATAATTTGGTTTCAGTGACAAAAATAAATTTCTTCTATTCATTTTTAGGATTCGTAAATCTATTGAATTATTCATTCATTAAACATATATGTTAAATTTTCGAGTCTATCTCCGTTGATTCAATCATCAACAGACAACGAACGATAACTAATTGTTCGTACTCTCACTCTTTTCCGATATACCACACTACTAATTTGTCTTTTACACAGCTGGTTCTATGTGTCTACATGATACACTAATTTATCATCATTGAATAAAATGGAATCACACACCGAGATGGGTGGAACCGTGAGGTAGTTCACTCGTATGATACCTGTTGGGAAAAAAGTCATAAAGGTATTATACTTGCTTAATGATCTATATTTTTTTCTTTCACCATGTTGGGGAATGGATGTTTAATTGGACAGCATCGCATATCCCAAGGAAGAAAAAAAATCAAAAATTTCCTGTTTATGTTTTGTGTATTTATTCGTTAATCGCTAACGATCGTTTACTGTGTATAGATAAGTTTTATCTTTATCTTGACAGGGCCGTGTGAGTATCAAATGTTGTTATTGTGTTCAGTTTAAAAGAGACTCAATAATTAGACAAGATGAAAGGTGTGAATTTTTAACATACATATTGTACAATGCCTACCGGGGGTTTTATTCAAAGTCAATGCGATTATTACGACAATATTCAGAATAAGTAATATAAAGATTTAATTTCAACAAATCAGCTAGTTCAAAGAAAGAATACACAAATCTTACACAATTTTCTTTTCTTTTTAAAATTGATGACATAAATAAACATAGACGAAAAATGAACAGTGATTCACGCTTGTATGACAGAGTAACGGATTCCGTTTGACGCGTGCCTATTTCTTTTTATTGACATTTTCATAAATCAAGATGAAAAGACAGTTTGATTCGATTTCGATCTTCGTCTGTATCCTTTCTATCTTTTCTTCTTATGCTGATTAGCACACGTTGAATGAGGTGTGAAAAATGGTGTTGTTGTCTTTTGACTCTCTTGAAAAACAGTCAAAACGTGAAAAGAGGAAGAAACCCTTATTGCAAACACTAGAATATACATATGTGCGCGTGTCTGTGTAAATTGACAATCTGTTCGATGTTCAAACAAAAACTATAAAGGAAAAAGTCAAAATGTTTGTCGGCATCAGACACTTGAAATGATGATGAAGAAATAAAATAAAAAAGGAAATAACGATGAACATCTTGTCTACAAGAGCAAGCGAAGATACCGTCTGTTCTTCTTCTTCTTCTTCTTCTATTTTTTCATCACATACGTTCATCATCAAAGTGTAGTACTACTTGATCATATATATATATATATATATTGAGAGAAATAAATCGTTTTTTAAAAAACACCTTTTTTTATCTTTCTTGTTTTTTTCTCTTTTATTAACCGTTAATTCCCAAAGCACATATTGACAAAAAAATTAAGTTGAACTTTTTATTTGGTGATCCAATGCATCGAGGGATTTTAGTCGTGCATCGTTAGCTGATAACTCAAGAGGATATAGCACTATGACGTAAAGATGCAACGTTTCATTTGCTCTCTTGTCGATCACACTAAGTGTCCATGACAAAAAAGTGAACAAACACGCGACTCGAGTATCGACACTTCTATATGACACGAGTACGGAAACGATCACTATCGATTGTGCCTATCTCAATCTACTTGAAACGTAATCCTACATCGTTTTGACAAGAGCAAAAATCGCATTCATTACGTGGATCATTAGCAACCATCGAAATAAAACGAACGAAAAAGATAATGGAATGACCCTTTAATTAGGAGAAAAGACAATGATGTGATTTACGAGCGACACTCATAGGTTTCATCATCGTGCTTATCTTCAAGTAGTTCACTATCAATATTGGATATTAGGAATCCGTAGAAAAAGAATGTAAATGCACAAAAAAATGACAGTCGTTTAAAATTTATGAACAAATTCATTTGTTGTCAGTTTTTATTCTTCTAAATTGATTACGACTATTCATGCAACGAATAAACTAGTGGTTTACACGAAATGAATAAATTTAGTTTTGAATGTTACATGAATTTAATATCAACGACATATTGAATTATCTATGTAGTACATAGATATCGCATCGTATTTATTTAAGAATAATTTTTACTCAACTTTCTCTTGATTGACTCTGTTGAAGAGCTTAATTTATGGTTGAAGATAGTATGATAAGATATTAAAAACAATAATTTAGTTCTAAGATAATGTGCATATTAAAAGATTCACGTACCAAAATATATTTATATTGAAATTGACATTGAAACTTAATACTAACACAATAGAATCAACCTTATCGATTGAAGACAATAGATGTGCTAAAATAAGAATATGCAATTTAGTTTTTAACACATCGTATCGTTCATTCTCATGAGACGGTATGAACGAAACAGCTGATGCAAGAAGATAAAAAGATAATTTCAAGCAAATGATTTAAGTTTACAAGTATAAAATATCTGTTTGAATAAAATTTCACATTAAACGATCACAAGTATTGGATATCGTTGTTGCTAGGTTAGCTGACGAACGAAAGGAATATACATAAAGTTGCAGCCAAAAGTCCCCCTATAAGTCATTTACTCAAAAACGAACAAAAACAATGACTTCGTTATTTTTGTTATATTTGTCAAATAAATTGGTACACCATCTTTATTATGAGAAAAGAGCAACTTTTTTTTAAATTCTGATATTCAACTTCTGCGAAACAAAAAATGCTTCAAAATTTGAATGATCAAAACAGTAAAAGTAGTCTTTAATAAATTATTATTAGCTCAATAATTCAGTTTATTTTCAGTCGCTGTAAAATTGTTTTCGCTGCACGTTGGCCCGTAGCAAAAGCTGTATGTACGGAACCACCCGAACTAGTATGTTCACCAGCCCAAAACAATTGATTATGACAACATTCTCTAGCCAAAGTCTCGAATGTTTCTAATGTTGTATTGAATGCATCATAGGAATAGGAACCACGAGCATACGGATCTAGTGTCCATCGTGATATTCGATACCGTTCTAGTTTGAAATTTTGATTAGGAAATGCTCGTTTTAAATCATTAAGAATTGTCGCAATCGTATCTTCATCTCTGGATGCTTCCATACGACGAGCACGTGTTCCACCGATCATAAATACAAGAATACGCTTCTTAGGAGCACTAATAGCAAATGGATAGGATGCACCAGCTATGTAGAATGTAGTCAACTTCGAATTCCAGAATGTTTTATCGAATTGTAAAATAATCTTGTCCGTATCACCAAAACCCATAACATCAATTGCATTCTGTTTCCATTGGGGTAGAGGTGGTTCAAATGAAATCGTTTTCTGTTTCAGACAACCTAATGGAACAGTAACTAGGATGTATTTTGCTTGAATAATTTCACCATTTTTCGTTAAGATTTGAGCACGATTCGAGGCACTGGTGACGATATAACTTACTTCAGTATTCAATTGAATCGGTAATGCGAATCTCTCGACTATTCGCTGAATCAACGATCCATATCCTCTTTGTAATGCCATATCTTCGCCGTTTTCCTCCTCGTCATCAACGGGTGAATCACTAAAGAAATGTTGCCAGGCAGAGATTCGATTAAGATCAGCAGCTTCGTGTTCTTCTTTATCAACTAACATAGCGTCAACTAGTCGTTTGAGTTGTCCTTCAGGTATTTTCTCGTATTCGGGCCGTATCATATCCCAAACGGAAACGTCTCGATGTTTCAAAGTTGCATTGTATTTTGGTGAAAATAATTTTTTCATAGTCTGTTGTGCTCTCAGACAGATTTTATTTGATACGATAGAACTAGTCGTATCATAGCATCCAGTTACTTCTGGTTCAAAGAAATCAAAGTAGTCATCACCGCGTTTATCTTCGTTTGTTTGTAATTGTCGATGTAGGCTGTATAGAGGATTATTCGGCCCGTAACCATGGATCCATTCAGCCCCAATATCAACGGACACACCACCCATGAATGTATGTGTATCTGTTGAGACTCGTCCTCCTACACGATTGCGTGCTTCTAATATCGTCATTGATATTGCACTTGACGCTTTCTTCATATCAATGGCTGCAGCGATGCCAGCTGGACCGGCTCCGATAATCACAACATCGAATATGCGATTACCAGTAGAAATAGAGATAATGGCAAAGAACTGTACGCAGACAAGGAAACTAGTCGAAGGCGCCATACACCAGAGTGGCGATCGATATATCAATGTGTGTTTATTAATTTAAATTGATGTAGTGGCGACTGCCCCGCTTTTATTCTCCACTCATTATGACAACAACATAATTACATGCATTGCATAGGTGAATCTTAGAACGAATAATATTTACTGTTGTCTTTGAAAAAAAAACTAATCCTACTGAAGCCTATGCCCTCTGCTGGATTCTTCAATATATTTAGTCATTTTGTCATGATTAATATGATTCTCGTTCTTTCTAAACCCTGCCTATACGTCATTCTGCTTTTTTTCTTCTTTATCACAATGATGTGGTTTATTTATTTGAATAATAATTGTAAAGATCAAGTGTCAGTCAATTTATCGGTAACTTTTGGCTAATACCCTGTGAGATGCTAGTTAGTCAGCAAGCTCGTTACAAAATAATGGGTTCGAATGATCTAGTGAATATATGCTCTTGATAAGTTATAATAAGTGATTGAATAGAGTTTATAGTTGTATGTTCAATACTCAATGTAAAACAACAAAATTAAGATCTTTTCTTATATATTTATGCAACAAGAACAAGTAAACTATATGTATATACAATACTTAATCTAACTTTTTGAGCGCCAACGCGAAACGAGCTTTTTATCGAAATAGAACACAAAGAACTAACGTATCAAGAAAGACAACGAAAGGCGAACTAGAAATCAGAAACCAAACAATCGACAACACAAGTGTGCCATTACACCCTGGTCTCCGATTGCACTTTTTTAAAAATATAGGAATCCTTAGAGGATCAAGGTTGTCAAAAATATAGGATGTTTTATACATAGTTTCTGTTGAATTGTTTTGCTGCTTTTTAACTGTTCTGCTCGAAAGCCGTTTTAATGAAGCTGTTATAAACAGTTCAACCGTAGCCAAGATTCTTGTGATTTTTTCTACTGAAATAGGTCACTAATTCGAGGATCATTATAAAAGTTTTTCACAAATCGATAAATAACAATAAAGTAGATCATAAGATTTGAAAAAACAAATACTATTTCTCATAATCAAAGGAGACGTTTCAAGATTACGGACACAAGTTCCCAAAAAAATCTCAACCTAATTTTATTGTTCTGATAATCAGCATTCATCGCTTATTATTTGCCACAAGTTTATTTTGTATTTTATCGTAACTCAATTTTTTCTGGTAATAAATAAGTGTAAATGAAAATGCATATTCACAGGATGATGTAAAATTTCACGGGCTTTCAGAATATGCCGTTACTTTTTAAAAATATATTCTTTTGGTAACAATATCCTCAAAATACAGAGTGAAACTTATTTTCTCCAGGGGTATATATATATATATATATACAGCTTTTATATCTAACTAAAACTTCACTAAAAACCCGAAACTAGTACATGATCACTTTGTGAATATTTTTCTATTTTGAACTATTTTGTATTTTGTGCTTAGTTAGTCTTAGTATTAAACAATTTCTCAGTCAACCCACTAAATAGGCGAAAGGAAAAATACTATTTAAAATAAATGTCACAATAATACAAGAATTTGTCCAAAACACATGATTATACACATTAAAAGTATTTTTTCGTCTGATGACAATAGAAAAATGAAGAGATTTTTGGAAATTTTCTATTTTTTTCGATAAAATATAGGAAAAATAAGAATTTTTAAGAAAATATAGGACAAAAATAGGACGTTTTTGAAAGTATAGGAATTATAGGAAATATAGGTCGAATCGCAGTCCAGCTAATACCAGACGATCATAAGCATTGGCGATGATTATTCTCTTCCATTGAATTTCTCTTCGGCGATGAAGCTGATTCGCATTTGGTTGAATAAAGATAGTCGTCAGATTTTGAGATATTATTCATAGATAAGAAATAAATGATCAGTTTCGATATCGAATTTTTTTTCAACAAACAGTTCAGCTGAAGAAGTTGTCATAATCATTTGCAAAAAAAACTTATACTACACAGTTCTCAAATTGAAGCCTTGCATCTCAGAACAAGTTTTTCCTGACTTATTGGAATTCTTCATCGAACGAACACATTTTTTCCTTCGTATGATCGTTCCTATGAGCCATTGAATGATATATCGATGTCAAAGAGTAAACGGTGTACTTCAGGTCGAAAAGTACATCATAACGCTTTGAAGTAGCCAAAATGACTTCAAGTCAGTCGTTTCTCCATTTGATTTTCTCGCTTCTACCAAACGATATCCTACGTATCTACAATCTATCGACTGCATCTTTACTTTATCATTTGGATTGTCAATGTATCTCGGATGGATGGAATCGACTTTTCTCCCTTCCTTTGAAGCAGACCTACAAAAGGTAGACCTGTTCGGAACTCTAATACTAAGTTCATAATTCACGAGTGACTTATAACATTTTTGATTTTGCCGTCACATGTATATGACAAGAGGTCTCACTCTATCATTGAATTTTATTTCTTTTTGTTTTCGTAATAATAATATGAGCACACAAAAGAATTATCTGGCAGCAAAAAAAAGAGATCTTTCTCTAGTCAAGCAATGATATACATCGCGCGTGAAGTTCTTGGTCATTGGCAGTTAATGCTAAACATTCTTTTAATATTCGTTTCAATGCTGGCGATGATTGTACACGTGATAAAATAAATTGACTCATTTGTTGATTAGACGTATGGTTCATTTGTTGAATAGTTTGTATGAGATGAACAGCAAGACGACTTTGTACAATGGCATCAGGGAATATTTCATTATCAATTGATATTAACGAATACAGCGTTGTCCATTCGAACCATTTCAATTGTTTGGTTTTATTTTTTTCCTGTAAATGAAATAAAAATAAATTGAATGAGAAAAAGAGTTTGATGACATACAAAAGCATTTTCAATTCGAATCCATAATGCTTCAGTTATATTATCACGTTGATTTTTTAAACACTGTAAATGATTAATTGTAATTTCACTGTATTTAAATGTTTTATTAGCATCAATACCATTGAGCTTTTCAGTAACATAACCATCGATTTTAAACGAAGGAAACAAAAGACGAAAAAAGAATAATGAAAAATCATTCATCGAACACAAATTTTCACCGTGCCGATCATATTGCCGTAGTAAAATTCCTAATAATAGATGTATACTTTCTGGTTCTAACCAATGCCATTGGATGTATTGTTGTAAACTTAATAAAAATGAATTATTCAACGGTTGTTTACCATTAATACCATACAGCCATGTTACAAGTAAACGTTGTTCAAGTCCAGTACTAGTTTTTAGTATAGCTAAAAATATTTTAATAATGATTAAAATATGTTTTTAAATAGCTTAGCAAAATAAATGAGCACTATTGATTAATCTTGCAGTTAAGATCTACTTCTGCTTATATGAATACACTAATTTCAATTCTTTGACTCGACTAATATATTGGTCCAATTTTATATGTTCGATAACATATAGACTATGCATTCTTGATAAGACACTGACTGAGCAGTTGAAAATTTTTGCTTTTTTTTCTATATCTCTTACCAAAATAATCAATCCAAATTTTATTAAGTAACATTGAAAATGGATTAAGTTCAAATGAAAATATTTGTGTCATTCGTTCAAGTATTTCTTTTCTTTGATTTTTATTAAATTCTGTTTCCGGTGAACGTAATACTTGAAATACAAACCAAACCATATCATCAACTGGTAATGAAGTAATAATTCTAAAATAAAAATCATTCACTTAAACATGCTGAATATGAATTGAGTTAAACATACTCTAAATCAAGTTTAGCTATTTTTAATGTAATACTGTCGCATATAATTCGAAAGGCAATTGAATTTGTATGAAGATCATTTATAGATCGTTGTATATACTTCGAGATTCCTTGTATACATTGACGGATAATTGCTATAAATAGAGAAAATAGAAAAATTTTAAATCAAACGAATTAATCTGTTTTTTTTACTGTCATCTCGAAATGAACGAATACATTTTTCAATATATTCAAGTGTATCTTTTGTTTCATGACTATTTAAATTTTCATTATTATTAAGTAAGTCAAACATATAATCCAATAATGGTTGCATTTGTTCCGGCTTTAATTGAAATGTTAATTGATTTAAATTTTTAATCATTTTTTCTTGTATACGAGGAAATTGCGTTGATAATAAATCAATAATATGAATATTTAAACGTCTTACAGTTAAATTTTTTTGTTGAACTTGTTTTGACGATAGACTATCTGAACCTTGATGTTCATCGAATGGAAAATTTTGTAATAGATGTTTATGTATCGATGACGAATGTTGAGCTATTATTGAATGCAGTTCTGTGTAGTGTTGACTTGATAATATTGAATTCATTAAACGATGAAATATACGTGTACAACACCATAAACATGATAATGCATCACGATGATGATAACGATCACCAAGATGTATACGCATTTCAGACCAAAATTGAAGAAGAACTTTTAATAGAAGATCAATAACACGAGAGAGTATTTGAGAATCAGAACGACATTGAAATACTTGATCCCTGAAAATAATCAATAACTCTAATTGACTGTTAGAGATGTAGGATAATAAAGTACGTTTAAACACTTTCATTTAGACTTAACTAGACCTATGATACATGAGAGCAGCTTGCCTCATGATGTGTTTCTAAACAGTATACGATCTTGTTAATCTATTATGATTAAATATCGCTCTTGAATTATAGGATTGTTATAGATCATCATTTCCTTTTTAATTCAAATGAATATAATGTTGGAATAGTCTCGTTTAATTACACTGCTAAAAATTGCTTATGTCAGATTCTACAAATATGTCAAATCATTTTTATCAATAGTGTTGATCCTAATTAATATCTATTTTGACTTACATAATTCTATAAGGTTTTGCTTTAGTTTGATGGAATAAATCAAATAAAGATTTTTCTTGTTCTTCATCTCGCTGTGAATCTTTATTCGTTGGTTGTTCATCATTATATTTATCAAAAACAATATTAACTAATTGTGCTATACAATCAAGTAATCGAGCATTTCCACTATTATTTCCAATAGTCGTTGTATCAATGGTAATAATAAATTGTCTTTCCGATCGACTTGTTTTCATTAGTTGTTGTAATAAACTTTCAAGAATTGATAATCCATAATCTGTTAATAATGTTGATGAATATGTTTGATGAATAAGTAATTCAAGTACTGGTACTGATCGTTCACGGACGTCATCGTTTAAATGTGTCATTAAAGAAATTAACCGTTGGCATAACAGTGGCATTAATGGATAGAAACATTCTGGAGATTTAACACGTGAAAATATTATTTTTAAAGATTGAAATGCTGATCGATAATGACTAACACTTTCTAATGAAATATAGGATGTGCAAGTATCGATAAGTGATTGAAGTGCTGGTGACCATGATTCAACATCATCATTTTGTAAACGTGTTTTTAATGTATCGAGAACGGCTAATTTTTGTGATGAAGTACCTTTACGTAAACGAAGAATAATATCATTGATATGTTCAGGACCTAGGTCTTGTCGAAGTTGTTCACGTATAAGAATTGATTTTGATTGAAATTCTAATTTTGTTTCATTGAGACCTTTTGGACGAAGATTTCCAGCTTTTAATTTTACTTTTTGAAAATCTTTTTTTTCTTTTTTCTTCTTTGTTAAACCTTTTTTAAATGGAACTTTATCACGCGCTTTACTGCCAACTCCGTCATAAGTTTGATGCTTCTTTTTACCCATAATTCTGTTTTCTTCAAATAAAATCTAACTAATGTTTTGTTTAAAAATGAGAATATAGAATACGACATTCGTTGATCCAATAGAAATCAATCAATCAATGAAGGTTTGTCTGTCATTTCATTGATGGAGTTTTTGACAAATAGAATAAGCACGTGTTTGTACAATGATATACATGTGACAGATTACGTATGGGCACTGAATAAATTTTGATGATAATAAATTTTTCTATAAGAAATACTCGTTGTACGAATTAATTGCTTTAATGAATGTTGAGTAAACGAATGTTTTCTTCAATTTTTAATACTAAGAAAAAGATTTTGTAAGTTTTTCTACTGTGAATTAACCCGGTTTGACATTAATTGTAGGGGTTTGTTGCAGTTAAATTCGAAAACAATTGTAACGCAAGCGATGGAAGGCATCAAATTTGATAATTTAGCATTACGAGTGTTGCCAATTGATCCAATTGAAGAGAATTACGTTAGAACTGTTTCTGGAGCTTGTTTTTCTAAAGTAAGCTATTGGTTGAATCAATCATCAATTTATTTATTTATTAATTTATAAATGAAGGTCAAACCAACTCCAGTTAAAAGTCCCAAGTTAGTTGTTTCTTCAATGGATGCTCTCAGATTAATAGACATTGATGAAGAAGTCGCAAAAGTTTGTAGTTAAAAAGTTTGAAAACTTTACATGACTGTTGCTTTATTAGAATGAAAGACAATTAGCTGAAATATTTAGTGGCAATGTGTTATTACCAGGCATGGATCCTGCTGCACATTGTAAGTTTGAATAAAATATTTGTTCTAGATATCAATATGTAACAGACGGTTCATAACGACTGAAAAGCTTTTTTTTTCTTTTACGAAATAAGTTTTCGTTTTTAGAAAGTTTCTAAAAAGGTTTATAGTATTGTAAATTTTCCAGTTTTGTTATTTAGTTTAAAATTTGTATGATTTGATTACAAAAATAGTAGCAGGTGTGTGCTCAAAGTTATTTGCTCAGGAACAGCAGTAGGAGGAGTATTGAATGGAAATATTTTTAGTACTCCGTCAACTGGGAAATACGTCGGCTCTAGCAAAAACACCGGCTTCAGCAAAAATCGACTGACGGCTTACACCTCTACACATGATATAAAAGATCGCAGCTGAACGACTTGAGTGCATATTCAGCTTTTTTATTTTTTGTCAATTAATTAATACTTATTCAGCCTCTCAAGTCGGCCTGTGGTTCTCAGTAGAAAACGAGTGAACTGTCACATTTCTAATCGGTCTTCTACGTTTGAAGATGTCGAACACTTGGTATGACAGCAAAACTGTTAAGATTGTTAAATGAAATAAGTTTTATAATTGTTCTTTTGTTACAATGATTTATTTGCCTATCGATGAATAGAAATTTAATAGTCATTTGTAAAAGCTATTGCGCGATCCTGTTTTGTATGATAATACTTATATTTCATTATCGAGAACTTTAAGTACACATAAACTTAACCGAGATTCATAGAAAGGTTAACAACAATATTTTGATAACTAATTGAATACGATTATAAATTACAAACCATCGTGAACTTTGTAAAAATTCATTTCAATAGTTTTGTATTACAGGTTACTGTGGTCATCAGTTTGGCTATTTTAGTGGTCAACTAGGTGATGGTAAGCAAAGAAAGTTCTCGCTGGTAAATTTTCATCTTTAACAATATATTTTTGTTTAGGTGCTACAATGTAAATTGATAACATCGATCAAAGCAATATTGATTTCTATTTTTACAGGTATCTCGGCGAAGTCATTAATAAGAATAATGAACGATGGGAATTACAATTTAAGGGTGCAGGAAAAACTCCATATTCTCGAACAGCTGATGGTCGTAAAGTTCTTCGAAGTTCCGTTCGAGAATTTTTATGTAGCGAAGTAAAATTTTGATTAGTCAAATATCAAACTTAGTTTTCTTCTTTGTCTTTTTTTTTCGGTTTATTGTAGGCAATATTCTATTTGGGTATACCAACAACACGAGCCGGAACATGTGTTACTTCTGATGATTATGTTATAAGAGATATATTCTATGATGGTAATCCTAAACGAGAACGATGTACAATAATCACACGCATAGCTCAAACATTTATTCGGTGAGTAGAATCTTTTCCTGTTGATCTTTATAAAATAAACTTATTTAGATTTGGTTCATTTGAAATATTTAAAACAATCGATCCCATGACGGGTCGAAAGGGTCCATCCGTTGGACGATATGATATATTAAAAACTTTACTTAACTATGTTATTTCAACATTTTATCCAGAAGTGAAATTTTCTATTCTGTAATTAAATACAAATAATATTTTCTCGTGTGAATTTAGATCGAAGAAAAACATAATTCAAAAGACGAAGATAAATATGCTGCATTTTTCGAAGAAATTGTCAAGCGAACAGCATCACTTGTTGCTCAATGGCAATGTGTTGGATGGTGTCATGGAGTACTCAATACTGATAATATGTCTATTGTTGGTGTCACTATTGATTATGGACCGTATGGATTCATGGATCGTTATGATCCTACTTTTATTTGTAATGGTTCAGGTAAACATTTGGAATCCCGGAAAGAAAGTTTTAAATTCAATTTGAATATAAAATTTAGATGATAGTGGTCGATATTCATACAAGCAACAACCAAGTATTTGTAAATGGAATTGTGGAAAATTAGCTGAAGCTTTAGCACCACTGTTATCAATAGAAAAATCCAAATCAATTTTGAATAAATTTGATGAAGAGTATGAACTTGTTTACGCGAATAAAATGCGACAAAAAGTAAAAGATATTGTTTCATTTTTCATATAAATATATATTCTTGTTTTTTTTTAATATTTAGTTTGGTCTTATCCAGAAGCAATTAGAAACAGATCAGTGCGTTTGAATAGGGAAAAAAATAATTTGTTGTTTATATATTTTTTTCTAATCAATTAGACAATTATTTGATACATTTTTAAATACAATGGAAACGACTGGTGCAGATTTTACTAATTCATTTCGTGCACTGTCAAAAGTTCATTTGCCAAATACAAAAGATTTCGATCAATCGATCGACTTATTTATATCAACCATTCTAGAGCAATGCTGCGATGCTGAAGAGTGGAAGTTTGTTCATAGATCAGCCATTGATGAAAGGTACTTATGAATAAATTAGAATAGGTAAATTTGTATATTTTTTCGTTTTAAATAGAACATTTAGTTTACTGGAATCTCTTGCGGGAACAAATGCTTCAATTTTGAGTCAATTTGGATTTAGTCCCGAACTACTTGAAATTGAAAGAATCAAAAAGCAAAAAGCTAAAGAATTAGAAGTAGGTGTGGAAATTTTATGACAATGAAAATTTTTATTTTTCTCCGACAGACAATGACAAATGAATACAAACGAAAAGATGATGAAAAAGCATGGCGTTCATTTGTAGAAATCTATGTTGAACGATTGAAACAAGAAATCGATGGAGATACTGATCAATTAAATGCAAAACGAATTCAAGTCATGAAAAACAGCAATCCACGGTATGAGCAAAAAAATCGAGTTCCTATGATTTCTGGTAGATCGTTGCTTATAACCGTTCTCTTTCAGCGCGTCAACATTCACTAATGAATTTCGTAGCAATGTGAAAAGAGTAGACAAGTGCTATGATAAAATTGAATTTTTTCTAAATATGAACATTTTCAGAACGATACAAATGTAGATTGACCAGCATATTCATTAGTAAATTTATTTGATATTCCCCCAATAAATTATTTGAATTCCTTTGACAATATAGCATTAATTTATAACAAGCACTGCTTTTCTAGTTTTATACTTGGTTCTCTCGCGAGATTTAGCTGGCTAATTATAATCATTGAGCGATGTTCATAGCAACTGCTTGAACTAATTTCGGGCTATTTTTTGTACGAGTCCCTTGATAGATCATATCTTTCAACGGAAGCAATCCGCCTGAAGTTACTGACTAAAACGATACTTGAGGCCAAAATAGTAGCTGAGAGCTAACTCTTCAGACGATGGATTTATTTTTGTTACAGTTAAGAATTTATCAAATGTTAATAGTAATAGAATTGAATGAGTTTCACTGAATTTTCCATGTTTATTTTATTTTTCTACGATATATTTACTGTACTGTATGATGCTCATGAAACATATCTCTCGGGAAAAGAAAAAGAAGAAAGAAATCAAATATTGAAATTAATTGCTGTTTTTCATTTGATCATTCTTATTTATTGGAAGCAAAACATTATTGTTACGAGATTCAATTGAAGGAATATATTCGAAAAATAAATCTGTAATCATTGTTTAGAATGGTTCTAAGAAATTATCTTGCGCAACGTGCAATTGATTTAGCCGAGAACGGTGATTATTCTGAAGTACGCAATCTACTTGAAGAGCTTAAACACCCATATGAAGGTGATGATCATAATACGATACGTGTGGCAAAAACGAATGCAACAACAACTGAAGCAGAAGCATTCCTTCCAGCGTCCGATACGGCACAGAAATGTAAATGTTTTTTTCTTCTTCTGCTTCTGATAAGCTCAACTCAGAAAACTAGTAATTGATTTACTTCTATTTTTAGATGCTACAGATACTTGCCTTCAGCCAATAATCTATGAATCAAAGGCACCACCAAATGCTTGTCGTATTCGTGTCACTTGATCGTCATAAATGCCAATGATAAATCAATCATTGGCAATCTTATCGTAACATACACATTAATATTGCTTATTAAATGATTATTGAAATGCCAAGAATCATATTACGGTTACCATTTCAATTTGAATATATCAATAGAACTTGTGTTTGTTTGTTTTTACTGGTACATAATTTTATTCTTGCGTGAAACGAAATAAATCAGTTGATTTCAACCAAACAATTAGTTGGTTTTGTTTAATAGTTTTTTTTAAAGCGAAGATTCTTATTTTTGTTTTATTCGTTTTTATAAAATAAACTCGTATTTTTTTGTACAATACAAACAGGCGCGACCAATAATAAATTTAAACGACCGTGAGAAAGAAAAAGACATATGAAAAGAGAAAATTGGAATGAATGGATTTTAGTCACACAGATAATCTCACCAGGAATAAAGGACACAAATGAATGAGAACAAGAAGAAGAAAACTAGAGAAGTATGTAACAACAATAGAAATTCAGACAAAAGTGTCACCGGTACGTGTAACCAACATAAAAAAAATATGGTTTCAGTATTTTATGATTCTGAACTTGAATCTATAAAACTTTTTGGTATCGATGTTGACTTTGATTCTTCCTGTGGTGGTGGTGGCGGCGGTGGCGGCGGTGGCGACGGCGGTGGTTTATCATCTTCCAATGATGGATCCTCTTTAATGGTTGGAACAACGAAATTTACAAATGAAACAACTGGACCTTCTCCACTACCGGCTGTTGGAATTGGTGTAGATAATGGTGGATCAGTATCATTGGATGTTTTAGATACTTTTCGAATTAATTCATGCGATAATGAATATGTTCTTCTTGGTGCTACTTGTGGTACATCTGATCCTATTGAATAACTATTATCACGTTTATTTGGATATGATCGTTGACGATCATATTGATTTGATTTCTTTGGACAAAAATGTCGACATAACCAACATTGTAAACCACAACAACAAAAGCGTCGAAAGATAACTTCACGAAAAGCTCGGCGTATAGCACGATTTGAAAAAGCATACACAAATGGATTTAACTATAAATGAGACAAAAAAAGAGAGTAACATAAACTAAAAATTGTTTCATTTATTTCACACTTACTGCTGAATTGCAATAACCAAGCCAAAATGTTATTTTAAACCATGTATTTTCAGTATTCTCAGCTGTTATTATTCCAAGATGTTTAAGTATTGAAACAACAGGTAATGTAACAAAAAATGGCAGCCAACATATCAGCAATGCACCAAGAATAAGACCAAGTGTACGAAAAGCTTTTTTCTCACGTTTAAGATTATGTAATTTACGTTTTATAATTAATAATTCGTCATTTCGAGACATTTGTCCAGTTTGACGATGATCATTTGAAATATGTTGTGAATTTGTTTGAGAATTTCGTTTAAATGTTGATGATAAACGTTTACTGATTGAACGATGTACATTAGTAAAATAATGTGAAATTGATGAACCTGAATGAGCAGTATCATCATTATGATTATTGTTCTAAATAAAAAAATGAACGCATTTATTTTAATCAAATTCATGATATAGAGTTTAGATAGTATTTTTTTATTCTATTATTTTGGAATTCATCTTTTTTTTATTCTTCTGCAATTGTTTTAATTACGAATCATTGATACAGAAAATTAAAAAAATTCTATTCAGACTTTCTCATTGATGGTAATGTGGTCTTATGTGTGTATGCGTGTAGAAAAATCAAATCATTTTTTCCTCTGGCACCCTCATGTTGAAGGAAAAAACAGACCATTTATTTTCACACTTATCTAGATATCTTTTCTCTTTCACATTGAGTACTTTTAGCTTCAGCGTTTGTTTACTAATGGTGATTATTTATAGCCCTGTTTGAAGTCTAGATCTCAGTTCATTTATGTTTTTGAAAAGAATAATTAATTATTTGTACAAAAATGTGGCTATTGTCTTTTTTTATAAAATGAAGTGACTTTTCTATTTATGCAAACAATGCCTAAGTAATCATACCATCGGATCTGAATAATCTTTTTTAAATTGCGTATCATCGTTTAGGCTTAAACCATGATCAAAATTAGATTTTTTTTCAGCAGCCGTTCCATTATTTAAAAGTGTTGTTGTTATGTCATTGCCATTCTCATTCGGTATACTAGAACGAATTGGTTTAGCTCCTAATGAATGGTGCTCATGATTTTGTTTTTCTATTGCATGTCCATTCGTTTGAATTTGTTTTCGTCGTAGTTGTTCTGACGCTATTTGATAATCGATTTGATAGAGACGACGTCTTTCATTCTCTAATTTTTCTCCTTGCTTCTTTGCTTCTTGATAGACACGTGAATAGAGTATAAGCAGAATGATGACAGGTATGTAAAATGATATCATCGATGAAAATATTGTGTAAAATGTATTTTTATTAACTTTACATGTTTCGTAACTTTCGTGTGCAATATCGAAACCATTCGATTGCTTCTCGCGATCTGTTAAACCAAATAGTGGTACAACAGATGTTAATATTGATACAGCCCAAACAACAATTACTAAATAGACTGATCGTCGTGTAGTCATTATACTACTATAATTCAATGGTCGTGTTACACCGACATATCGATCAATAGAAACGCCCATTAAAGCTATAATTGATGCCGTACAACAGACTACATCAAGTGCTAGCCATGCCGAACAGAAACTTTGTCCAAATATCCATCGATCGTTGAGTAACTCGAGAACAGATGAAAACGGTAAAACAGATAGACCTAAATATTAATTAGTTCGAACGAAGAAATAAAATGATGAATATTTAATCTTACCAAGTAAGAGATCAGCAATAGCCATATTAGCAATCAGATAAAAAGACGGCATATGAAGACGTTTGTCAAGGAACAGCGCTGAAAGTACGAGCGTATTGCCACCAACTGTAGCTAATATAAGTATTACAAAAGCAATACACGCTGCCGGTGATATATCTGTAGGTGGTAGTGGTATCTTATTAGCAGACATTGTTGTGTGTTGGATGAGAGATAGTGAATTCGTTGTTGTACTGGTCAATTCACCAATTATTCGTGTGACATTATAAGTACGAATAGATTGTGTTACGCTATTTAAAATGTTGCCGGACATCATTACATTATTGTTTTTTCAATGATCAAAAAAATAAATAAATTCATTCTATCATCAATGTTAACAGGAAATGAGATATTATCTAGAAGAAAAATAATTTTTCTTTGTTTTTATTGTGTTCATCTAGAAAATTATCTAAGAAATGACGAAAGAAAAACCCATAAAATAAGACAAAGAAAAAAGAAGAAAAAAGAAAAAAGAATACATTCATTCATTCATTCGTTTTTTTAAAAGTACAATCTACCTTACTTAGTGGTTTTTTCGGTAATACTCTTATAGACGAATACATTCGGTTTCTATTATTTTTGCATATGATCAACATACGTAAAAGTTTATCTATCATAGTTTTATTTTCTGTTTTTTTCTTTTTCTATTGTCCTCTGGCTGTCATCACAGTGATCGGTGCATAAAAATAAATAGACATTTTTTTTCTTCTCTCCAAAAGGATTATCATTTTCTCTTCTGTTCTATTTTTTTTCTTCTTCTTTTCTATTGAGCTAATTCATATCTTGGAAATTTATATAGAGTATTAGTCGAGATAAGTAGATATGGCCCACAGTAGAAATCAAATATTAGCATCTTTGATGGCAAGAACCTCTCTTAAGGGCGTGACGAATCCAAGCGAAAAGAAGCCAAAAAAACCAAATGACACTTCTCCATCGTTGTTGATGGCAATTAGTAAGCTCTACTTTTGCTGTCAACAGAAAAATTTTCTCTAATTTTTTTGCCTCGTTTTATGCTCTCTAGTCTTCATTTTATTTAGATCAATTATTCGCATGGGTAACTAATAATTAATTGAAGTTAAAATAAATATTAAAAAAGAAAAAGAAACTACCAGCATAAGTTTTCTGTTTAACACATAGTAATTGTAATTACCCTTTAGTGTTTAAAGGGATTTGCCTTGTACCTCTACCGTCAATGTGTTTTATCCTTCCCTTTTTTTTTTACTGTATTCTCAGCGCCAAAAAGCTGTCAAAAATAATACCTGATTAGAAAAGTTTTCTTTCTGAATAACGTACTTAGAACGATTCAATTATTGGCGTTTCTTTTCTTTTTCATTTTTTTTTTGAAAGGACGATGAGCTATGCAATGAAAAGATTAGAGTATACTCCAATTAATCAAAAAAGAATCCATACTATTTTAAGAATACTATTTAATCGGTTGACATAAGACGCTTAACTTAAATGCAGTTAGCTTAAAAGACCTATTCGAAGGGCAAGCAAAAAAATGGAAGTGTTTGTAGTAATAGTTGATGCAGAGAAAAAAATAAATTATATGATTGACATTAACGGCTAGTGAAAGATGGGTGAATATGAAAAAAAAAAAGAACAAACACGGTAAAAACAAAAACAAACGTCGTATGATCAGAAGAAGCGAGCAAGAAGTGGTTCGATCAATTGATGGCGATAGGCACGAACACATCTGATCGTAAAACGATAAAACCAGTTACGATGAAACTACGCCCTTTTGTAGTCTCTCCTTACCTCTTTTGATCGTAGATTTACCATTTTTGCCGGAAATCGGCTATATACTCCATAAAAAAACATAAGAATACTAGAAAGAAAAAAAATATAGCGAAACAAAAGAAAACCTCAAGTAGACGCTTTTTTTTCTCAATCGCGTCAAAGAAATATACGTCCAGTGTTACGAAAAATGATACTATATTGAAGCCTTCTACAGCCATCTGTTATTACTTTTGTATGAATCGTTATCATGTTGCTCTTCTCTCTTAATGATTAGCTTACATTTCTAGTTTTATTTGTATTTATTAGCAGAATAAAATTCAGTATTGATGCTGTTTATCAATGTGAAAACTATTATTTTCTCTTAATTCTCAAATACACAATAGAACGATAAGCTGTGCCTGATATAGAGTATAACAAAAAGAAAAGGCAATTATTTGCCTATGTAATCAAGTAAAAGCTTTGTTGAAGGAGAAAAAGACGATAAATTTCCTATTTTATCAGTTTAATTGACAAATGAGGAGTATTTCTCGTATATAAAAGCGTAATACTTATTTATGAAAGTTAATCTTCGATCATACATTTTACCTGAATTACGGTGTAAAGTTGTTGTTGGTCGTGTACTTTTCGGAACTAATTAGTTGATATCCAGCTGGTAATATGTATATGTGACCAAATATAACTGCATACATATGCTACAAGTTTCGCCTCATTGCTCACAATCGAATAGTTTGTCAGGCTAAGTACGAAACAACAAAAAAAAGACACGTAATAACTAGCGCCGATGTTTCACGTTAGTTTCATTCACTTATATGGTTTAAATGCGCATAGAATAACATACACTTTTTCTTTTCTGTTATTTAGTAGTCACATTCAGGGTTGACACGCTCGTAAGATATTTTCTAAATGATGATATCGAATCAACTAACGAATGGTAGACACTTGTAAGTCTGATTGAAATATGAAATATTTATAATGATGAACCTTATCTATTCAATGCATGTGCTGCAGTCATCGGAAATATTTTTTGTTTACAATACCTAAAATATATCTTAATCAAACTCGTTAATGAAACATAAAGAAAAAAATAAAGAACGTTATAAACCTTTGTGTTTTGTACTACAAATATCGATTCTTTTGTTTTATTGTATACTTTGATTATATATATATATATAAAACAACAAATAAGAAACAAGCTGACCTTTTTCCAATTCATTTTGATGCTACCGGAGAGAGAAAGAGATTATATGACAATGCAAATGAATTGATCAAAAAGCATCAAACAAAATAAAAAGAAAAAGAAAACGAAAAAGAAAATAATTATTTTCTTTTCTAGCTGTCATCGAAACTGTACTATTGATTGATAGACGAAGACGACGAAGAAGAACAAGAACGACTACCAAAAAGAAGAATGAAGCAATTGCTTCAATTATTTAAATGGTCAGCTTAGTAATAGACTCTTTATGAATAGAATAAACGTTTATCGAGTAGTTTTACATACATTTAATGATAGTTTTAATTTCAAATAGACGTATTAATGATCTATTAAATAGTAGTAGTATTGACTCAATACAACTATTAGCTATGTCGTTTTCAATCAATTAGTGGTGCGTGCTGTATGAGAAAACTAGCTTATTAGTATATAGGAAATAAACAGAGCATATTTTATGAATGACATCCGTAGCGATCGAAAATTGCAGAAATATAGAAAGTGATCGCATCATAATCCTATTAATGAATAGATCTTATAAGGAGAAAAGAAATTAGAATAAAAGATACGCACATATTCTTCTTCTTCCTCTTCTTCTTCTTATCGTACATGATGATAAGGCGAGAAAATGTTTCTAATGTACATAGTTTCAAAAAAAAAGAAATGTCTTTGATTGTGGAACTAAAAATAGCTGTTCGTTTGTATTCAACGTTGAATGAAAAGAGGAAGACGTGTCGAGCTTACACATGAAAAAAACTATATTTATATTATTCATGATACTTAAAATTACGACTGATTACACAAGGCTGATTGACTATACGTGCACCACTATCATCATGATTTCCTTATGGAGATGATACTAGAATAAGATGAATAAAATGAGGAGAAATCAAAAGAATTATTATATTAGTAATTCTCTAAAGTTTACTTTTTTACAAGATACAGAAAGGAAAAATTCTCGATAGGATAGAGAAAAATAAGGAATACAAAGAACCGACAAAATCAAGAAGAATAGTAGTAACGAATTATTTTGAACAAACCAAATAGCATGATCTTTGTCTGTTCTTTGTCAGTCTAATTTTGTTGTTAGTATTATAAACTTGATTTTAACTCACTAGGAATGCATTAAAACATTTTGAAAGAATGTCGTGACATTATTCAAGGATCTTAATTCTTTCAATCTCTTTGATATTTTTGAAAAGAATTCGGTGTAATTGTTCTTAGTATGCATAGGTTGCGTGATTAATTAGAGGTTTTCTTATTTGGCACATCTTGAAAAGTGAGACCTTAAAATAATCTCATTTTGTCCAATATATTAATTAAGATCGATTAAATGTGATAAATAAGAAAAATAAACTATTCAAATTCTTCGAAATATTAAAATTTACTTTTTTTTGTGATACGTCTGAATGCTTTACAATAATAGTTTGTTATAGTAGACAGACAAATAAAATATAAAATAAAGTTTGACATAAAAGTGATATCCACATGTGTTTTTTCCTCATGCTTTGTTATTCTTCTTACAGCTTTCGGTAAACATCATTACTATATTCGGTCGGAATTTCTTGTAAAAAAGAAATTTATTTTCCGTATGGTATTAATCAATATTTATTAAGATATAAGTACACAGGATTATACCACTCGAATGCTCGTGCTCGAAAGTGTAATCTTTTTGAGAACTTCATAATTAATGGCATAAAAAGTTCTGTTTCTTTCTCTCCAGTGATTTTTAAAATTTTAAGGAAAGATATCCATTTAGTGTTCATATGAATAAATTCTAAGTCTAGGGAGATATAGAATTCCATTGTCAACATGCTAGCACATGGAATGTTTAAAACAAAAAGTTTTTTTGTTTGTTTCAAACTTTCTATATATCCTATATTTAGATCGATTAGTCTGCTAGAATTCTCAGGCTTATATCTATGAATGCGGCCAATATATCGGAGATCAAGATCTTGTGCAATATGCTACACTGGCATTTCTTTCATATGTATCAAAAGTTATTTTCCAACGAGTCACCAAAATAGTTTTAATCTATGGATCTTATGTCGCAACAAATCTGATTCAATGCATAAAAGAAGTTATGATATTTCAGTTCAAGCATGATTGAACCCGAAAAAAGTTCATGCTGACTTATTGAAATAGCTCATTCGCTGGTATTTACGTTAAAACAATTAATTCTACTTGAGAAAATCATCAGAGATGATTGCTACTAAATATGAAAGTTAACAGAAGACATTCTAAGGTCAACGCCGTCTGCCGTTATTCTTATTGATTTGAAATTGTTTCGAGGTTTTTATTCTCAAGAAGTACATTATTAACTTATTTATGACTAAAAGCAGTTGCATGTTAAATCATCCTGCCATTTAAAAAAACGTTTAGATGAACCCATTTCATTATTGCCACGATGGATTAATCATAGTTGCATCATTACAATAAGGAAAAACAAGTTTAGTAGAAGACTAAAATAGTCCTACCAGTATTCAAAACTCATTAAAACAAAAGCTTAAACCAGTGCATTATAAAATTGGTGTTGAAAATTATAATTCACCAAAGCCGACTTCATTATCATCGGATAAAGAGTTTTTTTTGCGTCTACTGATCATACTTGTCAAATATAAGCTTTGAAAATATGTCAGAAGAGAAATCAAAGTAGAGTATTTACTATTCTAGTATCAAGAAATTTGACATGCCAAAACAGATGCAAATATATTTTGATCGACAATGTTTTCCAAATCTAAACTCATGTCACTTTTTTCATGTTGTTAAAATTGAAATCCTAACTATGAAAATTCAATGCTACACGTGTATGATCTAAACAGCAATGAATGATCTCTCAAAGAAAGATGGTACTTAGACAAAGTACATCTAAAATAACATTGGGATTCTCTTCAAACTTTATAAAAAAAAAATAGTGACTGTTTAACATCTATCATTAATGATCATCTCTAGTATTTCTTTCACCACGGAAAAATCAATCAAAACTTTGGCAAAGATTATAAAAAAAGACAACTTAAGTTATCCGTATCCAACCATCAATCTATGATTAAAAAATGCTTTGGCTAATTTTTGCATAGTCACAATAAGAAATGCAGTATTGGTAATTGTAGGAAGTTTTTTTTCTATCTGTTATGTCATACATTTCTTCACTCTTTTTTTATTGAACATTTCAGAAAAGTGTGTAAATCTGATAGAAAGACGTTGTTTTAATATATTATCTTTAATTTCACATTAATAATGTTTCCGATAGTCTATGTTGTAACCTTGTTAAGATTTTTATGATCTCTATTATGATTCATCGTATCTCACATGTCATCTATATGAATCCCATTTGCATTGACTTGTGACATCTTCATGGTATTTCATCTCTCTCCTTTTGTTTCTCTTGTCTTTGTACCTATACGATATATAGGCACAAATAATAATTCTGTTCTTTTCATATTACAGGTGTGAACCACTGGCTGTGTGCATGCCGTTCTGCCCTAGAAAAAAATTGATACAATAGGTTGTTACTTTCTTATCTTCAATTCTCACTGACGACACTTGTAACTTTTCTTTCGCTAGTTGCAAAATATGACAAGCAAGAGAGAAAGACGGAAAAAAGTTATAAATAGAATTGCATGTCTGGATATAAAAATATGATTGCAAACGACCGTAAGGCGAGACAATTGCACTCTTTTTTATTTTAAAAAGCATAACAAAATTATAGCTAAGAAAGAGATTCTTTTATTCCAATTATATGAGCTACTTGGTTGGAGTTTTGTCCATGTAAGTGAAATTGAAAAGCGATGATTTTCATACAAAAAACCTTTCTTTGTTCTCGAACAGTGTAAACTAGTTTTAGATGTCGATGAAGTTTTCTAATTCTACAAATAATGATGTTTTGCCAGCAGTTTGGTCAAAACTCATTGGTCTAATTCGTTATAAAAGTTCAGTTATATCTAACTGCTTCATACTCTTCACAAATCTCATTATATATTATCAATATTTACCGGTCTCTCACTTAATTGTGCTTTAAGTTTACCTTGATTACTATCAATGACAACGCTTCACCGTATTTTTATTGCATCATCTTTATTCAATAGCCATGTTAGTGTTAGACAAACACCTCAATTTTGTAGCAGATTTCATTCATTTAAAACATTATATTGACGAACAAATTCAAGTACCGGTAAAACATTTTATGAACTGTGAATATCTTCATTATAACAAAAACAAAAACAAATTTACATAACAATAAACCTTCAACAACATCATGAGACAATTTAGTGTTCGTAAAACAATATTCTTGTTACTGTTTTATCTGAATTAAATCATTTAAATACATTATTTTTGAATAGAGAAAAGGTTTACTAGTCGTGCATTACTTTCTACTCATGACAACATGGAAGATTTTGCATTATTTAATTACACTGTTCTTGTTGTAAGACAGAATGATTGGATGTGATGATAGGTTTACATTTTCACCGTACAAAAAATATCTGTTAGTGGATAATAATTCTTTCGGCAAGTGTGAGAAAGCAAAAAAGAAAGAAAGTTTATTAAACAATAGTTACAAATTCATAAGTACCAGAGGAGGCATAGATTGTGTAGTGTCGAGTTAAAAGATTCGAAGTTTTACACACCAGAAACTGGTTAGAAGTTGAAAACAGAAATTTAGCAGTCAGCTACAATCAGAAATAGAAAAATCCAGTCACATAATAACGTCCCGATACTTCTGTTTGCAAATTCCCTGATATTTTCTTGGTTTTCCGGTTCGGAAACATCCACTTCCCGGCACGCTCTTGGCGGAAATTCACAGTTGCTGACGGCGAAATTATTGGCCTTGATTTGAAAACGTTTCATCATCTTCATTTAACAATGCATTATCAGTAGTTTCTTGTTCAGAAATCAGTTTCAATAATATATCGTTTATTCTTAGACTAGAATCACGAAATTAAATCACGAGTAATATTAAAATAGATTTGTTTTATGCAAAAGTTTCTATATCAATATTTTCAGTAATTGCATAGCACATAGCGGAACAAAAAATGTTGGTAATACGAATCTAGAGAGTAATCAGCCAGACGAGCAAAACAACTGTGAATTCTTTTTTTGCCATCACGATTGAACAATTCTCATGATATCATGACTAATTTGTGAATTTACCATAAGTTCGAATAAAACATCCAATTTTGATCTTATGCACTAGAATGAATTCAATGTAAATAGTGACATGATAGTGAAGGATCAAAACCGCTAAAAGAAAGATAGACGATTCCTTGATTACATATCCATCCGTATCTTTATTGTCCATTTGAGTGACATAATAGTTAAAATCATTTTCATATATTTGTTTGACGTTATTCAACGTCATTTTAATAATAGAGTTTTCAGGATGTGTCTTTGCATATCAGATTCAAAAGTATCTTGTCGAGCGTTTCAGGAATGTGACGACAATTATGAACAAAAAGAAGCTTTCAAAAATTTGCTTTGCAGCTGCACGTAAACAAATCATTTTCACATGATTTGATTGAGAGTAAACGCATTTACTTGGCTGCATAGTTTTCTTTTTTCTTAGCTTCGCAAAGTTTGAGATTCGTTGCTGTTCTTCCCAATTTTTCACCACAACTATCTATCATAGGGCCCTCAAATAATGAGTAAAGATTATTTATTTTTACTTTAAAGTAGTTGTTAATTTTCATCTCAAACTTTTTCACATGGCACATCATGAATCTATAAGTAAATCAACAAATGTTCTCGTTAATATTTACAATTTTGCCATTCATCATAATTTACTTTAATCGCTTGGCTACTTTCTACGACCGTTGCTAAATGAAATGAATATCATTAAGATCGAACCATTTCTAATGTGTAAAAATGCATGATAATGCAGATTATCGACGAAAAAAGGTTTATTTACTATTAAATTGTAAGAATGTTTACCTTTATCAATTGATAGCGTTGACAATTTTGTGTATTGATGAATATTTATAAAATAGAACTGGTGACCTATTGTAAAAATAATTAGGCGTAAATGTGGTCATCAAAGTGTGTCACTAGTGTGAGATATTCTGCTCAGTTTTATCACGTCGAAATTTGGGATGTCATCAAGCAATCTATAGTAGACTGTGCGAGAAACCAAAAGATTAAGTAGAATCAATGTTGTTAACGTTATAATTAGACATGGGCAAAGTCAACTTTTTTTGGAATCGGAATCGTACTGGAATCGGCTTTAATATATTTTAGAATCGTACCGGAATCGGCTGCATGCTTTTTGGAATCGTATTGGAATCGACAAGTTTAATTTTTTAAGAATCGCCCATGTCTAGTTATAATCCATGCTAAAAAAATTTTATGGTACTAGCTTAGTTCGTTATCAACATATTAAAATGAAAAGACAGAAGGAATGCATTGGATCATTGCTATTAAATCATTTTCAGATCTGAGATTTCATTTTGAAATAATTATTATTTAGAGAAAACTATGCGATGAAATTTCTGTAGACGTTCATCTTCATCAATCATATATTTAAGAGTTTGTCTAGTTTTTGAAATGATGCTTGATTAGAATAACTATGTCTGTTAGAACAATACAACGAAATTCTTTCAAGATAAAATACAATATGAATCTATATAAAAATTGTTAATGTCATCATTTTTACGGGTCAACTCCTGAAGCTGGTACCACCACTTGATTGACCTAGATTCTCGGTGGTCGCCAGCACTTTAGGTGTACTTCAAATAAAACATGCATCCGTTGTTTGCGAATTCGTTCAGATGAAGAAATATAAACACAAAAAGGACACTAAAAGAAAACGAAAAATGAAACAACAAAGTTAGTCTATTAAAAAATTTAAAACAGTAAATCTCAACTTACTGCAAAGCTTAACAAATAGAAAAGCATGGTCATAACATTTGCAAACTTGGCCTTTGCAAAAATAACTGGATCTTGTGTATTGGCTAGAAAATGCTTTCCAAATTGTGAAAGTAGCATACGGTGAAGTAAAAATACAATTATAAAAAAGTTGATTAAGAGCCATCTTTGTTATTTGTTTGTCTGAATAACGTTGCACAAGCGATATTGTTCTATGTTTTAAATTTTAACATTATTATGAGGCAAGGTTCCGAAAAAAAACAGAAACAAAAATAGGTAAAATGCATGTCAAATTGATAATACAGTCATAGGTATGATATTGACGAAAGGCTACACTATTACTGGCACAGCTAGTCTCATCCATGCCTGGAGATGGTGCTAAATCAAAATATATTAGATAGAGAATTCCATGCAGAAGCCAACCGATAATAAATAGTATTGTTAAATGATGAGCTGTTTTAATATTACTCCATTGACGCCATTGAATTCGAGCACACGTAGGCAAATATTGATCAATGGGTAACAAACATATGCGTGTCAAAGAAGTCAGCATGAAAAATTGCATTGTATATGATTTTATTTTACAGATTAAAAGTGAAATCGCTGTTAAATCATGATGAAACCCACTGATAATAATCCGAGAAAGTAAACCTGAAATCATATTGCCAATGTTAGCAAATGACATGTCACATAAATAAAATGCACTAGCGTATTCTCGGAAAGTTTTCAAACTGAGAAATACAATAATATTTAACAAATTGCCAATGATACCGGCAATAAATATGGTTAAACCTGTAAATATAGTAATATTTTTTTGAAATATTAGCCAATGTTACAATGATTGGTGTCGACATGTTAAATCTATTTTGTTATATCTGTACTATTGACAATGTGGATGTATCAATTGAGTTTTTGAGCTCAATCGAAGATGACTGAACAAAATAAAATGACTCTATAGTGAAAAAGTAGATCAATATTTGAGTATAGGAAAAATTGTTTTTCAAGACACTACTTCTATCAAACTAAATAGATATATTCATTTATACTAACAATTCATCATTCTTTGTTCAAAGAATATGATATTTAAAAAACAGAAAAGAAAACGGCCATTAGATAGTAAGAATCATCAAGAGCACCTATTACTATAGAGGGTATCATCTTCTACTTAGCAGTGAACATATTCTTCATACGCAAAAAAAAAGAAAACAATTCAGCTTTTCTCATCGCCCTACTTAACGATCTCTAATGTGTACACGTTGCATTAGAACTTATCGTTACTAATCTATTGTCTGTCATAAAAAAAAAACTAATCACACAACGTTTTATCCATGAGAATGATTTGATAACATAACATTTTCATAAGGAAATAGCCAAATCATGAAGTTTCCAATGCTGTTCATTCAAAAAAGGAAATATTCGTCATAACCTTTCATTAGAGTCAAACGAATCTTTTTAATTGATACCTTGTTTTGCCTTAATTGTCTGCATCAAGAATGTGACTTTTGTAGCCGAAGCAGAAAGCCTATGCTAGACGGAGTATCACAAGGTTCTCTAAGGAGCTGCATTGCAACTAGTGAGTTTCACATTTACAAAATCATGTCGAGATCCAGAGCATCATTGAGTTGTCTTGTTTTTAAATAGAAGTTTCTTACTACTCATTATATGAGAAAAGACTTGTATTATAAATGCAATATATTGGTCGAATATTCGTAGATGTTCAGATTTCTATATGCATCCTACTCACTTGAAACGTCGAAATAAAAAAAAAGAGTAATCCATCGAGTCGTTGCTTGTGAGCCCAGTTACCAAATGTGCTATATTTTTTTCTTGCTAACTAGTAGATGACGTTCCGGAGACATCATAGAATAGTGCTAAAAAAATGAAGTAATTGAAGAACGAATGTTGGGTTTCTGTGTAATGATATCGCCTAGCTGTACAAGTTAGAGTCTATATGGATTTTATTGAGCTTATTTTTATTATTACACTATAATAGAATAAATATTGCTAAGGTCAAAGAAACATCTTTTCATTTCTATTAGAATATTATCCAACATGTTGAACGTTCTTTGTTTTTAAATAGTATAATAATCTACACGTATAACATAGCAAATGTCTGATTATCAAGGATAACTACTGCATAATACGTTCATGGCCGTTCAACAAAATACTAGGAAACTTTTAAGATATTATCATTATAGTTGAATAATAATGCATGATTTTCAACTATTGAAAGGCTTTGTAATTATTTCCAGTTATCTTATAGAAAATTTGAACAGTTTTGATTAACAGCACTTACGCCATCATTAATAAATTAGTCTAATCATGCAAGATATTAAGTAATCAGGGTAAAAAAATAGCTCTTTTCGCACGAATCACCAAACTTTTACTCTTCGCCTTACCCATAAACACAATGAAAGAACTTGCACTTCAGTGTCCTTGTTTCACATGCCATGCTAATAATTACAAATCGCACAAGATTTTCAACAAAAATGTGAAATGATCACGTCACTTGTAGAATAATTTTCATTTCAAATATAACTATTAACGTTGCTAACACCGCCATCAGATCCTTTAAACATGGATTCAGTGATAGTTATGTTTTTCTGTATTTATTTTATTTAAAAAAAGTACAAAAAATCGTAGTATTTATGATTGTGAGATATTTTCATTTTCAAAACTTGCTGATGCATTGAGATTTTTTCTATCATCGGGTAGTTCTGTAATATTTGGTCTAGAAAATTCATCGAAAAATATACTTATGTGGAAAAAATAATAGCATACTCGTATAGAATTTGTCCTAAAGCTTTAAGTTTGAAATATTTTATTGGTTCCATTTGTTCATGAGTAATTTGTTTTCCAGCTCGACCCTCTATGAGAAAAAATATCAATCATAGAACCTAATGAGTTAACTTTCTTTCTCTTACCACGATCAATACCATCACTTTTTCTTCGTAAATTATATTCTTTTAGAATTCTTTCATTCAAAGGTTCTTTTTGTTCTTCAATTAATTGTGTAAAATAGATAAATGCAGCTATATCTAGATTATTTTAAAATGATTGAAAAATTGTTTTTTTTTTAAACTGGAAGGAAGAGTATCTCCTTACGAGCTAATTTTGTCATTAAAACGAAACCTTGTAGATTATCCCAATGTGAATGACGTTCGGCTCGTTTAAAAAATCTTGAGACAATACGTTCATCAGCTGTATACGCTATATTTTCGATAGCAGTATGAAATTCTAATTCATTCATCATATCGAAATTTTGTGTCAATTGAACGGAAAGTTTATATTGCATCTATAAAAATATAAAATATAAATGCAGTTTTTCATAAGTTTTAAATTTTCGATGGCAGAATTTTTTTATCGCTAGAACTAGATTGACCTTAAACTAAATTTGTTCATACAAAAAAAAAATGTCAAAGGTTTTACCTCAGAGGGTTTTGAGCACCAAGAGTTGAAAAAATTTTTATTGTTCTAATGGAGATTTTACTACAATAACAGCAAGGCATAACTAGTCTACTTAAAAACTATTGTGAGTCGAATCAAAGAGCCAAATAAATAATTGAAAATGAAAATACCTACGGTACTGTCTTGATCTAACGAATTTCTTAGGTGAACGAAGAAAACAAATATTCAATTGCGAACTGTTGATGAATTATGAAGTGCTCGAGTTTTATTTCGAGATCATTACACGACAATCGCATTTTTATCATCTATTCAAGATCGACGAGAAACAGTATTGAACGAAACCGTTTTCTATTGTTTTCTTTCAATTTTATATAGTTTAGAAAATCATGATGAGTATTCAAATTCTGTTGAAAATTATTCCCCTATTTTGACTGTGAGAAAACTTTGTGAAACATCGTGTTGGAAATTATATTTACTTCTTGAATCAATGGTTCTTTTCCTTTGAGTAATAATGTTATAATAAATTCGATAACAAGATGACGACTAATTTTATTTTCTGTATATGATATAAAATCAATAACAACTGTATCCAATCCTTCTTCCTAATTTAAATTAAATTAGTTTTATAAGAGAACAATAAATGAATACAAATTCCAAAAAGCTTACGTCAAGAAATGGATAAATAGAATTGAAAAATACTCTTATATCATCAGTTTCATTCCATTCTATTTTATCAAGAATATCACCGAGTAGAGTTACATAATAAATACCAGCTAAATCAATATTGCCAATCAAAATATGTGAAAATAGTTCAAGTATCTGCATGCGAGAAGAGAGCAATATTAAATATTCTTTTTTTTTAATACGAAAATAAAACCTTAAATTCATTTTTATATGCGACTAATGAAGTAAAAAGATCGTGTACAGCATTAAAAGTAATATCATCAATTGTTGAATATCGTTTATTGAAAAATTCATAAATATCATCCTAAACAATTTTAAATCTAATGCAAATGGACAATACGTTATTTCACTTACCACAATATTTCCTGTTACAGTCAACAGACGACTATCACAATAACATTCATAAGCTATTATTTCGGTCATTAAAGTTAAAAGTCGTTCCTATTTATAGAAATTAGATTCAAAATGAGCTTATTTTTAAAACCTACTATGGAAAATGGTCTTGGTACAGGACGTTCTATATTAGTACGTTTTTTATAATCAGCCCAAACTCGATCAAATGAATGGATCTTTAATGAAAACGAATGCAAAATCTATTCCTAATTAAAAACGAAATCAACATACGAGAGGTCCAGCGTCTAATTGAGAATCTGAACTAACTGTACGTCGTTGACTTTGTTGATCAGTATTAAAATATCCTGGATAATTAGTTCGCATGATGCTTGCAGTATTTTGTTGATATATAGGTGGAAGCATTTGGTCAAATAACGTTTGATTATCGATCATTACACTTCTATAAAACAAAAACAAAAACATATCTTGAAGCAAATGAACGCTGGCTACAACTATTATAGGCTGTAGGGTCAAGTAGAAGATCATCGTCTATACTGACTAGCCATAGAGGCAAGTATCTGCCACGAGATAATTATCATGCTATCATATCGAATCATTCTATGACTGGTAATATTTTTGAAAGATATGAAAATTTTACATAAGATTTTGAGATTAAATAGACAATCACAGAAATCTTTGGAATTTTGCTGCAGTCATATCTCTATCGAATAGTAAGAGTTCGTAGGATCCTAAAATAGTTTCTGATCTAGAGACCCATGTAAAAAAATATCGAAAAAAAGCAGCTTTAGTGAGATCAAAATCGATTTTAATCATACGATTTTAATCAATAATTTTAGCTGTAATAATCATAGCAAAATCAGTATTTAATCGATTATTTCCATTTTTATGATGATAATTGGTTAAGAATATTTTAAAAAATTGATTATAATCATGATAAATGGAAATAATCGATTAAATACTGATTTTTCTCTGATTATTAACAGCTAAAATTATTGATTAAAATCGTATGATTATAATCGATTCTTGAAATCAAGTTTTTAACATGGGAATTTTGTAGTTAGTCGTGTACTTCTTAATCTTAAAATCTTTCTATTTCTTGAGATCTGAGCACAATGACAGTCTTACAACTTAGCAGAAATAGATAATCCTGTAAGTGTTCATCGACGTAGAAAGAAACTCAACGTGTATTTGTATACAATACTCATTGTCAAAAGCGTTAATCAGATTGAATCTTACGATGTTAGAATAGAGTTTGTCAAAAAAAAAAAGAACTTCTTTCTCGAGATTTCTTTACCGAACAAGTGTATCATTGTATTTCAGAATTGGACGAGAAATTCGAATATATTTTGTACCGTCTGGTACTCGAGCAATAATTTGAGCTTCAGCAAATTTGTGAGGACACAAATAAGTCTAGAATAAAATAATGGATAACTGAATTTGGAAGCAAAACACAATTTAAAACAAATACTTTATCAGCACAGCTATCACAAAAAGAAGATAATTCAAAATCTGCCCATGCTCGCCCATTGTTTGATGATTCAAGCATATAAGAAAAACGTGAAATAATACGTTCTTGTGGTGCATATCCAATCATATCAGTTTTGCGGCCAGCCGATTCAAATGCATGTTCAAGACCATGTAAAGGATTAGATATTTTCCCTAGAATTTCGAATAACAGAATCTTGTCATGTGAATTTCCTTCTGATCAAACCTGTCTTTTGAGCCGCTTCGTTTGCTGTAAATACTGCTGTTACTTTACGATTCCTAAAGTATTCATAAATTTGATCAGGAAAGAAAGTTTCATCAAATTTACTTAAGTTCTTCATTTTCTTTGATAACAATCATTTCTAATTTTTCTTCTAAACTACGTCTATGACGTTGTGTTATATCAATTTCTTCTCGAATTTCTTTTATGGTTTGTGCGTATCGTAGTTTTTCAGCTGCAATCTAAATTAATTAAAGAAAGAAAGAAAGTCTCTTTGTCTATTTTCAAAATTTCTCTTACATTATCCCAAATAAAATGACATTCAGATGGAAATTGTTGAGTTTGAAGTAATTTCGTATGTTCATCATCTAATATTTGATCATATTCTAATATGAAAACAAGAATAATTCTAGTTCTAAAATCAGGAAAAAAAAATGATTTCTAACCTTCTGTTGTCATATTGAGTAATGTTGACAATTGATCTTCTAATCGAAGAGCTACTTGAATATCGAGCATTATTTGATTCTAAGAAAAATTTTATTTCAATTTTTTTTTTGTTTTTCAAATTTAAAGAAATACTTTAACATCAACGTATGCATCATTGTCGTTGTCATCTTGCGCCGCTCGTCTTTTTGCCGACGGTGCTCGAGTTGAATTATCGGTAAAAGCTGACAAAAATCAATGAATATTATTAATACAAATATGACATTATTATAAAATAGTACTAGATAGAAAATGATTTACTCTCTTAGCTCATTATCTTCGAATTCTAATCAATGATTTAAATATGTTTAATCAACGTCCGAGTGAATTACATATTTTCTTTCAAAACTACTTCTATTTAAAGATGATAGCTTAGCTAAATCTCAAAAATTTGCAGTATCTATACTCAAAGATAACTATTTTCTTACCTTCTTGCATTTCATCATAACCTTGTTTATATTTTGATAAATCATCTATCAATGCTTCAGTAGCTGCTTGATTTTCCTATAGTAGAAACAAATCGATATTAAATATCTGTTTTCTTGAAACGTATCAAAATCAACTGACTATTATTTCTTTGACTTGCAAGCGTGTTTTGTTAATTTCTTGATCACTATTATAACGAATTCTGTCACATTCTTCTTTTAACCTAAATTATTCAAAAATCAAATCAAATAGATCTCTTTGACTTGTTCTGTTTCTTAAATACTTTTGTATTTCATTATCTTTTTCATTCAATGTCCTTTTCAAGCTTGCTAACTCATCTATTAGTTTTTGTTTAGCATTTTCTATTTGTTCAACTTTTTCAAATGCTTGATTTAAATCACGATTTTTTCCAGCCAAACTATATTGAAATAAATAAAGTAAGCTATTTTGATAGTTTTTTTCTATTGAATATTACTTTGTTTCCATATCAGCTATTTTATTTTCGAACATATTCGATTGTTCATGATGTTGATCAATTAGTCGATGGCAAAGAACTTTAAAAGCTAATCGTTCAACACAAGCAATCCGTTTACGTTTTTTTGGAGTCTTATTATGAATTTTTTCCACAGTAAATTGACCACTGTAGATAAAATCTATTATGAAAATAAATCAAGTTGAATAAATAGACAAAAAAATCCGATTTTGTTGTTTAAATTTTCATACCGAAAAATTCATTACGAAGTTTGGCTGTAATCGGAGAGAAAACACCTAATTGTGGAATGATTTGATCGAAAGCATTGAATACAAGCACCATACGTTCATCCTCACGTCCATTTTGGTCAATCTCTTTCATTGAGATATCAAGTGCAAGTGCTGCAAGCAAGAAAGAAAAGGACAATTTTTGTTTTCGCCAATAAGAAAAAATGATGAATATAGACGAGATAAAATCCATGTTAAATAAATATTCGTATAAACTGATCGTTTTTTTGTACAGAAAAAAAACTTTTAACAAGCTTCAACGCCTTGAACATACTTGGTGATAATTGATCCATTACATCTGATGTTGAATTTGTTGTCGTCATTTTTTTTTGCGAATGAATAGTATTATTTCAATAGATCTTTGAAAATATTTCTTCTCTTTCTCTACTGATTGCAGAACAGAGAAGAAACGATCAATCATAACCGCCATTTTCAATATCGATACTATGGATCTACCTCTACGATAGTAATCATAAGATTTCTGAATAATGTTAACGAGACGAATAAAATTTATTGTAAAGATGAATTGAATTTTTTTTTAATTTATCATCAATATTTTCCTTTTTATACTTTTCATTTCAATCTATTGATCGATAAATGATTCAGGGGTGGGAGTGGCCATGATCATATATTTTTTTTTTTCTCTCTCAATGTTTTTTTTCTTATTATTTATTTTTATGATGAGCTACTAGAAATCTAGGTTGAATATATCTTTTAGATAGAAATGTCAGCTCATATTGCTCGTCGTTTAGTTATTTTGGGTGCACCTGGTTCAGGCAAGGGTACAATTGCTAGTCGAATTGTAAAAACCTATGGTATGCCTCATATTGTTGTTGGTGATTTACTTCGTCAACATATTCAACGCAAATCTGGTACATTTGTTTTGCTTATATATGTTCAATTATTGATATTTTATTCTATTTAAAGAGGAAAGTAAAATAATCAAAGAACATATCGATAAAGGTCTCCTTTTACCAGATGAACTTGTATTGAAATTTGTTGTTGGCGAACTTCAAAAAATTCGTGACAAAGGATTTTTACTCGATGGTAATATTCACTAAATCAATTAAAAATAAATAATAATACACGGTTTTGTTTCGTTTCCATTTTAAAGGTTATCCACGAACATTAAATCAAGCCCAATCATTACATAAAGAATTGAGTGTTGATCATGTTGTTGCACTCAATGTGCCATTCGATGAAATTATTAATCGCTTAAAAGATAGATGGGTTCATGCACCAAGTGGACGTGTTTATAATCTCTTATGGAATCCACCTAAAGTTGCTGTAAATTTAATTTAACAAAAAAATTGACTTTCCCATGAAATACATTGTTTGTTTTAGGGCAAAGATGATAACACAGGTGAACCATTAACACAACGTGAAGATGACAAGCCTGCTGTTATTCGTAGTCGTTTAGAAACCTATGATAAAAATACAAATCCAATTACAGCTTTCTACAAGTAAATTTTACAAGAAAAGAATTTGTCTCACAAGAATTTGTTTTTTTGTTTTTCTATAGAAAAATGCATGTTCTTCAAGAATTTCATGGACGTGAGAGTGATAAAATATGGCCGGAAGTTAAAAAATATCTTGATCGCGTTCTTAATGAACCAATAACACGCAAACAAGGTGCCTAAACCAGAATTATACAACGTCGTATCCAATAAAGTTCCTTGACGATTTTTCTCTCGTGTGAATTCGAGGATCCCATTACTATCTTTGCATAGTCTTAGTGTTTATTTTTGAATGTGAATCGTGTTTTTGGTCTTCTTTTGTCCTTTTATAAAAATATATCCTCGTCATGGTTCTTCTAACTAGGAAAGCAATTTAGTATGTATAAATAAAACGAACAAGAAAAACATGATGATTACAGAATGTATCATCATGTAAAAGCGAAACATCAAATTTTCATCTTTTCTATGTATTATTATTATTATCATCATCAATGCCATTTATTCATGCATAGAAGCTTATTTTTTTTCTTGTCTATGACATTCTTTCTTCGATACCCTATAACAGAGAGAGAGAGAGAGAGAGAGAGAATGAAAGATAGCATATTTTTGATTAAAAGAAAAATATCTTTGCTACTACATAACTACACGTCAACATGCTCACTTTTGCATTATTCAAACCCAGAAAAGTTTATTAGTGAAAAATATTCACAAATACAGACACACACATTTTCAAATGGACGGTCAAGATTCTCACCTTCTTGCAACAACAACATTAAGTATGACATCAATGGAAGCACGCGAGCGATTACACGCAATAATGACAAGTGATATGGCTGAGGTAATTGAGCAAATTGGTCAAACATTAGAAGCGTGTAATCTGAAAAGGGCTCGACTTCTTCAACGACTTGATGAAGTTTCGAGAGCAGTCGAAGCTGTTCGAAATGAATGTGGATGTATTGATACAACTATTGCGTTAGTTAATAATTTATAGATTTGAAGATTTTACCATAGAACTTTCTTATTACAGGAGTAAGGTACTCAATTTAAATAAAATAGCTACACAAATTGTTCAACAAATGGCTCTTGTAAACATTCCTGATCCACCACCACCAGTTGAACCATTGCCTCCACCCATTGTTGAAATTGATCTGACTGCTGTTCATACTCGTTTGACTGGTCTCGATCATATGGTTTCTGATTTAACTAAACTTATTCTTGAAAAAGAAGAAACTGTTCTTTATGTTATTAATAAACGGCCAGGCACTGGAGAAATTACAACAAGTGTCCATTCACCTATGCGATCAGGAGGTTAATTCATTTCCGTCTTATTCCAGCACATAGATTTGATCATGTTATATTATGTATTTTTAGATGTACGGCACAAAAACGAAGAGCATGTTCAAGATCAAATGACAACGCTTCAAACCATAGTACGAAGTATTCAAAGTGAAGATCAGAATAACGCAAAAGAAATTCAACGGCATAGATTTCATCTTCACCATCGTCAAGCAAGACAATTGCCGCATATACTTCCACCATTTGATGATGAAGAAGAAAGTAGTCATATCAATGGACAACAAAATGGCCATCACATCCATCATCATGTTGATGAAGATGATGAAACATCACGTGGTTCCGATCAAACAACTGTAGGACCATGTACATTGTGTCTGCAAGAAAGGACAGAAGAAACTACTAAACGATCGAATGATCGTCGTTCAGTTACTAGTAGTAATTATACCGATCGATCTTCTAGTTTACCTGCTACGTCTGCTGATGGTGCTGTAAGTAGCAATCGTGGTTTAGGTGAAGCATTAGCTTCAAATGGTAAAGAAATAATTTATTATGATTATGAACGAGAAATGATCTGTATGGCAGATGTCGAAGGATATTCAATCAAATTTCAACATGGCTTAATTGTTGATTTATGCTGGTGGCCATTAAATAGTCAATGGTTAATATTAAGTGAACAAGGTTTATATCGATGGAAAGCAGGTGAAAATGAATATTATGATGCCTACGAATTTTCCAATGGTGAAATTGGCTTTCGACGTATTGCTGTAACGAGTACAAGTGTATTTTGTTTATTTCGATATAGTCTTATGTTACTTGAATTATCGAATGCTATGCAAATGAAACGTCTTCATGCGCTTGCACCACCGGAGACACGATATCGAAAATTAGCGGATATATCTGTTAGAAAAATTTTACAAGAAGATGGCAGCGAAGAAGATGTACTAGGTATGAAGATAATAGTAGTGTAAAATTGTGCATCTCTTTCATATGCTCTGTTTTAATAGGTTTAATTTGGTTTGGTAGTGGACCAGGCATTTTGCTCGAAGAACGACACGTGTCACTTCAAGCAAATAATATGCATGAACGTTTATTTCGTCATGTACCTATTCAGCATGGTCGTTACGCACGTTTATCTTCGTATGAAGATGGTCGAGCATGGTTAATAAGTAACACTGGTGCCGATGTTTTCTGGATTGTTGACAATATGCATGTGCCTGTTGGTCAACGGGAAGCATCAGCAACATGGGTTAAAGTTAGCAGTGGTACACCGATTAGATATTATTTACAAATGACATCAACATTTTTTCATTCGACTATACGATAGATGAGAGAAAAAATACAGAATTCGTACTAAAATCATCTTCTCGTGTGTTTATCTTGAAAACGGTTCGAGGAAAGGAAACATATTGAACGAGTTAACAAGAAGTAAAATTTAGCAGAATAAAATTTCTGATCAAATTGAACTTTTCAAATTCTCAGTATTCACAAACAAGAATATATATATAGTCATAAGAAATGTAAACGTTGTAAATCTTTGGAATGAATTCTAAATATTGATTTTGTATTTAAACACATAAATCTATTGATAATCAAATGTCATATTTGTCAAATATTATGATTCTTTATTTAGCAGTTGAAATTCAAGGAAGACTTGTAAATAGCCTAGAAATTTGATTTAATTTAATAGCAGATGTTTTATAACAAATGTAGTTGAAAATTTTTTTCAAGCGTTCGAAATTACGTAACACCCAGCATCTGGTCTACTATGAAGTGGCAATCAAAAGGCTCAATGTAGAGAAATTCGATATCCATTAGATGCTGAAATGAGACTATCGAATTAGTCGATTAGATATTAACGTTTGATGGACGTGTTATAATAAGAAAAGACGATTAACAACGATATGCTATGATTTCATAGCGATAATTCGATTTAAAACGAATCATCTTAACATTCTCATATAAAAAGTTCTATCAAACAATATTTGAATAACTATTTAATGCTGTAGGTTTTACAGATTCAACTGTTTGTATTCGTCTTCAAGATGGAAAATTAGAATTTCTCCAGTCTGAACACTAGACGGAAGCACATCTTTTTTTTCTTCGTTGTTTGTTTTTCTCCGTCATATTATCTTTTTTTCTTGGTCTCTTCTTTTCTTTTTTTCTCATACAAAATTTCAATGAGGTCACCATACATAGTTAAATTCATTTCCTAGCTTATATTTTCTCTTCTCTTTTTTTTTCTTTTGGCAAATAAATTGGAGTGTTCGCTGTTTCGTGTGTTATGCGGACGAATACACGGATAACACGACGAAAAAGGAAGAAGAAAATTTCGTGAACGCAATTTCGGGAATAGTACGGATGAGAACAGAAGAAAAAAAGGAAAACATTCTTCGTTCCCGTTGGTTAATTCAAACACAATGCTCGTCCGTCATAATCGAACACAATGACCGCTGACGTACACTTCGATATATTCATATTAATGAACGAAAAGCTTTATCTAGAGTGAACAATAAGTTGTTCAAAAATTGTTTTTTTTTGACATATTTCCCCCCAATAAACATGGATTTATCGTCTTCACGTATCTTAACCGCGTCATCGATTGCAAATACCTCATCAGGTGCTATTATAATTCCGGCTGTTAAAGGTGCTTCATCATTGAATAAAAATTCTTTGAATCCAATGCGTATTGGTGATGCAGCTCTACAAAAAATGCGTACAATAACAACCACAGCACCTACAACATCTTCAAATGACACTTCGGATCAGCAACCAGCTGTATTTATCATGAATAATACTAAAACTGAACCTCAACAACCGCGAACAATAACTGTTAACCGTCTTTTATTTTCAAATAATGCTAATAATCAGAATATTTCCACGCCAACAACAATTATCAATGGACAAAATGGTATTAGTTTAGCAACACTTGTTAATAATTTACATACATTAAGTCAAATGTCACTATTACAATCAACAAATAATACAACAATACCAACAGCAACACATAATAGTATAGCTAAACTTCTTGAAACACCAATGTTATCAACATCAAATGTTGTTCAAACGCCACAAGCAACAATGGTATCAGCCATGAATAAATCGAGTAACTATATTAAATCATGTCATCAAAACAAATTAGTTTTCTTATCTCTTCTAGTTTCTTCATCGGCCAATAAAGAAAATGAAAATACTCCAGTAACATCAACACGTATATCAAATGTTCGTACAACAACATCGAGTTTACCAACATCCATTCAATCTCCTCCAACAACTCAAAATGATGCATTTTTTGCTAAAACAAAAGTTCTAGTTGAACTTCTAACATCACCAAGTACACAACCACCATCAACTTTCGGTTCATCAATGATCGAACCTGAAACACAAACACCGTATTCGGATGCAACACGAACACGTTCAAAAAAACGCATCAATCGTGTTAAAAGGCCAATGAATGCGTTTATGGTTTTTTCACAATTGGAACGTCGGAAAATTGTTCAATTAGCACCTGACATGCACAATGCTGAAATATCAAAATATTTAGGTGCACGATGGAAACGCCTATCGGAAATTGAACGACGTCCATTTATTGATGAAGCTGAAAGATTGAAAATGCTTCATTTACGTGAATATCCAGATTACAAGTATAAACCACGTAAACGTGCTAAAAAAGGTTCATCACCACAAAGAAATTCAACAAATCCACATGCATCATCATCAATGGATACAACAGATACATCATCGGATGATTGTACATCGAAAAACTCGATTCTACCGGGATTAAATCGTTTAGATGAAAATCTTTCAACATCAATGGAAAATGATTTCGATGAAAATTCCTCATCGACATTACTTACAAACACGCTTGCTTCATTGATTGATCCGAAATTAGGTTTATTTTCATCGAACAATAATTTTGATGATCCATCACTATTTAATTCATCACAAACAACAAACGGAACATCATCATCATCATCACAGCCCATTGATCCACTTTTACTTGATGCACTTGCATCGGCTGATCCTCAAACACAAGAAGCATTTTTTAATCAATTGCAAATGCTTGGCGATTTTAAATTATGGGCTGATCTTGATTTATCAAATAGCGATCCAACTTTATAAACTTGTTCAAATATAAATAAAACAAATCTAACTTTGTACATAATTTTCTTTCATATTTTGTTAAAAATTCAAATAATATTGGACTTAGGATCGATGGATTGTTTTTTTTTCACTCTAGAGTATTTTTTTTGTTTCCTATTTCATTTTGACGATAATCAATCAAATAATTCCACGTATTTTTTTGTGTTTGCTTGTTTGTTTCACTCAGGTTGATGAATTTGACTACAATAAAAATAACTGATCTTTTGTTTAAAATTTTTGTTTTATTCTTAAACGATCATAATCATTAACCTAATACAGATTACAAAAAGAAAAACGAAGTTCTATTCGTAAAGTACAGCAATTCTGACATTTGAATATTAATACTGAGAAAAGAACAATTGTATATAAAAGAAAAAGAAAAAACAACAATATACAAAGATTCGAATTGTAATGGCATTCATTAGGTTAAAAATGAATTTAGATCGTGACCATGTGCCATATTATTTGTTGGATAGGAGTAAGACATCTGAATAGAAAATAAAATTTGCTATGAAAACATGTAAGAAGAATATAATTTAATTATGTTTCACAAATAGAGATAGCACAAAAAATTAAATCATACATAGATTAGATAAGATGAGGTGTGAGGATAAGATTATTTTTCTAATTCCGGAAATACATCGATTTCTTATATTGAAGTCAATTCAGAAGCAATACTTCGTACGTCTACGAGAGTTTATTTTGCGATATCTCCAGAAACGACGTTGCTTCGGGAGAATTCTAGATAATAATTTCTTGTAGTTTTTGTTAAACTTTGTTTTTTTTTAAGAATATTTACATATTAGTCAACTTTTCTAGAAGAACATGAACGACGACTAAAACAAGCTAAGTATAATGAAGTCTCATAAAATAATGCTTTGAAAAAAATTCGTTTGACATGATAGTGAAGCCTATTTAATAGTTTTCTGGCTCGGCTACTAGGTATGTAGTCCCCCTCGGATCCAATGCAATTTAGAGAAAATAGTTTTCTATCATATTGTGTTACATCTTAATCGTTCTCTATTCGATTTTTAAACGTACTTGATATGTTTGTTGCTTATTTACAGTAAAATCGAGTGGTATTGAATTATTTTCCATTTCTAGAAAAAGTAAAATTATTGAAATTATACAAAAAATTTCATAAAATCTTACTTCCACTGGAGTTTTTATGAAGCAAAGCTGACAAAGCCGATGTGTTTAAAGGATTAAAAAATGACGGATACTACGAAAAATAAATAAAAAATGGTTTGAGTATGGTTATGCGTTATTTTGATTTACCTTCGAACGTACATTACTAACAAAATTCGATTGAAAACTTTCGAATGATTTAGAGTCAAATTGATTTGAATAATTAAACTCAGATAATGTTTGTTGATTATTTTTTATTTTTTTACTGCGTCGTGTTTCTTGATCATTCAATGTGTGATGAGACACAACAATAGTATCATTATAGTGAAATATTGGTTCTGTTGGATTTTTATGTAGAAGTATTGCGCGTATTAATTGAGTTGCTGCTTTAGGGTTTAACTTGTGAAAATATGTTAAATGATGAAATAGAAATATATCCTGATCAGCACGATCACAGGGAATATTTGGAACGCGATGTTGATCGCCCAAACCTAGAAAACACATTTGATAAATTACTAAACAACTCCAGGATAAGGATATCGCGGAGTCATTTCTCCATGGAATCTTTGCATAAAAAAATAGAGCAGAAACAGTAAGAGGTCTTGCAAAGAACTGATAGTATTCTAAAAGTATAGGAGAATAATATGGCCTAATTAACGATGTTGTTTACTGGTTTCTAAGCATTGTACGCAAGGAAAAAATCTGCATGCAGTTGCAATTTTCTTTATAAATTTTACGCAGAAAATATTTTAAAAATAAAAATACAGTTAAACTCAATGATATATGTGATATTATCATAAAAAGCGAAGTTGATCTACACCTGTTTTGAAATTTAACGTGAGAACACATGTTAGTCAACTGAAGTTTTTATAATGAATCGAAATAAACTATGATTTTAGACTTCTATTGTTTGTAAACTGTCGGAAACCCATATACAGTTTATATTCATTCTTTTCTATTACAGAGTATTTTCAAAACAGTAGGTAGCCATGACATTTGAAAATGTACTTATGTCTGTCCGTGCTCAGCAATGCTTCTGTTATTAGCGTTGCTATGTTCATCGTTTTGTTTTTTTACGGAAAAGTTCATCGAATTCTCTAACTCGTACATATGACTCATCGATTTTTAATGAGAAAATACATTTGAGATAGGAAATAATTTTGTTTCGTTAAATTTTGTGTTAAGAAAACCATGAATGGTATTTTTACGTTGACGATTAGTAAATCGATGAACTTACCATACATATGAGTTGCTATTAGTGGACATTTGGCTTTGAGTTTTCTTACAGCACATTTAGATTGTGTTACGAAATCATCATTATGAAATAATTGTGTTACTGTTGGAGTATATGATAAAATAGCAAGAACAATTTTTTTAGCTGCTCGTGAAGAAAGATTATGATGATATTGTAAATGTTGAAAACATAGAACTTCTTTATCTGCTCGACCTAAAATTTTCAAAATTTAAGAAAAACAAAGAAACAAATACAACTAAGAGAGCCTTACCACATGGTACATTGGTAATATCATGTTCATCAGAGAGACCAAACGCACCATCATGTGTCAATGGACATTTACCTTTACAAAGAAAAATATAATTATAGAATTCCTCAAAATTTCATTGTTTAATTGACATACATTTATAACCTTCGACAGCAATATTTCGTTTTACTATAGGTTCATTAATACTAAACAGATTTTGATGTGGACTCGTATTATTAAAGATAGCACGAACTAATTTTCGAGCCGATCCACTATCAAAATTATGATACCATTGAAGATGTTGATTTAGAAAAACATCATTCGATGAACGATCACATGGAATATTAGGTATCTGATGCGATTCATGAATACCGAATACATCTGAAAAATCGCAAAGCAAAATAAAAATATGAATATTAACGATAATTGTATATTCTTATGGAACTAACTTATTCGTATAAGTGGGCAACGACATTTAAAATTTTGTACTTTTTGATACGACATCGCATAGAAATCTGAAACTTAAAGAACAAAGAGAAATAAAAAAATCTTGTTTGTGATCCTGTTTTTTTTTTTTTTTTTTGAAAATCTTAGTTAAAACGCAAAAGGTCAGTCAACGGACTGAACAAAAAATGCCACCGGAAATAAAAACGAAAAAAAGTGCATTATCTGACATAAGCAAAAACAAATGAACTATGATTAATAATTGGTTTGCTTAGCTAGATCACCAAAATATGCCGTTATTGTTTTTAATCGATTGTTGAGAAAATTTTGTTCGAGTTCCAACGATGATTTATCATCCATTAACGATATAACCTGCTCAACATTGACATTTCGTGGTAAGAAATAAACAACATTCGATGTTATTGCTTTGGCAACTTCAAATATTCGAAAACCATTCAATTCAATATTTTTCTCAAGATCAAATATATCGATAGTGCCATACGATGGACCACCCCATGGTGGACTCAAATAGACTACGTCGGCAGTTAATGTTGGAGCCAATTTAAGAAAATCACCTAGAAAGTATCAATGAAATGCAATTATTTTAAAATACTATTGTTTCATTATTATAACTAACCTTGAATAAATTCAATACGATCTTCAACTCCGTAAACTCGAGCATTTTGTTTTGCCATTTCGATTTTTTTCGGATCAATATCAATTGCAATAACTAATTATAGAAATCAATATGAAATTGAACAAAAAAAAGAACAATTTTATTTACCTCTTTCACATGTAAACGCAAATTGTATTGTGTTTCCTCCAACACCACAGAAAGCATCAACAATAACATCGCATCGGCAACGTTTAGCAATATGTCGTGCAATTTTTTCCGGTGTTACACTAAACCATCCTTCTATTAAATTAGTAAAAGCATAGAATAGATTTCTTAGAAAATAAAATCTTCATGAAATTGAATTTCTATACCTCTATCAAGAACGATGCCTTCATCAAATTTTGAAAAAAGCCGATAACGTTGAAGCCAATATTTTAAAAGTTCCGAATCATTATGAAATTCTTCCGGAATATTTTTCTTCTCGAGAATAATTTGTTTTGATTTTGATTTTTTTCCTTTCGATTTTTTATTTTGATTCCTCGGATCGTCAATAATCATTTTATCATCATCAGTTGATTGTGTATGTAAATTAATAGTTTGCTTCAAAATAAGACCATAAGATAATTGACTCCAATTTTTCGTATAATCAATTGATGATGATTCTATTTTTAAGGTATTTAAGTCATCCAAATAAAGACCAAGACGTTCGAATTGAGTTTTCGTTGCATTTTTTTCATCAAATAAATTTCTATCGGTTTTCATTCGTTTATGTGTTTCATTATTATCGTCATCGAATTGATTTACACTTTTAATTCGTGAATCATTCCCATTATTACCATAAGCATATGTTATATATTCAACAAATTTTTCATAATCAAGTTCATGATTAAAACAATAATCGCGAAGAGATTTATCATAGGTCGATAAATAATGTTGACGCCAAAGATCACCTAAAGTTTCTTCATTTTGAATATTGCTTAATGAATCATCTGATGAATGTGATGTATCATGTCCATCGGAATGATTATGAATCTCTGAATTTGTTGTCCATGTATTAGTTGCTAATTGATAACCATCACGATTCCAATGGTCAAGCCAATCATCTAATGCATTTTTAAATAAATCATGACTAGTTATTTGAGTATCGTCACAAGTTGAATCATCTATAAATTTAGAGATATCTAAGATAAATTTCATCCAAATTAATAGTTCATTTTCTTACCAGCCATTGGTTCATTGGACAATGATCGTGAATGTGTTCGCTGACGAGGTGTGCCTCGTTCAATCTTTAAAATAAAATGAAGATATGTAGTTTTACTTCTATTTAGAAAAATAACTTAAGTACCAATGATGATGTAAATGAAGTAGGCAAACCCATGGCTTGCATAGCTAGTGTTTCTTCATCGAGTTCTTCATTTACTAAAATATAGATAATAATTAATGGTAATATCAAAGAAAAAAATGTCCTGAAGTCACTTAGATTGACTAATTTTGGTTTCCGTGGCAGTTGATATGAAAGTAAAACATGACAATTTCCTTTGGTTTCAGTCATAGAAATTTTTCTTTTCTAACTTTCTATTGATTCTTCATAGGGAGTTTCTCCTAAATCTGATGAATCAAGCTAGTTATTAGTTTTGACAACCAAGAGTTACAGACAGAAGCAAACAGTCTATCGCAATGCAACTAGAATCTATCCACATTAGAATATTTTTTTCTTTCATTTCCAATTTTTCACAAGATTTAAAAGCGGATTGCGCTGAAATTCTAATTTCCTCGTTCATTTATTGTCGATATTTACTTGGTTCTTTTTCGACATCAAGTTCTTCCATTTTGTCTGTAATTTGTTCCAATGTTGATTTGTTCGATTTATCAGTCATACTGGATTTTACAAGATTAATATCGCTAAAAGGATATTTTATCAATAAAAGAATGCAGCAAAAGAAAAATTTATCTTAATTACTTGAGAAGAACACGTGAAAGACAAAATTTAGCATCATGCTTTTCTGATTTGTTTAATTGTACAGAAATATTTGCAACAACACCTGAGCCACTGCGAACCATTTCTTTTTTTAATCTAAAAAAATAAACACTTTTATTTACCCAAAGACAAAAGTAAAATCAATCGAGAGAATCTATTTATATATTAGAAGAACAGAATTAAAATAACAATTATGAAAAAAAGCCCAACAGCAAAAGCAAATAGACATGTATGTCCACCAACTTCATCAGCTGATGATCGAATAAAAGTTTTTGTTTGATTTGTTAGTATTTCTACATGACCTTGACTATCTATCATACCTGTTTCAAGATTATCCAAAACACGTATGTGATCATTTATTTCAAAATTAATATTTTGTGTTAAATTTTTCAAAGATACTATTGAGTGATGAACTTGTTCAAGTTGTTCATCTTGTTTACGAATAATATGATCTTCATTGTTGTGGTCGTCTGGTGTTTGATCAAGTTGAATTATTTCCATTTGAGTTTCGTTGTTTATTGATTGAATTTTATTTTTATAATAGTCACGCTGTAGTTTCATACGATGAATAAAATCTTCACGTTCATCGAATGATGGCTGAAGATCTATTGTTGCATTTGAATTAGTTACTAATAATCGTTCTTCATTGTCTTTTGAATAGCCGACTGTAAAAATTTTTTTTGTTGAATTTTTAATAGATATTTGGCTATTCGAAATTTCATCATCAAAATCATTTTCAGACAGATTTAATAAAAGTGGAGCATTTTGATTAGATGTAATATTTACAGATTCATTTTCAACGGAAGACGATGAATTAATTAATTGATTTACTTTTTCTAAATCATCAAGAGTACATGATATATGATTAAAGATGTGATCTAGTTCTTGTCTATCATAATGCGAAGAACTAAAGATTGTTTGAACACGTTGAAATGACTGTTCAATATCTCGTTGAAGATAGAGGAACGTATCGATTACAGTTGTCATACCATTTACATCTGAAATGATAAATGTGATTCTTGAAGTTAGGTTAGTTCAAAAATGTTATTTCTTGATTTTCAATATACTAGTAAAAAAAACATATTTTAAAAAACATAGACTATGATCTCTGATATTTATTTCGCTGTAGTAGTTTCCATGGAACTAGTTAGTGAAATGATCACACGCATGGACGAAGCTCGTGCTGGATCGCCAACCAACAGTTCAGTACCATTGGCTAATCCAAGTTCTTAAAATAAATGAAACTATTATCGATCAAATAAAAATAAGTAGGAAATATTCTTTCAACCTTGCAATGTCATTCTAAGATGCGGTTTTGTTAGTTCAAGCATTTGTTTTGTACTTGTCATATATAAAGTTTTTGATTTTCCATCAATCTGTGTACAAATCAATGGAGCAATCAATTGACTAAATCAAAAATTTAATTTCAAAATTTCAGATTTCTTTTCTTCTCATGTCTTACTATTTTTCAATAAGTTGATCAACGAGTTCTTGAAATTTCGCTGTTTCATTAATTTGAACGCGTACAGGAACATTTGAACATATTGGGCAATCCTCTCTTTTTTCAGGGGGATACGTTAGCATATATATTCCTTCAATGTCATTAAACATCGTGTAATTATTCATAAGCAGGACAGATCTATTGAAATAAGAAAACAATTTTTTTTCCTCTAAAACAAATTATAGAAAAAAACAAAAACAAACATACGATGTAGCTAGTTTAAAAACTTCTGTAGCACAAATCGATGCAATAACAGCATTTGTTGATGCAACAGCTGGTATAACACGTTTAACTACACCTTGTGTGAATCGAAAATTAATTCCAGTTATATTATGTTCATTAGCTCGTTTTGTGGCATGCTCAACAATCCATTGAATATGTTCAATACTATCGCCATCGATGTTAACACCTTATTGAAGAACGAAATTTTAAATTTTCTATTAAACATTCGAAAAATATTCAACCTGGACCAAATGGTTTTTCTTTCGGCCAAAGAATACTTGTCACCCATTCAACGCAATGTTCTGGTAAACGAGGATTATTTGCAATGGTGCATTGAGGAAAGTTTACCTTGTTAAAGAAAACAAAGTTTTGTATACAAACTATTTCACATAAATTTTCGTATAACAACATATTCGATCATTAAACGATCACCGATTGAAACTGGCAGCTATTTTTCGATACATGCGTAAGTCATTCTTGTGCGTTTCAACTGGAACAAACACTTGTAAATTATGTGAAAAAGAAAGTTCAAAAGTAAATATCTCGTAGCAATATGGACTAAACTTCACAATAGAAAGTACCGATACAGAACAGTTGCTAGAGGAAACTCGAGATCATCTTGTCAAATGGACGAAGAAGTTACAATAGTGTTGCTCGTAGTCTAGATCTATTCTGATCTTCAGAGTGGAATAAGGAGTAGAACTATTTTCTTAGCTATATCACGAAAAATATATTATTGAAGTCTAATCTCCTTCTCGTTTTTCTTTGAAATCGAAATCGCTTTTTTGAGAAGTACAATGATTTTATAAATCTATCATGCCAATTTGAACACGTTATTTGCCAGAATAAATTAACATAGTATTCGAAAATATTCTGACAAAAGTCACATAATGTTATTTGAGTACGAGCGATAGGTTCATAAGGTAAATTTTCTATATTTTACTTGTGGAGGAAATAAATCCAATGTACATTCTATACAACTAGTATATCCATGCATAATAACTCTTGCATTGCCTTTAAATCCTTCTGTTCCACCATCGATAAGAGGTATTATTGAAGTTGGTACAACTTGATTATTTTCATCATATTGTAGCATACTAACCTTAAACAGAATAATAACAATTTATGTTTCAACTCTTTATTTTTTTCCCGTTATCCTCTTACTAGCATACTATTGATCCATCGACGAGCAACAATAGAATCGAGACCACAAACAATAATTCGAAACTCTGAAATAAAAAATAAAAATCCAAAATTGTTTGAAAAAACAAATTAAATTTACGTGAGTAAAACGATGCATCGAAATCTTGAATTTTGTTCATATGTCTGTAAATCAAAAAATAAATTTTCATTTCAAAGTTATTTGTTGAATATTTGTTTACATACGGTGTAACATTACAATTTGGTATACGATTCAAGATAAATTTGGCGGCAATTTCAGCTTTTGATTTGCCTATGTCAGCTTTACTGAAGAGAAAATACGGTTTCACAAACACATAAAACAATTTCGTTGCATTTACGTAAACAGAAATTGACGATTTAAATTAGCTAAATCAATTGTATCCATATCGATTATATCAATACGACAAAAACCCATCAAAGCCTAATAGAGAATATACGGTTGTCATGAAAGTAAAAATAAAATCTTCTTTTTTTGTTTCTCTTATACCTACCATATCTTTCAATAATTCACAACCGAGACCACCGGCACCAATAATTAATATTCTAACAGATTCGATTGCTGATAAAAGCTAAAATTGTGAGTGTTATTAAGAAAAATGATGAAATAATTTCTAGAATAAACCTCAGTCGATGGTTCAAAATTTGGATCTTTAAAAGGTCCAGCTCGTTCGAGCACACGACGGAGATGAGTCCATCGTTTCCTTTTTGTAGAATCATCATCTGGAATAGTCATCTAGAAAATGTATTGGATAAATCAAATGATCTCTATATTTTATGTAGATATTCATTCTTTCTATATGTTTTGTTGTCTTTCTCGATGAATTCAAAGAAGAAAAGAAAGAGGTAAAATAAATACAACGTGGGATATTTTTTGCAACCAATAGGAATACATGTCACATGTAGAAACAATGAGTCATCATGTGTGGCGTCTCTAATGTAAACTTTGCTTGCTTGGTTTGCAAAGAATGAACGAAAAGCTTCGAAATATTTCATTTTTCTAGTGAAAATTCTCGAAATGCTTTTATTAAAATTACAAGGATAAAATGTTTCTCGGCACTTAATCTTACGAAACGAAGACTTTACTGAAATAACTGCAGAGAGTTCACTGCGCAGATTAAATAGGAAAAAAAATATTGATGGAATGAAAGAAACAATTTTAAATTTCCAAAGGGTACTTTAACCATTCATGTTAAAGAATATTAATTTCATTCGATGATACTAAATTGGATATAACTGGAACTACACGAATAATTGTGTCAGTTTCTTTAGGATATCAGAACAACAATAAGGCGCTCATAATCGCATATACTGCAAGACTATGCTGTTTAACGATAGGTTCGATTCAAAAAATTGAAGAATTTGATTGAAAAATATCTTTTTTCTCGATTTTGAATAGATTATTAAAATTATTATTTTCAAATTTTCAAATAAAATGAGATTCCGCTCTCAATGATAATATATTGATTCTGATCTCTCCATCGTGAGTGCCAGAGTTTTTTCGTTCGGGATGTTAGTTTCATCGAAACTGAACGAGAAATATTTCAAATAACACCACATCTAGCCATCAAAAGCTAAATTGATAACGAAAAATAAACACGGCCCAAATCCAGTGGAACCGCTCATTGTCCTGCTTGTTTTTGTTTCTTATATATCTGCATTCACTACCTCAGATGAAAGTTCATCCGTTTTGAACCATATAAACACTGAAGCGGGACTCAAACAAAATCACGTTCAGATAAAAATAAACTAAACTACCCAAACTTTACTCGATTGAACACATGTTCTTAACAATAGCTGTTAATGAATTATTTTCATGAATAAAGACATCGATATAATTTTTATGCGGAAAACTAACCTGATGGGAAAACTACAAAAAAAAATACCAGGAAAGATAAAATTTGTTAATATGCTATGAATCAATTGATTACATGGATGAATACTCGTTCTTACTCTCTTTTTCGTTTTATTCTATACTTATATATTTTTTTCTCTATTTTCCTTCTAGCTATGTGAATGTGTGCAATATATGTAGTAGAAAGATTTTAGAGATCTAAAGTAATTCTATGAATACGTATCATTATAGCGAGCATTCCACGTAGTTACTTGTTCAGATTGTTGTTTAGAGTCAACTTTTTCAATTCCTTTCTCCGACGTGAATGGAATATGTAAAAATGAAGCGATCTGCTTGATCTTCTACAATTGGATCCTCGCTTGTTGAAATCCTAGAATTTTGTTTTGTCAATCGATTCAGAATAGTTTGAGACGTGAGTGGATGTCTGAAAAGTGAACCAACGTCGCACTCACACCATAAAAATCAATTTCGTGGCCCAAGTCAACTATGCTCAGTATACGGCCTTTCACGTCGTATTGGCGAACCGTATATTTCCGCGAGGTTACAGCCGTATAAATTTATAATATGGTACTATATTACGGTGCCCGAGATTACGAAACAACATTCCGGGCTACTTACAGCTCTATACGATGTATAAATGGTCGTATTCGGTAACGTTACCGCACAAATATGGATAGCTGTATATTCATGAATGCGAAATTTCAACCCCGAAGGATATAATAGATATAATATGCACATGTATGAATAAACTTTTATAACAAAATGAATTTTCTGGTATTAAGTATTTATCATGCACTGACAGATTTNGAATATGTAAAAATGAAGCGATCTGCTTGATCTTCTACAATTGGATCCTCGCTTGTTGAAATCCTAGAATTTTGTTTTGTCAATCGATTCAGAATTGTTTGGGACGTGAGTGGATGTCTGAAAAGTGAACCAACGTCGCACTCACACCATAAAAATCAATTTCGTGGCCCAAGTCAACTATGCTCAGTATACGGCCTTTCACGTCGTATTGACGAACCGTATATTTCCACGAGGTTACAGCCGTATAAATTTATAATATGGCACTATATTACGGTGCCCGAGATTACGAAACAACATTCCGGGCTACTTACAGCTCTATACGATGTATAAATGGTCGTATTCGGTAACGTTACCACACAAATATGGATAGCTGTGTATTCATTAATGCGAAATTTCAACCCCGAAGGATATAATAGATATAATATGCACATGTATGAATAAACTTTTATAACAAAATGAATTTTCTGGTATTAAGTATTTATCATGCACTGACAGATTTGCATAATACATATGTAGTCGGATAAAAGAAACTGTTTTTCTCGACGAGCCTACAAACATAATACTTTCAAATTAAAGTCCTGTAGCTGTTCTTCATTTTATTGTTGCTTGTTACTCATGTGATAAACATAAACTCAAACATAACTTTGTTAACTTCTAGAGAACTATTTCTAGAGAGCCCGTGATGTTTGCTGATAAGAGAAGAAAAATAAGGTTTTTATCGCAAATAAATTTAATTGTGCGACAATAGTCAGAGGCCAAGATAAAATAGAAAACTCTTATTAAAAAACTCGATAAATTATGTCGACGAAATCTTGAATTCACACATAAACATTAGTCTAAGATAGTACCTCAATCAAAATCTAGCCATTCACAAGTGTATAACAGTACAAATTATTTATCACGATTGCTAAAAAAGCGTCTAAGCAAACCCTTATTGAAAAAGATAACAAACCGTCGACATACATATGTTATCTTCCTATAAAAAAAATGAGAATGATAGTATTGAAAATATTTCACATAATCTTTTAGATATGGAAATAGTTCACAAAGGCAACTTAATCTTAAGAAAAGATACTTGATTACATCTAAAAAAATATATTTTTCATTTGCCAATATCATACTAACTATTTCAAGTTCCTCGATTTTATCGCTTAAATCTAAAAGTAACTTTTAATGAATAAAAATCGATTCAAAATTCATAGCTTGCTTTGTAGATGATGAACTCGAAAAAATGTTTGCTGTTTTTGCTGAAATATCATGTGAATGTTGTAATAACGAAAAAAATGTTTATCTTACTCTCTATTATAGCGAAAACAAAGTGACACGATTTCTGAACTTTAAAATAGATCATGGTCAGCTACATCACGCACCTTATTTATAAAATATGGTATGTTATTTTAGATCATTTATTTACCAGAGAAAGTAAAACCAAATTTAAATTTTAGCATGGCTCAGAAATTGAATACGTAAGACCATGAAAGATTAACAAAGCACACTGACAAAAATTTGAATATTTATAGTTTACCATAGTAGACGGTGTAGCAAATACATGGATAACATCTTTAGATAGAATTTTCAATCGGCAGAGTTCGGATGGTAAGAACTTTTGATAATGTTATTACAATGAATTAAATCCTTATTGTTTTTACTATCAAAAGTTGATGAAAACCGGAGCGAATCAGATGACGACAGATCGGTAATATTCATTTCTTCAAAAAATCAATACTTTATGATATATTTTAGGAATCAGATTCTGAATAATTACCTAAGATTCCTAAACGACTGCCGCCTCGACCAGAAAATTCTGTTTCACTTGATAAAATTTATGTTTGCCTCTATAATCATGATGCTACAACAACAGAAGATTTCCATGAGCTTGAATTTCAATGCGGAGATCTTTTATATATTATCAATACGGATGGACCAAATGTTTACGTCGGCTTTAAATATGAAATTCGGCCGTCTACTGACAAAACACCTCGAATAGGTCTTGCTTTTAAAGATTATATTACACCAGTATTTGAAAAAATTTAATGATAAAAAAGGATATGAATTTTCTCTTTTGTTTATGAAATAAAAATAAATTTAGTTAGGCACGTTCACTCGATGATGTTCGATCTACAGTTGGTTGAATACGAAGCGACGGTTCAACTTGTTTCCAATATGCATATTTATCAAGAGTATTAGGAGATTCAGCCAGATATGTACGAGCATCAACACGATATGGTGTAACATCCAGATGTTCTGGCTCGAAACGATGAATGGTTAAAAGATTTTCAATAGCCTAAAGAAATCATAGTTTAATTAAAGTATACTGAAAAATATCACGTGAAAGTCATTGTATTTTTTCGATGTCAATAACTAGAAATAAGTCGAAAAAACATTTGTGCAGCTGATAATATTCTCAAATCAACGCTTTCATACTGAACTGTTGCGATCACATTTGAGAATCAATTATGGAAAACCAAAACTAACTTTGATAAAACAATTTTGTTTTGATAGAGCAATAGAAAATATCGATGTGTCATTTTCAGAAGTTTGGGAAGCGTTAATAATTAAAATTTTTATTAGAAGCAAGCGAAAAATGTCGCTTTAGCTTTCTGCTACTACTATATCAATGATATTTCATTTTTTTCTAATTATGAAATAATTTTTTGTCCTAAAAGCTGGTTCTATGTATTGTGTTGTTTTGGCAAAGGCGAGAGTATTTCTTGAAGTCTTCAGATTTTACAAGCTTGATAGAAAACTCGTTCAGCTGCAACAATATATTGTTTTTCTAATTCTGTCTAGCTACTGTCATCAAGAGAAAAACTTCCCAAGTATGACTACTCTTAATTTCGCTACAATACACTATGTAACTAACCAAGCATGCTCGTTCTTCATGAATATTTCCCCAAATAAATAATTCTGTAAGAGCTGAATTAAATTTGACAGCATCAGCAATACTGCATAGACCATCTCCCTTGACATTATTTGAGCGAATATCAAGACTAAAATATAGTTTTTGTTTACATTTAATACAAAAAACTACCATAGAAACCTACCTTCGAAGTTTCGAATTAGACTGAAGTAACGCAGTTGCTAAATGACCGGCTCCCTCATTTTCTAATCGGTTAAATGCTAGATTAAGTCGAAGAAGACCACATTTTTCAAGCATTGACGCTAAATAAACAGCACTATCACGAGTAATTCGATTGCTAAAAGCAGAGAGATTTCATTCTACTGGATAATCCGTTATTGTTTCAAAATACGTACCAACTAAGATCAAGAAAAAGTAATGATTGATTATGTTGCATTTTTTCACAAATCCACATAAAGCCAGGATCGCGAATTTCAAATTTTTGAACATGTAATTCTTGTAAAACATTGTTTTTCTGTACAAAAACAAAATTATATCTCAAAGTTCTGTTTTGTTTTTGTAAAATAGGGGCCTTCCTTACTTCAAGCATATGTGCAATATGAATAGCGATATCATCCATCCAATTCGAATGTTGATATTGTGGTATTGGACGACTTAAATCAATTGATTTTAAACTTGGATTATAGCGTAGAATGGTTAGCAATGCTATTAGACTATCCATTTCCTTCAAAATAGAAATTAACTTTTTAATCATACTCTTGTTATTGACATTACTAAATCACAATTTCCTAAATTAAGATGTTCGAGAGTGATATTTATTTGAAGTGTTTCAGCAAATCCCATGCCACCTTCTTTTCCAATGCCATTGTCAGCAATTGATAACGAAGTTAATGTTGTATTGACCTGTTAAGTGATGTTTTTTTGAAAGAGAAATTGTTTCTAATATCTTGTACTTCAAAAATCAAATCTTTACTTTTAGAGCATTAGCTAAACTTTGAGCACCTTTTCGATGGATATCATTGCCTTTTAAGTTTAGAATCAATAAAAATTGATCATTCTAGATTGTATAGAGTAATTGAGTTGAATTCAAATAAAAAAAAAGTAACTAGAATTTACTGTTAAATAATCAGCGATGATGCTAGCACCTTCATCTGTAATACGGTTGTATCTGATAATGAATAGAAATAAATCGTTAAAAAGAATGTTTTGTTCTAGTTTGATATTTACCGAAGATCAAGGTGACTGATCATCGTCGCTGTTCTCAATGATTCAAGAATATGTGGAAGATCATTGTCTTGTACGCGAAACTTTGCTAATGTCGATTGATTACCATTTAAGGGTAATATGCGATCAGAATTTCTTAACAAAAAACAAAGAAATTCTAATTCAGCAAAAACACAATATAATAATGAGATATATTTACTCATAAGCTAATTCATCAATGTAGAGCAAAGAACGTTCACGCAAATTGGTTAATGTTTCGACGATGCCTTGATTGGGACGTTGTTTTGTTTTTATTGATGCTTGCTCATATCCTTTTCTTACTTCTGTGAACATAGTTTCGGTTAGAATTTAGATCGAATTCTTTTAGAAAAATATCTCTATGTTAAAATTCAGCCATTACTATAATGATTTGACATGACGATGGACCTCTTTTGGCGTATTTTCTATGGAAGCAAAGATGTCACTATAGGAGAAAAAAGTCGAACAGAAAAATTTGATTTGAACACATATGCATGCTTCTAACCGAAACAAATATAAGTTGAGACCGTATTCGGTTCAATACTTCAAAGATTTTAGCATAATAGATAATCATCTGATAGTGATTCGTGGCATTTCTGTATTCATTTTTCGATTATTTATTTTTATTAATCTTGATAACGACATGCCTTTCTTTTACTTTCACTCTTTACATAACCTACAGGTTTTACATGCATTTACATTTAAAATCCTTTTTTTTTATTAATTTAAGATAGTTTTTTGCAAATATGAGTTCAATTACAAAAAAAGTATTTAATGTCGATGGTATGACATGTCAATCATGTGTTAAAAATATTGAACGTAATGTTGGCAAGATGGACGGCGTTAAAACAGTTGTGGTAAGAAGACTTACACATAGAATAGCACGCAAAAGCTCAGCAGCAACACATTCTTTCCCTCTAATGTGAAAGAATTTGCTGAAGTTCAGAGAATGATTTTAAAGGCCGATGGAGATTTCCTAAATTGACTACGACGAGAAGATTTGTAAAACAAAATGAAACTTGGTCGTTTAAAGGTTGTGCAAGGTTTTACCGAGAGTATTTTTGAAGTATATTATTTTCAAGAAAGCACGATTGTGTTCTCCTAAAAGAATAGTTCCACTTAAATCTTCTAGAGCCAGTAAATCATCCTAAGCCATGCATCTATAAAATCTTTGTATAGAAGCTCTTGCAAGGTAGCTAAATACTGAATAATTTATTTAAAAATATCAGATATTTATTTTGTTGTTAAACTTTTTCTTATTATCTGATCTATTTTTGTTTATTTATTTTTCAGGTATCATTAAATGACAAAAACGCATCCGTTGAATTCGGTAGTGACAAAACGACGGAACAAGCTATAATCGAAAAAATCACTAGCCTAGGATTTCAAGCTAAATTAAAATAAAACTGTTTCTTTTTTTTCCTAACAAATTTTAATGCTTGAATCGGTATATGTTTTCTTTTTGCCCCTAAGTTGTTACGAATGAATTTAAAAAACAACTTTCTTTTTATACGCCGACTTAGTTGTTAAAATATCATGCTTTTATGGCCTACATATTGTCGATTTAATATTTATCATATTACTCATGCCAAATATTTGCAATTGATTCCTCTTTTATTCCATGGAATATTTTGTTTCTTGGTCATATCATATTGTGAAGAAACATCAATATACTTCCTATTTTTCTTTCCTATTTAGATTTTTGTTATGAGTCTTCATCAAACCGGCGTCAACGAGGCCATACCGCCCCTAAACTGTCCCACAACTATATTGAATGTATTGCTTGGCAATATGAAAAATGAAGTCGCATCAGCTAGTAATGAATCTGCGTTAAATATGAATTATATATGTCCATGCAAACAATCGTGTGTCTCTCGGAAGGCTACAGCCAAGCCTACATCTATCGCAACGTTCTATGATAATATTGGATATGGATAGATTGATTCGTTCTAATGGCATCGGAACATGTTGGTCAAGCTTGTTCATAGTAAAATAGTTTTTTATGTTCTAAAAATTGAAGCTATTTCATAAATGATTATTTCTAATTCATTTCGAAAAAAGGCTATTGATTTGCATTGAAACAGAAACAGCTGTCACAAAAACGTTTTCAAAAGTTGCCTCATCGATATTACGTTAAAAATCGCGCGAACTCAAGACCTATTCAATTTAAATTCGAACTGTGTTCGATCGTGATATCCGCAAAGGCCATGAAAGCAGATCAAATCACTTGATGGTAAAGCAATAAAAAACGAAACCCTTATAATCCTTTTTCTCTGCGTCTGCTTTCTAACAGAGCTTAATTCAATATTTACTTACGAAAAAACAATCTTTCGATATTGATCTTCGCAAGTTTCGATATTTGGGGATACGAATAAATGAAAAGAAATAGCTATTATAAATCAGTATTTCAATTTTACATCCTGATAAATAAACACAGTTTACTACACTACGTACTGAACTATTCTTCTTTTCTGTAACATATTAACAATTTAGTTCATACAAAAACAAAACTCGCCATTTGAATGAATAGTTCATTCCCAGTTAGGTTAATTCCTAAATAACAATAAAATAGAGCAAATACGATCATTAAATGTGATGTGACAGAATGGTTGAAAGATCATTGTTAACAAAAGAACCGTTGCTATCATGTAGATCGTTGATTCTTCTTAGCTAACGATATTGTACGACACCATGCATATAATAAATGACCTGTACCAATACCGAAAATAATAGCGAAAAAGAGATAAACATTCATGGTCATTGCTATCAGCATTAAAGAATAGCCAAGTATCAAATGAACAGCATATAATACACTATGTAGAATACGCTCAGGAAATTGTGGACGAATTCTTCAAAAAAATAAATAAATAAAACAGGATAAATGAATATTTTCTTTTTCTTTTATTCTTTTACTTCTTCCCAGTTCGGATAGCCGATTCAAATAATTCAGTATTCATACGTTCTAATTCAGTCTCATTTCCTTCTTTTGATATTCTAAAGTAAATAATTAAATATTATGAAGATTGAATAATTTCTAACGGACATGGGTCTTTCGATTAATCGTGTTTCATCTAAATATTGACGAATTTCTCGAAGTCCTTCGTATAAAATTCCCAAAATAAATATGAAGATCAATGAGCAAATAAAAACTGGAAAAAAATACCCAAATATTAATCTCGATAATTTCATTTTTACAAGTCTTACTTGTAATAGATGGGGTTGTCCATGATTCAAATAGAATAGTTTCAGTAGTACCCGCATGAAAATACATCTAAATAATAATGATATATTTAAAAGAAAAGTTTACACTATTAAAAGTTTTGATTACTTTCATCGTTGTATCGAGATGATGATGTCCCATAGTAGTTAATTTTTCTTTGGATGCATCAATATGATGATCGTGATGATGAGTATCATGTGACATATGATTTAAATTTTGTGCACTACTGCGATTCATATCTAATTACCAACCTCTTTTATCGGTTCTTCTAATCTATAAGAAGACATAAGACACGTGTGTATGTGGCGAAAGTATTGTGAATCTCCGGGGCGAAGATAGAACATGGGATCCTTTAAATAAATGTATTTGTACTGCATTGCACATGTGAATAGAAGAGAAAGAGAAGGATTCTGCATATTTGCATAAGAATGATCATCTACGTTTCGTTACATAATGGCGAATGAGTTTAAATTTAGTCATCTATTGTGGTTTTTATCTCGACAGGTGGGAGAGGTGCCATATAATCACGTATATACGTAACTGTAAATGATGAAGATTTAATCAAGTCCTCTCAATGGATGATCGAATGTCGATATCAAATTTCACTTTTGAACAGAAGCCGGGAATGATCATAACCATGAAAAATTAATTAGAGATGTAAAACAACAATATTCAACTTACAACTAGTATATCAGACTTCGTAATTTGACTGTGAAAGCGCATTCACCTGTTCTACTCTTATCAGCCATGTTCAAACTCTTGTTTTTTTTTCTTTTTCTTTAACTTATCTATGTATATTCGCTTTTATCTTCTGAGTAAATAAGTAAGACAGAACATATCATTTTTGTTTTAAGCATAACGAAGAAAAAAAAGTTAGAATTGTTTCAGCTCACGTTTGTTTGAAATAGTTCAACAAAAAATAATGAACTGGTCAAACTCAATATAGATTAATGAAGATCAAAACATGATATAGTTGGCTTTAGAGAACGATTTTATTAAAGATTATCATATATTTGTATAAACAAAAGAAATATAAAGAGTCGTAAATTCTTTTATAATTAATACAGAAAGAAAGTAGCCTTTTGTTTTATAAAGCAGTTACTTGTAATTCGGTTTCTTCTTCTTTCTGCCTATTAGAAGCTTGTTCATCGCTGAAATATACTGTTGCCTTTATTTTCTCTTCCATAACAGCATTTTTAACAACTGATATAGATTCCCTAACAATTTGTGATAATCGACTATTTCTAAAACTTGATAGAATACTTGATTTTGGTCGCATCGTTGGTAAATCATCAATACCACGATGAACAACGATACCAGTTGATTTATCTAATGACCATTGACGATAACGAACGTCTCGTTCATATTTTTCCATTCTTGGCTTTTTAAAATAGCGTAACAGCAATGATGAAACGACTACACTAACTGAAGATAATGCCATTGCTGCTGCTGCCATCCATGGCATAAGTTGAACACCAGCAGGAAGAAGTATACCTAAAAGAAAAAAATACATAAACGAAAAAGAAAACGCTTTTCCTCTTGAAATGTATTCGATTGATATACCAGCTGCAATTGGAATACCAATTAAATTATAAACAGTAGCAAAAATAAAATTAAGTCGAATACGCCACACGGTCTTTTTTGACAGTTTAATAGCAGCAACAACATCGAAAAGTTCATCACGAATCAATACAATTGAAGCTGCTTCAACAGCAACATCAGCACCAGTACCAACAGCAATACCAACATCAGCACGAGCTAACGCTGGTGAATCATTAATTCCATCACCGACCATTGCTACTTTACCATGATAATTTTTATTTTCTTTTAGACTGGCAATAAAACGTTCTTTGTGTGTAGGTAAAACTTCAGCATAGACAGTTTTAATGCCTACTTGACTGGCAATGGCTCGAGCTGTTTTAACATTATCCCCTGTTAATAAAATTGTGCGTAGACCAAGCGATTGCAATGCATATATAGTTAATGGGGCAGTAGGTTTTATTTCATCGGCAATAGCCAGCATACCAACAACTTTACCTATATAATTAAAATAGATATCTGTTTGGGAGAGATCAATTTTCTTTTGAAAAATATATTTTTACCATCAATAGCTACTAGTACAGCTGTATGACCATCATGCTCATGTATAGACATTGTTTTATCAATACCATCATCAACGCTTAAATGATTACGTTTCATCCATTCTCGGTTTCCAATTAAAACTGAATATATATGAGATGTACCTCCGTCCGTACTTTTTACGAGACAATCGATGTTACTAACACGTGCTTGAAGACCATAGCCCCAAATAGCTTTAAAATCTCGGCAAAGACCTAATTCATTAGTACCAAAATGATCTTTACAGTGATTACGAACGGCTAAAGCTAATGGATGTTCTGAACCACTTTCAGCAGTCCCTATTAAAAGAAATCACAGACGAAATAGTAAATAGTGTATATGATTTATCTGTCCTTCATAGTTTTATCTACCTGCAATAGCTAACATTCGATCAAGTGTCATATCTGCATTTTGAAAGAATATTCTTTTATCGATGACTGATGGTTTTCCTTTAGTAATGGTTCCTGTTTTATCGAAGACAATTGTACCAATTTGATGTGCAGATTCAAGAGGTTCTCCGCCTTTTATAAGAATACCATTTGATGCTCCGACACCTAAATTTTTCGATTAGAAAATTTCTATCTATCAATAATAAAACTTAATAGACCTGTGCCAACCATCACTGCAGTTGGTGTTGCTAAACCTAATGCACACGGACAAGCAATCGACAATACAGTAATAGCATATCGAAAAGCAAGTTCAAATATAACTTCAGTTTTTGATGGTTCATATGTAGTACTCATATTGGCGTCATGTGATGATTCGTCTTGATCTGGCGGTTGATAGTACTGCAAGTAATTGAGAAGAAAAAAAAAAAAAAACCGATTAATTATTTTACAAATAAAAATCTAAGAAAAAATTACTGCTGAATATTTTTCAAGTTTATCAAACATGGTATAACCCAAAATGATATAAATACTCAAAGTAAGTAATGAAGTTGCCACAACAAATGGTACGAAATAGCCAGCAATTCTATCGGCTAATTGTTGAATTGGTGCTTTCGATGTTTGTGCATCTTCAACTAATCGAATTATTTGTTTTAATGCTGTTTCTTGACCAACATGTGTTGCACGCATAATAATTAAACCATCAAGATTTTTAGTACCACCAATAACTTGTGCACCCACAGTTTTATCAACAGGCATCGATTCTCCTGTTATTAGAGATTCATCACACGATGTTACTCCATCAATAATACGACCATCGGTTGGAATTGTTTCACCTGGCTGAACTTTCAATAGGTCATCACGTTGAATAAGTTGAGCAAGAACAAGTTTTTCTTCAATAATTTTTCCTCTACTATCCAATTTAATCAATGTACCTTGTGGTGGTTGAAGTGATAAAAGTTTTTTTAATGCATCTGATGTTTTAGCCTAAATTATAATATATTTTTTTTATATCTTTTATTAATAATTTGTTTTAATTACTTTAGCTGTATGTTCTAGCCATCGTCCCAAAGCAACAAACATGAAAAGCACTAAATAAACAAGGAAATGATTAGTGTTACTTCTGTATGATTAAAATCTCAAACACAATTTAACTCATTATTTTTATCTATTTCCTTCCACAATGTAATAAGTAAAGTAAATCGCTATAGATTATCACAAGGATACTAATGATATACAGTATTTTATCGTATATCATTTGTATCTGTCATGTTGAAGAATAATAGATAATATATATTTCAACATACTAGGTGAAACATCAAAGAATGCCATAGGACTAGGTATTTTCATGATCATATTTGCTATAACAACAATAATGGAATAAATATAAGCAATACTTGTCGCTAATACAATAAGAACTTCCATATTAGCTGTTTTATGTTTTAATGATTTGAATGCTTGAACATAAAAATATCGACCGCTAATGATCTACGAAGGTAAATTTCGTAACTCAAATGTGCCACGTGGCAAATACTTAACTTACTTGAACAGGTGTTGCTAAGAGAAACATGATTAAATTTTCTACCGATAAGCCAGCTGTAACATGTGGAGCTTGGCTATGATTTTTATATTTAAATAAGAAAAAAAACATTACAATCATTGCCGGAATACCAAAAATAGCAGCGATAATAAATGAATTTCTCCATCTATTCAAAAATATGAAATCAAACATTCATAAACATTCAATGCAAATAATTTCTTAACTTACTGACGTGTTATGCGCCGATGTAAACGCGCCAGATTTTCAGATTTTAAATTTTCCGTCAGAACTGTTGCTGGAAAACCAAGATCTTCCTTTTAAAAAAAACGAAATCCAATTTATATGCGTCAAGAAAATAAAAATAATTCTATGTTTCACTGAAATATGTTTAAGAATATCTCTTGGTCCAATAATACTCGAATCATATTGAAATTTTCCACGATTTGTAAGTAATACAATACTAGCCGATGAAATGCCAGGTATTCGACTCATATGATTTTGAATTTTATTTACACATGATGCACATGACATACCTTCGATCTTGAATAATTTGTTTTAAATATATTTATTCTGATTTATCCAAAGAAATTTATCTTACATTAACATCGATCGTTTCCATTCCGCGTGCAACTTTATCAAGTAGTTCAGCTCGAAAGCCAAGATTATTAATTAAACTCGCTATTTGTGATGGCAAAAGATGTGCTGGATCATATTTAACTTCAGCACGTTGCGATAATAAAGCAACCAATACCAAATGAATACCTATAGTTCTTAATAAAAATCAATGCCCATCAAAATTATTAAACATACCGTCAACTTTCGATAGATTTCTCTGTATACTATCTACGCATGATGCACATGTCATACCCAGAACAGTAAAATAGCATGTTTCTAATTCAGTCTCGTCGGTTCCGACGAGCAATGTAGAATTTCTAGTTGCTTTACGAGTGTATACTGGTTCTTCAATGACTAGAAATAAAAATGAAATTAATTATTCAGTTGATTTTATTAGACATTTAAAAAACTATTCACCAATTTCATTCGTTGTACGAATTTGATTGCTTTCAGTGGATATTTCGAATTTTTGATTATAACCTTTGATAAATATTCCATGTATTATGATGTCTATTTAATAAAGTGTTTTTTCAACGGAATACATACTTGAATGATTGTCCGTAGTTGTTCTTGGCTGTGAAGAACTTGAAACTGCAACTTGAAAACTTAGTTTTTCTATTTCAGTGATAATATCGTCAAGTTGAAGCATAGACGGATCATAGATAATTGTAGCTAGTTTATCCAGAAAGGTTAATTTAATATCTATAGCGCCAGGCATATCAAGTACGGCACCACAAATATTTGATACACACGAATTACAATGCATGCCTTCAATGCGTAATTGAGCTTCAACAGTTTCGGAATTTAAAGATTGTACAGGGTGACCAAGTCGTTGTATTTCAGATAGAAGTGTATATTGGGCAATTTTATTTGTATCGAAACATAATTCAACTTGATTGTTATCGTCAATAAATTTGCATGATAGAAGACCATCAATACGTTCACATAGACGTTGTATTACATACTCATGATTATCTTCATGTACTCCTCCTAAGAGCAATCGAATCGATGATAGCTGAGTTTGATCCGCACAATCTGAAGACATTGGATATGATCTAAATAATAATAATATATCACCAACAAAACTTATAAAAGAAGGATGCAATTTTGATATTAGTTTTATGTGTCATTTGACATTTTTTGTTAGTTTTAATACAGTGAAATTTGCATCGTACTTCCTTCGCATTAGTAGATACTCATTCAATATCCAATCATAAATATTGTTGAGTATACGTATGTTTTGTAGGGTTGTACTTTTTGGACTTCATCGTATTATGGTTACTGATAGAAAAATGTTGTTTGAAAAGAAATAGGCAAAGAAAAGAGCATATTCGTGTGATGCATAAACTCGAGCCTCTTACGTTTCTTTATTCTCAAGATGAAGTATTGTTTATGTACTTTTAACTTATCTCCTTTAACATGTTTTTACACTTTCGTATGAATGTTTTTAAACTTGCTATCGTGAGTACAAGCACGTATTCATATTAAAAAGCATAACCAGATGACGTCTACAACTGTAAACAAGTGTAAGAGATATTAAGTTTTTTTCTTCTGTTTTATGATCATTTCAAAAAGAAAATATGTTTAATTTTACAAAAAATATGAAATAAAATTGTCATCTTTTTCTTCAATTCGAGGACCAAACAAAAATTGAAAAGAATGTCTAGTTGAATGAGAACAACTTGAAATTGAAGTATGCGGCATTTTTTCTTCGTCGGAGATTTCGAATATCAGTATTTAATAGCAGCTTGAAATTGCATTGAAATTTTTTTGCTTTATTAATATAACCTTGCTGACGCTCTCGAAATGCACGATCAAATTGATTTCGTCCTTATAAAAAGAAAATTGCGAATAATTGTGCGATATTTCTATTGCAAGTTTGAATGAAATCAACAAATAAAAATTTAAGATTGACCTCAATTGGTTAAATGTTATCACTGAAGAAACATTTTCATGTAGTTTCTGAATGATAAAAGGGTGTCAGATGAAATTACTAGTTTTTCTTTTTTATTGCACCGAAAAAAAATTACATTTTATAGCCTTGTTCATAAAAAAAAATTACATTTTTATAGCCTTATTCATAAAACAGACATTAACAATTTGTCACGCATTTTTTTCTTCTAATTTGTACACTTTTATGTTATAAATATTTTCATTTTAAGCTTCTTTGTGTTTTTCATGATGTTAAGATCAATTATTGTTCATTGGATTGTAAATGATGCAAGATCACGGATGATTTTTTAATCCTTAAGCTAAGTAAAAACAAAACAAATATTATTTGATGAAATACGAAAACAAAAATATCTAAATATCAAAAGAAAAAAATATTTTATACTCATATTGAATATATTATTGCATTTCGTCGAATATATACTGGTACCCTTATAACAAAGAAATGCATTACTCATACACACTTTTATAATCGTGCTGAGTGATGTATTCACTTGAAGTAAGGGCCTCCAGTGGCAGTACTCGTGGGGCCCGTTAGCTTCATCTTTCGATTGAAGAATGCCGAGCTTCCCCACATTTTCACATGTGTTGGAACGTGCCACCCGAAGACCGGAAAGTGTGCAAGTGGACTGTAGAAAAGTCCACAAACTACGAAGGACTGACGAAATCAAACAGAAGTTCTAGCAGCTACTGAGTTGTAACACTAGGCCGAATAGAAGCTACAGATGAATTACTTTTTTCAATGCTATGCACAGCTTTTTATACTCTGGTCGTTTTGCGATGTATTGCACAACCAAACGGCAACCATTTCATTCTGATTGTGCAAGGCAAACCCTTTGAACCCTTTGGAAAAGGGTAGATTAAAAACAAAAACAACATAATTCAATAAAGGGGCTAAATAAATATTCTGTTTGGTTGCGACATTTTTGTGTAACAAATGAACAACAAAAAAAGTAGATAATTATGAAATACTATTTTTCTGTGCTATTTATTTTTGCATATTCGATAATACTGTCGCGACATACAAACCAAGTTGATTGTCATGAAAAGTAAAATATGGAGTATTGTTTTTCAAAGCTTAGGCAATATTGAATTATTAAAAACTATGAATAGAATTCTACAACAATTGAAATATCAACAATGAATCTAGCTTAATTTCCTTACAAAATCTATCAACAATTGACGTCTAAAGTCGCACATTATTTTTTATTTTTTAATTATGTATTGCAACTATAGAGCATTAATTTACTCTGATCATATGTTTATTTATTGAATAAGAAAAACAATTTAACATATTTTAAATTAGATGAATGCGTACAAACATGAATATTAACGAAATAAAAGACAATTCAATATCGTTAATCCAGGTTTTAATAGGAAAGATTAAAAATAATGTACTTATTAGAGCATATAATGTCTTGAGGGTATCATTCTAATTTGAAAAGAAGATCTACCATAGATTTTGATGAGCTATGCGTCATGTGTGTTGATAAGACGAAATTTCACAATGTATGAAAAAATAAAAAAATATTTCATAAGGATTAAAATATATCAGTTTACAAATAGAAGCTTGTTAGCGCAGCCCTTTTGGGGCTAAAGTGGGGAACTCACGTATATCCCTTAGGCTTACTAAAATAATTCACCATAAACTCAAATGAAAAGTCTATCTTAGTTTCAAAAATATATAATTAGGCAATTATCTATTTGCTTATGCCTGTAATGAAGGGTTAATTGTCAGCTGATATTTTTAACGATGACCTAACCTAGCTGGTATGGTCTGTAACGGGTAGACTTTACTTTTTTTCGTATAGTCTACAATAAAAAATAAATGTGGAAACTTTGGATTTCATCCGAGAGTTATGTGTACTGCAAAAAGTGCATGGGACTTATGAGTCATTCTAGAATGTCTGAACACGAAAATTATCATAAAAAACTAGGCAATTTGATTTCTGGATGCAGTTTTTGTGCATTTTGAGACGTTTTTCAGGCGATGTTTCGTTAGAAAGCTACGATTTAGTTCAAAACTAATATCAGATTCAGAATCAGCGTTAAAAACTGAGTCGATTTATATATGTTGTGGATAATTCTGAGACAAAAGTTTTTTTGAAAAATCCCTGTTCTCCCCTTCAAGGATGGTCTGATCAAAAATGACAATTTTTTCGATAACTCGGCCATTTCTTGAGGAATTCTTCTCATCTTCGAACTCGATCGAGATATTCATGAGATTGAACTGTGTGGAAAATTTCATCACGATTTGACTCTCCTTTCGAAAGTTATCGTGCCTACGGCCGGACGGACACACTGACCGATTCTAGTTTACTCACTTTTTGAGTACACAAAAAGAAGAAATAGAAACCTAATTAGTCTAGCTCCTAATTAGTACAATTTTAAACCCATTAATGTCTGTAATGGGGAGCTGTACAAATCTCGCTTTTAAACTTACATTCACCATTTTCTTCGAAAATATGTGTAAGTTCCACAAAATTATTTTGCATGTCTTTTGTTTTGTTAGTAAAAAACTTTCATATTATTAACTTAATTTTATACTGAAGCATTTCTCTCATGAAACAAATATGTATATACTTATAGATAGTATTTAATATTCACCACAGACAATTATATCATAATATTAGATTGATGCTATCTAATTGAAATGAAAACAAAATGGTGCAAGACTATGACGCGTCAACTGTAATAATAGTGTTAAGTGAATCGTATTGGAGTCGTAAAAAGAAAACATTACTTTAATCAACAAGAAAAACAAGCATAACTGAGAACGTGTATACTTTTTTATTTAAATATATAGCAACTAATGTGGAATGGGTTAAACAAGGCATAAACTTGATAAATATGAAATGAAGGTAAGGGAACAAAAAACTGCTTGCAATACAAATTGTCTTGGTAATCGATACAGAGTATTCAAGGACTGTTTCTCTTTAATGAAGTAATACCAATGATTTCAGTTGGGAAGAATTTGAAAAAAATATTTATCCTATCTATTATAATAATTTATATAAAAAAAATCTTCATACAACAACGTTATTTTAACAAGCATAAATTTTCCTATCAGTTGAATTATGACGTAATTGAATAACTTGCCAAGCTTTTTGATATTCTAAATATCTTTGTATTTCTGTACCACCACCACCAGAATGAAATGATGATGAACATACAGTTAACATTGGATTGTTAACCATTAAACATGAACAATTAGCTGAAGCTGTTTGAGCAAAATCAATTTCAAGCCCTGTACATTTCACATTTGCTTCTTTAGCTAAAAATCCTGATACGAATACATCACCAACCCAAGCTGCTTTCTCAATTGGATAGGTAAGAGATGCATTTACAAGACGTTCACGAATATTTTTTGACATAAACCAACCAAAACCGGAACAGTAAGCTGGAAGTACTGCATGTGGCCAAACGTTTTCACTAACACCAAATTTCCCATCACGTAATGTTGGTTGATAATCCGTTGCCCAACCACCACGAAAGAATGTTTCTCGATTAGATGATATTATACTTGAAACCAAATTTGGACGATTTTGTACAAGAAAAGAATCGTGAAGTGAAACATTTGTTAGAAGTAGTTTACCAATAGACGATACTAAAATTGTATCAACAATAAGATCATCATCGGTTTTAAATAAATATGGAATATCTGGATAGAAATGATTAGCCCATTTTAGTGCAGCTATTTCTTTATAAATAACATTTGCATAACTTTCGAAATGATCGATTTGAACCACGTCATGATGTTCACGTTTCTCATTATTAATTTTCAGTTGATATTCACCAGCATTTGCTGTTGTACCTGAAACTTGTCCGACAATAAATACAAAGCAGACACCTTTCTGCTTTGATCCCCAAGTCGAGCGTATAACCTGTCGCCGCTGTACATTAGTAATTGTCGATAAAACATAGATAATTAAATAATCATGCTTTTGACACATTGCCGAATTGGTTGCTAAATCTAAGTGCACGTCAAGATATTGACCTGATGATGTCTTAGTGTGTACTGTTATTAATGGTGTTATAACAGGTAATGTGGACGAAATTGTTTTATCATAAAATGTTATGTATAAACAAATACAAAATAATATGAAAAATACAATAGCGTATGCATGGGATGCAAAATGTTTTCGAATAAACCACATTCAAAATATAAAATTAATAGTTATGATGTGTTAAGAGAAATAGATTCTAGAAGAGAAAAGAAGAGTATAAATAGAAATATATATATTTCCCTTGTTCACAACATGTGTTTTATATTATTTTTCAATTCTGAATTATTTGACTTTTGTTCGTTTGGTTGAAAAAAGCAAAATGAATTTGTGCTTTTCGTTTAGTGTCAACCTTAACACTCTGTAGTTATGTCAAGAAATTGAAAGCTTATATCTCTATTGACTCATTTTATGATGAGAAATTTTATTATATGCTTTAATAGTTAAAGGCAAAGTAAAATTGCCTACCTGTTTTGTGCTTTTTATTTTTCATGAAATCTGAGATGGCATATAATGGCCTATAATTTTATCATATCTGATTCCTCATATGTCGCATAATGAAATAAAATTAGGTTTCATCTATAATAATGATGATAATATTTGTGAGAAAAAAAGAATAGGCCGTATAGCATTGTTTACAAAAAAAAATCTATCCCCTGTACCGGTGAAAAAATTGATTGTATTCTCGTCCTCTTGCCTTAAATGTTGATTATGATGTTAAAGGAAGACTGTCAAACTATCTGAAGCTAATAGTGAGAAAAAATGAGCAAGACATGCGATAATGCCAGCTTATTTTTCTGTTGTTGCTTTTATAATGTGTTCAAAAAAGAAATTTGACTAAGAAGTATTGTTTGAGACACACAGTATGGGCAATGTCTTTCATATTTTATTTAAAAAAAGAAAAAGAAAAAGAGAAGGAAGTATTTTGCGGGAGTCGTTCCTGTGCTCATATACATGTAAAATTGTGACCATAACCACTCAAAATAACGTACAAGTAAAGGGGTAATGTTGTTCTCTTTTCCTTTTCTCTCCTTTTTTCTCACAATTTATGTCAACAAATGTGCTTTTTTTTCTTCAAAGATTAAGTTTGATTCTACATTTCACGTAGAAAACAGCAATTCCAACCTCCGAAGAAATGACAATCTCATTTTAATGCATATATATTCACTAGTTGCATTGTCGACTGAAGCAAACAATGCACTTTGATTCAAACATCAAGAACGTGAAACAATATTTTTGTTTTCATGAGCTATTCTCAATTGCATTATTCATGCTTATGAACATCATTGTCGAACTTCGAAGGTCATTTAAAAAGAACGGATGATTTACATAATGATGAACTTGATTATAATGATAGATTACATCATATATGTAAACTATTGATTGAATATTCAGCCTTAGCAATGTGTCATTTGTCGACTGAGTAGGCTGGCCAATTTGTTCTTTACAACTGCTTTAAAAGTACACTTGATGAAACAATAGTATTACAGTGCTAATTGAAAACTATGATCTTTTGCCTTAGATGATATTTACGAATAATATTGCAATGCAAATACTAGGCAAAATTGAGGTGATTTTATTGTTCAAACATGCAATATTATCAGCAATAACAAATAATCTTGTTTGTGTAATTTAATCTACTGTTAATTATATCATTGTGATTTCTAGATACAAGATTCTTTAAACCTTCAAATTTGAAAATAGCGCATGAACAATTCTTAAAAATTTCAAATTAGTTTAATATTCAGATTTGAGTAAAAAGAATAAAATATCGTCTATGGTACAAATATTTGCGCCAACTTTTACGAGGTCACTGTAATTGTGAATTCAAAACAATAGAAAAGTTGTTGAAAAGAATCTCAGAAGAGAATAAGTCTTCAACGAGTGTTTTTATCTGTTATGATAACCTATTCTTATGTATGGACAATAGAAAGTTGAATCGTGCCAGAATATCCTCTGATGAAGCCCGACAAGTTGCAATATAATCAGCAAACAAACGAAGAAAATTCATAAAATTGAATCAATTCGATTGTAGGCATAATTAGGAGGATTGAATTCAAGCTGATGGTAAAAGAATACTTACAAGGTATTCGTATAGAATTCAGAAAGACACATATAATTCATTTATTATTGGTTTCATATTCCGATAATTCTAGTCAATCAAACATGATCTATTTCGTTTCTTGTGTCTTTCTCTTAGCCCCACTAACCAACGTAATAAAATCATTAAAATAATACGTAAGTTTTGAATATACTTGCGCAAGTAACACGGAATAAATGAGAAAAAAATAATTTTCTTGTTATCTAGTGTAACGGAAAAATTATTTAGATCGCGTAAATATTCTTCAAATAACTATCGAGATATATAGAATTGCGTATATATCCTGATAGGATGATGGACAACAAAGTGTAGATCAGTATCAGCTATATATTTTAGCCACTGTGTATATAATATTAACAACAGTTCCACACGATGAGTTTATTTTTGTCCAAAATGAATATATAACCGAATACAGTCGTACGTATTACAAAGCACAACTTTCTTCTAACTCTACTTGTTTAAAACTGAACTCGACTCAACTGCCCTATTGCAACGAAAAAGAGAAGAAGTTTAACTATACCATTATACGCGGCATTGATGTTAGTCGAGCTACTTCATTCTAAATCGTTATGGCAAATGAAGAGGCATAGTTTTATATTTTGCTACATGATGTTTATTCAACCATACTCAATATCAAAGTGTATCCATCTAATAAAAGCATGCGCTGATATACGAAAAAAGAGAACGGAGAGAAGAAAATACATAGAGACAAAAGTTATTGAGAGAGAAAGGGATACGGAAAAAGAAAGGGATATCTAGAGAGAAAAGATACACAGAAAGAGTACGTAGTGTTGAGTGCGCGATTATGTGTTGTCAAATGCAAGGATGAATATTAGAGAAATAAACTTAATTATGCCACCGCAGTGTATTCATCAGTTCTATGACTTACAAGAGGACGTCCGGCGCTTCATATAACCCCTATATACTCTAGTCCTTTACGAGGGACGTACTTCTTGGTACATCTAGCACTTCAATAAACTTTTAGAACTGAATTATATGATTATTCAGCAGAGAAAATTTTGCTCTAAACTTCCCACGTCAAAGAAAACGGCCCGTAAACGGCCTGAAACGGCATAAAAACGATGTAAAACGTTAAAAAACGGCGCCGTTTTCCGTCAGCTCGGAAAACGAAGAGAATAGTGTTAAAAGCGATGGCCGTTTTCTAACAAAAAATGGCCCGTAAAACGAGCTGACAAATTACGGCGAAATGGGGTGAATAATTAATGTCGTTTTATGTCGTTTTATAGCCGTTTCAGGCCGTTTCCGATGGCCTTTTAGACGGCATGATGATCCTCCTGGGTTACTTTTATATTCAATGATGCACGGATCAACAGTTTTATGCAGCAAGACTGATTTTGAGATCACATCATTTTCTAGAATTGACTTGTAAAATATCTTTAGATATCAGTAATTCTTCGTCTTTGAATGTAAAATATTTCACTTTGAGGATATAATCTGTATGCGCGCTATATTATACAAACAACTGTAGAAAATTGAAAATCTTAGTTACATCATTGAGCAACTACTGATCTGTTTCTCTGTATGCTTTTAAAAATTAACTATTTTTAAAGCACAAGTCGACCGATTATTCAAATAGTAAAATATCTTTTGACGAAGTGTAGAACGACGTAATCAAAGAACCAAACACAACGGAAATCATTTCCTCTTTTCAATAAAAACCTCTATGCAAACGCCAACTTTCATCAATAGCTCATTAAATTATATTGAAATAGTATTTATTTTTTACATTGAAAATCCTACTGTATTTAAATGCATCGGCCTTGTATCTTTCACACTAAACATACATCAATATTGTCTCGTATGACAATCATGTTTGGCTTAGAAAATTCTATTTCTTTTAGTAATTAAACTTCGTATGAATCGATGATTCGAGTACTTCTACTGTTCTCATAGCTATAACGTTGTTACCATATTTTTGTAACACGTTAATCTTTGATATTTATTTTAACCTTTGGATTGTTCAATCTTGTCAATGTATACGCCACAAAAGATCTCTATAAGCTCATTATCAATTGGTTTCATTCTCATAATTAATTTTTTTCGAGATGAAATTGTTCAATCAACATCACTCCTATTTTTAGATTGTGTAGAATATGAATATGTAATCTATTCGGCAATATTGCAATTTCCTGCCGTTAAAAAGAAAAGAAAGAAATTTATTACTAAAAGTAATTACTAGAGAAAAAACGTTCGAGTTATATGTTTTTCAATAGTGTGCAGAAAAGAAAACTACACAATATATATATATATATATATATATATATTTCAGTCGATTGCAATTTGTTGAAATATATTCAAAGTTTTCTCAGCAATAGTCTCTACCGAGGCCATACCACCAATACCAATTTGTCCACACATTAGTGTTTTTTCGACACAAGAAATTTCTATGTATCCAAATGTTTTTGTGAGCGTCTCTAAATGTTGTCGTGTAAGAGGATGTTCAAACATTGCTGTATTCATTGCAGGCGCAATAATTAATGGTTTCCTTTTTTTTAAATCCCATGCACGAACAACATTTGTTAAAAGGTTATCGCATAAACCAACGGCCAGTTTAGCTAATGTATTCGCGCCAAGTGGCGCAATTAAAAGTATATCAGCCCAATCGCGAAGCATAATATGTAAAACAGGGTCATTACGTTTTTTCCATGAAGTCCATTCATCGTGATCTTCAAAATAACATGGACATTTTATATCAGTAATCAATCCATGAGAACACCAAGAATCTTCGAATTCAATGAAATGTTTTGCTCTTTCAGTTGGTATAACAATCGTATCGATATTATGAATATTAAAACTATGAATAAGTTCCTTGAGTTTAATTGTTGCAACACTACCTGTCACACCGAGAAGAAGACGCCATGGACGGTGGCTCTCATTGTTGCTCATCAATGTAACGAAATCAAATAGGCGACTCGTCTAGTAATGCAAAAGAGTAAGTCTAAAACAAAGTTCAGATCCGTCTTTCTTTCAGTTTAATTGTTCTATCTTTCATCTTTTCTTTTTGTTATCAAAAATAATATTAGATTAAAATGGTTTATTTAATAACAAATCGTTCTGATATGAACTTTTTATTTATTTTTATTTATTTTTATCGGAACAGAAAACAACAACGGCCATCATGTTGATAGACATCAGGTGATGATAGTACACATTTTCTGACGACAAGCCGTTGCGTTCATGTCGTCGTTTGCTTATGCTATAGGAAAATAAATAAAGATAAATTAATAGAAAATAAAATCTCTCTAAAAATGCATTGCTAGCATACTTTTAGAAATAGGAATATTAGCTGGTTGTGCTATTTCTTTGTTGGGAGCACGATGGCCAGCTGTACCTGCATTACCTTGACCACCAGCTTGACCTGCTTGACGAGCTTGTTGAGGACGTCTGAAGATCAAACAAAAATAAATAGTCTCATTACTAAAGCTTCGCGTTCACTCACAAAAGTGGTTGACGAATACGGCGTGCTTCTCTCGAACGATTACGCACAACTTTACTGTGAATAGCGCATGATACACAATAATGTAATTTGTAATAGAGTTTCGGTAAAATATATTTAGTGTAAACGCTCGCTTCACTTAGATCCTTAACAGCTGCTTGTTCGACAATATTTCGGATAATTAATTTTTTAATAGCCTTGTCTTTTGGTACTAAACGACGGCAGTTGGTACAGTTAACTGAACGAACACGGCCACGTCCATGTTTGCTTCGTCCATTATTACGACGTTTTTTTGTCATCCTTTATTTATTTATTTTTCTCTGACGGTGTTAGAGAGAATAGTAGAGAGCAAGATCTAAAAAAATATACAATTAAGTATAAAGAAAAATCACCAACCAAAATAAAGATGTATTAAATAAAATATCATTGAAAGACATTAAAATAGTTGCGTTTTATCGAAAATAAAACTGAATTGCGAAAAAAATTAATTGGTTAAATAGTGGTATACAAATATAAATTCTCTTTTGAATCATTCAAAATATGAATAAGGACCATGTTTAGATTTAATTAACCACATATCATCAACTACTTTTCCATGCTATAATAAAAAGAAAAAGAAAAGAATACTTAATTTATTGTTGATAAATAAAAGAATCAATAAACCTGATCGTCTGATACTTGTTCCAAGTAAATGTGTGAAGCATTGTAAATATTCATTCGCGTATAACCATAATCATTATTTCGAAATGCAGACCACGGTCGACGAATACCAAATGGATCATGACGTTCGTCACACCCCTAAGAAATTTTTCATTGAAAAAAAAATAGCAACTCGTATCATACTATATTACTTACGGCTGATCCTGTTGTAATATGTACAGGAGCATCAGGGTCAATATAAGCACCTTTTGTTCCATTATAAACCTAAAGTTATATTTATAATATAATCTTGAAGATTTTCATAGATATAAGAATGAACGCTAACTCATAGATCTATAATAACTAAATTCATAAATAAAGAATGTAAACTCAACTATCTCTTTAATCGCTGACTAGTCATTCAATGTATGAAGAAAATGAAAATCAAATAGTGAATGAACTTACGGTTCCATTATAAACAGGCCATAAACGTTCATAACTATGTTCATGTGCCCAAAATTCGAGATCTACACCATATTGAGCAAATAAATTTTCAAGACCATATGCTTCAATAAATGGAAGACCAGTACGTATCTACGGGGAAAAACGGAACTAATAAATTAGTTGAAATTAATTAAGTACTTTTCTTACGATAGTATAACCACCGTCATTAATACAGTCAGTATCATCACTATTAGTGCAATACATTGGTTTGTGTCCCATAGTAATAATCCATGGTTGTTGTGCACGATTTTTAGGTGTATTTGCTTCCTAAATAATAAATAAAATCAATGTAACACTCTATTGAAACCTTAATTTTCGTTTCGGTGTACTTTCAAATCTTGTTCAAGCCATTGATATTGATTAACAATTTGATCAAAACCAAATTCAGTATAATAATAAAATTCAGTTGAAAATCCAATAATATGTGCAGGACCAACATTGAAACTGATTTTACAAGGTGAATATTATTGATTTATATTTAAACAAAAATTAAATTAAACAAACCTATAAAAATGATTTGAATCACCACCGTATGTACCAATGGATGATGGCATACTGAATTTAGCAACATATTGTGAAAAGTTGCTACACGAAATTTAAAAAAATTAAATTTTAATCAGATAAAAAAAAGAGATTTTTCTCTTACTAAGCATATTCATGATTTCCTGGGCAAGTCATATATGGAATATAAGCAGCAATAGATTCAATAGCATTCATATAATCATCACCAACACGAGCATTATCAATATCCATATTATATGCCATATCACCTTGATTAGAAAATTTATTTCGGAATATTTAGAAAAAAACATTACACTTACCAACATGTAAGATAAGATCAAAATGACCTGATTGAGTTTCTTCTTGTAGGCGGGGCAATGATTGAGCATTATCTCTGCCCATATCACCATAAACAGCCGTGCGAACAACAAAATCAGAATCATTACGCATTGCTGTAAACCAAAATAAAGGTGACCAACCGAAGTCATCACTACCACAATGATAAACTAGTATACACAGAAAAAGAATAGAATTTATTAAAGGTATATTCTCTATTTTTTGTCATATCATACAGTATCGTTGACCAGGTTTAAGATTATTTAAAACAACACGATGAATGTATTCACGTCGTTTTTCGCTTCCACTATCTTGAAATATACTAACGTTACCTGTAGCACGTAGATCGAACATATCATATTGTCCATATTCAACAACGGATTCATTGATTTGATTTAAGGTTACCCAGGTAACTATCATAAGCGTTGGATCACCTGAAACATTTAGTATTAGTAAAGATAACTGATATTGCTGTGTTCGTTTTCAAAAAAACTTCACATACGCCCATAAGATATATGAATTTGTTCTGGTTGACCAAATATTGGATCACCGGTTAATATTGATCTTGATGAAACGATATTTAAAATGGTAAACAATAAAATACCATGCAGAAGAGCCATAGTTTACTCAAGCTTTTCGTTTTCCAGACTGCAATGATTGCATGAAAACAAAACAAATAGTTGGTTAGTGTTTCAGGTAAAAGTGGGACTCCACTATATTTAATACATACAATAGTAACAAAATCTATTTTATTTTCTTTTGGAAAATTAGCTTTCATAAATTTTAACGAATTTAAATTGTTTAACAAGTGGAAATTTAGGAAACGACATCTGTCAGAACGTTCGTAATTTGGCGTCCTCTATGTTATCAACAGACAGAGATGAGGAAACTATAAACTAAGAGATCCTAGTTAAACTATCAAACAAACAGTTTGTAAAAAGCATAAATTCTACCCTAGTCGAACTTCTTTTAGTCTGCACAGGAGATACTTGAGAAGCTTGATCAAGAAAGTCATGCGCTTGAATTCTTATGCAAGTGTTCCTGTTATTCAAGAAGTTTTTATAGTGTTTTTTGCAATTTTAAGTTCAAAACAACTCACATTTTAATAAAAATTCATAGATGTATTTTCATGCAACACTCAAGCGCTTGTCTTGAGCAAGAAAGTCATGCGCTATGGACCAAACTTGAGGTCCGCGCATGCCCAGCGCAGAAAAAAAAGTTCGACTAGGGTATAAACTAACCATATTATGTAAAATTTTCTACACCCTCAACTTTCTTGCTTGGTTACGTCGCTAATAAAACATTCTGTTATTTCACTAACGACTTTGTATTCAATAATGGTTAACTCAAACGTTCGAATTAATTCATTGGTTTACGTTATATTGTTATGGTGTTAGAATCTGTTGCTTTGTATTCAATTTACTGTTGAGCCTCAGTTCAAAAAATAAGCTTGTGTAGCCTCTCTCTCTCTATGAAATTTATTGGATTTGACGTTGATCCCTGACAGAAAGTTGATGAATGATTGGAGATTCAGTTCTGTTCTCAAACATTGTGATTTGATTACAAATTGATGTAACATTACTGAAAACGACAGTTTTGAACGTGCATAACGGTTTTCTGGTATTTGAGCTCACATAATCATAGTTTTGCTAAATGTATGATGTCTGAATGAACTAGTTGTAATAAATATGGATTCAGTACGTTCTATATTCATGTTAAACAAGCCTTTGATAAACGAAAGAATAGAAAATGAAAGCTGCTCATTTTTTAGAGATTATAAAATCAATTTGTATCGGAAATTTTGTCTGCAATAGATCAGTTTTAACCGAATATGGGATTCCCATTATCAATGCCACTACGATTGACTATTTGTGATAGTTATAGTTCATTATGAAAATGTTAGTTTATCGAAGCCTTGAAGTCTAGACATAATATAAGATACCAACAAAATTAGTGCTTGCCATTGACCGAAGTGAACCTCTTAATTGATACATAGCAGTTGAATGTTGATTTATTTTCATGACAAACAGAGAACAAATTATAATATATTATTACAATATGTAGACAGTCATCTTATTCATCGCTTATTAGTGTTCTAGCGTAGAAGCATCATAGTAGATTCGTAGAGAGCAATAAGATTCTTATATACATCAGGATTAAATTCATATTTCATGTCCTAGACTCGAGAGATCTCTCTAGCATACGTTGATCATCTGAGGATGAAAATACTCATAGATTGAGTTGAACATACATAGTGTATCTTATGCAGATGTCACCAAATGACAATAGAATGATTTTGTTATAGAACATCCCGGAAAATTTTGTAAATTACAAAACAAATTTTTGTCAAAATTTACCAAGTTTATTTTTCAAGACATTTTTTCGAACACTAATGTGCATTAACAAGTTAATTTCATGATACACATATCGATTTAATTTTGTTTTCAATCCTATTCTAATTTTCTTTCGAAAATTTCGTGTTTTCGTTCGTTATTTCGCTGATTTTTCCGTTCAATAATGTGAATCATTGTTCAATTACTTCCATAAAATATCTATCGTGGATCTGTCAATAATTGTCAATCATACGCCCAACCCTCTCTATTACTCATTCTACCACTTATCAGTTACACTGTTTTAAAAAAATACATTCACTCATAAATCAATTCTTTTTTTTTGAAGCTAGGCGACAATACATAAAAAATACTTTTTGTGTGCTGAGGTCATATAAGATGATTACTAATACAAGATCGAAGGGTAGACGTGTTCATAGAAGGTTTATTCGTCTTTTCTTCCATATATGAGCGACTCACTATTTTAATTGGACGAAATTTGTGATCGATCACACCGGTCATCATGTTCAAAAAGGAAAAATCTTTCTATTTTTTTTTCTTTTTACTATTTAGATATTATATGAATCGACACTATGACTGATTTAGCGAAAGTATTTAATATCTATTCCACAGAATCAAATCCAGATCAGCAAGATGATAATCAATCATTTGGAGAAGTAAAACGAGCCAATGCTAGTAAGTAGTGAATGGTGTTTTTGTTTTAAAAAACTAAACTCAAAATATTTCTTTTACGTTTAAGGTGTTAATCAAGATTTTTCAAAAAACTTTGTTAGAATAACAATAAAAGTTCCTAAAATGAAAACCGGTCTCAATTGGCGTAAACTCATACGTGAACCAAACAATGGGATAGTAACACAAGCAACATATCATGGAAAGTATGTAGATGAAACATTTTTTGTTTTGTTGTTGAATTTTATTGAAATTATTTGTTATTCTTAGTCGACTGAATTTTGAATTCATTCTCAATCGAGGTAAATCAAATGAAACTACATATGAATTTTCAACTCGAGAACCATTGAATGGTCCCATAGAATACAATAAAAGCTTTTTAAAGGTAGATCTAAATCTATTTTCTATAAAACAACATGAACTAATTTCTTTTTATCTTTAGTATAAAGATGAATATGTTGTTTGGTTTGTTCATAAATCTCAACCTTGGTAAATTGATCTTCCTTAAATGTTTTATCATATATGTGTGTGGGTGGTTTTTTTTCTTCTTTTCTGTTTATCATGCTTATACATATGTAGAAGTTTTAAATCTTCTTTAAACGTTTTTTTATATATGTTGTATTTGTTTTGTCAAGTTATAATAATAATAATAATAATAAGAGAACAAGATTTGCTGCAAACTTCTTTCTTTAGTGATTTATAAAACACACAAAAACAAGTGCTAATCTCTCTTTTGTTTTATGTACAAATTAGAAAAACAGAACTTTATTGATTCAACGAAGGAATAAGTTCACGAAGGATAGTTACAGGGGCTGACGGCGCTGGATTCTCTTTTAGACTATTCTTACGTGAATCATTTTGTTGTAGTAAACGTGAAGTTGACTCTTGAACGAATAATGGTTTTGCATGTAATTCAACTTTTTGAGAAATACCAAAACGCGCTTTGCATTCACCACGTGTTATACGATAGATTCCACGGTTATCTTTGCGAAAACCTTTATCACGTGGAAGTAAATCTTCAAGATCGCCAAATTCCAAGCTGAGAATTTCTTGAGACTCTTTATATAGTTTAACGCGAACTTCACCAAAGAAATAAGATTTGATTTCAAATGTACCCTGATATTCGTCTTCTTGTATAATAAGTTCAGCAGTTGTTTGTGACATACTAGGAATCTATTTGTCAAAAATAAATAAGATTCGTTTTATTATTCACATTCAATACGAGCCAAAGTTACTGAAAAAAAACTAATCGACTATTTATATTCCGAGATAAAAATTGAAAGCAATGATTCATTGAGTCAGATTTAGAGATTACGGATTACTAATGATTAATATAGCTATTTTAAGTCATCATAGTTTATACAATACAATATAAAATATAGTTATTGTAAGATTAATTTATATAATCTAATTAAATTGAAGAGTTTTCATTAGGTCATATCATCATGTTTGATTGTTATTTCTACTTTGCCCCCATGGTAAATAAAACAACAAAATATTATTGAGCCAGGCACTCAAATTCAATCTCACGGAGTACAGTTTCTGAGTAATGAAAGAACTAGCGGCGTTTCAGCTTCCCGAAATTTGTGCAAAATTTTCTACAGGAGAATTTCACTGATTATAGTTCTACTTCTGGTAGATGATTATTTAGTTTTTCTCCCATCCTGAAAAACTAAGAAAAAATCTATAGAGAAATATTTGTAAAGATAATCAATGTCTTTAAACGGAAGAAAACATTAGGTTACTATCTAACTATAGTCTCCCGTAGTATAAGATATTGACTTTTCTAATTTAGTTAATCTATTTTCATAGCGCTCAATTAAAAACCTAATTTTTCAAACTTCACAGCATTGTCTTAAGATTTTCAATTCGAAAAATTGATAGATTGGCGTATTTCTATTTGAATATTCAAATAAATAGCCTTATTCTTCGAGAAATAAATCAATTCAATGGATCTAACACTATGAAAGAGTTCAATAGCGAACAAAAGCCGAGCAAACATCCTTGCTTTTTTAAGTAGTTTCTGATATTTCTTGCTAAAATTCAATCAAAAATAATTTATTTCTACTTTCTCAAAAATTCATCCTACTGAATGATTCTTCTATTCTAGATGAATTTATTATGTTTTCATTGAATTTAAATTCTAGTAAGGTGAATTTCAACAGACAAAACGACAAAAGCAATTAGTATTCTATCTCATTCAATGCATTTCTTAGAACAAAACTTTTCTCACCTATTTGAGAATAGAAACCATAAAACAAAAAACAAAAAACAATTAATTCTTACTCGAATATTTGATTCAACGGACCATGTTAGTTGCTCTTCAATTTGTTTATCACGTGATTGTTCAAGTGTATATTCTCGACGAAAGCCTGTACTGGCTTCAAGAACACATTTAGGTAGTGGAACTTCGAGTTCGAGTGACGCACATTGTTCGGTAGTATAACCTTCAAATATTGAAAATGAACATGTTGATACTGTACGTCGTTCAGCTTTTAAATTATATTCTTGTTCATGATTTGTATCATTGAGAAACGACGAACGAAATAAAATATGATTTTTCGGCGAACCTGGCATTTCAATATCCGTATAAATAACTGGATCATGCCGTACTCTGAATTAAAAGCAAACATAAAACATTATGCAAAACAAGAAGCATTATGAAATTCAATAACTAACTTTAATGATCGCCAATCGATTTCTTTTACAAGTTCTTTCCAATTATATGTTCTTCCCCATTTAGCTTTCATCGAATCTTTTTCATTATCTTTATACCATTTGTGTGCGGCAGTTTCGACTAAATCTCTTAAATTTACGAGCCCCATTTTGCTTGATAAGGCAGGTGTACCCTAAGCAAAAGATTAACATAGATGTATATATGGATAATTTGAATATGAAAAAAAACCAAAGAGAAAAGCAAACACTCTAATCAAGCGTATAATCAGTAAGCAAGAATTCAATTTTGTGCATATATGCCTATTCCTTATCTAAGATCAATACCTGCTCCTGTATAACACTTTCCATTGCTTCTCTTTCTGCATGAAAATTTCATGATGTTATTCATTCGATAGCATTTATTATTTGTATGTCTAGTATTCTCTTCGATCTATTCTATCATCACATATACCACTTATCGAATCAAAATATTCGTGTTATGTTCTCAGCAGGAAAAAAAAGAGGTAGCTATATGAATCAGATTCAAATAATGATCGATTGTCAAGTAACTCGACAATGTATATTTACATAGAACAAATCAATTATATTATATAAAAATGAACACGATCGATACTAATCAATGAAGAATAAGAAAATGAAGAAAACAGCATGATGAAAATAAATTGATTTTCTTAGCTTGAACGCACAATATGATTGCTGTTAGCCATAACACGCCTTCTTTGTTTTTCTGTATGGAATTTTCAAATGATATCGATCGAACTAATTTGACGGGCAGCTGCGCATTTATCGATCTGCAGACTAAGAAAAAGAATACAACGAAAACAGACATGCATACATAGAACAAGAACGCGAGACTAATTTGATCGATCGATTGGCGTCAGTGCCAACCCAATCCCTATCCCCAATGATCTTTCCTTCTCATCTCATCTCATCATCGATCCATCAAAATAAGACATACCAGCTAAGCACATTTTATGCAAATATATATCTAAGACAGAATTACAAAGTTCAAGTTGACGTGAAAATAGAATATCGTACATATTCAATATGAGAATAGACGCACTTTGCTTTCTAATCATCAATAGAATTCATAAATATGTCGATACATTTTTTGTTTGTTTCATCATGAACCGCTCTTTCCGATAAAAAAACAAAAAACAAAAGTATAACACTCATATACGCTTTACATGTCTTATCTAAACGTATATGTCTATATGTTTGCTGCCTCGTTATCCGAAGTTCAGAAGTCCGTATGTCTTCTTCATTATGATTATGATGATGATCATCATCAATTGTTATCTTTATCGAAATAAAGAAGAAGAACAAAACAACCGACCTAGTGATACCACTTAAAAGAAAAGAATATTCAACAAAAGAAAAGCAGCTGTCACTTTCAAAAAGTATGATACTTCAAAATGGATACAATCATTTTCTTTTCTACTACTCATTTTTAATAATTAGATATTGACACTCAATCGATCACTCATTCATTTCATTTGTCTATTTGACAACGGAAATCAAGCTTGCCTGATATCAAATATAGGTGACACGTGCTGAACATATATATATATATATGTATATATAAAATAGAATAAATAGAGTTCGATTGATATATTTACAAGTAATGAAAAGGAGACATAGTACTCGGACAGTGTCCTCGATAAACAAGAGCAATTCTAATTGAGTATGGCATAGATCTAATTTAGCACGCATGTGCTCAAAAAAAATTTAAATCAAATTAGTCAAAAGAAAAGGAAAGAGTGGCTTGTTAGCAATAATGAAATAAAAAGGCTCTTGCATATTTATTTATATAAATTCCTACCCGTCGACTTGCTGTAGAACTCTACAGATGAATTAAATTGAATGCGAACAACGGAAGAAAAAAAAATTATAAGTTTTTTTTTTATTGTATCTTACCTCATCACCTTTACCATTGAAATGTATTAAATTATCGATAATTCGTGGCATTCTAGAGTTTAAATCTAAAACAATAATTAAAATATTGAATTCTATTCTCATTAGAAACGATCATTATAATCTTTTGATCAGTCTAGCATGCGGCACGAAAAAGAAAGAAGAAAACAACAACAGTGCGATAGATTTCAAAGGCGAAATGTATAAAAGTGATTAGTATGAATTGAATGAAAACTGTACACATTGGCATAACGAGAAAAATGCAGTTTTTTTTTCTCTTCTTTTTTTTTGCTTACCTGCGATTTAATTTTTTAACGTACAACACGTATCAAAACGATTTCGTTCTTTTTTCCTACTTCTTTTCTTTCTTATACAACTCAAACAATTTTTCGATTGAAGACACAAGACTAAACTTGACATTTTCTGCCATCATAGTTGATTCAAATACATGCATATGTATGTACGTATAGATCGATTGTTCAACGATTACTGATGATGCTAAACAGGTTACGTCAATCACTTTTTCTTCTTCATACCTCAACCGAAAATATTATTGACGTTTTTGAAGCCTTTAAATCGATCGTTGTATGTAACATCGATGACGACAAAAATGGCGACCCTCCTTTTCTTTCCTATTTACTGTATATATATATATATATATATTTGTGGGTGGCATTTAGACGATGAAGAAAAATGTTCATTGAGTGCAACAATAACAAGATTATTCATTTCGTTTTTATTCTACCTCTTTTTCTCACGACGTATGACCCTCTTCACAAGGATTTCAACTCTTCAAATCGATAGACTTACCTTGGCACTCATTAGGATAAATATAGTAAAATGTAAACGACAGTGTACCGTCTCTTTAAAACAAACCTGTATGTGTACGTTGCTGTTCAATGATTGCTTTTTGATGAGAGAGAGAGAGAGAGAGAGAGAGAGAAAAGAAAAAGAAACGTGCTGTTGCCGGCCAGGAGTTCATCTCATCAATAGCTCATTTGTCACACAGACGATTCAATAACAACAATATTTCTTTATGAACAATAGATGTCTGTTGGCATAAATTGAGATACAAAAAATTTACATTCTATGTATCAAAAGAATACCTATTTTAATGTAAATATTCAAGATCGAAAAAATGAAATAAGAGTCGTAGTAATCTTAACACCTGTATTTAGTTAAGCTTAAGTTCACGCATAGTAATGATGAGACGATATGAATTAGTTGAGATTAAACAATCAAATAGAATTCTACGAACTTACTCGAAAGAATGACTTATGCTAAAAGAAAAGAAATACAGGAATAGTGAATGAGCCATTCTTTTCTCTCGTTTATTTTTTCCTACTCTGCTCAACTAAGAATGACGTGAAACTAACCTTTTCTTTCTAGTTCTAGTATTTCTCTCACTATTGATTGGTGCATGTTAGTACGAAGGAAAAAAAGAAAGAGAGAGACGAACGAAGTTAGCTGACTAACGAACACAATAAGTTTTTCCTTCTTATGTTCAATAACATCACTATAATAGAGAAAAGTCATGATGTACTTGAAGTAGTAAAGACGTCGATGTGACAAAATGATTCATCATACTTCTTATTTTTCGAACTTGAAAGAAAACGGTAGTGAAAGATTGAATTAACTCATTAGAAAGTATAATTCCTTCTTTCTCTCTCTCTCTCTTTCTGTATCGGTGCAAAAATAAACGAAAACGATTCAATTTTGATCGCTACTGTATATTGTTGCTGCACCCCTCAGGACATTGACTCTCTTTCTCTCGATTAGTCATTCGTCTATATTGTCATCAATTCTCGCGGGGACTCAAACAACTTACAAAAAGAAAAAAAACGTATGACATACAACCAACAATCCTTCTCTCTCTCTCTCTCTCTCGCTTCCATTTCCCTCACGAACACACTTGACTTGAGCGGAAATTGAACTCAAATTCATATATAAACGATGAATCAGCATTCAGCCATTTATAGATGAGTATGCATTGTAATCAGATGCAGTTAAACAGTCTCATTTTGGCTTTCATCAATAAATAACAATACACGTTTAGATATGTATATATATATATGTATATGTTCAAAAAACTATTAGTCTATATGCTTGAAATCATTTGACTCACCTTAATGTCATTGACGAAATAGCGCAGCGTCGTTGTTCTATCGACAAGAATAACAAATTCGGAGAGCAGAAGAGAGCAATTAACATGCAAGTGTGACGTCGATCGTAAAAAAAGAAAATATGAGAGAAGCCGAGAGAGAGAGAAAGACAATCGACCTTTTTTACTGGTTCGTTGTCCAAACTTCTCATCAATCTTTTTTTTGTCTTTTAAATAAAAAAGAAGCCAACGCATACAAACACACACACACACACACGCACACACATGTATACACACACAGAGAAAAGATAAGAATGAAAACAATGAAAATTATCTTTATCGAAGTTTTAAAAAGTTTTTAGCAGAAAAAAGGGTGTAATAACTTAACGTTGTTGTTAGTATAGAAAAAACAATAAGACATAAACGATCAAGAACCATAGCTGAAAATCGCCAATCTTGTGATACATCATCTTCTTCTTCTTCTTTTTTAATATGATCTGTTATAAATCGAACTTCAGCTTTTATTGAACGTAATTCTGAACGAAATACACGCATATCACGTGGAAGTGAAATTTCATTCGGATCATGACTATAATGATGATGATGAGGATTGTTACATTTCGATTGTTGACGTTGTATAGAAACATTCATATTATTCGGTAATGAATTACTTGCATATGCTTGATCGTCAATGCTAGTTACATTAGCTAATAAAGATTTTGATGAATAAGCTAATAATGGTGTAGGTGCACAGTTTTGAATACTGGTTATACTGTTTTGGCGCTCTTTTGTACGACGATGTTGAAGACGTATTGTTTTCCAAGTTAGATCGTGCTCTGGACGATTCATCCATAGTATACATGCTAGATATTGATTAATATATACTTTAACCTAGAAGGGAAAAAAAGAAAAATCAGTTTTACTTAGGGTATACCAAAAGTTCTGGCCACGAGATCTTTAGTTCGACAAAATCCATAGTTTTGAAAGTTTTATTGCGCGAATATATATAGTAACATGCCTGCTCTATGATACTGCATATATTAGTCTTCGTAGATTGTTTTTGCATCTATTCCCAGAATAGTTCGAATTTTGATATAGTACCTATTAAATTCATCAGTCATGCTTAGCAGCTTGTTTGAAGAATGAAATGAGTTGAAACCGAACGATCTTTCACCTATATATACTATCGGAATGTAATATTCTCGAACATGGCGCCATAGAACGTTACACGAGAGGCAAATAAACAACATAGAATATTCCAGAATGTATCCGAACATTCCACAAGGATCTGTTAGATATTGGTATAGTCACTATATTATAGATTTTCTCCAAAATGACTGTTAGAATTAAATCCAATATAGGACTAATATATGCAGTATCATAGAGCAGGCATATTACTATATATATTCGCGCAATAAAACTTTCAAAACTATGGATTTTGTCGAACTAAAGATCTCGTGGCCAGAACTTTTGGTATACCCTAAGTAATAATATCGAAACAGGAATATTTCAAAATATATATCTTACCCACATAGGCATTGTATGACTTTTAGCATTACGATGATGAAGAACGAGAACACAAACAGTAGCAACTACAGATGTCGTACACAATAACATAACTGTTGTAAAATACATAACAATAATAGGTAATGCTGTTGAACTTGCTGGAATAATGCCTGAGATTAACAAACTGAACATGACAACTGACAGAAGTATAGTAATTTCTAAAAACGTGAGGAATAGAGAACAATAATCTATTGCTATCGATTCGAGGAATCATTTTACTTACGTAACGATATTTTTTCACCACTATCTGGTGGAAGAATAAAGCCAAGCAAAGTCATAAAACTAATGAGAACACAGGGTACTAAATGAAAGTAACAGATGTTTATATTTGTTAACGAGACAAATCTTTGATCCATATTATATAACCTATGAAATATATTGGGGGTATCAGTTAAAAAGATGAAAGAAAAAAAGACCCTTTGATTATAATTATTTCTTTGAGGTAATTCAAAACCATACGTGTGCGAATCAAAAAACAACTGTATTATCTATTGAAGCATTCAGTTTGCCGATGACTCATTCATTAATAAACGAAGCTTATTGAGAGACAAAAGTTATACATTCATTTTAAACTAGAATCGTTATTAAATAATGAAGAAAAAAATTTACCAACAACATTCACCACATAATAAAGCGTACGTCGTCGTATTTGAAGAGTAAATAGAACAAATGGATATACAGTTGGACAGCATTCATATTTAACTGATTTTCTTACTGCAATAAAAGCTATAAAAAAGAAAGAAAAGACAAGATAAGATTTCTAGCTATAAAACTAAGTACCTTCTAAGTCCCATTCAGCATTTTTAACATATGCATCCAATTGACCTGTATCACTATTAGTAGTCAAATTAACAGCTATGTTTGTGAAGAAAAAAAAAAGTTTAATATTAATTAAATATTTTTTTTTTAAATTGATCTGATTTTACTCACTCGATTCATCAAAACTCCAGGTACCGAATTTCAATGTGCAATTTTGCACATCCAAAAAAATGCAAAACAATACAAATGTTACAAAATGTATAAGAAAACTTTTGTTTAAATAAAACTTACAAATGGAAATGATTCAATATTAAAAGGACAGATCGATTTTAGCATGCCAGGTGGGACAAAAAGTAAATTACCAGTATTTTGTACAACTATATTTGTTTTCATCGTACCTTCAAAGTTCTCACTAGCACTATAAACAAAAAAGTCAATCTAGTTTTCTTTCTTTTGCCTTTTACCTTTTACCTATTATAAAGAAAAACGTCAGGTGTCCAAAGACGTTCACATGGTATACGTACTGCAGTGATGCCTCCATAATCATCTGGATTCCATTGTAGATTATAATCAAACCATTCCTAAATAATGATGATAATGATAGAAAAAAAAACGAAAGAAGCATATATCAATAGACTTACAAAAACTAACCAACCACTAATAGCAATAATTTCATTTTTTTCATCCTGTTCAAGAAAGAAATATATGTATAGATATCTTTGTTTATTTTTCTTTTTTGGGGGGGGGCATATTTTAAATTGCTCACATAATCCATTATTTGTTGCAGAGCTAAACTCATTGATACTTGTAATGTATGTGAATCATTAAGAACAGGTCTTTCAAGTGGATTATAATTTTTATCTTCAAGTAAATATTTTAATAAACGACGTTGATGTGTACCTCCAACTATTTGAGAGATTATATATGAATTATTTTTTTTAAAGCTTACTTGTGAATTCAAATAAATACGCTAATAGCAGAAAATATTTGGTTATCTTGTAATACAACATATTTGACAAGAAGTTTTTCTTTGTAACTTGATAATTTGTTTCAATAACTATATTTCTTTCTATGATTCGTCTGCTCCAGTTGTTGCTACTTCGCAGATGTACAAATGAGGATCATACAAAGAACGGCAACTGCAATGTTCTTCCAAGTAGAAACAGATACAGAACAGAATAAGTATATGCAATTTCACTTTTTTTTTGATTGATTCTTTAGTGATAGTGACCTTTGCTTATGTATGTATTCGAATGACAGTATCGACTTATCGAAAAATTGTTTAGCTGAAAATCAAACTATAACCTATAGAATGTCATTATTTGTCCTATGGACATAGAGAACAAATGGTATTATAAACGATTATAGATACAGAAAAATAAGGATTTGGTCTGTTTATCAGAATCGCATAATCGACCATTGATGACGCTACCAACTGTGAATGCCATTGAAAATGAGATAGAAAGACAAGGCTACGTAAAATAAGTCATAAGAAACATTCATGTAATCTTTGATAATCATAACAGAGACATATATATATATATTAAAAAAAAAGGATGGGTTTGCTAAGAAAATAAATCAATCGTACTTTTTATGCCATAAAATAATGTCCGAAGATTCTCCTAACAAGAAGAATAATAGTTGTTTGTAGATGATAGTCTAGCAAGTATATCACGTCGACAATCAGACCACTGATCGAACATACTCAGTTATTCCATCGTAGGCAATGAGAAAAAAGTAATCATGAAATTTTTCCTGTTCTGTTTTTTCTTCCGGAAAATCGAGTCCTTATGATTATGCAAAAAAGATGATTAAACCGGTTCATTCTTTAACAACGAAAAACAAAACAGAATAGAAACAACAAATAACAGAGTAACTATAAATTGAACATAACTAAAGAACTGTAGGAAAACTTGAATAAATCTTCTTGCACACCATAAATTTGAAGTATAATGAACTAAAGAAAAACAAAGATAATAAATTGATTAAAAGGCACCGCTTATATAACAAATACATACGTCCAATCGCAAAATTGAATTTTCTTTAATAGCACTTCAAACTTTGTAAAACTTGATTGTTTTTGTTTGATACTCTTTATTTTCTTGAAACTAAAAGACAAATAGCTTTTATGTAAGCGTCAATAAACTTTTTTCTTCAGTAAATGAAAAGATTCATTCAAAGTTTAACAAGTGCTTTTATTTGTATACCACTGCTTTCTATAGGATTCTGCTGCTTTGTTCCCTTCCTAACAAAAGGATTCAATTATTAATCAATGATGCACAAGAAAATTTTGTTCTAATTTGATTTCTTTCTTTGACTTTGACTGTTCAAAATCAATTCAATAAAACTATACGTCTGGCGTTTTGATCTTGAACATAATTAGAATAATTATAACTATCTCGCATTTTATTAGATAAAAGCAATTATGATTCTTCATTCAGTTCTAAAAAACTAGCTCGCCATCAATTGAATTATTGCATATCTTTCTACTATAAGATATAGTTTTCAATGATAGACATTTTTTGTTTATATAAATAGATGCCAAATGTAATAATATGCTGAACTAGTTGTCTCTTAATGTACTTTACTGTTAGTATTCTGTTGCTATAAATAATAAAGTTGAGTCCTTGTATTGAAGTTTATTATGTAATTGGATTCTTCAGAGAAATAATTCTTTGTTTGGCATCTTCTTTGGTATTTTTCATTAGAAAATTGCCAGAAAACAATGAGATGCAGAACAAATCCTCTGGCATTGAGTCGAAATAAATAATAAGTTTCCTCAGAAAAGATATATAAGCTTCTATCAACAAAATTTTGCCTATCATATTTGAATTAGACAACTTTGTTTACCTGTTGAGAATAGTTCATCGGTACATATTGAGAATTGGGTTGTTGATAGAGTATTTGAGGTGTTGTATTTTGTTGCGGAAAGTACGCTGTTGGAGGCGGTGGTGCTTGTGGCCAATCATCTAAATTATTTACGTAGCATTCATATGGAATTAGAATTTTTTGAGTCATTTGAAAGTACTTAGTTCAACATTCTTATTATTACGTTGATCTTGAAAATGTTGCATTTTAGATGATAGAGTTTGTTGTTCGATAGAATTTGTCATATGATTACGCATGTTTGAATATCGTTTAGGCCGTTCAATATTCGATAGTTGACTCGAAAGATTTAATGTTGGCTTTTCTAAATTGGCAAAAAATAGATATTCAAGTTTTTTTTATCAATTTACGTTGATATGGTTGTTTTTGTGTAAAATTTCGTTTAGGATTATCTAATTGAAGACGAGGCGGTAAATTATTCTTCGTTTCGAAGAATTCATATTTCTTCAAACCACGATATTCTTGTTGAAGTTTTTCGCTATTATTATTTTTATATTGGTTGTTATGTTTGAATTGATTAGGTTCATTCGATTTTTCATCGAATCGTCTTGGATTTTGTCGACTAGGATTACTATTGTGAAGTTTAAGTTCATTAGCTTGCTGTTGAAATTGACTATTCGTAAAATTTCTTCTACGATGGAATATTCGTTCATCAATATGATATAGATTAGTATTATCAGATTGTTGTTGTTGTTGTTGCCGACGAGGTGCTACATGATATTTTTCATTAGTATTCATAGTTCTATTGTAACTATCATTACGATTATTCGATAATGGTTGACCATAATCCTTAACATCAAAATTATTTACTCGATTGTTATGTAATTTGTTATAACTAGTATGTGGAATTCGTCGACGATAATCATGGTAATCTCGTTGTGGTTGATGATAACAGTTATGTTCTGTTTTAGATTGAGAGTTAGTATCCTTTAATGGAAAATGTTCTCGATCACGATGATTACCATGTCTAAAATATTCTCTTATTAATATCAAAAAAAGCATTGAGTTCTGAAAAAGAGGGAAGTCTTTCAATTTGTAAATAAATTTTAAGCGAAATCTCTATATGTTGATTTCACTAAATAAAAATCACCCTGAACAAAGTTTATATCCATGATTGTCATGTTGTCTCATGGGAGATCATAGTTGTAATAGTGATGCATTAAATGAATTCACTAGAGGCCAATACTTTTCTGACGCAAGATTTTTCTCGTTATTTTTTTATCTCAAGCAGAGCACGACTTGAACAACAAGTTTAAAAACACATTTAACGATGCTGATTGTTTCCATCTAATAAATAAAACTAGATCTACGGTTGAGTTTTTTCTTAGGATGTGACTAGGGACACGACCTAAAACATTCCTGAAAATTTATGCTTGCAACACGTAAATACAGGCTCACTTCAGAGACTATTTATCGGTTGTAGAATTTTTCTGTTTCGCTACTAATTACTCGAAATAAGTACGATTTTGTTTGTCGGATGGATATCGAGATTTTAAGATTTCTTCATCTCGTAAATACAGATCATGCTGCCATTTCGCATCTGAATCAGTATAAAATCGATTATCCTGTTTTGATATTTCTCTAAAATAGAATCGAATGAATACAATTAAAAAAAAACGTTTCAATTTATCTTATTACTGTTTTGGTCGTTCGTTTTCATCCAATGTTCTATCGTCATGTTCATAGAATTTTCCTTTACGTGGAATATAAGCTGGACTATGAGCATTATTATCATCATCGAGTACTTGTTTATTTTTATCAGGCTTTTTTGTAATCGGTACATTTTGATTATCATTATCATCATCGTCTTCATTATCTTCTGAATGTTCGTCATCTTTAAGTTTTTTATTGATGGTACGTCGAGGTTGCACCTTCCGATGTAATTCTTCATCATCCATACATGACTAAGATAAGAAATTTCATGAAAAGAAAACAAGAAGAATCATTCTAATTGATACTTTAAAAGGATTTTTATTCGAAATAGAAGTTAATCCGGACGCATCATTTATTTCATCATCGTCGTCTTCTGCTTCTACATCTTCATATTCAGAATCATTTTCATCGGGTGATTCACTGGCTGTGGTTTTAACAGATTGTTTCGATTCGAATTCATCTATTATATTGTTCGCATGATTTGGTTTAGAATCATTTTCGCATGTTGAAACGATTTTTAATTCATCTGATAAAAAAATTTCAAAATGATTTACTCATGAAAATTTTAATTTTACCATCTACTAATGATAATTTGTCGTGTTGTTGTTGATTATTTTGACTTTTAATGTCTTCTAATACCCAATTTAAATCTGACATGTTCGAAGCAAAATGATTTACTATTAGAAACTAGCGGTATAAGACCTGGAAAAAGATAAATAATTAACCAATCAAATATTGAGTATTCTTATATTAAAATATTATTTTAGTTATTTTTTTATATTTTTATTTAATATTTACATTTATTTCTATTCAAAATTTGTATTTGTTCTAGTCAATCAATGAATTTGATTGGAAAAGAGAAGGTCGTATCTTAGCAACGAACACAAGCAAAGAACGAAGAGATTTACTGTATCTATTTTACAAGAAAACAATTTTTCTACAACATGGTTGCTCGAACAGCTCGTGAAATTCTTCGTTGGCTTGAAAGTCTTTATCTCACATATCCTATAGTTGTACCAAAGTGGTATGTTAGAGTTCTATTCAAACACTTCAATTTTCTTATTTAAACACAAATAAATCACTTGAAATCCTTTTAATCCAACGAAAAACAAATAAATCAATTGATGCTTTCGAAAATGTTAAAGTGTTGAATATGCGATCGATAGAATGAGTTTCTATTTCTATTTTGAAGGGATTTATCAAATGGATTTGCTTATGCTGAAATTTTGCATGCTTATTTTCCTAATGAAATCAGTATGTTCACTTATTTAAATGGGCGTTCATTAAATTCTCGTTTATCGAATTGGTCACTTATTAAGCAATTTATAGCAAGAAAAAAGATTCCAATTTCAAATGAATTCATCGATGCAACAATACATGGCAAAGAAGGAGGAGCCGAACGATTGTTGGAACAAACCTATGAATTGTTTACAAATAAAAAGTAATCATCCTGCATAGAATTTTTTACTTATTCAAAACATTAAAATAAATTATTCTTTTTTCCTCAAAGAGCATATATAGATCCTACAAATGAACGTACTGATGATTTTACTGATTATTGTTATCAAAGAAACTTGCATAATTTTGAACGAGCACATACATCGAAATCATTAAAGAATAATCTAAAACTGACTGAATTAATTACTGATCCATCGGATGCATATAGAACGAAAAAGGTTTTTCCCCACCCAACTATTTGGCATAATATTAATTTCTAATTAATATCGCATAGAGCGCCGATATTCTTCGTCAATCGAAACTTGATCGAGAAAATATTCGTGTTGGTAATCCAGAAAGATTTGATATTAAACCAACATTAGCTGAACGATGTTTACGAAAACCTCTTCGACCTGATTCCACTGCTCAAGATTGGTATATAAAATCATTTGATTCTCGTTCACGTTCAGCCACTTCAACAACTGTTAAAAGTAATAGTTTCAAGCAACAATCACGAGAAACTTCAGCTGATGTATTAAAGAAAAGCTCAATGTCACAACATCATAGTGGTAATTAAATTAAAGAGAAAATCAAAATAGAAAAACTAATTTTTATTTCTATTTTCATAGATAAAGGATTCATTCAGGCTGATGACAATAATTTATTTTACAAGGAAATCGTTTTAAAACAACACTCGGTACCATTAAGTGACCTTATGCAGATAAATCAATCTTGAAATTTGTAATAATTTTTATTTTGATAACAAAAAAAATAAATATTATTCATTAAAGAATATCTTCTCTATATCTATATTGGGATTAAGAAATTTCGCAAATGTTTCAAGTCTAATTTGTTTCATTACCTATCCGTGTAAATAAAACAGTACAAGTCCAATTAGGAAATAGCATTGTGATAATCAATCGTTTTCATCGTTATCTCCATCCAGGAGGTCTCTAAATAATAATCTATAAAAGAATCCAAAATTATGTTTTTTATTTCAAGCTCTACTCAATCAGCAAAACTTAAATAATACAAAAAGAAAACTAAAAACATGATTGATTATCTTTTGTTTTTATTATTATTATGATTTTATCTTTCTACTATTATATTAGTTTTCTATTCGAAACTATATGCAATTGTTTTGTTTAAGCCTTATGATATTAAATAATGAAATAGTAATTATAAAAAGTGACTGTAAAAAGATTGTTCTCTAAAAACGTATTTTAGAGGTGAGGTGGTTCGAAGCCTGGCGGAGACGGGGCGAGGTCAATTTTAATCAATAGGCGGTGGCGGACGACATTTAAGCTGCTCTGCCCATTTCTGTAGCATATTTCCTTTTTCTTCTCAGCAGTTTTATATCTACTTGTTGTAGCAGAAGATGATACAGATACAACTACGATTTAGTGAAACTTTGAGTATAGCTGATCGATGAAAATTCATTTTATACTTATGTTGTCAAACAGATGAACGATATATTATTTCAACTCGTGCATATGTTCCTTAACTTACAAATAAAATAGATCCACTCATTATAACCTCCGCGTTGAGACTATTTATGGTTATATATTTAAAATTTTTGATTAATTCTATTGGGTTAGCCTTTGTATTATTAGCATATTGTGCATTATTCTTCAAGATATCAGTAACGTATACATTTACTGATCAGAAGTTTTTCAGTGATTTGATCTTATTAATAAAGTAAGGAATCGATCTCTTACTACCGTACAACATTTTTTTGCCACGTTTATCCTGATGTAATGCTTTACATAAAATTAGATTTTATGATCCATATCGAGAAATACGACGTCGTAATTCTAGGGTCATTTATAGGACTGTATTTTTTTTCACTTAGGAAATCGTCTTATCAAGCAAGTTTATATATTTTTCTTTTTCTACTACTTAAAAGCTGTCTTTATCTGGTGTGATCTTATTCAAGATAATTATGTCCTAGCTATATAATGTAATAATATGCTTTTATTTAGCATAAATGTTTATTATTAATTGAGTAGATGGAATAAACTAAATGATAAAAGGCTTTATCTATAGATTTTTTTTGTATTACAATGCAGCTATGTGATATAAGTAATATGTGAAGAATGTTCGTCGAATCGTAATTCTCCATAATCATCAACTGCAACTGTGCTTTCCATATATTCTCATGTGGTTTTACCAATAAGATTTATTCAGTCTATTTCAAAATACAAATAACGATGAGACAATGAAATGAACAAGAAATTCAAACGTCATCGTTTCATATAAAAACCGATAGTTCCAATAGTCTAAATCACAAATAAACATTAAGATTTTTTAATTGAAATCGGAATAACTTGCAATAGCTGATAAAATGATTTGATTCAAGATAAAGACCTTTTGATTCAGGTGAAAAATTCTTTCATTGTCTTCCCAAGTAGATCAACTTGGGTCGTACATGGCCGTTTGAACATAATTTACGGTCGTTTTGCATCGTACCAAAAATGTCGTATACTGAAATAGCCGACCACACTACGGTCGCTAGTAACCGTTTACGACACGGCGAAATACGGCCGTAATACAATGCATGCTAAAACGTCAAATTACGGCGATTTACGGTCGGAAACGTTATAGAACGGTAGTATATGTTGCTGTATGCGGCCATTTACGATCGTACCAGACCGTCGTAATGTTCGTCCTAGCTTCGAGAATTTTATCCATCTAGTCGTTCAATAGTACGATCTGATGATTTAGTTCCTTCAGTTCTTGAGTAATAGTCACCATTGAGCCGGGGTTGGGGGGGGGGGGATTAGTGCAGGTGAACCTGTGGTGGATCCATGTTGAGCTTCCATTGATGATTCTCGACCCAGGTCGACTAATCCGACGACGGATTCTATCGGATCCTAAAACATCCTACTAACCGAAGAAATCCAGTTGGATTCTGAGTTTCGGAACTATTGACGAATCCGACGGAAGAATTTTAAAAAATATCAAAATTCTATTTAGTGCAAAAGAGTTTTTTAGAAGTTAAGTATAGCAGACTTTTGGCGCATCGGATCTCAGAGTAGGATACAATCAGATATGTATCGGATTTCGATCCTGTGGATCCGAATCTCGGTCCGGAATCTGCTGGCTCTTGTCGTTTTTCATGTAAGATCCGATGCAACCCATTTTCAGATCCGATTGGATCCGACTGTAGGAATGAACGACCTGGGTACGGCGGGAAACGGCAGGAAAATGCTGGAACGTGAAAGCAGTATTCCGGTTCGAGATTTTTCCTGTGAATTCCCAACGATTTCCTGTGCTTTCATGCAGGATGCGGTGGTTTTTCCCGCAGTATCCGTTCTCCGGAATCATTGGCCTGGAAAACATTAGTTACACCCATGTGGAAGAAAACGGTCCATAAATGGCATAAAAACGATGAAAACTTTGAAAAACGGCGCCGTTTTCCGTCAGCTCGAAAACGAAGAATATGATGTTAAAAGCGATGGCCATTTTCTAGCAAAAACGGCCGTTAAAATGAGCTGACGGGTTACGGCAAAATAGAGTGAAAATTAAGGCCGTCTTATTCCATTTTATAGGCATCTCAGTCAGTTTTCGATTGTCTTTCAGACGGCCGGAATGATCTTCTTGGGCAAGGTCCAACAGATTGTTGTCATCATCATCATGTAATCTTTCTTCAGACATAACTACAAACTGTTTCAAATAAAACAAATGTTGAATAATGCAGCTATTAATGGTAGAAAGAATTTTTTTTCTGAAAATAAACTTTTCTGTACTACAAGGAAATTTGCGAAGAAACGACGTTCATGGAAATGAAACCGCTATCATGGTCTAATGATATAAAGCAAAATGAGAAACACCGATTAATATTGAGCGCAATGTTAGCGTCGTAAGATGTCGGTCTACGACGCTAACTTGTTTTTCTTAAACTTATTCGTTTCTTTTCTGTCATTCCTTTTCATCGTAATCGATAGTTGTTATACAACAGGTTACGATGCCCCTTTTTTGTTTCTCTCTCTNACATACATATATTAAAATAAAATCGACAACATTACAATAAATTATTATTTATTATTTATTATAAAAGTATGTATAGATCAACTTACATTATAAATAAATAAATAAGTGTAAGATAATATAGAAACATCCCAATAAACATAAAAAAAAAGATATACATCCTCGCATAAAAGAAAGTCTTACACGCAATATCCGCTATACCCGGGACAATCATTCAGGCAGTTGGAACGAGCATCTTAAAAGGCCTGAAACTAAAACGGTATGATAAGGCATTAATTTTCACCGTACTTCGCCGTAATCCGTCAGCTCGTTTTACGCACCGTATTTTTCTCTAAGAGGTCGCCATCATTTTTAACATTATATTCATCGTTTTCCGAGCTGACGGAAAATGGTGCCGTTTTTCAACGTTTTATACCGTTCTTACAGCCGTTTACGCAGCATTTTCTTAGACATGGGCAATGCATTTTGATGAAAATCAGTTTTAAGACTTCGTTTTTCTAATATACACAGAAAAACATTAATGTTGACTCGTTATGATATTGCTTTCTTCTGATAAACTAAAACTTCAGATTTATAGGCAAATACTATTATGTTGATTTTTGCGACATCTAACGTTGAACATTTTTTTATCTATTATTTGTTGGCTGTTTGAGGGAACGACGAAATAAGCGAAAAGGTAAAAAGAAATTGCAGCAGTGAAATGTGATGATCTTCAACATATTTATTCATTTTTTGAACGAAATAATCAATCAGATTTCATTGTAATATATTACAAAAAGGTAATACAGTCATTCATTCTATTTTCTATAACTAATCCTTTTAGTTTCGCATTTTTTTTATTGGATTCCATTAGAAATAAAAGTTTGCTTGAAAATTTCAATTGAACTGATAAATAACATGTTTATTTTTTAAATATTTGATAAAAATGTTTCTTTATATCTTTCAAGCATAATCTTTGGAAAAGCTTTTTTTAGATTCTGAACAAATCAATTATTCACCATAAATTAATCTCCGTATGTCACTATATTCGTATTCACTACGATGTTAAGAAACTGTTCTTACCGTTAGTTTATGTTGAATGATACAATATATTGCTGTTAATCTACAATGGTAATATATGACGATGATCAGTGTTTAAAAAATCATATATTGTCTTATCAAGATACATAGTCCACTTTAAGTACAACAAATCAACGTGAAAATTTCCTCCTAGCTTAGCATTTTTAATAGGTAAATTGCACGATTGAATATTGCATTAAAGAAAAATGAACTACTAATGACTATAGTGCGAGTATTGAGCATCCGAAATAACTAATATTTGAACAAATGAAATCATCTTTTAGACGAGCAAAAACCAAAATTTAGATTTTAATTTCATGTTAAAATCTTCCGAATTTATTATGTATCTAATAAGAATCAGAGTAAACATTATTGAAAAGTCTTTCTGAGTTTCAAACGTCTAAGGAATAATCGTAGTATTTACGGTGAATAAGATCGAAAAATATGAATAATTTTTGTCGATCTTTGTAATTCTATGTATGTCTGAAATAGAAGAATACGATTTTTCCCACTTGCTTTTAATATATTGTATATAATTGAAAAATAATTGCTTTTCAACGATATAGATAAAATATCAACAACAGACATATTGTCGACTGATGATATGTACAATGTTCTTAGAAATGAAAATTTAATTGAATAATATTCTCTAGCAATAATATACGTATACTTTCTATAGTAGCCCATGTAAGAAAAATTGGATTAATAACCAGATTAAAAATCTATTATAATGGCACTATTTTAATCTGATTTTTTCAATCTTAAACGGTAGATTATTATTGATTTTGATTTCATTTTAATCGAGTATACTAGTTTTGTAGGTAATCAATTAGAACTGATTAAAATCAAAATCAAAAATAATCTGCCGTTTAAGGTTGAAAAATCAGATTATAATAGTGCCATTAAAATAGATTTCTAATCGCATAAGAATCAATTATAGTCAGATTTTTTTACGATTTTGCTTTACATGGGTATTGTTTCTAAAAATTAATTCAAAAATTTTCATTTGACATGTTCATGAGAGTTTTAGGGCTTATTAAATATTCTAATAGAACTATTTATTTCATAATATTTTGTTACCAGGAATTAATTTCATCAAACAATTCTATTCATAATTACTCATTTAGATTCTCTATAGTGTTATTAGATTCATGTAAAATAACAAATGAGAATTCATGGAATATTTTTAAGTGAAATCATCCGTTCTCATCATTAATTAACTTCAATGTATTATAAATCAAATAATACATTTGCCGAAAAAATATTTCCTATAGATTATGAACTATTTTTTAGTACCAACAATTTGAACAATAATTGAAATAAAACTAGATTTTTCTTAATATGGAACATAATCAAGTTTTACTTCGACACATCATATCTCAAGAGGTTTTATTTCTGAATAGATTGCTCATCAATACAAGACTTGAGACATTATAGTTCATAAGAGTGAAATATTAATTACGAAAAACATCGAAGAAATTTCACCTAGGACAATAAATATTTTGTCATCACGAAAGAAACTAAATGTATCATATTCTATATGAGTAAATCAATACGTGGCGGCAGAGTACAAGAAGCTCTGATGACTCATTTTTGTATGAAAACAACAACAAAGAAGGGAATAAAGAATGAAGAAAAATGTTGAATGCGCATTACAAACGACAAGCAGCGTTAGTCATTCAGCTCCAATCATCTAGCTTGCTTCATCTTGAAGTTTTCAACATAGACAAATGGCATCTAGAATTCATCATTTAATTTTACTTGGTGACAGTATTTTTGATAATCATTCGTATGTTGATGATGGCCAACCTTCTGTAATAGAACAACTAAAAGCAAAAGTAGAAAGTTTCGATTGGAATGCAACATTAGTTGCTGTAGATGGAAATATTCTTTCAGATGTTGCTAATCAAATAAAAAGTGTTCCTCGTGATGCTACTCATTTGTTTATTTCGATTGGTAAAATTTATTTATGTTTTTCTAATTTGACATTTAATAACAGATCGATTTATTTTTTTTCAGGTGGAAATAATGCACTTTCGTATATGCACCATTTAAGCGCAACAGTGCACAGTGTTGGTGAAGCATTACTAACACTTAGTAAAATAAAAAAGAAGTTCGAAAAAGTAAAAGAAACCAATGAATTTAGCATTTATATACTATATTGTTTTTAGGACTATACTGATATGTTAAAAAAGTTGATTGCATTGAAAATTCCTGTAACAACATGCACTATTTATAATCCACGTTTCGATGATTCACATCAACAAGCAATGTGTGAAACAGGTCTATCAGCATTAAATGATGTTATTGTTACAGAATCAACTAAAGTATAAATAAAAAAAACAACGAAATTTTAATTTATCTTATGAACTCATCATTTTCTTTCTGTAGCTTGGTATTCCAGTTATTGATTTAAAAACAATATTTAATGATCCAAAAGATTATGCAAATGCTATTGAACCCGGTGTTCAAGGTGGCGAAAAAATAGTTGAAAATATTCTTTTTGTTGTAAATAATCATCGATTTGGTGAAAACATTTGTTCTATCTACGCTAGAATGAATCATCCATAAAACTTCTCTTGTATTTATGTATTTATTTATTTCTGAATATTAAAAAATTAACAAATTATTTTGCTTTGAATTAACTATCATTATTTTGCAATTTATTGTGATCCTGATTTAAGTGAACCATTTTGGTCAACTTCAAATTGCCAATCGTGTTTTGGTGATGTGACACCTTCGAATGGACTTGATAATTCTTGGGTTGTACCATCTTGTAATTTAACGGTTAATTTATGAATGAATTTTCGTTGTTCATGTTCACCAGTTTGCACGGTTTTTTCTTCAACTGCTTGTGAGCCTCCTGCAGCTACAGTAAAAGTAGCTGTTTCACTGTGACTAATATCCGAACCAGCATATTCAACTTCGACAGTAACATCATTATCGTGTGAGTTTTTCAATACTGCTGAGTAAACATGACCAGGAGCTCGAACCCCGCACATTTTTGATTCCATTATTATTTTTCACAAAAAATAGATGAAATGAAGAGTGAAAAGAAAACTAATCTGTAATTCAAGTACAAAAACTAAATGAAAGAAACAAAATGTTTTGCATGTGTATTTAAATGCAATAGAAGATAAGAAGATTGTTTTTAAATTTAAGATAAGACACAAATAGACACCTACTTTCGATTAGTCATCAACGATTCATATGTGGGTTTTTTCTTAATCAAGGCAACAATAACATGTTAGATTAGAAAAGAAAAATAGAAAACTCTTATCGTTAAAAAATTCTTTTGTAGTTTTAAAATAGTAAAGAGAAGGGTTATGTCAAAGAACTTTTCGACTCCATCACAGAAACAAAATCTTTGCCTACGAGAAAACATGTTTCAAATTAGAACTGAAAGTTGCCGGTAGCTAATTTTTATTATGGTATTTGACATTTCGGCGAATCGAAGCACAAGTATTGTACAATGTTCAGCAAGAAATCAAAACCGTTGGCATTGGTAAATCATTCTGAACGCTATAAAACATTGTTTTCACGTCATTAATAACTCAATTTGAGCGTTAATTTTACTAGCGTATAAATTGATCATTTTTTTAAACCAAAAAATAGATAAAAACTTGCTGTATGGTGTTAGAGAAAAGATTTAGTCGAAATCATAATTTACTTACGATGATAAAACGTTTCTTTATATGAACAGTAGATCAATCAAATAGAAAATACAAATCGTATTATTATGATTTTATGTACAGAAAAAAGAATAAAGATATGATTAAACAACGATTGTAATTCTAAAACGGAACAGATAATGATTATGTCCATAGGTTAACAAGTAAGGGGATTCATTTACATCTGTCAAAGATAGTACGAGAAAAATAATCTGCTCACGTAGTAGCTATACACAGATAAGCTGGAAAAAAGTTTTCGTAGAATACAAATCTTGATTATAGTTAAAAACGTAAAGAAGATAATCGAGCGAGCAACAAATGTACATATATTATATATAGCACATATCAATATGGAAGAAAAGAAGAACAAAACATCGCACAGTTACAAAGAAGTATTATTACAATTCTCGTGCTTTCATGTCCATTCGTAAAAATTTGAAGGAAATAGATCGATTATCTCTGAAATAGAAGTAAGCCGATGTTCACGTTCATTTAGGGCACATATGAACTTCCACCAACTGAAACTATTCTATCTGGTTCAATACGAAATTCCCAAAGTCTTTCTCGTGAAAAAACTCTTGCAAATGGGTAAGTAAGCACTAAATCACCACAATGAATTTCTTGAATAAAGGCATCTGGCATCCATGAATCGATATCCTGAATTTTTTCAAACACCACTTTATATCTGTGACTGGCGACGGTAATTATATCTTTATTTGATATGGAACCAAACGATGTTGACCAAATAATCGTGCATTGAACTGGTGTGTTCTGTATATTCCGAATTACTGCTGACAAAACGATACCCGACGTATGTATTGGTGATATTTTTGCTGTAAAAAACAACACAGAAAACATAAAAAAATTGATCATCGACATCAATTTATATCTACGAAAAGAAAAGGAAAATTGTTTTCTATCTTAATCCACATCCAAATAAGTTCGTATAAAGGTATTTCTTAGCAAAAATGATTACTGATCTAATCGATAAAATAAACAGCAAATTGTTCGAAGAAAAACATTGTAATCTACGATTTGAGCTCTATGCACTCATGCCCTTGAATAAAATCTCATGAAAACAAGATTTTCTATCGAAAATAATTTTCACATGTTGCTTGTCTCGCGTAAGTTTATTGCTCATCGTTTAGGAATTTGACATACAAGCCGAGCAGGCACACCTATAGACAAGCAAAAATTGAAGCAGAAAATAAGATATACAACAAGACGAAACAGTCGCAAAAATCATACATGAATGTTACGTTAAAATTTGACTGCAACTAGTGATTTTCATATTGGTTTATAAAACTGTGAAACATCTCATAATAAGAACCTAAGGATATTTATACGTTACTATTTCATGTCTATGTTGCTACAACAATAATGTTCTGATGTTTTAGCTACACTGTTTTATCTGAATTTATAGTATTAAAATCATTACATTTCTTGCCGTATCAGATACGAAATATGATCGTACTGCAAAGGGTAGCTATTTATTTGCTCTCGTTTAGTATTTAATCCTTAAGCGATCGAATATTCTCTTCACTGTATGATATCTGATGATGTTTCTTTGTATGTTATAAGAGAAGACACTATTTCGGTTTGACCTGATATCAATGTGTAAAATAAGATTATATGCCAGTAAATACGCTAAATAAATTTCTTTAAAAATTAGAAAATTGAAGTTTTCCCTCTAGGCTCTCGTGCGTGTTTGATCCTATAAAATTAGTGAAGCTTTTAACTTTTTACAGAAAGAATAAACATAATTTTATTAACTTCTACGTATTTTGAACTATGTTCTTAGGATTTATCACGAGAACTTCTGTTATATTATACTATTGTTATATCAAAAGCACACTATTTTATACACAAACGTGGTTTAAAACTTCTAGTGCCAATAGAGACAACAGTAAAACATAAGATAATGTTAAATCTTTTGTATGAGTAATCGATTCAACCAAGCAACGAGAAGAGATAGTGGCACCAAATAGAGACGCAATTGGAGGTATTACATATACTACTGACACCAATATCTGATAACAGGACCGTAGCGCATACGTGTATATCACCTATTTGGACGAACGAAGCGTTACCACAGATGATTTAAAGCAGCTCTTGAAATGTAGGAGTAAAATCTAGATTTTAGGAAATTCGTGCTACCTTCTAATCATCCTGGTTTTATGTATTACAAACTCAAGTGAATACTTGATAGCAAGTGTCATTTCTCAAAAAAGGCACCAGCTATCATATAAATCCTTTTTATCAACTGATCCTTGAATTAAGCTTCTGCTAAATAATTGCGATTGCGATAATAAAAAATAGAACTTGAATAAAAACCACCTCTGTATGTAATTAGCTAAGTCTCATTAAAAATCACACGTTAAGCCTTCTCTGCTTTCAATAATGTGCGTTATTGATCAGTTTACTATGATGCACACACTTGTCAAAGAACATCCCTAGCGATAAAAGCATAGAGAAAACAAGCGCTTATTATATCAAACATACTAAGACTGGTTGAGAAATATCTATGGTCAGACCAAAAACTTGAGCTAGATCTCTTTTTTTTCCTTACACTATAGAACTAGAAAAAATGAGAGTTGTTGCTGATGTACAGGAAAGGTACAGAGAACCCTCATGTTCAAATTCCATATCGGCGATATTGAGTTCAAAAACTAAATAAAGCCTCCTATCTTTGTTGTAGACATTCAAAAATTCTTTTCAGTTCTAAGAAGTATTCCTCAAATCGTTAAGTTTTGTTAAAATGTTATTATCAAAAACTTAATTGTTGCTCGTGTATTGGAAAGTTTGTGAGAAAAAGTGGTCACAAAGAAGACTATCTGATTGATCAGTGTAAAATAAATGCAAAATTACTCTAGTGAAACCATGTTTTTGCGTATTTCATTCAATAAACTATTCAGTTTATACGATTTTATATTTTATATTTTTTTGAATAATTCTTGTTTCGTGTAATGCACTTTTATATTCATTAGTGTTTTTTATTTTTGTGATTAAATCGTTTTTCTCGCGAACATACACAATTCAGGATACGTATAAAAGATTTTCCTGTTCGTTCGTGATAGAAACGATCAATTTTCTCGAATCTATTCATATCTAAGTGTATTTCATCCAAAGCAAGTTGGACGTTGTAAAAACCAAAATCGTGTCTTTTCCCTATGATTTCAAACGATAATGATTTTGATAAACCAAGCCGTTTTTTTTTATTTATTTCAACTAAGACAACAATGGCTATAACAAAACTAATCTAATCTTCGCGATTATTTTTTAACAAATTGATGTAACTTTTCAAGTAAACCAATGTATTGACGATGCTCATAAGCAGTTGAAAAATCAACAAGTTGATTGGCAAATTCTAAAAGTACAGATAAATCAATTTATAAATAATCAAATGGAAACTTTATTCTTTTAGGTTTTAATATACAAGAATCAGGATCTATACTTAACGTGGCTTACTGTTCTGCAAAATCTAATCCTAAATGAAAATGTTTTGTCAGATTTACTATTTCACCTACATCATTATACTATCCTAAGAAATCTTTGTTGGATCAGTTGAGCGTCACAAATTACATCAAATCAACGATAAATTTTATTTCCTGTCATAGAATGTAAATAATAGAGACTTTTTTTTTGCACTCTATTTTACTTAATCAAGTATAACTATAAAATACAATAAGCTTTCGGATTATGTAATAATCTATGATAAGAAGAAGATTACTGAACACAACTATCCGAGTACTTCTTTGATCATCATCTAGTTATGAATTTGTTTCACGCTATAATTTCATGTCATTTGATTTACACGACTGTAGAGAAAAAAATGAATTCAGTAACACAAATATTTATATGTCTGAAAGAAAATAGATCAATAATTTGAATTTCTATCCTATAAAATCTCAAAATTAAAATATACCTTCGCCGATGCCATGTTCTTCAAGTAAATTAAGTAATTTATCATAAAGATCTCCATCAATAACAGAACAATCAGAACTATAAACAGTTTCATTCCATTCTCCATCGTGAATAGTAAATTCATCTATTTGAAAATCTTCAAAGATATGTTCTTGATGGCCATGTTTCGGATCACTATCTTGTGTTGCTGCATGTTCTCGAGAATCTGGATAATCATTTGGTAAATACGAACAAAGAAATGATAATGTTTGTCCCCCACGATTTAAATCAACAGTAAATGTTGGCCGAGATTTCAAATGTGTTGGTGAATCATCTGCTGGTTGTTCTTGTCCGGCTGCATTTAAATTTGTTTCTTGTTCAGTATCAGCTGCATTGACTGTATTTGTGACATTGAATTTCACAGTAACTTTTCCAGTTCCAATTTCACGAGTTAATGTTACTTCTGGCCCGCTTGATTGAACCTAAGAAAAGAAAACAATAGAGAATATTTAACCGGATGGAAAAATAAACAAACCTGAAAATTTGAAATAATTGGCAATTGAGTTGGATGCTTTTGTGCGCTTTTTTCTAACTGAACTTCTTTTTGAAGAAATGTTTCTAAATCACGATAAGCATTATCATTTGTTTGTACTGCTGAAAATGTTCGAATGGGAACATGACGTTGAGCTATTTCGGATATCCGAAATGACTTTCGTTGAATTGTAGAATATAAACGCTGATTTATATTCGTAATTTTAGCAAATTGAAATAAATTTCGTGTAAGATTACGAAAAGCCATTCTAGAATAATCTATAAGAAATCTTCAAATTCAATTCTATCGATATGCTCGTTTTATCCTATACGTTCTGAATCAATCGAAACCCCACATCATTTCATTTCAGCAAGGAGGTTATAACATAGAGGGCGTTAAGAAAGAGAATCATTGGCTTTCTCTCGCTTTTATATTGTTTATTTTCTTTTCTCGGGTTCACGTATTCCTAACGAGTAATAACCAGATCATTTCTACAGTATAGTATTATCTGTAACAACACAACTCTTCAGGAATCATGTATGGTAATTTTTATGTCGGAAATATCTTACAGAATCTTCATTCGTAGGACTAATGCACATCCGTCGATTAAATGGGGCCAAAAGAAAGACCATATTTTATTAACTATTGCTGTACAAGATATTGATAAGCCAGAAATTAATATTGAATCCTCAAAACTCCATTTTAAGTAGGAGAATATATTTTTTTTTCCATTGAGTAATCGATGGCTTATATTTGCTTTTGATTTCAGAGGACAACAAACAAAAGGATTAACATACGATACAACATTGGAATTTTTCGATCAAATTGATCCAAAAGTAAGTCTACTTTTCCCATATAAAGTAGAAGCAGTATGAATAGCTCTACTATCAATGCATATTGATTATAGCAAAAATCAAAAATAAGTTTTTAACGAATGAAAACGATTAAATCAGTGTGCCAACCAAATATTTAGGCAAACCGAACATTAAATATCGTAGACTCTGAAAGCATTGGTGACGAAAAGAGAACATGTTCTAAAAGAAAAGCAACCGACTGGAGAATGATCGAACTTCGATCAATAGTATCTAATAATAAGAACTGGACTACTTACTCGTTGAATATCTGGAGAAAGAACAAATATTAAAATGATTCTTTTTTTAGACATCAAAGTATCGTAAAATAAGTCAAAACCATTGGGAATTTATGTTGAAGAAAAAAGATTCAACAAAACCATTTTGGAAACGATTAATTAAATCTGCTGAAAAAGTAAGAGATAATTTATTTTAATTCTAGAATTGCATCTAATACGTGTTTTGTTGTTTAGTGCTCATGGATTACTGTTGATTGGAATCACTTCACAGGCGAAGGTAAGTAAAGAAAAGTAAAATCAAAAAGATGTATGTTCTTTTTTTCTATTAATTATCAGGTGAAGAAGATGAAGAAACGGAGGGTGCTGCTGGTAAAGATTGGGGTGATTTAGGTATATTAATTTTGTGTAAAAGGTTTTCCTCTTACTTATTGCGTATATCTCTTAAGATGGTATGTTTAAACAAATGGGTGGAGGTGGTTTAGCTCCTGGGTCAGCACCTGATCTCAATGATCTTGATGATGAAGGAACAGATACAGACGATGAACCAATGCCGGATCTCGAAGAGGTACCACAAACCGATGAAGAAAAAGTCAATTCAAATGCAGCGAAAAAAGAAACTAAATAAGTTTCCGCTTTTTTTTTATAACACAGACACATACACACGAATATATTGGCGCGTTTAACGAAGAGCGTATTCAATATTTGTTCACTGTTATATCTACTGTAAAACTGTTGTCGTACATTTTTTTTCATTCTTCGTTTTTTACTTCAATACCAGTCAATGCTTTAAAGAATCAAAACGTGTGTACTGTGACTTGTCGTATATACAAAAAATTAAATAAAAATAAAACAGTACGAAAATATTAATTCAAGTTTTTCTTCTTGATTGATTACTTGAGATCACGGTGGCACTTTCAAATTATTTTCAACAAGAAGAGATTGCTTGTATTTGCTCTTCTCGAATGAAAACATTTTACTTATCAAAAAGCATAAATGACCATAATTGAATATTGATCATTTAATTTGAAAACTTGAATTATGTTAGATATTCAATTTAGTATATAACTGTTCACAGAACAAATTTTTAGGTCAACTTTATTTTTAGAAGATCTGTTTTGAATTACTATAATTATTTGCAAAATTCCTCCTGGCTACAGGTCATATGATATGTCAAGAACAAAAATATGATAGGTACGTTTGCATGAATTTTAATCCGTAGAAGCCATGTTAGCAGACTAGACTGAAAATTTAGGCACACTGTTATTTGAGAGACATTATAATACTATTTTTTGAAAAACAAATCTTCAATAAGAATAGATACTTATGTTTCTAGTACTGTTTTATGTTCTATGAGATAATTATCGACGTCATACCTTTATTATTATAGTCTTTCGACTTTGAGAAAATAAGGACCCTTGTCCATGTGCGGTTGTTCTTGTTGAGAGTTTACAATGGTTATTGAAATTATCTAATACGTAGATTATTTTGCTTAATTCTATGTGTATCTTATAGATTATATGAGTTAAAATAATCCAAAGCTCATCAGATTAGAATCGTTAGCCGCTGGTAAACTAGTCAATAATATTTGATCGATCTTTCATTCTGTTTACATTTTATGGACATTTTAATTTTGCATCTTTTCAAAATTATAAACTCACTGTTTTGTTACGATGTTTTGTAAATCCATCCAATTAGAAACGTTCTTTTGTGGTTCATAGTTCGAAAGAACAGATTCTTCTCTTCTTGGCGCATACTTTTACTGAAGATTTCTTTCTATAGTACTCTTCAAAAAGAAATTCTTCTGCCACGTAACGAAGGTTTCTTGTAAATAGGCCGCACGAAGACATTTATTTAATTTTATTACGCAACATAGAATTAAAACCGATATTGAATAGAATGTTAGATATTCTATTTAAATATGTTTCGCTGTAGAAAATCTTCTGGCCTTGTTGTTTTAACAAAAAGCAATCACACATAGACTTCCTTGCATGGTTTCATTCCTGCATTCGAAGAAATGCAATATATTATTTTAGCAACTTGAATGTGCAAGAAAATTTGCAAATTGAAACTTTTTTAAGTGATAAATAGTTAGTGTAGAAAGCTTACGATAGTCCCAACAGCAAGTTAAGTATTATGAATTTCACTAAATCAACATGTGTTTATCAGATGGAGTTCAACACGTTGTGGTAAATTTGATCTAATACCTCCATAGAAATAACTCACACCAGCTAACTTGAGTTGCTTCAAGGATTATGACAAGCTTTTGACTTCGGCTATTCATAACGTGCTTACAAAGAAGAAGGTCAAAAAATAAACTTCAATACATAGTATCTATTCTTGTAGAGTGCCTAATAGTCGTGCTAATACAATTTTCAATAGTAATATTGGATGAGCATCAGATTAAAAAATATTTTGACGTCTTATTTTTGTCACAAACTTCCCATGCAGGTCAAAGGTTAACTCGAAATCAAAGAAAATCTAATGAATCCTTAGGTAGAGAACAATCGGTTACATTGAACTATAAATCATAATATGGTAAAGTATATGCGAAAATAAATTATCTAATAATTAGAAAATGATGACGGTCAATATAGAAACTTCGCACAAGTTTGAGTTCCTGAGAAGATAACAATCTCAGATGCATAGTTCAGATCGATCAGCAGCTGTGGATTAGCAAGTGCAAAAGAAAAAAATAATGCAAAAGAAGACGACTGATTTCCAACAATCAATAACACTTATCCATATGAAGGCCTACTTACATAAAAAATTCCTAGCCAAGAACACATCTGTAAAGAACAATATCTGGGAAATCTATGAATATTCCACAAGTATATATGCATCGTTTCTCATGGACTTTGTATGAGACTCGTACAACAGCAAGTTGTTTATTTTTTTTAATATTTAGAAAGATATTTGTTCAATGTTATAGTTTATTAAAAGAGTTTTCATGTATTAATCTTCATTTTGTTAGAATAGTTTATATTAACATGTTATCTTATTTCCTACTGTTCAAGAAAACAAGACGATTAGTGTTCATTCCTTGTTGAAAACTCATTGTATCAATGTGTGGAAAGATCACCATCAATTTTCAGTTTATCGATACGATTAAGTAATTTCAATCGAGGTCCCAATTGCATTTTGAAAATAGTAGTCAGATGTTCGTCTTCTAAAAGTAGAAGAGCTGTTCCATCGATCAGATGTTCTTTAATTATCGGTGTATAACAATTTTTTCCAAGAACATGTTCGAAAAACGAACAAACATTATCGGTCTAAACAAACAAAATCAGAGATATGTGTACAATACAAAATTTTCAGATTTCGAATAACATGCTTAATGGCCACATAAAGAAAACCGATACGAACAGAAATTAAGCAAATAAAACAAATATCCGAAAGCCTGTGAAGTAGGCTATCTGGTCACTGAATTTCTCTATTATTATCTACTAGAATTGCAATATAACGCTAGAATAAACCTTAGATATCATCGATGATCACTACGAGTCGTATCTTTGTTGTTGGATATTTGTTTAAAAAAAATGCATGGACCGTTTTTTTTTTAGACATTTTTTCTTTAGTGATTCTCTTGGAAAATATAGTAACCTTACCTCATCCGTACTATGAACTAATTGCTCAGTACGAGATTTGCTTTTTCCTCGCATGCTATAAGAAAGTAGTGCTTCAGAAAAACTGATAAATGTCTAATGTATGATCTGATGCGCATGTAGATTTTCTCTTTTCAATAGTGGCAACTGCAATACTCTATCTTATCCTTCGATAAGTACTCAAGCTCTACAATTTTTCGAGATATCTACGAAAAATTCAAAAATACAGCACAGAGTTATATTAGCTAGACTTTTTTAAACTCTCAATCGAACTCCTAGAAATCTTCGTCATTTCGATACGTTATATTTCCAAAGGATAAAATTCTATTGGAACAATGGCCTTATGAAACAATAACTTACAGTCCACTGTCTGACGGGAGACAGTGACAATGAATAGGTCGTAGGAGTTTCGTCAGCGATGATTATTTTTTCTCGTTGAACGATTCGCGCTATTGGTGCTGTTCGTTCATTTTCTTTTCGTTTAAATGGTTCCGAACTTTCTCGTATTATCCAATCACCAATTAGATGAGTTGTAACAGTTTTTGTTGATTTTTGTTCATGATAATCTTCTATGACATTAACTGATGGTATTAGTGTTGCTTTTACTGGTTGGCAACATTCAGTAGGACATACATTCAGTGGCACAAGCGTAGTTGTTACACGAGGTGCAGCTAAAATTGTCATTCGAAAAGAAAAGTAGAAAAAGAAAGATTCATTTTCTACATACTAAATGATTTCGATGATGAAAACATAGATGTATTCTAAAGTGAACTTAAGTTTTTAATCAAAATGAAAATATGTTTGAAAAGTATCTTTAAACCTGTTGTTGTTGGAGATTGATGGAAGATGGAGTTATTACTATTGAGTAGTTGAAGATATTATATTATATTTAACTGTAAAAAAATGTATACCTGATAGTGGATAAGTGTTAATCAACGGAGGACTACTGTTGATTGGTGTTACCGTCGAATCGGGTGAAGTTACTTGAGTATTCGCCCATAGAGACGACATAGGAGCAAACTTAAATAGAAGAAGATTTCAAATTTCAATCTCAATTAGTAAAACATTCAGTTTTATACATTCTAAATATCAAAATCTGCTTATGAGTTAGATGATTCCTATCAGAAGAAAAGAGAGTTTCACTCTATCTTCGTTTATTTTTCCCTCCGGATTTTATTTCGTCAACGGCTTCATTAGTTACTAGGAAAGCTGTACGGTTCGATAAATACAGCGACAAGAAAGACCTACTGATAAATGTCTCCGTTTTTTTTTTCATATAATATTATATATTTATTGTCTAGGATTCATAGAAGTTTAGCTACGATTTACCTGATGATTATTCATCCGCATTGTATTTGGCAATGAATTCTTCGCCAACGTATTCATACGATTCTTTAGACGACGATTAAATTTGAATGGTTTCTGAATGATATAGTAAAGACAAAAACAAAGACTAGTATCACGAAACATTCATTATCAAAATCGTTAGATACCGTTGATTTATTCGTTTTTAAAAGTAATGATGACTGTATTAGTAATGTAGATGTAGTCGTACAATCAGATATTTTCATCTATTCTATTTTTTGTATTTGTCCTTACTTTAGTTGTTTGAATAGTAATAGACAACGGAGCAGTCCTGTATGTATGCTGAGGCAGTTTTTTTTCTCTCTTTCTTCTCTGCGGCTGAGAAATGTGACGAGCGAGCGAAGAAGTTTTTTATGCGCTTTTTTTTCTTTGCTTTTTCTTCTTCTTTTCTTCGTTTATAAATGGTCGTAGAGGGTTGTTCTACATGAAATAGGCTTGTTCTCTCATTAGTATCCAATCGGAACGGAAGAAAAGAGAAGAGAGAAAAAGAGAAAAAATTATCTTGTGCATTTTTCTCCTCCGCAAATCATTCAATCAAAAATAACATCGAATCCTCCGCAAAGGACTCGATTTTTTACGATCATGACATCTATTTGCATTCGCTTGCGTCGTTCAAGTCTGACTCACATAATAAGATTTTTTTTCTTTTTTTTCTGTGTTCTGTGTAGTTTCCATGGTCATATCCAACATTATTTTTTCTTACCTTGTTACCATCGAGCTCCTGACTCATAATATTGTAAAGTTTTGTAAAGATTGTGCAATAAAACAATATTGCCTTAGACAAGTAATTGATACAACCTTGAACTTGACGTCAGGAAACTTTTGTTTTTGTGATTGCGAAAACTTTGGCCCTTTCACTTATATCTAAAAATAGTATCTAATTTTTGATGAATTCGAATTGAGCTCAAGATTTTATCGTCTTTTTTATCTTTTGACAATATCTTTTTCTGGCTTCCTCTGAATAAATATCCTAGAACTTCACCGTATATATTTGCACATCTATGTTTGTAATTACTTCGTTGGCAATAAACAAAACGTTTTCAAGTATCATATCAATTTTGCAAGCATCTATCATTATCACTGCTTGTCTTTTTCGTATACAATTAAACTACGTCTTTTTTCCGTAAGCTTTTATGTGCGTTATTACTTTTTTTCAAGTGCGGTATTTACAAAGTATGCAACTTGAGGAAAATAAAATAAACTGTGGTTGACGAATGAATCGAAGGAGGTTTTTGATTATGCCTGCATATTATTGTATTGAATCCGTTTTTTTTTCTTGATTTTCATGTCAAGGTCGTAGTAATTACGTTGTTGACGACGAACAAAAAAACAACATGAGTGCACAGCACCGATTAGTAGTTTTTAATGAGAAAAATAAAAAATTATTTTCTTTAAGGCATGATCGAATTGAATAGTTTCTATTTGCATTACGATACGTATTATTCTTATTCATAGTGATGGATCAATTTTAGATAGTATTTTGTGCGTATTATAAATATTTTTCCCCAGATAGGGGTCAAAATATTGCATAGAAGGCAAAATTGCGTTTGTAAAAATCCTGCTGTAAACGTGGCGAGACACGTCATTATGCTGCTCATCATTAGTAACTGTTTTTCATGTTCTGTAATGTGTTAGGTGAGGTAAAAATGAAATATTGAGTTAGATGAATACGTGTGTGTTTTACTCTAATGTTCTCGTTCTCTCTTTTTACTATATTTGGTAAAAAGTGTCGAGCAAATAAAAAATTTTCATATAGACGCTATTTTTATTATAGGTTAAGATCAGTCATTATGCATCACGATGATAGATTTCGAGGGGTAAAGAGAAAGATTATATGCCTTTAGTTTTTTATTTCTATAAAGTTTATGTACATTGACAACATGAGCTTCACTATCCGTCATTTCGTAATTTCTTTTTTCGCTTTTTTTCTCTGATTAATCATGATGTCATATGATAGAAAAGAGAAAGGAAAACAGTAGAAAAAAATGAGCGATAAATATACTATATAAAGGAGAATACAATATTAAAACTGATGCCTGCCATTTATTTTTGCCTACGATAGAGAAGGGAAACCAGCCATACAAAATTATTCACCGAAGCACTCGATTTCATGAACAAATATTTGCGACACATCTGCGAATAACTTTCTATAGTAGAATTGCTTTGTTGACGGCCACGTTCGTGCCAGTCGATTTTTGTGTGTTGGATTTTATGGTCTAAAATATTCTATTTGAAACCAAGGTACTTTTCATAAAATTCCCTTTTATTTCTATAGCAAAAATATTTCTATAATTTATTTCTATACTCTATGGCTCGGGTAGTTCTCATTTCTCTATAAAAAGAAATTTTCTATAAGAAGGTGTGGTGCATAAAAGAGAGCTCTCAAGTTTACTCGAATGATGAAATTCAAATGCATTTGTTGGAAGTGTTTTTTTCTTCGTTTTTTACAAAAAAGAACCCAACTCTTTTATTTCTTGTGGACGTGATAAAAAATAGTTCTGATATGGCTTTACCCTATCAGCGGTCTTCTTTCTTTTTTGTCCGTTTGTTGTTTTTTTTCGGAGTCAAGAGAAACATAAACACATATCAGGGGGACATTCTGTTTCTCTTTATTTTTTTATTTACTGACAGTCCGCTGTTCGCTGTTTTTCATTTGAAATGAAAACAAAACGAAATAATTTTTTCTTGTTTTTCTGTTTTCTAATATTGACATTTTTTGTCATTTAAAGCAAAAGTAATATGAATATTATTCTCAAATTCTTCGAGAGAAAAATAATCTTATCCTATTCTCTTCTATTTCAGATCATAGGAGAAAAGAAAAAGTATAGAAAATGCATTGCTTCTAGTCGTCATAGTCGGCTAACGAAATCTTATTTGTACGAGTCGAAATAACGATTGAGTTGGTGTAAAAATATATGAGTTTATAAGTGGACATTTATCAATAGCAAACTAGTATTAATTATTCCGACAACCCACAATACTTTGTAATTATCATCAAACGCAACAACAACAACAACAACAACAACCACTGTAACAGCGAACAGTTTGCATCGAACGCGACGAAGTGACAAAAAGGCGTCCAAAAAAAGGAAGAAAGAAAAAAAATCGTCTATTCTCTATATTTACTTCATCGACTCGGGTATGTTTTATAGTGGGGAGGAGCACAAGCGCACTGTCGATCTCCTTAACGAATTAGAGCATTTATATAAATCAGCAGAACAAAATGAAACAACACAACCAACCAACACATTCGAACTTGATCAAACCACCCCTGGCGACTTTGACTCGTTTGAATTCGACTTCGGCTTCGACTGTGATACTGGACGAGGAGATGATGCACGACGGGCCAATGCATGTGCCTCTTACACTGTCGGCGAATTGCCATATTCCACTACGTTCAGTCCTGAAGACAAGTGGCCTATTTAACAAAGGTAATTCTATTGACTAAAATGGAATAGATTTAATCTTATTTTATTTTCAAAAATTCAATAGACGCTGAATCATCTGACAAGTTGGATGAGTTTTTTGCAAATGGCAATGAATTTACACTTCATCGACTTCTAAGTGATATTAATAGTGCTGATTTAAATATTGATATGAATGAAATTGCTAAATTTGACCCAATGAAACTATTCGAGACAAGAAGCTTGAGCGAGTTGGTAAGTAGAAAATTTATTTATGTTTGAATATTCATCTTATCTTTCGTGTGATTGCGAAATTACTTTATCAAACAATGATAAAGCAGCCGTTGTTAATCGTGTTTTGTTTTCTTTTACAGTTTCAATGCGATTCATTCGATCCAATCAATATTTCAAGTGATAGTCCGTCAAATCAAGTCGATAGTGTTCTTCCATCTGCAATAGCTTGTTCATCAGGATCGTTTTCGGAACTTTATCCACCAACACCTGAACTACCAGTAAAACAAGAGTTTTACGCAGATTCAAATCAATTGAAAATGGAACCAGATAATGCATTAGTTTATGCGCAGCTAAATACACTAGATAGTTTTACACCTACGCAATCAATATCAACTCCTACTACACAACAGTTCAATTTTGATCCCAGTGTTTTAGCTGCTTTTGAACACGATTATGGCTTTTTATCTAAAAGATCAACTGTTGTTGATACACCATCACCATCACCAACTATTTCCAAACGAACACCATCAGCACGTAGATCTTGCCGTACATCTTCTCGACTTCAATCTCGTGCTACATTAATTGATTTCAATCAAATACTCAATGAAAGTGACTGTTTATCACCAACAATGTCTGAAGATAGTTCTATATCACTGAAAAGAACGAAAAATGCTCGTCAAGTTAATCGTGCTACAGATATCCAAACAGCCGATGATTTGTCGTATTATTTGGAAAGACGTCGAAAAAATAATGAAGCATCGAAAATGTCTCGTGCAGCACGAAAACAAAAATTTGGCGATATGGATTCTCGATGGTAAGAAAAATCATCGAGAGAATATCCATAATTAATATTGTCTTTGTTTTTCTTTTCAGTGCTGAATACGAACGTGTCAATGTTGAACTTCATTTAAAGATTTCAGTACTGGAAACCGTCACAGCGAACTTAAAAAACGGTCTCATTCATAGTTTCCAACGTAAAGGTGGCGTTTAGGCACAATTCTAATCAAGCATGTCTGCATGTATATGTGCGCGTGCGTTTTTGTTTGCTCTATCAGTTTTTCGTTCATATTGTTAAATATTTAATCGTATTTTTCTATATTTCAGCAAGCATCCTTTCACTTTCTTTCCCGACTGACTGCTTTGTATTTATATTTAGCTACGAGGAAAAAAGTGTGTGCTGATAGTATGCAATATTCGAAGATCTTTTCCGTTTGACTATAGTTCGTCAAGTTCGCACAAATATGTTTTAATTTCTCTTTCGATGAAAAAAAACTTAGGACAAAAGAAAAAAAACACAAAAATAGAAAAGTAGAAAAAAAAGTGTTTCGTTTTTCGTTTCTCTTGCTTCCAGTTTTCCTTGCAAATCGGTCGTTGAGAAAAAACTTTCGATAAAGAAAAAACACGACATATATCTAGATGTATGTTTCTGTCTATGCATTTGTGATATGTTTCTTTACTCTTGCGCTCTTTCTCTCTCTTGCTTTATTGTCATCGACTGCAGGCAGTTGTTTTCGTTATATAGTTCTTTTCCCCAGTTGTTCTTACTGGATGTCGTGATTTTCAATTTTTTTTTTTTTTTTTGAGAACAAATGTGATCATCGTACTTCATTGTAACTACGAAATAGCATCAGACTAAAAAATTAACAAATAATTAATATATTCTTGTAAACATTCTTTTGTGCTATCAACAGTGTATTGTATTGCATTATATATTATTTTTTCTTGTAAAAAACCGAGAAACATAATGGAATAAGAAATAAAGCAAAATTGAATAAAAAAAAGACGCATAAAGTGGTGAAAAATAAATTTACACCAAAGTATTCTTGTTCTTTTTTTCTCCTGTTATGTTAGGTATGCAGCTTAAATCCAAATAATAATTTTGATAGCCAACGGGGGTTTCTGACTTATGCATGAACTGCGATAATAACGTTTCTAAAATTTGAGAAGAGCATTTGTTTTTTCATACAGAGGACAGAACGAAGCGCCACCGCATCTTTCTTAGCATGTAGAATGAATCACAAAAAAATGACGGAGGACAAATTGTATAATAGACTTCATTTTTTATGGGTTGTGATTCTTCTAGAATTTCCAAAAGGAATATTCTAGAAGATGATACAACCCCTAATTTTATGTTCTTCTACATATGATTAAGAACAACTGATTTTGAGAAGGCTTCTTGAACTTCTCAACTGCAAAGTCTAATTGATTTTACTAAACTGCATTAGTCATGAAAATTATTTTTTGGAATCGAATTGCGTCGTTCATGTTAGATACGAGAATCAAAAATAAATTCTTTTCAATCACCGTTCAATTAAGATCATTTCGATTGATGAAAGTTTTGTTTTTAGATGAGTTCTATTGAAAAAAGCATTATTCATGATCATATCTATTCATCAAATTCTACAAGAGAAAAAGATTGCAATCAACTAAAAATTTCATCAAATAAAAATGATAATTCATTCGAAAATCATCGTCGAAGTATTCGTAAAAAATGTGATATTCAAACAGATGAAGATCGCGAAGAATATTTTCGACGACGGACATTAAATAATACATCGTGCCGGGTATCTCGTATTCATCGTCGTTCAAAATTAGAGATTACAATGAAAAAATGCATGGAATATGAAGATTTAAATGCAAAATTAATAGCTCAAACATCACTTATTACTCAAATCATTGATCTATTGAAAGAACATTTACGAACTTCAGTTTCAAATAATCTTCAAACAAATTAATAATTAATGTCAGATATTACTTTCTTGTTAAATTCTATCTCGAGAACAAAGAGAATACATAATCAGGTCGGACGATCGGTCAACTTGTCTCGTGAGACCATTGCTCATATTAATAGTGTGACTATCGAGCGTTTTAAAGTGCTGTACATGTTACTTTTTTTGTTTTGTTTTGTTGCTTCTTTATTTTATGCGATATTTTCTCATATAAAAATGATAGATTGTATACAGCTGGATGTTATTTTTTTTTCTTCTTTAGCTAACATAGCTATGTTTAGAGTACACTATTGATGATCATGATAAATGGAGGTGATCGAGTCAAGCGAACGAGACGATTGTATATATGTAAATTTTGAATTTCCTCTCTTTCTCTCTCGCCTTTGAAATGGACACTTTGATTCATGGTCTAGATCGTATGTTGGTCTGTACTTTATTTTCTCTTGTGTTTATGATGGCTTTTTTCTCATATATATGTATATACAAAACGAGTGTGTGCGAACGCGAACGCATTACTCATGCGATGTTCTACACTGATACGAACAGTGAGAGAAGAAAAATCAGAGAGAGAGAGAGAAAGCAAAAGAAAGAATAAGAGCACTCTACTCTTCATTGAGATGTTGTACATATATACATATATATGTATAGATTGCTTGATGAGAAATAGAGCTTTCTTTATGAAACATCAGATCTAGTAGCTAGCTAGCTAGCTCATTTATTGATTCATATCATACTGCCCCCCGACATGAATATGCTCATTCTCGATCAACCACATATGGATTATTCCCAACCACAACAAACATCAGCATATAATGCACCTGCAATTTATCTTCAAGACTTTCGTTCTGAACCTTGTCAAGTATGCGGTGAAAATGCTAGTGGATGGCATTGTGGATCGATAACATGGTAACTATTTCTTTTAGATATACAAATCGGTTCAAGTCTATTGTTGAATCTTATGTTTTTTTCCAGTGAAGCATGTAAAAAGTTCTTCCTTCGATCAGTCAATGAAGAATATCGAAAATATAAATGTATAAGAGACAAGAAATGTATTATTACACGTACTACACGAACCCAATGTCAATATTGTCGTTATATGAAATGTATTGAAGTTGGGATGAAATTATCGGGTAAATATTTTTTTGTTTTCTTCTACATATCGTATGGCTATTGTTGTCGTTTGAATTTCTTTAATAATAGAAGGAGCGCCGAATCCAAAAATCGAGGAGATTTTTAAGTTAGTACCATGTGCTGTATGCCAAAGGCCATCATCTGGAATTCATTTTGGTGCTACAACATGTGAAGTACTGAAATAGCTTCTTCTTTTTTTTTTGGTTGACAAAGAAAACAAAAAAATTTGTCTTCTTTTTTATTTTCTCATCAGGGTTGTAAGGGTTTCTTTCGTCGTACTATTAAAGAACGTACACCACAACGTTACAAATGCCCTGAAAATTACAATTGTGAAGTGAACAGCTCGACACGAAGTGCATGTCGTGCATGTCGGTTTCAAAAATGTCTTGCAGCAGGAATGTCAATCGAAGGTTCTCGTATTGGGCGACAATCAAATTTATTCAAGCATAAAATGGTCGAATTACAACGGCGAGGGCTGATTCGATCACAAATACGTAATATTATTGCAACAAATACAAATAATTATCATTTAAATTCATCCAATCGTACGAATAATCATTCAGCAAGAAAAAAGAATACAGGCAATGCGATACATAACACTCCAGGTAACGGATGTTTGCTTAGAAACCTTATCATTTTTTTTGATATTTAATATAGAAAACAACAAATCAAGAATCTGTATAGTTATAGAAAAAGAATAGTAGTTAATCTATTAAATATACAATGAGCTTAGCAGGACAGTGGTGACGACACCTTCTGTTGTTTAAAGCAAACCAAAGAAAAACATTCGAGCAAATATGTTTCACAGTATCCTCATAGTTCGATAGCTTGCAAATCTGAAGATAGACAGTTGAACTAATATCGAACTTTTGTGCTCCGTTCTAATCACACATTGAAATTTCGATCATGACGAATGTATTGTTTTTATTAAAAAAAAATATGAATTGAATATCTATGTTTCTTCTTAGATCTAACATCATATGTTGAACCAACTGTTGGTCTATGCCTAGAAGATAAACTGGAATCGTACATGTTTCAACAGATCGTACAAATCGAAGATGCTTATATGAATTGTTTAAAAGTATATAGAATCTAATGATGATATTCTTCTATTGATGATTTTGACATTTCAGGATCTTCCATTTTGTTCGAATGAAACAAATGATTTATGGTTTTCATGTGAATCTCAATTAAATGAATACACAGCAAGAGTTGGCGATTTTGCTTTAAGAATTCCCGAGTTTTGTTCGCTTACCGCTGATGATAAAACTCTACTTATTCACTCATCAACACATTCAGTTATCGTTGCATGTCTTTGTTTTCAGGCATCTCGATTTCGTTCATTAACCAATGATTCACAATGGAATTATTTAAATATTCTAACAAATTGTTCATTTGGTCAAAGTTTACAACAAAATTTTCCATTCTTTTTTGATTTAAATCAAATAACATATTCATTTGAACGGGAAATTCAACTATTAGAACTCGACGATAGAGAAATAGCTTTGATGATTGTTTTGCTTATTGCTTCCATTGGTTTGTAGTAGAGATTTTGTTTTTCAACAACTATTAACTAGCTCTTTAATTTTAGCAAATAGTAAACTAAATGAGACTGAAAAAATAGAAAAAATACAAGAAGATTTCTTCTGTGCTCTATATGATTATATGTCTGGTAAAAAGATTTACTCTTCAAATTCTGAAATATATATTACTTTGATAATTCTTTGTTTGTTATAGCTAAACGTGGTATTGATAGTAAAGATTATTTTATTTTAACAATTCAAATTCCATTAATTCATCGTATTAATAGTATTATATCAACAAATATAGTAAATTTTAAATGTTCATTATCTTACAATGCAACAGCTACGTAAACAAATGTTTTTCTCGTGTTGTACTATAATATTATCTTTAAAATAAAATTACCTTTTCTTGTTTTGTTTTGTCGTGTTGTTTAAGTAAATCATTTCGTTTAAAATAGTATTTCATATACATATATATTCAATAATTGAATTTTTGAATATTTTCGTTTTTGGAAAAGTTTTTCTCTTAGCCGTCGATATGTTTATCTTTAATATTTTTTCTCCAGTTTATTCTATGTAAATTGCTTTTTTTGTTCAATATAAATAAAACATTTATAGAGCAAATTTTTTGCATCAATTAACGCTGCCAAGAAAATTATTTCGAATAACTAAAATTACCAATCATTTTCTTTTCTCTATGATGTTTCCTTCAATTAAATATTCTACAATTATAAGGCATTTCGTCTTTGTAATTAAAATAAATTTAACATGGCTCGACGTTTGCTTTACAGAGAAAAATTAGAATATCTTTTTTAACTTTGATCCTGTCTAATGGTCTTACTGTTAGAGAAGAAAGTACTAAATTTAGGTGTCGTTTCTTTGTTACTCTTTGAGGCTTCTAAACTATGGCGGTTGAAAAAGAAAAGCAAACTTCAGATAAAGAATTATCACTGTAAGGTTCTACTTAATTATTCGCAATAATTCTGATGGTTTTTGTTATTCAATTGAACAGATTTCTCGATGAATAAATGTCAAAACAGACTTTGCTGTTGAAATGTGTCTCGATGAGAATATCACTATATGACGACGTCGCTGAGAATGATTTATATTCGTCAGAAAATTATTTATCAAATGAATTCAAAAAGTTTTTCAAACGTGAAATTCTCTATTTTTGGAAACTTATTTTGCACTTGGAAAGTGAAAATAGCGAACATTAAGATACATCACAACTTCTACGAAGACGCCCATAGTAACGAGTGGGCCAGAAATAATGAAGGGTTTAGTGTTTCGTTAATATCTCGCTCAATTTTGATTTTACCGAGTCTTTGAGTACTTTGAAGTGTACTGTTTCTGTTCACGTAGTTCAAAGTTCGTTGCAATCATTTGGCAATTCAAAAAATTTGAATTTTGAAAATTCTATTCGAAATGCTTCAAATGTAATTTTTTTTTGCTAGGTGGATTGAGGAAGAGAATTTGATGTTAACTCTTGCGTCTGTGAATCTCATACAGTAGCCATTCTCCATAAAAATAAAGAAAACACGAACCAAAAAGACGTTATTTTAGTTTAGTTATGCCTCTTTTCGTAGACGCTTCAGATTGCAGATTGAAACGGCCAAGTTCTCGAAAATCTGAATAAGAAAATGATCGGCTACTGTTGATAGTTAGCCTGTTCGTATGTCTTCACTACTATTTCAAATGTTTTTTCTCAACTCTCTTCACAAAAATTTTCGCAATGGGTCTTGTCAAATTGAGTGGTGCCTCTTTTAGAAAACAATCCAACCCTGTACAATGAAAATTAAGCGAGATATTTACGAAATACTGAATCCTTCATTATTTCTGGGTCACCTTTTATGATAGTATAAAACAAAAAGTAAATATTGAGTACGATAAGATAAAACTACTGTTCAGTTAAACTCACATTTTCTTTTGAATTTCAAATGAAAAAATTGGTCATGTTTTAGATTGTAAATCGAGGTATGAAAATGTACACCTGAGCATATTGTACTCATTCTATGAGACTGGTAGTATTCATATCTAGCTTCCCTAAACACGAGAATCATTATTTATGATATATTTTAATGGTAGACTTGATTATTCATTTCGCTACTGAATTTAGTAATGCTTTCCCAGGTTTTTATCTTACTTGAATAGTCGAGTAATTCTTATAATGTTTTTCTCATGCTTGTCGTACTACGATAAGAAATAATATGTCTTTTTTTTAAATGATCTCGTTCATCAATTATTTAGTAGGTGTTCAGTGAAGAGCAGAATGTTTTTTCTTCTAAATTATGAATTTTTTTATTTTTAGTTCGTCTTCCGCAGATATATATTGTTAAATATGTGTTCATTTCCTTCCAGTTCATAATTATCTTACTATTAAAGTATTATTCGACAATATAGAACAGGTATATTGAAGAGGTCTAAGAAAAAGTAGACTCGAGGTGGAGATCTGTTCTATGTTCATGTAAGTATATGAATGAATGATATTTTTCAGCTTTACGTGGAAAATCTCCTTAAAAGAGACAAAACTTTAGTTAAATGCAGTAGATAATGCAAGAGACGCAACTGATTTTGTAAAGATTCATCAAGCGTCATACGATTCCGAAGCGGTATAATCAAGTAGAAGATCGTTCGAAATCATCGAATGAAAAGGTTTGAAATATCAGAACAACAGTTTATATCGAATAAAAACTAAAATATGATAATCTGAAACTTTGTAGTTATCAGAAGATAGTGTTTATAGGATTCTAGAAGTATTCAAAAAAACTCTTCTAGATCTCAATAGATTTTAAAAGAGTTTGCATGCAGAGATTCCACACACTTCTGAGCACCTTCGGGGCTAAAATCCTTTGCTTCCATTTTATTCGAGTGCAAATGAGAATGAACTGACTATTTTGTTAACTATAACAATCTGGTTCTTTTTTTAAACAATGATCATAAAAACTAAGAAAAAAAAATATTCAGTTGAAAGTATGTTTAATGATCTGACTGTAAAAAGGTTAACTACTATCTAGTGAACTTTTGATGGGGGTGAGAGATGATTCAGATATTTATGAAAATAAATCTTTTTTGTGCATTTTATAATCAAATATGAAAGGATTCGGTAGATCCATGGGAACTATGATTCGTATGTTTTACAATTAATATATAGTACTATCAATTCGTATTAAAAATGTCTTCAATTCTCTTTAGATAAGAGCTTCTACAGATTGACATTAGAATTTTTGAGAAAACAAATTATTTTCTTGATATTCCAGATATGACACACGCAAGTGCACGATTGAATATTGTCGAGGTGAGATTAATATTTCATTCAAATTGGATTTTTCATGATTGATAATAACTTGCTAAAAACATTTTCTTTGTTTTTCTTAATAAATTGGAATGTAAATTGACAATGATATTTTAGAAATCTATAAAAATTACATTATCGTATCATTAAATCTGTCATATTGTTTACTTTTGAGCGTATGTTAACTTTCAATCATTTTTAAATTAAGATTGATTAATGAGAAAAGTTCATTTTTCGTAATAAGATAAAGTAAGGCATACATACATACATACATATATATATGTATAGAGAGAGAGAGAGAGAATTCGAATCTTACCAGAAACAGTTTCCACAACGCATTGTATATCTTTTCAAAAGATCATGATTCGATTTTATTACGTAAGAAAATAAACAAATTTTAATTCTGCCTAGAAGCAATCATGTCTAATATTTCAATAATCACTATGACGAAACAATCATTTATATCGATAAGAATCTAATCATAGTGGTATCAAAATTATGAGGTTGTCAAAGTATAAGATGACATAATCATTTCATAGAAGTTATTATATTGTTCAGCATATACAACAAGCCATAGAGTCAATGCAATGACAAGAACATGCTACTTTATACTCTAGAGAAAAATGTATCTATGATTAACATTAATAGTAATGATCGACAGTTAAAAACGGAAGTTGACGTTTATCGAGATTGGTCGATGGCGAACGACAGTGACAATTGTCCATCTAGTTCCGCACGCAAGAAAGAAAGAAAACGAATCAGTTAAACTTCCATTTTGGAGTAAAATAAAATTGAGAGTAATTTCCAGTATGCACATACAAAAACCTAATTGCCCGAGAGTTGTCGCACGCGTGCCTACTGTCATTAGTTGTCTCTCTCTCTCTCTCTCCGTGCTAATTTTGTTCACACATATTCCTCCATACAGCAATCATAACGACTCTTTCTCCTTCGTTTCCACTTGAATGTCGATAGATGATTGTATGAGACAAATGCCAAAGGAAGCTCATCATGTCAGCTGTCTTGATGGATGAATGCCGGAAGACGGCGATCATCATCTCTATAGTATAGACTAGTAGTCATGCCGAAAAGGGGAAAAGAAACTACAGACTGGGTCGACCTTAATATACAGGCGTGAAAATGATTTTGTTACATTTACATTGATACCGATTCATTATCACCTTTTCACACCGGGATAAGAGAAACAACAGAAAGGCTCATGTTGAGTTAGTGTTCTTCGAACATTTTTTCCTAATCAAGTGTGAATGAACAACATATACATAGGTAGCTTTTATCCAAACAGAGACGAAACAAAAAAAGAGTGTCAAACGAACGCAACGCCGTCTTGATCTTGATCTATTAGAAGAAAAGAGATCAAATCCATTTACAGATGACATCGAAAAAGATATAGTAGTCAAATGTTCGGTTGAAAGAAGATGACTTAGACAACATAGAATTCCAACATCGATAATTCGCTCTCCATCATGCCTGTAATTAGCTAGTCCGCTCCCTCTCTTGCAAGTCATTTGTTTGTTACGTGAACAATCTGTAGTATGTGCATATGCACACCATGTCACCACAATTAATCGAATTAATCTACCTTTTTTCTTTATCGGCATTTAATATAGGCTAGTTCTGTGATGATGAGTGAAGTATAGGAAGGTACTCCCACTTGACGGCTAATCTCAAGCTTCTTCATCAATAGCATTGAATCGTAAGAAAAGAACACGCACACATTTATGTATCCATTAGAGACAAATCGTGACTGCCATCCATTATCAAACAAATATTGACTCACGTTTAATAGTTTTGTAATAGAAAACAGAAAGAAGAAAAAATATTTTGATTCTTTTTTTTTTTTCGTTTTAAAAGCTTAGGGAGAAAATATCGAAATAACATTGACGATGATGTCATTTTTGTTCTTGTCGGCATGAATAATATATCTATAGAAGATGATTGATCTATTGGTTGGTTCGATAAGCAAAGACGAATTGAATATGCCAGAAGGCTTGAAGATGAGTTTGATATCGCGACATACGTTCAATATCTTCAAAAAAAAGAAATATGCGCGCGCGCGCGCCCGCTCGCGTTTGTCTACATCTCTATTGTAAATTAATACAAGCTCGAACAACTGCTGCCCACCACCGATTGATAAGCATCACTGGAGACTAAGCCTCTTTCACACTTCACCATAGGTGGGAGTTCATGTGTATGCCTATTTTAATCTCACGGCAACAAAAACATAGATCGATAAGATTTTTCTTTTTGATCAAAATACGAAAATTTTCATGTTAAATAAGCTACCTCTACTTTTTTTGAATCATTAGCAATGATTCATAAAAACGTTAAAAAGATGATGATAGATTTGTCAATGTCCTCAATGATGTAGATGAGGACATGGATCGATTAGCAACAATATCAGCTTGGATATGCATATGTATATGAATGTATGGTCAATGCATCGAAGAGCGCATCATGCACATGACACACCGTATGATGAATGTTGGTTTAATGACAAGTAACGACGATATTGAATGGTCATCATCAACAACAACGAGAAAAAACAATCAGAAACAAAAAAATCCAAACAGCAGGAATTCTTAATGAGAAATTAACCTTTTTGGTTTGTCGATCAGGTATTTTTCCTAATGAATGATGTGAAAAACATAATTCGTTTTCGTTTTTCTTTTTGTTTACCCTTCTTGGGAAACAGTATTGATTGAATAGGAACTGTTTCGTTTCGTTTCGTTTCGTAAAGAGAAAAGAACTTGCGAATGTCTTTGATGATACTTAACCACCACCACCACAGGATTAGTAGACAAATCGATTCGATTCGATTTATTATATTTCGTTTTGTTTTTTGTTCATCAAAATATCTTTCACACAATTATAATTTTGTCTGATCGGCAGCAGCTATAATGAGTAAAGGATTTAGAATAAGCCAATCATCGTTTGTCTTTTCAAACATCCAATGAAATATTTTTTCTCCTTTTCTCTCGAGGTCAAATGAAATTTTGTTATAGAGCCAATGGAAAAAGAAAGTTTCTCTCTCTTTTTTGCAACATTTTTCTTCCGGTTTGCGAGAGAAAAAGAAATTACATGTTCGTGTGTCACTCATCTCATCATTATCAGTTTGTATCCCGGTCGTCAACCTCCTAATTATCGAGAACGTCCTGCATCGAAGTCAGTTGTTTCGGGGTGGAGCTAAACATTAATGTTCTATATATTTTGAAGCAAGAAAGAAAAAGTAAGAACAAGAAAGACGGAGATCATCATCATCATGATCATTGTATAACCCGTTGATTACATGACATCAAAAAGCGTATAATTTCATTTCTTTTAGAGACGATTCTATAATTAACTCTTGTTTTTCTACTTGTTTATGATAAACTACTCATATCTTATTCCATGGCAACATTAATGGCAACAAGTAACAACAACTCGGTATGTAGAAGAAAAAAAATGCCAGCAAACATCGTTTTCGTCTATTTCATTTTTATTCTGCTTGAATAGAAGAAAAAAAGAAGAGAAAATAGTGTTTGAATGTAACTAAAACGTAGACACCCCGTTGAGTTGAATTCTATGGTCTCAATCAAGCGCGCACTACTCAATTACTATTACTTATGCTTTGTTTTTGAACAAAAGAAAACGAATGAATGTACAGCAGATCATATAACATTCAATATGGATTTCTTTCTTTTTTCGTACCATATAGGACATGAACATGACTGCTGTCAATCCATTGGCTATGCTAGCAGCGCAATGTAATAAAATTCAATCATCCAATACAACGATTAATAATAATACATCAACACAATTTTTATTACCATCGGCAACAACAACATTTAGTCGACCTAAAAGTCCACCATTATCACCACCGAAAACAAGTTTTTATGCTTGGAAAAAATCCATAACAACAAGTCCACCTCTCTATTATCCATCATCAATGAATAATACAAATCATCCTCATAATTCTGAAATAGCTACATCATTGGCACGTATTAGTCATTATGAAAATTCTTTATTAAATGGTAATGGTCATTTAAAAGAAAACACAACAATACCTCCACCACCATCACTTCCATCATCATCATCATTGTCGTCATCACAAGCAGCTTGGTTTGATATTCATCATCATCATCATCATTCATGGTTTGGTGCTAATCAAACACCGCCCATTTTGAATAACAACATTGAACAACAACAACAACAACAACAACAACAACAACAACAACAGCAACAGCAACAACAGCAACAGCAACTAGCTCTTCCTCCACCACCACCACCTCTGTTTTCTACAACACCTAATATTCAATATTCACCTCATGGACATCACCATGCCCAACCAACACATTATAATGATTTTCTATCTGTTGGTCATCAATACGCAGATTCATATCGTCATGAATTTCGTTTACTTTATCCATCAGTTGTTCCATCATCACAACAAACAACATCGTCATTATCACAATCAAATTTATCGTTTCAATCTCATACACCATCTCCACCTTTAGTTCAAGCAACAACATCATCACCAACAATAAACAATTCGAACAGTTCACCAAAAACTACAATTTCAAATAATTTAACAAGAAATGGTAAACAACCAAAAGCCAGTCGTGCTCAATGTGATTGTCCCAATTGTCGTGAAGCTGATCGTTTAGGCTTCGTTGCTGGAGCTAATTTAAGAAAACGAAATATTCATAATTGTCATATACCAGGGTGTGGTAAAGAATACAATAAAACATCACATCTCAAAGCTCATCTACGTTGGCATACAGGTAAATAAGAAAAAGAAAAAGAAGAAAAGAAAAACTTGAGCTAGAGTTTCCATTTTCACCCGCAACCTGTAATTATAAACTTGGTCATCAACTTGTTCTTGTTGCGTGTATTGAGTGAATCAAATTTCAGCATATGTATTTTATATAGTAAAAGAAAAAAAAACTTGTCAATTGACTTCAGACACGCATATTGATAAGACAGTAACTTGCAAATATTTCTCATTGTTTTCTTTGCTTGGTTTGATTAGGGGAACGACCATTTGTTTGTAATTGGTTATTTTGTGGAAAACGATTTACTCGTAGTGATGAACTCCAACGACATTTACGAACTCATACAGGTATGAAATGTATACTCATTATGTCTGACACCCGATCATTTGCTCATCTTCAGTCCATTAAAAAAAAATAAACTACTGTTCGATTTATCTTGTCCGCCCACCTTGAAATGACCACTATTGCCAAGGCTAATCGTGAGAGAAATAGGACATATACGCGATAATTAACTTCGAACGAATACCTATCGGCCAACTCTATTATTTATGTGGAATGAATCATTCATGCGTGATACATATCAACATTGACATATACATATATATATATATAGAGAGAGAGAGAAAGATGATCATAGGTTAGGATGCTCAACTAGAAACATCAATCAAAGAAAAGAAAAACTTGTCAACAAGTTTGTTTTTCTCATTAAACATTATGCGATAAATAATCTCGACGTAGAGCTTTGTTATGATGATAGCAATCATTCATTATCTTTTTCTTTTGTTTTTAGGCGAAAAACGATTTGCATGTCAAGTTTGTGGAAAACGTTTTATGCGTAGTGATCATCTTAATAAACATGTATGTATGATTTTGAGTAATGAAAAATGAATGTAGATTTCTTATATTATTGCTGTTTTTTTTCTCTTCATTTTTCAAGGTTAAAACACATTCGATAAATATGAATGGCAGTTTAAATGAAGAGAATCGAATGAAAAATCTTGATTCTGATACAGAAGAAACTAATCGGGATCATCATCAACGTCTTCCACATCAAACATTTCTTAATATGCATCATCAACGATTCATGGTTGCCGATATAAAAACAGAGCCGAGAATGACCGATTAAAATAAAGATTCTCGACGACATTTTTTTTCGCATATTTTTTCTTCTTTTTGCGCACTTTGTTTTCATGGCCTTGTATCTGTAGTGAATATACGTGAAATACACAAAAAAATCATAATATAATAATGCCAAACTACAGATGTATTTTATGTAAATGCCAGTTTTTAATCAAAATAATGTTTGAGTGTCTGGTCCTGATCAATCAACGAAAGATAAAACAGAAGAAACGAGTCGCACAGCCTTCGTTCCCTACTATTTTTGGAAGTAACACACATTTAAAAGGGCGTTCAAGAAGCAGAAGTTCCCAATTCTCGCGACAAAATGAATTCAACAAGCATAACCTTTCATCTCATCTTCTTCTTGAAAATCTTTTCGAGCCTATATGCTCGACTACCTTGTGAAATTCATGATGATGAAATAGCGTGCCAATCATCTGAATTCTATAATTTTAATTCTTCATCTATGAATAGCAGTATGACAAGATCGGTTCAGGCAATTCATTTAATAAATGGTTACTATTCTGGTATGCTTGCAGAAAATATACATAATCTAACGATTGTTGATTATTCGTATAAAGCCTTCTTATCGCCATTCATTTCTCCATCAACACTTCATAATTTGTTCATCGATCATACAGTTTTAAGTATATTTCCAGCATGGCTTTGTACGTATAACAAAAATCTATCAGTTATTGCTATCGATTATTCTTATATTGAAGAAATCGTTGAACATGATTTGCATTTATGTTTAAATTTACGTACATTACGCATACGAAATTCCGATTTACGACAATTTACAAATTCGTTTGATGTTGAGTTGTTCTTAAGTAATTTACATCTTAGTCATAATCATTTAACGGAAATCTCTCGTGAGCATGGCTTAAATTTAAATCAATTTCCTTATTTACGTTCTCTTGACTTATCCAACAATCAAATAAAAACGGTTTCATCAGATAATTTCGATCGAACGTCATCATTGAAGCAATTGAATCTATCACATAATCATTTAGAAAATTTCCAGTTCAATAATATGTGTCATTTAATATTCTTAGAAAAATTCGATTTACGAGGTAATAATTATTTAAATATAAATGAAAATTGGTATGATTATTTACCATATTTAATTAATATCTATCTACCATATGCATATTTTTGTTGTAATTATAAAAAAAATTTACCATCATTATATGAAAAAAATAACAAAAAATTGAAATCCGATAAAACACTTAGTTTATTCAATGATGAAAATAAAAATAAGCCTAGAGATGAAAGTAATACTATATCCGTTTCTTTTCATTTGGATCAAGTTTGTTTGCCATTACCCGATCAAATGACACAATGTGAATCATTATTTTCATCGGCATTCATTCGCTTCATTTTTTCAATAATTGTATTCGTTTCTGTTATTTCAAATTTAACTGCTCTTATTATTAGTCTATGCCGTTTAATAACATCATCCTATAATCGATGGTCAATATCAACCGTTCTAAGTTCAAACTTGGCATTGGCTGATTTTATTTCATCAATTTATCTTGTTCTTGTTGGTATTATTGATATACGTTTTAATGAACGTTTCTATATAAAAACTCAACTCTGGACAAATTCACATTTATGTACAATAGCTGGATTTATTTATATATTTGGAATACAATCTTCAATTTATGCGTTAACTTTATTAACATTTGAACGTTTCTATACAATATTATTTTCATTTAAACGTCAAACACCGTGGCCACCAAAATTTACTCTAACATTTATTTCATTAGGTTGGCTCATAAGTTTCATAGTTGCATCATTACCATTGATTAATATTAATAATTTTCATGCGAATTCATTGTGTGTACCGTTTCGTGTTGAAAATGTATTCGATCGACTATATCTATTTTTATTAATTACATTTGATATTTGTTTTATTGCTATAATTATAACATGTAATGGTCTTATATGTTTTAATTTTAGTAAATCACATGTACATACATCGAATGATGCACGTGCAACATTAAAAATTCTTACATTAGTTATAGCTATTTGTATAAGTCGAATACCATTAATTATATTTATTGTTTTTGCTTTACTTATTTGTCCGAGTTATTCGCATAGTATTAGTGATTATGATCTTCATTTTAATAATATTAAGTTAGCTGTACTGTTTTTACAACCATTTAGTTCATGTTTCAATCCATTTATGTATTCATCTTTATCAGCATTAAAATGGACACAAACAACAACTGAGTTCGACAGACCAAAACCAGTTCGAAAAGCATTAGAACTTTCTCGATTTCGATCGGTATCAGCTATTTTTAATCGTGGTTATTATCCCTTACGAATAATGTCTACTAGTTCACTTGAATATCGACTTTCGTCATCTTCAAATACAACTTGACATAAATAAAAATAATGGCAGTGTTGTAGTTTTCCTCATGTTTTATGTGTCTATCTGTTGTTTTTCTTTGCCTTAATAAAATTTAAAAAATCACACCTGGATACTCTCACTTCAATCTGTCAAAATTGCTTTTTATTTGATTAATGAGTAATTAAAAACGAAAGATTTTTCGATCGTAGATCAGAATATTTTAATAAGCAAATTCAAGAAAATGTCTATACCAGTCTAATTGAATTGATTGATCGATAAATCGATTTTTGCGCAAAAGAGATGACTTTTGATAATGTTCGGCAAGAAAACCTGACGAATGCCATATGTTAACAATAAACAGTTGTTTAAAAAGTGCGACTACTGACTAACTCAAAACATGTTGCAGAGTAAACCGTATGTCGCTTAACAAAATAAGAATGTAATCAATAATGTATTGGACCGTGTCTCGGTTTCGATGAAGTCAATATAATTTTCTAAATATTCTCAATCATTTTAAACCATTGAATACTAATATAGCTTATTCAAGATACTTTTCTTTTTCAGAAATTCTTAATTTTTCAGATAATTACAACAATGTATAGCTTTGCAAACTCCTCTCGAATATATTACTCGTTTTATTTGCATAGCCAGAAGAAGTTCTTCAATCATTATACTACTATTTAACTGTCAAACTTTGCGTCAATAATTAAAAATATTTTTCAGTCACGATTTAAACATACATCTGCGCGAGAGGATTCACAATCTTGAATGACACAAGATTCAAGTACGTCCTTGCGTTTGACTTAATATTTTCCCTATCCATACTTAAATATGCAAGGCATGTACTGGATCGCTTTGATGTATTTCATTAGCATTTTTTGTTCATTTAAAACAGCAGAAGTACATCAAATATGGTTCAGCGTATGTTTGCATTTTCAATCTTTTCAAAAAACAAAAAAGTAAATAGTGTGAACCAGCGAAAATTAGATCTTGGTGGAAAACGTCGAAAAGGAAAATGTCGAAAGAGAAAAATGGCAATAGAAAAAGGAAAACGTCGAAGAGGAAAATGTCGAAACTGTAAGTAATTTATGAGAAACAGATGTAGATGAAAATTTGAAAGAAAAATGTCGGAACGACGAATTCATAGCCTTGATCTATAATGAATACTGTTTTAATAATAATAAAAAAGAAGAGAGAGAATATAGAAAATATAATAAATGTTATTTTTTCTCTCTCCAATTAATAATGATAAACCTGATCGTAATAGTTTTGCTTCTAATTGATCAGGATTTGCAGAATGATTATGAATACCATTGATACATAGAAGTTCGTCAGTAGTGTTTGTATGAATATACACACCACAGTCTGATTCGCTACACATCCAGTATATTTTTGATTTTGTCGTTTTATTGCATCTGAAAACGTAGTTTTTAAATATTAGTAATCGTTTGCCTTTGTTTGATATCGAAAACGTTATTTGACATTGTAGATTGTTAAGTGAGCATTTTTCAGGGGTCGAGTTCGAGATCATTTTAAATATATGTATTTCTTTCCACAAAATTTTCTTTATTCAATGTAAAATACAATATGCCGGACGAAGAGAGACCAATGAAAACAAAACAAAAAATCAATTTTACAACTGACCTCTTTCAATATATTCGACATTTTTCTTTCACAATCTACTGGATATTTTTATTTCTGTGTTTCGATATTTTCCTTTTCGACATTTTCCACCAACCCCGAAAATTATCTGTGTCAACACTTCAATTCGATTTTTGTGCAATATACTGTGATCTGTATTCACACTGACAAAAAATATGATTATATAGACATAGAAGTTCTTCACCCTCATGATCGAGTAGTTTCAATGAAAATATAAAATGGTGTTTCAAAATTTTCATTATAAATTAAATCAACATTGAAGTCATCAATCTCTATTCATAATATCACTGTGAAGTATCAACAATCGTATAACTACTATTCGTAACCAATAGAATTCAATGAAAAGTTTTCTGTTTCACACAAGGGCAATCGATTCCCTTGAAATGCATATTCATCTGAGCCAAATGTGAATCATTATTTGTTCTTCGCTGTTTCTCGAACAATAGATTTGCTGCAATGTTTATTATGTCTTCAATCATATATATTCAATTATTGGTTTTTGTTTCATCAATAAATATTCAGCTATTCAAATTTCTATACATAAGACGTTTATTTTTTTTTCTCGTGAGCAATATTGGAAATACTAACTAATAGATTATAAGAACAAAGCGAAAAAAGTCACATCAAATAATCTTATTAAAATGGAGTAATACGACCAAGTGATAAAAACTCTTCCCGTGACTTTGGATCTTCACGAAAAACACCAAGCATGGCCGATGTTGTTGTTCGTGAATTCACCTTTTGAGCACCTCGCATCACCATGCACATATGACTGAAACAACGAAATAAAAACAATCTATTGTTTTCTTCTCTTTTTATGTTTAATACCCACAGGCATTCAACAATAACAGCTACACCTCTTGGTTGAATAGCTTCGGCAATAGCCTCAGCTATTTGTCGCGTCAAGCGCTCTTGTACTACAATAGAAAAATATTGTTTAACATAAAACATATTACATCTACTTCTTAATTGCAAACCTTGCAAACGACGACTAAACACTTCGCATATTCTAATAAGAAAATTTAAACGAACAATAAAGTTTCTTTCTCTTTTTTTGAATACCTTGCTATTTTACTTAAGCCAAGTACTCGTTTATTAGGTAAATAACCAACTGATACTTTGCCGAAGAAGGGTACCCTAAAAAAACAAAATGAATCGAAGTCTTGTAGTTGGATAGAAAAGAAGAAAAAAGAAAAGATGTGTGTCAATCATACATATGATGTTCACATAATGAATAAATATCGATTTCTTTCACGACAACCATATTTTCACATTCTTCATCAAATACGGCATCACTGACAACATCTCGAATCGTTTGCTCGTAACCTTTCGTAAAAAAAACCAATGCCTAAATGTAAACAGAAGAAAGTTTATAAAAAAATCGAATAAATGTTTACGGCAAATATTAATTAATTCTACTGTGGTTTACAATTGTCATTCGGTCGAGCTGGTATTTCATTGCATTAAATATTTTTCTCTCATCAGTTAATTGCGAAGGGTATTATATGAGTAAAATTCATAGCGTGTCTATAATTTAATGTTTAGAAAAAAAACAAAAAAAAACAGAAACATGTTTTTATTACCGAGAAAGAAAAATAAATCGATCGTTTATACGAAACAAGAAAAGTCCATCATGCATATATTATTTGATTACTTATTCACGATTATAACATATAGTTTTAGTATTATAAATGCAAAAGAAATAGAATAATAACGAATGTCTGATCAATGACAAATAAATAAAAATGAACTTTTGAAGCATAGTCAAAAATTTAATAATCGTCATAAGCTTTTAAAAAGATGTTTACGTCTTAAAATAAAATCCAACAGATTTAACAGCTCTATGCTAAAAACAAATGCCCTATCCTTGATTGAACTTCACTGAATAGAAACAAAAAATGCATACTTCTGCGGCACGTTTTGATGTTTTAAGAAGTCCTATGAATATGAAAAATACAAAAGAATTCAAGAATCCTGAAAGAAAACGTTTTACCTTGTCGTAATGGATCTTCTCCAATGCTCTCTAAAATGACTTGATAACTTCGACTGATTGTTTCAATACGTTGATCTCGAACTAATACAGTGTCATCTTCACGTAATGCTTTTTCATCTAGTACACTTGGTTTACGAGTATCATGTTTATTGTGATCACTATCACCATTTTCTGATATTGAAAATGAAGCTGATTTCGTTGGACATAGTGATGAACTCAATGTATCGTCTAATAATCAAAATAAAAGTAAAAAACAATACCATTCTATACTATAAACGTAGAAAATGAAACAATTCGAAGCTGTTACGTGCTAATTCTTGACTGCGCTTCATCGATATTATTGACTTATGTGACGAAGATGAAAAAATGAAATAATCATTGCTAGTCGAAGGATCAATAAATATATCATCGCTTGACTGTGACATCATTTAAATCATCAATATTTAGCTTAACTAATAGCCGACTATTACTTTTCTAGCGATCCAATTTATCACAGTGGCCTTTCAGTCGCTTTTTTCTTTTGACTTTTATTACAATTCTTTTTTGTTCTCGCTCTCTTCCTGTTTTGTTCTCTGCCAGACAGTAATTTTTCTCGGATCAATGAAGACGGAAATCATAATGATAATAAGACAAATCAAAAAATGTCAGCACACGACGTCAACATGTCTTGTAATGACTGTATTTAAACATTAAAATTTATTCTCTCTCCTCCCATTTTCTTTTGTTTATCTATAGACAATCAAGAGTAGTCATAATCATTCCAATAAAATATAGCATACCAGATTCAGTATCTTCATTGGAATGCATAACTTACGCTATTGACAGTTCTATGATTTCTTTCTTTCTGTTTTTTAAATATATTTATAATAATAATAATACGTAAAGCTTGCAATTTTATTCTTTAATGACAGGCGACAGATACAGCCAGTTGGTACCATCCTAACTGCGTAATAAATAATAAAGTTTCCAATGACTGATAGGCTCACTTATGTTTTTAATGAGAAAGTCCTGGTTTTTTTTTTCTTTTTCTATTTTTACAAATGGGACATCTAATAAAAATTGATTATTCGATTTTTCTATTTCATGTTATTGTTCAATCACACATTCTTCTTTTTCTTCTGATTCCATTTGATTTCATCTTTTAAAAGGTTTTAGTATTCTTGTGATTATTATTTTTTGTTTTTGTTGAGATGTTCTATAATTTCTTTCTTTTTTCGGTTCGTTCTTGTAGAATTCTGATTTAGTTTCTTTTCTTTACTGTCTCTGCTTATTTTCTGCATCAATCCTATTGTTACTATTTTCATCAAGAACATTAAAGAATAAGATGGCAGCAAAACCGGCAAAACAGATTGATCAATACAATGATAAAATGTCTTATGTCGCCCGAGATCTTATCTGGTAATTTGATTCAATCATTTTCATTTTAATATCTACATATTCATATTGAATTCTTTTTTTCTTCCTCAGGAAAGATCATGTATCAAAGATTGAAGTAGCACAAAAGTTTTATGATAAGCGATGGGGCTTTCTCAATGAACCACAACTTAATGTATGCATTTCTTTCGTTTTATTATTTCTTTTTTTTCGTCGTTGGCATCTTTCTTTAATAATTATCGATTGAATATGTTAATAGGTTTCACCATTCGATCCCAAACGATCATCAGGGGGTTTATTTTCAGGTGCTCTTTCACCTTTAACGATTACTTCTAATCTACGTAGTGAAGTGGTGACAGTTAGTCCCTCTCCAAGACCAATACCACCGACAACAAATAGATTAATTGGTTGGAGAACAGCAGATAAAAATTGTGCTTTGGAAAAATATGGCAAATATGCTCGTGGTCAGGAATCATTACATAAAAAATTCAAATGGCCCATAGAAGGCTTTGACTAAAGAAAATCACATTTCCTATACAATATAATACAACATTATCGTTTATTAAATTTTTTATTTTTCTATCGAGTAGAAATTCAAATAAAGAGCCAAACAATAGAAAAGAACAATGCTACAAAAGCAAAAATTCATTTTTTCTTCTTTCTATTCCAATTTATCGAGGAATTATTATGAATACATCCACGATTTTCTCTTTTTTCTTCTTCTCTAACACAACGTCCTCACTTGTTCGTGTGTTGATGACGTTGCCGTTCACTATTTTTTCCTCTTCTACATATGTGTGCAAATGGGTTCGATACCCATGTTGCCCAACAAAACAAGCAGATCCAAGGACAGACAAAACAACAAGACAGTCTTTTTAAATTGAATAGTAGTAACATCATTGCCGGGAACACTAGAACGGATGGCGTAGGTTCGAAGACAGAAAAAGAAGACGAACAAGTGAAGTAAAAGTTGAATCGAAGTGTGACCAGGCAATTTGATCACTATCAAATATGTTTCTCATAGTTTTTGTTTTTCCCTTCCGATCTAATCGATCGGAAGTTTCCTTTAAAAAAAATACTCCATAGGCACTTTAGCGAGCTTCTTTCTTTTCCTTTAAAAGTTTTGGCATCAGTTGTGAAATGACTAGAAAAATTTTACTAAAGAATAATATCGATCATTTACTTGAAAGAAATAAGGTATATCATAATTTTCATCTTCACTTTTTTTAGATAAACCAATTAGTACTATACAAAGAAGAAGAACAAAAAAAGACTTAAAATTATTCACCGAAAAAACTTGTAAGTTGATTAAATAGAGCGTGGAGAAAAGCATAAGAATTAAGACTTATAACCGTTCGAAAGAAATTCTCAGGCCGATGCTTGCTAATCACGGCTCTTAAGTTCCTTCGTCTCTATTTTTATTCACGATATAGTTTTATTCCGTTTCACTTGAACACGTTCATTGCCCTCGATTGACTTTTCTTTTTTTAAATTCTCTATTTGTTTCTCTTTAATTTACCATTCAAAATGTGTACAATTAAAAATTGAGATTTTTGCTCTTAGTTATCCAGGGATATTTTCAGTGAACCAAAAAAAATCAATGCCTACGGAAAAACAATGTCAACGTTTGTAGTTTTTCCTCTAGTTTTATTAGATCGATGTTCTTATGTGCTCTTGTCTTATTTTGATCGATGTCATATCCGTTACTAAGAAAATAGAAAAACAAAAAAATAAAAAGAATGTCTTTTAGATGCTTTAGCTCATTCATATAAAGATATAAAATAAACTTAATGTAGACTATTTTCTCTTTTATTCATCCATTTCTCCGCGGTTGTTGTTGCATCCTTTTTTCATTAGAACTATCAGAGACGAATCGTGCACATGCACACACACTCATACTGACAGCAATATTATAGCAAGCAAAATGTGCCGAACAGCAAAGAAGAAGAAGAAGAAGAAGAAGGAGACGAAAAAGAAGAGTAGGATAGTTCTCTATCCCAATAACAGTGGCATAGCGGCAAGCTAAAAAAGAAAGATACTATCGAGTTGTCGGCGACAGACATAGGAATAATAATTGCAAAAAATGAAGAATGAAAAATAGACTGCCGATGAAGAGAAAACGAGATGCGTGTTGTGAGCAAAGAGATCTATGCCTACTCCGTCAAATAGGCATATCGACGTTACTTGATTCCCTTGATGAAAACTACATGTGATTGCCACTAATAATGGAGCTTTTTTTCTGTTTTTATAGGTATAGATTGATTTTACTCATATTTACTGATTTTTGTATAATTTACATATCGTTATGGCTTCATTTATCATGAAACAAATGATGGGTTCTCAGTTAGATAAAGTTAAAGGTATGTGGCCGATGAAGACATTGGTATATATATATATATATTTATTTATTTTCTACATTATAGTTTTATGTTGACCATTGCATTAAGCATTTTCTTGTTTTTTCTTTTTCGAGAAGGAACAACTAGGGTTAATTGACTGCTCGACTGAAATAAATGTTTTTATTATTTCTTCTTCACTCACTCGGTTCATATAAATTTTCCATCTATTTGCTCCTTGAATATACTCGAATTCATAACAGAAACAGAAACAGGCGAAAACGAGTAATGCATAACATGTCCCAGAATTCATATTTTCCCCTTGACTGATTGTCTATCCACTAGTTACTCATCAACGACACTGTTGAAGTAGTAGTAGTAGTAATAGTCGACGTGATAGTATTATACTTAAGACTACATGTTCTCCATGTAAGTCGGGAGCTGATTCGATGATGTTCACATCCGAATGAATTAACAATGTCATTGAGCTCTTAAAGAGGAATGAGAAAATAGAGAAAAAAAACGAAGAATGAGGAAAGATGTTGATAGAGAGAAAGATAGATTAGTTAGTTAGTTAGTTTTATAAGCAAAAAAATACAGAAGAGGAACACTCGTTTAGTTTACGATCGACTCATTTACAATAGACATGAGCATTAGGACTGATAGTAAAAGTAAGTTATCTAGTAAATTATTATTATTTTTTTTTCTATTTCCGAATTATCTAATTTTATTTTTCTATTATAGAACTAGCCGGCGGCGATGGCGAGAAAAAGGATGGTGCTAGTGGTAGTAGTGGTGGCGGCGGTGATGATGAAGAAGATCCAGAGGTAATATAAAGCTATCAATTATGATTTTATGTATACACATGTTTTTCATGATTGTTGCTTGCGAGTGTTTGGCCTGCTATTGATTAAATACCTATTCAAAAAATTAAAATTACTTCCTGATTTTAAAAACTAGAACATATATGACACAGAAGTCTGCTCAAATTTATATTTCCTTTTCTTTTTGCTGCATTTTTGCATTTACAAGTGCATTACGATTGAAAGCGTCTTATACATTATTTCTGGTCGATTTGGTTGCATATGACTTTCACAGGCAGCCTCCATCCTCAGAATATTCACAAATATAATATTCATTGATAATATTTCTTTTTCATCGTAGAAAGAAAAAGAAATCGCATGTTCGACATTGACCGGCTAATAAATTACATTGATTTATCTTAAGCCTACAGTGATATACGCTTACAAATTCATTCTTAACTTTCTCGTCCTCTTCATTTTTATCTTATTTGTCTTTCATTTCCTTTACAACTATTTTCTTTTTAAAGGGAGCGTTTACTGAATAGTATTTTCTTATAGACTCATTTTCTTCTAACATAAACACTTTTTTTTATATAGTCTCACACATTAATTTTCATTATCGTTCGCCCTGTTTGAATAGTTTTTTTTATTTTCTTTGCTTATCTTTTCAAAAACATTTATTTTGCATTGATAAAGAAAAAGTAGTTCTTCAATTAAAAAAAGAACACCTTATGGATAAACTTAGTGTTAACAAATTATTTCTATCCGCTACTTCTCCAAGTCAAACTCGACGTTTATCGCTTGTACCATTGTTTACTAAATCTACATCTCCATCACCATCAAGAGCATCAGCAGGCCTTCGTCGTAAGAGTATGATTGAATCACTAGGGGTGAGTTAATCGCTACTGAGTAACTTCTATAAATGGCAACGATTAGAGCATTTCTCGAATAGCTTATTATTAATCCGTAAAACGCTTAATGGGATTTATTAAAAATTAGCTTGAAATTTTCTTTTTGTTTATACTTACATTTTTCTACTGACTATTCAGGTTGCGGAAGCTCGACGTGAAGCAGACGAAAAACGAAATGCAAAATATGCGAAAATGGAACGACAACGTGAAGAAGTTCGACAAAATATTAGAGAAAAAGTAAAATTTTATTTTTATTTTCAAAGCAATTTTTCTACGCACTGTTCTCAAAGTGAGTGCAGCAAAGAACGTTCACTTAAATGCTTTGGAAACATTTCAAATGACTTCTAATTGCTTTTTTTCTTAATAATATGACACCATATTATTTAAGATTTTGCGTCTTATAATTAATATGACAAAAAATGTTTAGCATGATTTCTATGAAACAAAAACCAGAAATTCTGTGCTTTTAAAATCTTGCAAAAATGTTCTCGATTGTTATTCTTCTAACAATACATAGTATCGAAATAATTTGATTTAAACGTTGTTCTATCTGTTTAACCTTATTATTGACAAGGTTAGGCAGTTTTTATGCATTCATTAAAAGACAGTAAGCTCTAGTTGAGTTGTCTGCGGTCGATCAAAAATGTGACACAATAATCAAACGATTCGTGCATTTGACAGTTGCATTAGTATTGCAAGACACCTTTCATATAACTTATTTTTCTGAACTTTGTAGACTCAATTGATGACTTTAATTGAACTTGAAACAAATTCAAGGAATTCTACTTTCATTTGATTAACAAGTATGTCAACCATTTCAATTGCTGAAATGAGATTAGCATAAACTTTTCATATGAAATTTAGGTCAACCTGTATTTGACTGCTAAAAAAATATCTTTAGTAGATGCGAAGAAAACATAAAGTTTGAATAGTTCTTAAAAGAAGGCCTTTGAGACGCATCTCTCTCGCCATTGCAAGTTTTTGAATTTTTTATGTAGCATTGTCACGATATGATTGAAACATGCTATTCGTTTTTTTTTGTTCGAGAGTTCAGTTCGAGCCATCATATGAAAATAATTTTCGGAGCTATATTCAATCTATTTAAGTTTAATTTTACATTAGACGTTTTTGAAAAAATTCTATTGGATTTTCTAGCTAGTGAAATTTTTACTAATCTTTTTTCGGAAATATTCTCGGCATTGACAAATCTTGCATGATCTTTTTCGCTGAACATCTTTGAATAATTTATATGTTTATAATCATTTTTTATGCTGTGTTCTTTTAGTATAATATTAAGAAGAAAGAAGAACCAATACCTTCACCGTGCGAAGGACGTTTAACAGCCGATAAAAAAGGACCTATTCCATTACCCGATGATGATGATAGTAAGTTTTTTGTTATTAAACTTTTTACCTTTTTGTATATTTTCTTCGTTGTCTAGGCTTCGATCCAATTAAAATGGCAACAGACGCACTAAATACCATTTCTGAAAAATTACCTTTCAAACTGCCTTGGAAATAAATCAAAATCACAAAACGAACAGAGTCATGCCCGTCAGATACAATCGCAATGTATATTCCATAAATCCCGTTCCGGACTACTATCACAGTCTAGTATTCCAAAATATTTGATGGGCATTTTATACGTAAACACATATTTATTTCTATACATATATATATATATATATATGTATATATATCTACATTTATTTCATTTTTTTCTCGGTTGTATAATGACTACCTACTCATACATATATTTATATTGGTCTCGTTTGTCAAAGCAAAAAAAAAGAGAAACAAAGGTTTTAATAAATCAAATCATTGAACTTTTTTTCAATATAAAATCGGTTGTGTTTTGTACATATGATTTAATATAATCTAATTGATTGTTATTTAATAATATAAGGGCTAATGCAAAAATAATACCGACGAATATTAATAGTATCAATAAATTTCTCAATAACGTTCGAGTTTCAGTAATACAAAATGTTATTATTTTTAGAGGTAATTGGACAAAAAATGTGAATATTCGTGAAACTAATGTGATTGCGCGATAGATTGGATAAGTAATTTGGTGAATTCGATTAATAAGCACTATATAACCTTGATAAATTGAATAGAATGGAAAACATATTGCTAATACACCATGAACAATATATCGTATAAAAAAAGGCAATGATGACATTATATTATTGCATGTTGCTATTACAGAATGTAATAAATTTAATAATTGAAAAATTACGCGGGTTAAGTTGAGTAGCATACGCCCGAGTTCAATTAATGGATTCGATGATGGTGATGGTCGAGTGTGTGAATATCGGACGAATCTAAGATATATTATTATTTATTATTTTAAAAGCCTCGAAGATAGTTTATTTTGTTTATATATAATTATATATATATATATATATATATATGTTTCAAGGGGTACTCCAGAGTTGTATCCACAGCTTCCGCAAATAGTTCATTAGAAACATTTCAACTTTCCGGTCAGGTATATTTTAACCGGTAAAGATGAACTAATTAGAGATTCAAACATTCTGAGTATTATCCTTCACGAGATAAGAGAATCACGATGGGCTACTTGTGACTTCCGTTGTTTCAAAATCCGACGCTGGATTAATTTGCTCCACACACAATATATAATTTAATATTTTAATATTAGGATCGTTTTCATCGAATTCAAAGTCAAACTTTCGAAGGCATTGTAATATCCGCATGTTTTTTCTCGAAGAGCAACTAAAATTTACGAGCAATATTTTTTCGATTAAGAAAAGTTTTTTTCATATTATTGTTTAACGTATGTGAATAAATGGCGAAATATCTGCACTGCTCTTGATATAAGTAATAATTCGAGAAAAAAAATTTAAAAAGATTCTGAAATGTTAACAGACAAATTCTAACAATGACTTAATAAATAGATACCACTTCAGACTATATGACGAACGAAAAAGAAAAGTAAAATTTTGTTTCATGAAAAGGAGAGGAATCCCTTCAAGTCCAAAAAGCATACTATGTTACCAAACAACTTCATAATCAACCTGTATATATATTATGTTATTTTTGGCACTGTAACTCAGTTTACTATATTCATACAAATACCTGAAAGGTTTCTTATTTGAACACAATTGAGGAGAACATCGCTTGCTCTACAACTAAACAGTACATTTTTTTTCCTGTTACAAACACATGGTAAGTTTTTATAAGCAACGAACAAATATTTTACTTTTCCTGAATCATATTAGGATCATTTTGCATCTAATTTTTTAAAATCACTACTATCTACTGGATTATTCGTTATAGATGAAAGCATTGGTCTTTTCGCGCGCTCAAGTTTTTTAAAATAGGAGTATCAAGAAGTTCTTATTTTTCGGATTTTGTCATATTTTCAGACAGACTGTACATTAAATCCAATATAACAATAGATATCCTATAGAACGATGCTAAAATAAACATTTGAAGTTTTACACCAATACAGTGAAGTGAATATAACTATCAAAAATAACGTTATCAAGTTGTAATGATATATACTATATGCAAATAACTATCTGTTTGTGCCTACGATTGAAATTGTACATTAGATACGAGCATGATAGTTTTTGCATTGCGCCCTCATATCTTTCATGGCCATGTACAACATGCGTCCAATGTTATATTAATACGGCTCATATGATTCTAAATAGATATAGACCAGATGGTCTCGATCCCAGTAAGACTCGAAACGATAAATCCTGCTCATATCTAAGATTGATACCAGTTAGTGACGCTCATGTTTTGCACTCTTATTTGAAAAATGATAATGGTGAGTTAAATAGTAAAGAATCTAATTTTTTTTAGAGACAAGTTTTAAACTCTATGATGACATAGGTCTCTGTTTATAAATTATGTTTATACTAAGCTGGTATAAGAATCAAGCTTTACATTGATATGTGTATTTGATATACTTTTGAAACACATCAATCTACTTGTACAAATTCACAAGAACAGTAGAATTGCTTTATGGTTATATTTTGAATTCGAACAAAGAAAAGCGATAGACTTGTTTCATTTTCAAAATAATATCATAAGATCGAAATATCAAAACAATTTTTACCTTCCATTATTATTTGGAACGTAGCTAACGTATTCGTCTGACATTTGTTATCTGTAAATATGAAATGTCAAAATTTTGTACTGTTTCTCATTTCTATTGTATTGTTGTTGCTATATATTTATGTTTTCATAGGATAATAAAAGTAACCATTTATCCATTTAATCAATTATGAACCAGCTATCTACGAATGTCTGACATCTATAGTATGTTTTTTTATAAGTCGAAAGTATGTTAACCATCCATTCTTTCTGTTTCTCTCTTGTGGCGAACGCAACGCAGAGGAAGACTATAAAGATTAGGATGTCAATTTTTCTTCTTATCGATTTCACTAGTAGATTTCAATTTATTATCGTTTGTCACTATTTTCTTTTTTGTTTTATATTTTTCAAGATTGTAAAATCGATCTATAATGGTCAATGTTGACGGAGACACACGCTGGATTCATTCAGATACGGATCTTCTATCAGGTCATGGCGTCAGTTATAATGTCAATGTAATAATAATACTATTTGAATTATATCTCTAATCAAAGTTCCTTTTCATTTTAAGTATCTCGGCTCTGTTGAAGTACTTTGTTCAATGAAGACACTTGATTTCGATAGTCGTACGCGGGTTGCACGTGACTCAATACGTTTAGTGTGTACGGCTGTTGGTGTTTCACTTCGAGAACGCAATAAGGTAAATAGATATTTTTTTTTTCTTGTTTTTGCAAATATATTTATTATTCTGTTTTTATCTAGTCTGACGTATCATCAAATGGTCAATCAATGACTGCCGCGCAAGCTAATCTAACACATAGCCATACGCCTGTTCAATTGATAATTAGTACTGATGCACTTGTACTTAAACGATCAGATGATTCTCAAATCATTTGTTCACATAGAATGGAAGGAATTTCATTTGCAAGTGCTGGTGAACATGTATGTTCATATATTTTTTTCTTCGTCGCCGTTTGCTTTTATTACTAAATTTATTGAATTGAACTATTGTTTTTATTAGGATACAAAAGATTACATAGCTTATGTAGCAAAAGATAATATGAATAAGCGAGCATGTCACGTACTTTCATGTGCATCAAATGAATCGTTAGATGTTATCACAACTATTGGCCAAGCTTTCGAATTGCGTTACAATGAATATGTGCAAACACAACGGCAAGTACTTCAACATCAAGACGAAGAGTAATTAATAAATAAGTTTCGAAAATTTTTTTTTTTAATTTTGTATCTTTTACATTTAGCTCAATGAAATTCTCTGGTCATGATCAACAACTACTACAAGTAAATTTAATTATTTTTATTTATGAAAACAGGATAATAATTATAAATTTATCTTCTTTTTGTCTTGTTATAGAAACTAGATGAAAACCATTTTCCTCTGAACAATAACAATAATCAGCAACAAGAGACGCCGAGTATGTTTAGATTTTCTGTTTATATGTAAATGATTCTTGATGTATTATAGTGCAGATATGTTCTTTGCCTCATGAGAAGTTTTATAGTTCATGGTCATTGTCAGATAAGCTTTTTCTGTCATGGACAAAAATAGTCACATATTTAATACGCGACGAAAAAAGTCATGAACATCTCCAGTTTCAGACAGTATTATTTCTCGTTAGCTTCTTTTTTTAATACCTATCATATACATACATAATTCGGCAAGCTTATACGCATAGAATGACAGATAGAATAGAACACTTATTTTAAATAATTGACGTATAATATTTTGAATATCGAATATGTAAATTGTCGAATTTTTTTTCCTAATTTTTAATCTGAACATCGTTAAATGTATAACAATTCGATTTTTGTCTTTGAATTCTAGGTAGCTGGAATACAGCAAACAGTTTAGATGTTTACAAAGAGAATTGGTTTCATGGAAAAATTAGTCGAGAGGAGGTAATGAACTTATTGATAATACACTCAAATAGTTTCGACTTGATGAAGAAGAATATATGTAGAGTTTGACTAGGAACATTGTTTTTTTAAATTTATTTATTGTTTCTAGGCTGAACAATTATTAACTCACAGCGGGGATTTTCTTGTACGTGAAAGTGGAAAAATTTCTGGTCAATTTATTTTATCAGGTCGTTCACAAAATCAATTTAAACATTTACTTCTTGTTGATCCTGAAGGAATAGTAAGTATATATACGAACATCAACAAATATAGTAAATCTTAGTCAAATAAATCATTGTTCTTGCTTTTTTTTCCTTCTTTGTATAGATACGCACAAAAGATTATGAATTTGATTCAATTCAACATCTTATATCCTATCATAAATCAGGCAATATTCCTATTGTATCTGCTGACAGTGAACTTTTCCTACAAACGCCTATTCTACGTCTGAAGTGAATTTAACTGTAAAGTTTATATTTTTTTTTCGAAGTTTTTATTCGCATTATAATAGATAGTCCATTTTAAGCAAAATTAATCTCAATAATTTTGAACTTACGAAAGTTTCCTTATGTATATTTCTCAGGAGTTTTGCTTGTGTCGTGGTTGTAAAAACCGAGCAACATTTGATTGATCTGATGACCGTAACATAGTTTCTTTCTTGCTTTCTATACGACACAACTTAATTATCAGAACAGTTTGATTAGATTTTATGCTCGAATTCATATTTTTCTTTGTCTTTTTCTTTTCTTCTCGATGTGACACGCTATACATTAATAGAAAATCTTATAATATTCACTTCTCAATCTGAATTCTTTTTGTTGCTTTATTTATCGCTACTAACTATTTTTTTTTGTCTGTTTCTTGAATGTTTATGTATCTATTCATAAAATAGAATTGTTTTAATTAAAAAAATTCTTTTATTCGATGTGACAGACCATCGTAATCACCACAACTATTATTGTTATTATCATCATGTTTAGTTGTTGATTTGATGGCAATTTTTATTTCAGAATTATTTATCAATTTAATACGTGAATCTGTGCGTGAAGTTTGAGAATAATCATCATTTGATTGATTATCTTCATCCTCTTCATCCTCGTCATCGAATAAATAGTTTTGCATATCATCTAGTGATGTTATCGGTAATTTTCTATCGAATCGTTTAGTATATTCTGCTACTGTTTGAGGAATTTCAACACCTTCTGATTTAGCTATTGCTTTACTTTTTTCAATTAAATAGCTAAAAGAAAAGAAAAATACATTTTTATTTTGCTACTAATAAAATCTTCGGTAGAAATTGTTTTACTCGAGCTTTTCTTTATATGCTGGATGATTGATTGGATCGTTTTGAAATTTCTTATATTGAAGGCTCGCATCAATATTAGCCGGCGAAGATGTATTAGGTTCATTAAGCATTGAAATAATGCTTAATAGAATAGATCGAACATTTTGTGCAACACTCCATCGTTCACAAGCTTTTTCTCCACTACGTTCATCTTCACCTGGTTCGTGTAAAATGGATATACAAACATTTCCATCCGGGTAAACATTTGGATGCCATATATTAGAAAGAAATCTCAATGTTGGTGGTCGATAGGGATAATCAAATGGAAATTTTAGTATAGCTTTATAATAACCACCAGCAAAGAGTGTATCGGGTGCACCGAAAATTCCAACATTCCAAGTAAAAAAGTCACTTTGATCAGGTTCAACAATGAATCCTTCTGGTGGATCTTTTACTAGATCGGAAAATTCATTTTTTAAAATTTTTAATGATCCATGTTGATGTTGATCGGAACTTTTTATAGATGAATTATATAATCGTCGGTGACTATCATGATTTCTATTAGCCATAAAACGAATATAATAATAAATAGGAAAGACGTGCCAACGTTAAATAAATACCAAGAAAAAACTGAAGTGAAATTTTATGATGACGAAAAAAAAAGCTATTCGTCGGTTCTATTATTTTTTATTTCAAAATGATAATTGCTGTTAAATGGCGGGAAGGATTGTTGAAAATGTTTATTTTGTTTGTATTATGATATTACGTCTACCTCATTTATATTCTAGATTAATATAATAAAGTTGTAATGAATATTCTATCAGAACAAAAAGAAGTAAGTTTATTTAATAAACGCTGTCGGAGAGATTTTTGTATTGATAGTTATGTCATATTACGTAGACTTAATATTTTAATTTCATAAATACAAGAGAGAAGCAAAAGTACTCTTCTTCACATTTTTTCTCTCTCTCGTTTTGCTTATCCTTTTCTGCCTATGGCATGGTTGACCCGGTCAAACTGAAGACACTCTTTTCTTAACGCCTATTACGTATAGCTAAGCAATACTCTAGTTTTTTTGGCAAGAAAAAAAAATCAGTAAATAAATACAGCTAGCAAGACATGCAAGTCGATATTTCAAATCGTTCTATTTGTAATTGCTTAATGTGCATGCCTGCGAATTATCATGACTATGATCAAGTAGATATTAATTAGAAAATATATGTCTTTAATCACCTAGAGAAAAGCAAAAAATATTTAAAAAATGATCGGAATGTCATTAAGGATACTAATGGTTTTACGCAAAATCGATTACGTCAGTTTAGAACACTAAACACATTTATTCAGAAAATCGAATCAAACAGGAAGAGCCAGTCAACTCAATTTTATTTCCAATGAATTGACACACAAAGAGAAAAATGCATACGATTATTTAGTTAAAAATGATTTTTTTCCTGATTTTGATATTGAGCTAATTTCATTATTTTACCAGATCCCATAGGAAATATATGTTACATAAAAATGATATTTTTCTCGTTGTCAATTTAAAGAAAAAATATGAAGCGCCTAGACATCTGGGTACTGCATGCACGCATGCATGCAAACATGCAATCGGACGCACACATACAATGTGGTGAGAAAAATATGAAAAGAATGCTGGCACATAAGAGAAACCTGAATTATGTACAATAGTAAAGAATGGAGAAAGAGAAGAAAAATAGAGAACATTTTTTCTGCTGGGTCTTTTTCTTTTTCACCTGTAACGAGAAAGAAAAATAAGAAAGAACAAGAGAACAAGCAAATCAAAGTCGAAATAAATAACGTGTTTTTCGTCGTTGAATTACGAATCAATCTACTTCCCATACTTGAACCTTCTTCTTTTTTCAAACGAAAATTACGAAACATTGTGTGGAAGAAAAAAAAACGTGAATCTATTTATACACGCCTCCATTCTCATTACGTTACGCTTGCTTTGCTTTTTCTTACCTTGTCTCAATCGTTTTTCTAATTGTCTAATATTTGAAAGAAAAACTAAAAAGAAACGTGCAAATCATAATCAAGCGACAGAATAGTTACCAAGAACGAGACTATTATGACTACTGATGTTATTGACGAGCATCGTTTTTCAAGTCAATGTTCTCTCTATGAGCCTAATAATCATCGATTGTCGAAAGAAACAAAACATTATGCAACAGCGGCATCAACAAAAACATTATTCGAAGCATCATCAACGCCTAGAATCAATCATGTAACTCGTTTAAAACAATCTATTTCACCAAATATAACGGCAAACCCTACAAATGTTAACAATATTCAGAATCGTCATTCAGCATCTAATGATTTACTCTCATTGATTCGATCAGTCGCCATGAAACCTTTTAAAACATCATCTACAGTAAATACCGTAACCGAAGGACAAACAACAATTAACGCTGTAGGTGGTAATCATGTACATGATAAACCACCGGTCAGTCTTTTAAAATATCGTCCATTAAGTGACAGTGTGAGCGATCGTACATCTTATTCACAATCAAACCGTGTATGTATATAAACGAAAGGAAGACAGAGAGAGAGAGAGAGAATGAGAAAGAAAGAAAATATAAGTAGGTGGGTGTGCGTGTGTATGCCAATAGAAATTGTCACTCTTGACAATTGAAGCTTAATTAGAAAAGACATCAAAATAATGACCTACTAGACTAGCTATGTTTTTAATAAAGAATCTTTAAAGTTGGAAGGAAGAGAATAGTAAATTTAAAATTTTTGAAGTGTACCTATAAATAGTTTGTCTTAACGAATCACTAAAGGAACTTGATGGCGAACATAAAAATGGTCATTTTTTAGAAATAATTAAATAACATGTCGTACACGAGATTTCACATAGCTTTTGTTGAATTAAATATAAGAATGAGTCTACGTTTGATCAATTCATTTCTTCTAAAAATAAAATTAAAATTAAGAGTAATTGATAAGAAAATAAATACATTCAATTAAAAGTCTACTTTAAAGTTCAATTATTTTAATAAACTTCATTCTTATCGGAATTCAGCTAAAAAAAATCGTAATGAAAACAAAAATTCTTTGGCAGAAAACTGTCTCAATTCATACTCATTCGATGAAAAATAAATGCTCGTTAACTATTTCATATTATCTATCTATAGACTGAGAAAAAGTACATACCCCCGCTGGAAAAAACCGTCTTTTCGAAGAAATCTGACCGCTCTTTATTCTAATACATTTTTCTACGATAAACAAGTATCAAGTCTTATGTTTTTTTAAGAAATAAAAGTAACTAGAAAAAGGAAGAAAGAAAACAAATGGGGTCTTTCGCGGAAAAAAGACGACAAACGTCTACGACATTTGCTTGAAAGCAAGTGTACCTCTTCGCGATTGTACCTTCAAATTCAGTTAAAAAGAAAGAAAGAAAAGAAGTCAGTTGAGTAATAATAAAATACTATGCCGTGTAGTCCATGTACGATTATGGAATATGATATTTATGAGCTTATTCAAATAGTAAAAACAGAGCTAAATTATTCTTCATGTTCATGTTTTCGTTGTTTGTTTAGGAAACTGGAAATTTTCTTAAACGCATGGGATGGCCAGTGAATTCGACAACGGATGAAGCACGTGTTAAATGGAAACTAGCAATGAAATTTTTAATTCCAATGAAATTTGACGTTGATCGAGCTATTAATTTGTATAGAGCTCACGAAGTTAGTACTAGTAGTTTTTTCAAGAAACAAAAATTAAAAAAAATATTTATTAGACGATACGTAAAACTGAAAATCTCGATCGTATTTGGATTAATAATCCAAATCTTATTCGTGAAATTCAATCAAACAAATTTTTCTCGTTGGTACGAATTACATCATTCTATGGATATGATATATATGTTATCTCTTTTCTTGTTTATGTTTAGCGGCAATTACCAAATCAACCATTGAATGTTTATTTTACAGCAGCACAAGTTAGTAATGGTTCATCAACAAATTCGCTTTCACAACAAGAACGAGAATTAATTTCCTTACAAGCATTAATTTGTCAACTTGATGTTGCTACTGAAAGGTTAATTTTGTCTTAGAAAAAGAAAATTATTGAAAACTTTCATCGTGCTTTCAGCGTGGAAATTCAAAATAGTGGTTTAAATTTTATCTACGATATGCAAAGTTGTTCAGCATCTCAGTTTGATATGAATCTAAGTAAAAAGATTCTAAGATTAGTTCAAGTAAATTTATTTCTCTTTGTTTTATAATTAATTTACATTTTTCTTATATTCTTCTATAGGGTAATTATCCAGCAATGGTAAAAACTATCTTTATCGTTTCAGCACCAAAATGGTTCAAAATAGCCTATAAGGTACTCTCAATTTTTTTAAGTCGAAAACTGCGTGAGAGGGTGAGATAACATGAAGTGAATATTAACTAGACAAAAAAATTTCATGTAGAATTCGTTCGTATCACATCTTCGCACGCATGTTCACTTGTATTATAGTTTGTTGTTCACTACTTTACACATTAGTTTTATATACTGATGAATATAGGTGTGTAAATTTACTCAATTATTCTCTTCATCTTTATATTTTAGGTAACAATGCATTCAGCAGATCAAATGCGTGACGTACTTATAACACATTATGGTTATTCATTAAATGATCTTCCAACATCATTAGGTGGTTCATTCGATGCAATAATTGATGGTGATAATCGTTATCAAACGTGTTTATCAACAATAATGGATTCTCAATCAATATGTCATTCATATTATTCTTTGGATTATCAACCTGTCACAGCAAAGCCTACGAGTAATATTCTATTTTTTAATACTGATCATTATCATCATAATCAAAATCAAGACGCAACGTCTTCACAAACACCAACAGCATCTGTAGTATCCTCACCCTCAAAATCATTGGTTGCTATTGTTCAGTTAAGACGAAATCATGATTTATCAGCGTCATCATCACAAATTCGTGGAAGAAAACGTGAATCATCATCATCGACTGATAGTGAAAAACGACGTCGATCAAATGAAAGTCTTATTGAAGAAGAGCCACCGAAGATGCGATCATTAATTTATATTCCACAAGAAATTTCATCCAAGTAGGTAGTGAATTATTTGCGTTTGTTTTTGTGTCGTTAAAAAGAATACTCTTACTTGCAATTGACTTACATGTGGGCTGAAAAGTGTTGTAAAAAGAAAAGAAAAAAGACATCTAGACACTTCAAGACAACAACATCAGCAGGCATTAAATATCCTTTCTACCGATTAATAATATCTTTCTGCTATTGCGTGTCTATGGTAATGGCGTCTACAAATGAATACAAAACCATAGGGTATGAGAATGTATATTCATCTAAAGATGTGTTAACGTTAAGATTAGATTAAGTTAATGAATCATCGAGATAGGTTCGATCAATCGATTGCATGTACGCATTAGTATAATCTTTTGTTTTTATGTCATTGATTCAAGCAGTCTATCTCCATTATATTTATTCCTTATGAGTGTCATCAACATGAAGACAAGCGTATACGTATGTTAGATGATAGGTAGACAGAGTGAGAGAGAACAGAAGAGAAGAGAAGAGAAAACGAGAGGCTTCTTCTTTTCTTTCTTTCGTTTCTTTGCATGCTCGACTACCTCAACACACCCACACACACTCATTTTGCTCGTCGCTCTATTCGCTTACTAGTAGTGCATTTTTCTTCTCTCTCTCTCTCTCTCTCCCTTATTGTCGTCATTATCGATTAACTTTTTTCTTCTCTCAACAATGAACAATTATCCTTCTCAAAAACTCTCCTCTACGTATGCATATCCAGTTAGCCGTCAATATTCTCTACCACCTAATTATTATTCTTATACTGAATATCCGCCATCATCGTCATTGTTATCGCCAATGTCATATATTTCACTTGCGCACGATCGATATTCTTCATCATTTAAATATTACAACGACGATAATACTTATTTGCCTGAGTATCATCGTTCGTCTCGTCATGCTCGCCCCTCTGATCATTGGCAATATGCTAATAATCAAACTTTGAATAGAGCGCGTAATATTTCAAGGTAAAAGCATACAATCATACTTATCAATATCCCTTGTATATATGTAGATATTTATTTATTTATTTATTTATTTATTTTTCTATTGTATTGATAAACTCTTTTCTTTCCTTTGAAATTTTAGTCAATCACAACATGAACAAGCTTCAGTATCAAATGAAGATGCATTTAGTTCATCAATCGGACAGCAAGAAAATGCTGATTATTCAGCAAGAATTAATACTATGATTGAAAATGCAATTCATGAACCAAATATTCTCAGACGTGATATTAAACCAGCATTCAACAGTCCATACAAACCATTGAATTCAGTAGAGTTTCTAACTAAAACACAGTCAGAAATTCGGCAAGAATTTCGTAAATTGTCAAATCCATCTGCTAAAGATACGCATGCAGCAAAGTAAATAATGACTCTTTTAAATGCAACAAGTAAAACACTCATTTTCTGTTTTCATAGAGACGAAAGAAATCTTGACAAATCTCGTTATCGGGATGTTTTACCAGGTGAAGCAACTCGTGTTAAACTTCAACCTGATGATGATGGCGATAGAAATGATTTTATTAATGCTAACTATGTTAGTGGATATCATGATCAAGAAAAAGCCTATATTTTTACTCAAGGTAAAATAAAAAAGTAAACTCCTGTTGTTGTTTTTATTACCTCGTCTATCATTATTAGGGCCCCTTCAAACGACATTGAAAGATTTTTGGCGTATGATTTGGCAAGAAAATATATCTATTGTTGTTATGACAACAAATGTTCGTGAATCCGGTACAGTGAAATGTTATCCATACTGGCCAGACCAAACTAAAGATGTCATCAATGCTGGCTTGTATCAAGTTCAAAATGAAAAATCAGACAAATATGACAGTTTTGTAATAACAACATTAGTATTAAGAAAAAAGAATCATCCCAATGAGCGAATTATTTATCATGCACATTATCGTAAATGGCCTGATCATGGTATACCATCAAATACAAAAGATGCTTTATTATTTCTTGACAAGGTTGAAGATTATCGACAAATAACAGCAACCAAAGCACCAATACTTCTGCATTGTTCAGCGGGCATTGGACGTACAGGAACATTTTGCGCAATAGATATTGAAATAAAAAGATATTTAGAAAAGAAGATTATCGATATTCCATCAACAGTATATAAAATGAGAACAGAACGTGCTGGAAGTGTACAAACAGAAGACCAATATTTATTTGCTTATTTAGCTTTGATGGATTACATTAAACAATACCAAGCAGCACAAGAAAGAATTACTGGATCAATTAAATCGTCTGACACCGAGTTAATTGATGTAAACATTTTCATTATTTTTTTTTCAGTAAAATATTGTTTATTTGTTTTGTTTTATAGCAAACCGGTCGAACAAAATTAAAAGATGATATTGGTTCAAATGAACTCGATGATCATAAACAGAAAATAACGCGTTCAAAAAACAATAGAAAAAAGTTTAATGATTTGGAACAAATCAACACTCTGCCGACAACGAGTTCTGATAGAACTACCAATTTACGCGAATCTACATCGTACCGAGGTAAAACATTAAGTGATTCATGTGTCGCAGCAGTTCAATATTTCACACCAACGGCAGCAGTCATGCAAAATGAATCTAGCCGACAACGATCTGTAACAGAAAATATTTCGTCATCGACGCCAACTACGACTGGCAATGTATATCATAAGAAAATTCGTAAATAGTCATTCAATACAAAAAAATCGATAGAAGGCAGCTAGTCTTCTGTTTTTTTCCTTTTACTGTATTATGTTGAACACACTAAATGTAGTCGTTATATCTTTACTGTTGTTTGTACTTAACTTCTTTTTCTCTCACGTACACACACACACACCAACACAACACACATACATGAGTTACATTGTTGTTACCGTGTTTTTTTTCCTCTTTTTTTTTGACATATACGAATATTCATCCGAAATCAAAGCAAAAATTAAAGATAGGTAACATTCTTCACAAAAATATCGTTTATCGAGAATGCAATCAAACATGATATACTGTAATAATAATTGATAATTATCTCGTATGATGACGTCGAATTCTAGAGCAAGATGAATAATTAATTATGAGCGAAGGATTTTCAGGACATACTTTTATCGTGTAAACATTATGACAAGTCATGATCATTGATAGCATCTATCGACAGAAAATTTAATAACTAATTGATGTGCTTATTTTTAGCGAGTATAATAGAAATTGACGTAAAATATGTGAAATTTCGTTATTATATGGCCTCAAAAAAAAAGTATCTTATATATGTATTTTGTTTTCTTTGTTAAATTAACATGTTAGTTTTACTAGTTACAATCCAGTAAACTATTAGTTTCCTTCTTTTGCCTGTACATGAAGAAGTTATCTACCAAACGGGAAAATGATTTGCCGGCATATTTTTGATCTATGACATGTTCTCAGTCGCTATGTTTTTGAAGGCATCAAAACACAAGCTTCTTTATTTGAAAAGCGTTGATTAATCTATTTTTGTTATGACCATAATTATTTCAAATCCGCTTGAAAGGTGAGTCCATTCTCGTACATCCAAAAAAGAATATCTATTATGCATCAATATAATTCACTCCGTAGAAATCATGATACACTAGACGATACTTCACAAACATGCCTCTGGGCGAAAGGTTCTTCTTTCAACATATTTTTTCTTTCAACTTGTCATCTGCTATTTATATCAAGGCTTTTGTTGCTGTGAATTATCAAGTATGAATTGTGAAGAGAAAAAGGCACATGCCTGTGGATGACTACAATTTGCTATTCTTTACACAGATAACCATCAATGATAAGAAACATGTCTAGTCAATGCCATTAATTTTCAATGATTATTATGAATCTATCATTTCACTTTTTGCTGAAATTTCTTTAAAATATAAAAACAAATCGGTGGTAAAAATAAATAAAACTGTCAGTTTAGTCTTAGTAAAATTATGTACGTATAACACGATGTATTTATTACCGATAATTAAAGAGAGATTATTTTTTATCCCATCTATTTTTGGACATGTCTTCGCCATCCTTCTCATAATTCTCGAGCAATGTGATTACCAAGCAATTTTCGTATTACAGCGAGGCTTTATTGATGATACGGTTTGTGATCGTTTATTGATAATGTATGTTACAGTCTGTAACCGTTCATATATCGATACTCATTATTGGTTGTGTTCATAAACACGTTGCGTTGAATAAAATTGATATTTGATTTCGTTTGTCACTACATATGTTCTATTTATATCAAGCACATCTTGTATAATTTACTCTTGATTCTTTGATTTGATTGTATCCGACACTTCATTGATCGATCGATGAGCTTGATTTGATAGAAGAAGGAAAAAATGCATCAAACAATCATAGTACATCTCTTCTGTATTCATATCATTTTAGACTATTTTGTGATGAGTTTTTGTGCTCGAAGGCAATGAACAATATCAAATTAAATCTTATTTTTTATTTTATTTGTTTCCATTATGTTCTTCGTCAACAAGCTACGAAAATAAATGAATTTGTATTTCTGTACTACTATTAAGAAACTATATTAATTGCCCTACAGTCTCTAAAAATATCATCCTTGATCTTCATTTAAGCAGTCTTTGGGACCCTTCCGACCTTTGTTTAATGTACCGATTGCATGGCCATGACTGAATGCGAGATCAAATGAGATGTATATATATATATCTTTTTTTTAGTTAATTTTTATTAATAAAGCACAACCCCTGTGTCTTCTCATTGAAGACTCTTTTATGAAATTAAAACTAATGAATAATATAACACAATATCTAGTTCCCAATGTACTCTTTTGCCAAATTTCGATGAGAACTTTCTATTGTTAACAAGCCGCCAACAGTACTTTTTCATTATTTTGATTCAAGTAAATTTATAATTTATTTAATTTCAATTATTAAATAATCTGAATAAGTCACAAGTCATAAATGATTGAATGTACTCAAGAACAAAAAGAAAACCGACGATCGATTCCTATTTAACAACAAAACAACAGAAAATTCAGTCGTACGAATGATCCGCTAATATCACAAAACATATTCGAATGTTTCAATGTCTAAAATCCAGCGGTCCGGCAAAGTTCTTCTGCTTCGAGAACAGTTTTTCAGTAATAAACAAAAGGTGTTCGTATTCAGAACTGCTGCTTCCCTGTATACAACACTGGTAGTTTACATCCAAGTTGAAACTTGGCAATTCTACTTCCAATCAAAATTAAATTCCCATTGTTTTGATTGAAAATTCACGCTAATGTGGTCAATCGAAAGTAATATGATGAAAAAGTATTTGTCTAACGAGAGAAGGTCCTCAGGGTGTGTGTGGCCGTGGGCATGGCTGTGGACGTGTGAGTTTTCACTTCAACACCCACACTCACATCCTCATGTACCATTTCCACTGATTCTATTCTTATTATTCGTAGCAGAATTAGATAAATACATAAGAAAATATATAGTCCATTAGTATCTTGGCACATGAAAAAGTAAGACTTCAATAGTCCAAGTGTAAAATTTTCTTCCGTAAACTTCGCTGTCTGTAAAATTCACCGGATAAATTACTTATGAATTCAAAGAACCATAAAGATGTGTACAGATCAACATACTTTCAGACATTATTTCGTTAACATGTAAGAATGCATAGTCAAAACTACAAAATTCGATCATCTAATTTTATTTTTTCTAATAATGTCGCCGTTAAAACTTGTATATTTATTATATATCGTTCATTACGCATAAATTATACTGCCATTTCTCTGTAAGGGCCCATGGAGCAAAACGAAACATACCACAAGACTCAGCTCGTCGAACTCTAGAAACTGTGATATATCCCGTTAAAAGCTGAGACTCACACTTGGGGGTCTTCGCTCGTAAGTGCATTTTCGCTGAATTAAATTGTTTTGTAAATCTTTTATATCCTTTGATTTCTTGGATTAGAATAAAAGCTTTCGTCATCATCATCATCATCGTGCATATAATTTAATTTTATATGGCTATCAGTAAATTTTGACAATACTATCAAATAAAATATCGATTTATAGATGTTTTTATATTTTTTATTGGTGTGTATAAAAATGAAGGGGAATTTTGTAGCATATTTTTTGGTTAACATTTACGTTATATAACGATCATTGAAAATTATTTTTATATATCGCTCAATTCAAAATTGAAAGAGTTGAACTTACCTGGAAAGTATTCATTTTGATATGACAACCATAATTAAACAAACACCCATCTTCTGACTAATACGATTTGTCATGTATGAGAGAAAGAGAGCATTGAAGCTGAAAGAAATTCATTTTAATATTATTTCAAAATTGATCATCTGTACGAAATTTTCAGGTTTAATGAATTATAGTGCTCATAAATTTTAGAAAAGACAATGTCGAATCTGAAATTTAAAAAATGTATAAAGGTTTTATAGATTTGCTAAATTATTAGCTATGAAAGTATAGAAAAATGTCTGGAGATAAAGATTACAATTATTTCTTCAAACTTAAAATACCACAATGCCAGCGCAAATACCTTTGACGTACCTTCGAAATTAATTTTTCTACAAAATATTCATGATCCTGACTAGTTGAAATTGAAAATCTCATTGAGATAATATATTCTGATATAAATACTCTTTCTTGTAGAATAACTTTTATTAGACAGAAAATCGTTGGCTAACGAAAATATCGACTAACTACTAAAAGTGTGCTTAACAACAAGTTTTCTTCGCTTTACATATCCATAATAACCATCTATCTATTTATTAAATAAATTTTAAATTAATATAATATAAAACGTTGGATTTTGTTCTTTTTCATCGTTGACGATTAACTGTATATTTTTTTTCATGAAAAAGCTCTGCAATTGATTTATGTTGCCATGATCGTGATTTTGGCAATGATGATGTTGGCAGTGGTGGCTCAGCTATATTATTTTCTACGAAAGATCGAAAACGATTTAACATACGTGTTCGATATGAAGCATAAAATGATGATGTTGTCGATGCTAAATCTTGTGTTGAAGCTCGATTATGTAAACCTAGTCGATTAATTCGACTAGCTATTGAAGAAGATAATTTTTGAGATTTTCGGAATGATTCTCGAGCATCTGCATCTTGTAATGTATTTCGACCATCCAAATATTTTACTTCGAGTAATGTTGGTTCTGCCGATGGATTATCGCTATTCTTATGTGCAAAACGATATTCAGTTTTAACGGCTCGAGCATATTTCTTCATCAAACCTAAGATCGATGATGATTTTGTAAGACTATTTGACATGGGTGGTAATGAAAGTTTTAATGAATGATGTTCAAAGTCGGAATCATCAATTGTATTAGTTTCACTATCGACATAGATAGATGTTGGAACATGATTAATAAATGACCGACAATGAAGTGTATTTTCTATATTTGAAAGTTGTTCACTGAAAAATATTTTCAAAAAATAATCGAATTAGATACTATGGTGCTGTTTTTTTTAAAGAATGTAAGCATACGTTTGTTGAATTTGTTTTTGTGATGGTTCTTTCTCTCGTTTAGCTATATGTTCAGCAATTGTTATTTGTGTGATATCAATCGGTTCATTTTCTTGTCCTTGAGCTCGTCCATATTTTTCCATACAAGCTCGATCAAAAGCAAATGTACGTGTAAGTGTTGTCGTTCCCACAGCCGGACCTAATCGTTCACTATGAATTAGATTTGTTGAACGTTGTGATGATAGATTAGAGAATGTTGTTGTCGTTGTTCGTGTTTGAACTGGTGATGATGGTAATGTGTTTTTTTCAATTGAATCAATACTTGTTGTCGAATTACAAAATGAATCTGAGTGTTGAATAGATGAATTTGGTTCAGCTGCAACAGTTGCAACAGCAGTTGGATAATAGTCGTTTATTTTTGTTATTGTTCTAAGTTTTGTAATATTTAATGATTCGTCATCGGATGATGCCGAATAATTTTGTTCTCTCATTTTTGCATAAGACATTGCTTTTATTCGTTTAGTAAATTTACTTAATACTCTAGCCTTATGAAAAAGAATATCATTTGGAGTCTCTTGTATTGTAATTTCAGTTGTTTCAGCATATTCTTCAGTAGGATTAAAGTGCGCATGTTTGCATTCTGCATGTTCTGCTGTAGGTATCTAGATAGAAAATACAGTATTATTTTTCGGTTAAACTCGAAGAGTTTGTTTAACTAAATTTACCTCTATTATCATTGGTACGGTAATTTGGTCATAGTCTACCTTTTGATTATCATCTGTAATCGTTTGAGCAAAATTTAATTCTTCGGTTTCTTCTTCATCCACCTCCACCTCCACCTCCTCCACCACCACCTCCTCCTCCTCCTCCTCCTCCTCTTTCTCCTCCTCCTCGTCCTCCTCATCATCATCCTCATCATCCTCATCCTCATCATCATCATCATCATCATCATCATCATCATCATCATCATCATCATCATCGTGTGCTTCTTCTTTTGCAACCTCTGCTGTGTCTTCAGTCTTACTTGGTATTTCATCCAGTGAACGTTGTCGTTGAATTTCAAGAATAACATAACAACTTTCTATGGATGATGATGAACAATCAGTTTGATTACGACTTCGCATAGAAGTACAAGCACCATCAAAACTATCAGTTTCTTCCGGTATTGGCTGTGATGTTAATAGATTAAGCCATGATGTTCCAGTAGGAGTATGTTCGGTCCATTCACTATCGTAAACTGTTTGTTCAATATAACTATTAGTACAATCAGCAGCAGTAGCGAACATGTTGCGTCGATATAATTTTTATGTACTCTATTGATCTATTCAAGATTCATGACTTCCCTGATAGTGTTCGTTTTACTTTTTTCTTCTTCACTCTTTTTTTCTTGCGTGAAGACGAGTAAAAGTGACAGCGCTGTATACATATATATATATATATATTTATATACGTCGCTACATAAAGATGATGTAAACACATACATACATACACATGAACACTATGTGTATCCGGTCAAATATATGGCTCTTGCGTAATTTTTCTTTTTTTTTGCAAGTTCAAGTCAGGAAGCGTGATGATGAAGAGTACGCCATATAGTTAAACGAAAAAAAAAAATAAATGGATGATATATTTGATGTGCTCACTTAATCAAAAACGAAAGATTGAATACGTGATAATAAATCAAGATAGGAGTGTGTTTGTCGACCACACGCATAGGTGACAACAACTGGATTACTATTCGAATGATTCCTTTGTTTTACGCTGAAGATAGAATAATAATATATTGGCTTAGACAGGAATGTATTTTTGTTTGTGTTGTCAGCGATTACGTAGATAGAAATCGTTCGTTTTAAAAATATATCGGATTGTATTCGATAATCGAGATTATTCTAAAATTCATTCATTTATCATTGAATTTATTTCTCAATAATCATCGAAAAATCTATTTTGATTATATCCAATTAAAAGTATATGAAAAGAATTCTTGGATGTAAAGATTTGATCTGGCATGCATAAATTAGCACGAGACTACTATTAATATCATACTACTTATACGATGCAAATGTTTTTTCTGAATGAGGTGAGAATTGAGAGAAATTTATTTGTTTATTCAATGCAAACTATTAACATATTAACGTCACATAGAAGTAGACAGAGTTGAAGTAATAAAACATGTCAAACTATAAAACTGTGTGAATTTTGTTCTTTGTAAAATATTGATGAGTTAATGTAGTGAATCGGTTCAATGATATCTATTAATGATAATCTATCGTGGTGTCCATGACAATATCTTCGAAAGAAATAATTTTTCTTTATCTGATTAAATATGCATCAGTATGAAGAACGTTATCATTATCTTCTTAGTTTATAATATCAATTTGATCGATAAAATATGAGGGTGGACAATATAAATATATATGTTGATCATTTATTTATTAAAAATCACTTCTTTGTTGCTATTTTCATAAATCAACCGCCGTTTGCTTCATTCAATCAAATAAAGTGAGTAACAATATCAAGAAAACGATTTTATGAGAATTATTTGACGATATTTGTTTTTATTAAATCAATAAATGAAAGCAGAATATTTATTCAGTTCAATGGCATCTTTCATTTACAGAATGTCGAATGTGCTATTATGTGGATTAGGTAACAGTAGAGATATTCAAGTGGAAGAATATTAATTGTTTAATATAAGTAAAAGTGATGCAATAAAAACTCGACTTACTTGTCTAGAATTGATCACTCACACTCTACTAGGTTAAATTACTGACGAGTACATCTCGTTCGTTAAATGCAATACATACTTGTCTTCAATACTACTCCCCTCGTATTTTTGTAATCTATCTTTATTTAGTAGAGTTTTGTGAATGGTGTTGACTTCATCTGACTATTTCTTTGTAAAATAGCTTGTATAGGATATAATAGCAAGTGCACTTTAGCATTCGCTGTATTTTTATTTGATATTGGAATGACCAAAGAAAGAAAAACTCTGGAAGAGAATGACCTCGTTCAGTCGTATTCGTTCGACTATCAAATATACATATAGTAAATGTTAAAATATATTTGTTATTTTATCCTATACACGTCATTTTACAAATAAATATAAGAAACTGAAAGTAGTCATTGTGAATTTGAATCGTGGAGAAATCCTTTCTGCCGAAGCGATTTACTTGTTATAACGATTATGATAATGTAACTAAATTTCGAGAGACTTAATTCAACTAATATTGAAAGTTTTTGACATTCTTATTATCAATTATAACATTTTGTTTGAAAAAAATGTTAAATGATAAGAAAAAAGATCATTTTTCTCTATTGATTTTGTTTTGCTTTATTTTCAAAGATGAAACGATTCTTTCTACTTGTGTTTCTAATCGTTTGCCAAACCAATGCTGATGATGATGATAATTACCAAATAACATTAATGAGTTATAATGTTATGCTTTTGCCAAGTATTCTTGTTTTTGAACGTGATCAAATAACTCGTGCTCATCTATTAACTAAAGCAAAATTTATTCGTACGAGTGATATACTTTGTCTACAAGAAGTATTTCAAAAACGGCCAAGTGCAATATTACTTAGTGCATTAGCTGAAACCTATCCTTACAGTACACCAGTACTTGGCGATGAAGACGATAAAAATGAATGGAACGAAGTATGGAATGATCATATAAGTTCTAGTCCATTGAAATTTGTTAGCGGTGGTGTTACAATTTTAAGTAAATGGCCTATTGCATATGCTGTAGAATATTTCTATAAACATGCATGTAGTGCACATAGTTTTGTTCGAACTGGTTTTGTTTATGCAAAGATTTTATATGGTCATAATAAATATCCTGTACATGTATTTGGAACACATTTACAACCCAATGATTATCGTGGTTGCTATTTATATGGCGAGGACAAAATACGTGAAAAGCAAATGCATGAATTAAATAGTTTTCTTCAAGCAAGAAATATTTCATCGCATGAACTTGTTTTCATTCTCGGTGATTTTAATATTAATAAATATAATGTTCAGCAATATGAAAATATGCTTGAAATATTACATGTTCATGGCCAATATTTACATTCATCAAGTATACCATTTAGCTGGGATAGTTCATTTAATGCAATGACCAATTCAAGACATAATAATCAATTATTAGATTATGTTTTTTTACATAAAAATCATACACCAATAAATACACATTGGTTTAATCTTATTACAGATCGAATGGCATCAAAACAATGGCGTTTACTCGGTGAAAATCATTCCTTTTATAATACACGTAATATTCCGTTAATAGAACTTTCTGATCATTATCCAGTTATTGGTTTTTTTAATCTAAGTCAACAGCAATGGTCCCATAGATCATCAGGTGTGATAACATATATTAAATTTATGACAGCTGATACAAATTTACCAGTGATTATTGTTGATCGTGAATTACGGATTGGAACATCAATCAATCAAGCAGGCACACTGTTTATTCTAACAAATAATGGTACACCACGCCGACATCGATGTTTAAGATCAGAACAAAATATATTATTAATTGATGCCAATAAACCAGAATTTTATTTATCAAATGAAAAATTGCTCCGAATGAAATTCGGCAAAGAACATTCTAATCGATATTTGAAAATTATTCAACTTGATAATCTATCGAATTGTATTCAAACAAATTCAACGATTATTTTTCAATCACGTTTATCAACTGGTTATTATTATGTTAACAATAAATTTTCGCAACTTTGTACATGTACAAATGATAAAAAACAAGCACAACGATTTCGTTTAATTGAAGTTGAACGTAAAAATGTTAGTTGGTCGATGGCATATGAATGAAAAGTTCGATGGTTGTTTTTTTTCTATTCAACGTGACATGTCTTTGTGAATATGAAAGTGTAATTGAGTTCTTTATTTAAAAATAAAGTAAAATTTTTAATTCATTTGATACAGTTCAAATTAGATCGATTCTTATCAAAATGGAAGTACATATCAAACCACGAGCCCAAAGGAACCTGGGGTAAATTTTGGCATAGTCACGGCGATGTTGATATTATTAACTTCTGGCGGCCATTAATCAGTATTGATTAGTGTGGCATACGGCAATTTGTTGTTTACTCCTAATTTTAATTTATTATCTGCATGACCGACTACCCAGGTCGGTCAACTTGGGCCGTACATGATCGTTTGGTATCCATCATATTACGGTCGTTTTGCATCGTGCCAAAAAAATCGTATACGGCCGTAATATGGTGCATGCCAAAACGTCAAATTACGGAGATTTACTGTCAGAAACGTTATAAAATGGTAGTATATTTTGCCATATGCGGCCGTTTACGATCGTATCAGATCGTCGTAATGTTCGTCCTGAGTAGTAAGAACGATATCAAGATTCCTTGTTGTTTGAAATAATCTTCAATTACATGTGCTACTGATATATTCGATAGTCTATTCTTCAAGTTTTCTGCTTGCTCGTACTCAAGGAAAAAGCATGAAAGATTGCTTGAAACTGCACGTTTTAACTGTTCAAAAGGAAGTCGATGTTGTTGTCGAGTTCATGATTGAGTTGAAGCATTTAGACGGTGAGAATGACGATAGTGAGTAAGATGTTCATGAATACCGAAAGCGACGTTAGGATTTTGACGAATGAAAGCAATCATTTCTTCCAGATTATAGGTGTCCGATGAATTAAAAGCACCAAAAGTTTCTTGGTGATTTGTTTTGGACATTTCGTTGATAGATAAATTACTTAGCTTCAGATTTTATGATGAATCGTTCCTATAGTAATGATAATTGCCGTTAATTCCTCTACTTATTCAACAGATGATGATGATGCCAGAGGAGAATGCAAGCAAGCACTCGTGGTCTACTCTCAAGAGAAGAAAGGATGAAAGTGATTTTATATGATCAGAAGAGAACATCAGCAGTAGAATTAAATGTGGCACAATGATACATTTAATTGGCACTAATAACCCAGGTGAATGAATCCGACAACGGATCTTATCGAATCCGACTTCCCGACAAAATCCGATAGGATTTCTGGACACGGGCCTATTATCGGTTCCGGCGGAAAAAATCATTTTCTTATTCACGATCAAATAAGCATTTGAGTCATCAGAGCGCAAGGGTGATCCGGTAGAGTTGGATTCCGTTAAAATCCGACATCGGACCCGATTGGATCCAATACTAAGGATTCTACTGTCGGAATGATTCTCCTGAGGAAATCTTTTTCATAACGTACCAGGTCGTTTTTTACTTACTGGTAGATACTTTATAACGATAAACGATCGAATTTATCGATACATAGATGCATTATATTGAACATCATATATTTCATTAATGGAAAACAATTATTCATTATAAATGTTGGATCTAAAAACTTGCTTTTCGATACGGAACACATTTAGATGTTTTTCTTTCTGTTTTCTAAACGGTCTTTTAGCACGGCAAAATATCTCATTTTCTTGTTGGAAAAAGTTGTTTTTTAAACACGTAATCGATATCAGATTTAATCATTGAAACACGTTGTTAATCGGGGGAAAAAATCAAATGTGTTGTAACCGCAGAAATCATGACTTTTGATAAAAAGAATGTGTTAAAACTTGTTTGCGTAGAAATTCAACGGTTTCAACCCATTACAACTGCATGACGTGAATGAGTTATAGTACGTTGAAACTTTGTTTTAACATTTCCTTTTCTGCGTGGGTATTTCTTTCGTATATAAAGGAAAGCTAGAGTCGTTATTCAGTCTTATTTCAACAAAAAAATATGATGCAATTAACGGGTATTTATTATTGTATATTCGCTGTATTCAGGTAAACTTTTAAAAGTGATTAATTTTCTATTCAACTTAATTATATTGAACAATTTTTGTTATAGCCTCACAGGTTTGATTCTTATTTTATTGCCTACGTCTTACTCTTAATTTAGTGTATTGATAGTTCGACTTCAATCTCAACGATGTGATGGCATGGCTAAATATGCCGCATGTTCGAGCCATTCTGCCTGTGCCTGCTTCCCCATGGTATCTTCTTCTAACGCTAGTATTTGTATCGACCAATTCTGGATGTCTTGTTCTGAACTAGTTCCATGCGAAAGCCCAAACAATACTTGTAATGAACCCGAACATCTGTGTGTTTATCATACTCGATGCCATGCATTTCCTATTTGCTATCCAGTACCGAGTTTCAATCCAGAATACTGTCAACCGATACGTAAGAGCACATGTACAAATTATCTTCGTACTTTAACTATGCAGAAAAGGTGAACAGCATTAATAAAATGCTGCTCTTCATTTGGTAGCCTTCGCTCAAAGGCATTGATTGACTATTAGCTCAAAAATCTTAAATGAATCATTTAGTTGTGATTTAATAATATTCTAACTCAAAAGACTTTGATTTTCAAAATGACCGATAGGGCACTAACGATTAGTAATGAGACCGTTGTATGTCGGATGTATCGTGATAGATTAGTCTAATTAGTTTGGGCTATGGATTGCACGGAGACTTTTTTCTTATAGCATATCGAGTCGTCGAAGCAAGAGCACTAACATTTTATTTCTGCAAGTGTTAGACTGTTCGTTCTACATTGATACCCCTACTGTAATGATAGAATATTTTAATATCATCAGATCTATTTACTAGCAACTAAAAATGATTTGTAATAAGTCTAAAATTGCTAATACCATATTTCACATGATCAGATTAAATTGCAGCTATAGTGAATTCCGATTCAGTTTTTGTTTCTATCAACATTGAATGTCAGTGAGAAACTTGAACAAGACCAGACAAACGTTGATCACTTTTCTAATTCAGTGGCATTTCTATACACATAATAACAACATTCAAAAAGGATTATTTGTTTTTCTGTACTAATTTAATACATCCTATAATGCTTTCATAGCTAATTTTATTGCTTGCATGATGGTGGAATCTCGATGTGTGCATTAGAATCAAACAGAGATCCTAGTGCCGCAGTCCGCATTTCTATACGTTCAAATCTATTCCAGAAAATGCAAGCGGATCCCAGATCTACATTAGAGCGAATACTTCTATCATTTCACCCTACACTCTTTTCCTTCGGTACTGCTCAGAATCATCCTCTTGTCAGTTCAAAGTGAAGTTGTACGTACAACAATTTTCTTATATTAACAAGTCACAGAATGGAGTTGTTGGTTCAAATATTAAGAAACACTCAATTCCATATCATCTTTCATGTCAAAAATCAAACTATTCGAGTTTTTTTTACACAAATGATCTTTAATAATCAATAGTGGCTAATACTATAGGTACAACTGCAACCACAACCACCACGACGACTACAACCATAACGACGATCTCACAGCGATGTAAGATTTATTTTCATGCTTTTTGGTCGAACTCATTTCTACTACTGAATCAAATGTGTATAGCGTTTCTTCCGTGCTATGTCACTCTTTAGGTATCTTACGTTTGACTTGATGAAATTATTCATTTTCTATTATGACTGATTTCGTTGTCAGCATAAGAAGAACTGAAGGTCTTTGAAATTCTATACAAGCTATTCTGGTCATTATGCATATATTAGCTTTATTGTATTAGCAAGTTCACGACAATAGTAATTAAACTCGATTATAATCCAAATCGATTAGTTATTCTTAAGAGTCGTTCCACGAGAAGACCGAACATCGTGGTCGGGAAAAAAATTGATTTTAAATTAACCTATCTAGTTTGAAAGATCGCTCGTTTTTATACGTAGATCCAAATTTTTTTGATTTAAAACCTCACAGAAAAACTTTTAAGCGCCGCCGACCTTTTTCATCCACTAAAACAGCAAAACATTTTTCAACACCGCACTGCTGTTCGCATTTTCTCAATATCTTGAGAACGGTTGAAGCCACTGTACTCATTCAAGTTTCATTCGACAGCGCTTAATTTAGTCTACAAAGTGCTTAGGATTATGAAAAATACTTGTACGAGAAGTTCGGAGCTATACCGATGTAAAGGTAAAAATCACGAAAACTTTTCTTTTGAAAAATACGATTTTTTGTCACCTTTTCTGACTTTGTAAATCCAGATATGAAACCTCCATGAATTATTTTATTGCATCTTGTAGAGTTTTTCAAGCCGCGTGAAACCATAGAAAAATGAAGATCTAAAAACACTACCAACACGTCGAAAAATGAGTTGCACTAGAAGCACTATCATGCTCTCAAATAAGAACATGAAAATAAAGATCCCAGAGAATACTTTACTAATTTTCATAAAGACGGTGTTTTTATTATCTAATTACCGTAACTAAGAGGATCTAGTGATTTTCGAGTCATTATTTCAGTAACATACCGTAAAATGCAGTACTTCTACCTATCCATAACCGAATTCTTAGAAGTCCGTACCCAGTCCTATTGAAACTGTACAGTATAGGTCATTCAGTTTGCTCAATTCATTATATATGGATTACTACTACCAAACACATAAAACTAGACAATTTTCGACTTTGATACCTACGGTTATATGATAGTCGGATCATATTGAGGAGCATAGAGCTTGGCTGGAAAAAGTCTTACTAAGCATTTATTCGTTTAAAAAAAATCAATCTTTCAAATATACCCTATTAATTAGTAGAACATCAATAAAATCAACAGTTTGATCAAAATCTTAATTTTAATAAGTTAGCATCTCGCAAGGTGTGAGTCTTAACGAATTTAATCTCATGTGGATTTAAATCAGACACAATATACTGCATTGCTATGGAAAAAATACCTTAACTTCCTCTAGAAGTTTCTGTATAAACTTATTGAAAAATACCGAAAAACTCTATATGTACTCTGAATAGTATACTTGACTTCTTCTAGACATTTAAAGAAAGCTTCCGTGATATAGAATTCTATCTAGTGAGAGTCAGTGCACTGTCATCTACTTATTTATTGAAAAAATATATTCAACGATAAAGATAAAATTTTCAAAATTTCTGTACCCCTCTCCAGGGTTCTGGTGGATCAACATCTTTCAAAATCACTGCACCTCCCTTCAGGGATTTTTGAAATTTTTTCTCAATCGTATTCTTTTATGAGAGAGTTGGAATCCACTAGCTAAATATTATTTGACAGATTTTATGTCATATAGTCAAACATCTGTTTTCATTGTTCAACAAACTCGCGTATGTTATGTATCGTGAAAAGTGTAAATTTTAGCAATATTGATATGGAGTTCCGAAAAATTAAACATTTCTCAAAGCACCTGTTGCATGATTATGTAATACTCAGTGTCTAATTTAAAATCACACGTGCTGCAATTAAATCGGATCGACTTTTCGAGAGGTATCGTATGTTTACTTCGTGGCTTTCGAAAGACCATCAGTTGTTGTGATCAGAGATGGACAGCTCCGCTCCATAGAGCGGAGCGACTCATCAGAACGGTGGAGCTGGAGCGGAGTCGGAGCGGCCCTTTTCTCTCTAACTCCAACCATACGCTCCCTTTCCGATTAATTTCGATTTTAATTGATTTTTTTGGTGATTCATGAAAAATCTTCAGCTGATATTCATCGATATGCATGAATCATAATCAATTCAACTCATAAAATTTTAATCTTTCTTATCCGTAACATTTTTACATAGGTTTTCTTCTGTGAATGAAGACGGGGGAATTAATGAAAGAAAAGTTTGTCGTCTAGTATTCAATGTGATGAATATGCCATTGCTGCATTTTAATCAACGACAACGCTTGAGATAATGACTGACCGTTCATTTAGTTGATTTTTCTATGGCTGATTGAACTTCGCTATTGTTAATTAGAGAATGTAGGAACACGACGCCGACGAAGAGAAAAAACTAAAGCAAATAAAGTGTGAGAGATTTGATTAATGATAGAAGAGAACAACATTTTTCATTCAACTAAAAGTTGAAGGAACAAACTACGATGTGGGTCTTGATTTTTATCTCATCTTGATCTAAACTAAACCCACATCAACTCTCTAAGAATATGTTTCCAATGTTAACTTTACTAAAAAGCAATCGACAGTTATTATAGTTCACTAGTCTATTTATTATCAGAAATAATTTTCATGTTGTAATCAAGATAACTTAAATGTATTGGGGATTCATTTTTTGTTAAATGTATTGATAATTAGTTTTTTATTAATCATATTATTAATGATTTTTTTCCTATATTCTCTATTTATATACATACATATATGTATGCTGGAGTGAAAAGTGAAATTCATTGAATATCATCTAACTTCAAGAAAAATAGGAAAAAAAATTTTCGTTAAAGCGGAGCTGGACCGAAGTCGGAGTGGAGTCGGAGCGGTTATGTTTGATTCGGATCGGAGCTGAAGCGCGAAGCGTCGGAGCTGCCCATCTCTGTTATCTACTAGTTTTCAAAATTTAACTAATTTGAATTTCAAACAATTTAGTTTATTTTAAATTTTTGAAAATTTATTTCTTGATTTAATAATTTTTTTTATATTTAAATGTGACACCCCTAGTTCTACTACATCAGATTAGCAAAAATTTCTTGAGACTTTTTTCACATTTTCCATGTCAACGTTTTTAACACCACTGGGTAAGCCAGATGATGAAGGTCTCCTTCGTTTTTCTTTCGTTTCTTATAGTTATACCCACTATTCCTGCAAATGCGACATGGTCAAAGAATGGAACAGCTATTGTTGGAATCAAAGGGAAAGGCAGTAGCACCCAACAACTCAAAGAACCTTTTGGTCTCTTTGTTGATGATGATGATGATCAAATACTGGTCATTGCTGACTGGGGTAATCATCGTATCATGCAATGGAAGAAAGGTGATACTGATGGGCAGCTTGTTGCTGGTAGCAATGTCAAAGGAAATCAATTAGATCAACTGGATCGCCCAGATGATGTATTGATCGACAAAGAGACGGATAGTCTCATTATTTGCGATCGGTGGAATCACAGAGTTGTACGATGGTCCCGTCGTACTGGCACAACACAAGGAGAAATTCTCATCGACAACATCACTTGTTATGGGTTGGCTATGGATGACCAGAGATATCTCTACGTGTCTGAAACCGAAGAAAATAAAGTAAGACGATATAAACTGGCAGATAAGAATGAGACTCTGGTGGCTGTTGGCAGTGGCACAATTAATGGTCTCAATGAACTAAACGAGCCCCATTATCTCTTTGTCGATCGACAACAGAATGTCTACGTGTCAGACGGTTTAAATCATCGTGTAATGAAATGGACTAAAGGTGCAAAAGAGAGCTTTATTGTCGCTGGAGGTCAAGGCCAAGGGAATAACTTGACACAATTGAATGAGCCTAACGGACTCTTCGTCGATACGTTGGGTACAGTCTATGTGGCAGATTCGAATAATCATCGTATCATGCGTTGGGCTCAAGGAGAAAAACAAGGCACTGTGATTGCGGGTGGAAATGGTCAAGGAAGAGAAGCATATCAACTCAACAACCCCATTGGTTTGTCTTTCGATCGACAAGGCAATCTCTACATCGTAGATGATAACAATCATCGTGTTCAACTATTCTCTCTCGAAAAGACTCGCGTGAATTGACTTTTCTTTTCTCTTTTCCATTCGGAATAAAGCAGCGGGTGTGGGTGCGGGTAAAGATAAGGTCACTTTCAACACTCACACCCACACCTCTCATTTGTTTTTGGTATTTTTTGTGAAAATTTCGCATGTTTTCGAAGAAAATAGTGAGTGTAAGTGGTAAATGGAAGTGTCACCGTTTTTCCTCCTCCGCCCTAGGTCCTATCAATGAGCTGATGCAAATTCAGAACTTTTTGGTTATATTATCTTAGCAACCGGATGGAAGACAAAGCCAAAGATTATTTAACGTATTTCGATAGCAACAACGTAATTGATTATAATGTTTAAATCGTTCTGGAGTTGTATCGAGTTTGCATATTCTAAATATTGATGTTTCGGATTCAATACAGCAATACAAACTTATCGTTAGTGCCAATTTGTGAAGTAGTGATATTATCTACCAAATAAAGTTAAAATAGAACGGGCAAAGTAACGTATAAACCCATTGAATTCTGAAATTAGGTGAAACCAAACAGTGCAAAGATCATGTGTTCGGAACCTTACTGAATTATTGAATCGATTTTTATAACAGGTTAATACAGCAGCGGAATCGACGAAATGAAGAGTATATTGATATTTACCGCTTTATATGACATGCATCATATATACTGTCATTAGGAAAAAAGAAATTAGGTGGATGTGTATGTCTTGGCTAGTGAGCTGTTTTGGATGTATCTAGTCATCTGCAATCTCCTGATATGATTCATTTTTCCAAAACAAAATCCTTGAGTAATGGATATCCATTTTTCTTGAGATATGATAACTGCAAAAAGACCGTTATTTATGTCAGGGAAGTGAAGATATGAAGCATTTGTTTATAACTGCCTTTTAAAACATAATTATACAGAATGAATAATAGTTCGAATCTGGTGTACATATGAATTTTAATTCAAAACGAACTTCATTATATTACTTATTAAACAATACAATAAACAAATATTTATATATATATATATATATATATATATTCATTTCGTCATATGTCCATCATATAATTATTTTTTTCAACTAGACACACACATGCACACATACAAATAAAACATCAACGATCTGACCGCATAGATAATGATATACAACAACATACTGTATGATGATAGAAAACCAAAGAGGAAAGGAAACGACATGATCATTGATTGATTTACTTGACCTCGAGATAGAAAAACAAAAAGCTAGTTATAATAATAAGTTTTTATCTGAGATAGACAATACAATAATTGGATTTTTGTTATTTTTTCAATATTTGGTTTTGTTTCATTCTAGCCGGCGACAGATAAACAAGAAGAAAAGAACAGAGATTCAACATTGATTATTTTTTTCGCTCGTATTTACAATGGTACAAAGAAGAAAGAGAATCTAACCGAATTGTTTCGTCCATTGCGCTTGAAAAAATGTCCGTAATAAATGTCCTGCTTGGCCAACAGGACTATCGTCTTCATTAAAATATTCACAATTGTTTAATATTAATTCGACATCGTTTAGAAATTCGTCACGTTTTGTATATTGATTATTACGCATTTTCTTTTTAATAGTAGCGAAATCCATTGGATTTTTAATACATTCATAATATTCAGGATGTTGATTAGCATCTACCGGAGTTTGAAATGGCCATGATACATCACTTTTTAAAAGTTCATTTAAAATAATTCTGAAAAAAGAAAGAAATAATATAAGAAACATAATTTTTGACTTTGAATGGTTTCCTACTTTTACCTGCAAGCTTTTACATCATTGTTTGGTTTAGATTTTTTTGAGGATTTCTTCTTTGAATTATTATTGTTATTGTTATTATTACTTGCATTACTCATCAGTGGTGATGCAATGTCATCGTCCATATCATTTGATGATGAATCATGAAGTACACTCATTAATGGGGTGTCAGGATGAGAAGAATTTGAATGCGATTCTTGTAATGTTACGATTTCAGTATTAATATTAGATTTTGATTTTCGATTATTATTAGTATTCGATCTATTACGATTCGTATTTGTTGTTGATGGCGATTGAGTTGTGGGATCACCATTTGTATTTGTTACAGTTGAATTATTAGTTGGTTGACGTGAATTCAATGAACGAGATGTTTGACGTCCCGTTAACTACAAAAAGTTAAATTAGTTTACGTCTGTCATAATTACTTCAGTTTTATGTGAGCTCTAATTAGTTTTATAATTACGTTTAAAATATGTTAAATAATATGATTGGGGGGCATCTATTACATTACATTGATAAAATCGATCAATGATGCATCGTTGTTCTTCTTATGATATAGCAGTTCAAATTATATTTGATTACTAGAGATGCGCGTGACCAAAACATGAGCGAGACTACGAACAAATACGTAGGTGTCTCAGTGGAAATTAAACATTATGGCTAAAGCTATTGACAAAAGCAAAAATATTGTGTATTGAAAACATTCTGGGATTTTATACCAATCAATTCTCACAACCTGTTTCTCTATAATAGAATCAGTGGATGCAATCAAAAGGGACAGAGTCAACTTAACAACTGTAACTATATTATAGTTTTTTCGATAGGTAGAGAATAACTAAATAGATGAACTTTACTTAATTTCACATCATATACTCAATAGGTACGAATATCTTGCAAAGAAAGAAGTTGGGTTTTTTTCTATCGTTGTTTAGGATCGAATTAAAATGTGAATATTGATATGTAGACAACGTGTCCTATTTCTAAAATTTTTTTTCTTAGATCTAATTTCTATCTTACACATTTAGTTGGTGTTGTTGGTGTTATAGTTGTTGTTGAATTTCCATTACTAAAAGAACTTGTATCATTAGCTGCGCATAAAACACACAACCATTTTCCACGTTGTTGTTTGGCATTTTTCAAACAATGCTCGTGAAATAGTTTTCCACAATGTTCGCATCGATTCAATTGATTATCACTTTTATTACCACAAACAAAACATAAATTTTCACCTTTTGCTTTACCAATACAAACGTAACAGTACCTAAATTTTAAAATAATTTATAGTAAAAAGAAAAACTAAGTTCTATCGAATTCATACCAATCATTTGGTGGTATAAATGACATTGGCGGTAGAAAACAAAATGTATGTGTGCCATGATCACATCCATCGCATAATAATAATTTTTCTTCGTTGTCATCTGAATTACATATTTCACAGTAAACTCTCATTATCGATCTTTCCCATGCAATACAACGTTCTAATTGTGTTAAACATAATGCTAACTGTGCTGGGGTGCGACTTTCATTAACAGTTCGTCTCCAACGTTCGAGTTGCTGTGGTACTTCATCATATTTTGACGATGAAACTATTTCATTGGTCGAATCTTCTGATGTATGATGATAGGTACTATTTTGATTTATACGATTTAATGGTGATAAATTTATTTCATATCTACGAACAAACGGATGTTTCAAATAGCGTCGTTCAATGTTACGTTCGATTTCAGTTAGTAAATGTTTTGCTTCATCAAGAATATCTGAACCTTTAGCTTGAATATCCAAGTGTGTTAAACGTTTACGAGAAATATTTGTATCCAAAGAACGACAATGAAGACTTGATGCAATAATACGATCTAATAAATTATAGATTTCATTCAACACATCCATTTCATGTGTATCATCAGAATTTGAATCATTCGGTTCGATTAAATCATTTGATGATGATTGTTGTTGTTGTTCGTCGTTATCAGTTTCAATCTTATTTTCGGTCGATGACGATGAAGTTTCAGTTGTTCCATTCGATTGTAAAAGTGGTTTCATAGAATTTGTTATTAAATCAAAATAACGTTGAAGCATTCGACAAAGATACCGTTCACGTTGACCACGTTTACTTAAACATTTAATTAGATTACGTAGTTCATCAGCAGTTTGAATATGCCACCAACCAGATTGGACATCTAGTAAATGAATTAAACATAGATATAATATCATGTAAGAATATTTGTGAAAAATAGACGAGGAAGACAGGCCAACTGATTACATAATCACAGAGAATCATTTTTATCCTAGAATTCCTTTTCAGAGATGCTAAACATTATTACTGTCAGGAACTTTTCCTGACCCTCATCGAATTGATTTATGGGTATTCTAAATAATTGAGTTTTTTTAAAATTTGATGCCGATAAAAATTAATATTCAATATGCCAATAAGAATTATTAAGGATGTATCGATATGCAACAAGCATCGAATAAGCAACATAGAGAAAGAGCGACATCTAATCAAATTAGACATCAATATCAGTGTTGCCTTGTCATGTTAAATTAAGCATAAACGGAAAGTCAAAAATAGAATACCAATAAAAAAAGACTTATATCCGGAGTTCAGATCTATTGATCGATTATCCTTGAGAATTAACTATGTTACTTTGCTAGTGATTGCTATCTTGACACTTATTTTATTAGTATAATAAAATTAAAGTATGCTTGTAAATTTATATTTGAATGCTAATGGAACTATGCTGTTCAGGAGAAAAAAATAGATCTTCATTATACGCATTGGCTTTGTTCGTTTGAATTCATAATTGCATGTCTGTTTTTGACATGTTATCAATCATCTAACGTCTAGTTGCCTGGATAAGATAACCCTATATTTTTTTCCTCGAATAATTAAACTACATTATTTTTCTCTCAGCAAAAAATATTTACCATCCGGAATAGGTAATGGTTGTGAATATTGAAATTTCTCTCGAATACTTTGCTCGACGTGTTTAAAATTATTCGTCGGTAATTCTTGTTTAATTGATGTCGATAAATTACAAGATGTTATCGTAGAATTTGAATTTGTTAGATTAAGAATATTTGTTGGTACTATTTTTTCCTGTTTAATATTATTTAACAAAATAGCAGTTGTAGCAAGATTATCGAGTTCTTGAAATTTATCATATCTATTTATACTTGATAATAATGGATATGCAGCTTGAGTATGTTGAGATGACCAATAATCTTCTTCACATGAACGTTTGACTTTAGAACATGAAAGATCAAGTGGAAGATCATCGCCATCATCATTATTCATTTCATCTAAATCACGTTTATTATTATTATCATTATTATTTAAATCTTCACTCGGTTCAGCTTTAGTTATCATAGATTGGTTATCATTTTCATTTTCATTAGCCAGAGGTGTTTCAGCATTATTTTCTCTATTAGCAGCTAGACAAAATGCAGTTAAATCCATCGTTGCAAGATCTTCTGTTTCATTATTTGAAGCATTGATTTGCTCTGGCTCTGGTTCTGGCTCTTGTTGCTGTTGTTCTTCGTCATTGTCAATAGTGTCATTTTTAATTTTATTCGATTCATCGGATATTAATTGTTCAGTAGAATTAATTACTGATGGCGGTGACGACGGTGTTGGATTTGTTGTTTTTGTTTGTTGTTTTTTACGTTGTGTTGAACGAGATGGTGTGCTCGATTCACCAGTTTTATCAAGTTTTTGTTTTGCTGCATGTACTACGGTATTTTTTATATCGTTTGGCGATATATCGCCTGATGTAAGACCTTCAATATAAATGCCTGGTAAATATGAAAAATACCAATAACGGCGACGATAACGATCTTGTCCAAGATGAAGCGCGCGTGTACGACTATGTTTATCAATAACACGACGTTTAATAAGAGCATATTTTCGTGTAATAAGTGTTAAACGTTTATCTAAATCATCGATTTTTGATTCATCGATAGTTTCAATATCTTCATCATCAGCGGTGACTGCTGCTGGATCATTGGCTACCGTTCTTTCATCCTCAATTTTTGTAATTTCTGAAAAGATTTACAATTGTTTTTTTTTAAATTGACTTCATTTATATGGAACAAAAGACAGAGAGAAACACATACCAGTATCACTTTCGTCTGGACTTTCATTATCTGAACTGTTCAAATCTTTTTCTCGTATTAATGTTGCCAATTTTTTAACATTATTACTATTTGGTTGATTGGATTTTTCAAATTTTAAACGGCGTAATCTTTTTTCTATTTCTAATTTTTCATGTTTTAATACAGTTAATTCATCTAGATTACGATCGACCTCTCTACAATAAAAAAAAACAATCTCCGCTAGATTCCATAGTGAAATACAATATTTTCGAAAATGAAGTTGTTTAGATGTCTATAGACGATCTGAATGAGTCAGTCTGTACTTCAAACTTCCTCATCAATAAAAATTCAACTTACTCTACTGTACGTTTATTTGCTGATAAATCATTACATAAAAATGCTAATATTTCCAGTTTTTCATCAATTGATAACGATTGAAATGATGTATCTGACAAATTTTGTGTGATCTATTGAGAATAAAAGAAAAAACAATACAGATAATATATTTTGAATTTTGTTTTTGTTTTTGTCTTTTTACTTTATCATCAAATCCATTTCGTTCTCGAATATATAAACGAAGAATTTCACTGAATGTATGTTCAGTTATATCGATTTCAGATAATTTTTGTCCAAGATTAGTTAAACCTTTTTTGGGATTTGGAATACCAGGATCTTCCAATGCAATACTAAGTAACATTTGACACAGAGAGTTGATTTCTCGTGATGATGACGATGATGATTGTTGAAAGCTATTTAATGTTAGAATTAAATTATCAGCTAAAATACGAACAAATATGTTTATGAAATAATAATGAAAAATCAATCGAACATACGAATATGAAAAACATCTTTGAAGTTATTTAAGAATTGAATTATCATTAATGAATTAGCAAATGCTTCAATGGATAAACGCATATTTTCCACTGGTTTTAAGATTGGAAGCGGCTAAAAATAAAGATTTTGCTTTAAAAAAAAGTAGACGCAAATCATGACGTTGTTTTTACTTTAAGATCTCGTATTTGCATATCTTCAGTAATTCTTTTCATTTCTCTTGCAAGTACTATTTCCATGTATTTCTCTTGCTAAAAAAATAAACAAGAGAAAAATTAATCAAACATAAATCATTCTTGTACGTACAATTTTCTTTTCACGTTGAGCATTCTTTTCTGCTTTACGTTGTTCAATGACGAAGAGTTTTTCTTCTTGACGTTTTTTAAATTCAAGCTGTTTTAAATAAGCTAGTTCTTGTCGTTTACGTTCTTGTTCCTGAAAACACAGAAATATTTAAGAGTTTTTCAATGAAACTATTATCGTAGTCTTTTTCAGATCTTAGAGAATTTTTTTCGAATGTCATTTAGTCATGACTCGTTGTTTTCTTCAAAATAGATGGGCACATAACTACATTCCTAGTCGTGCAAGAATTAAGACTATGCTGATTGATATTTACACATAGTATCATAAACTAAATCCCGGAACTCCTACGTTGAATGAGACATGAAAAGTTGTCGTGTATAGAATCTCACTATCTGAAAATATCTTGTTTATGTTAACATACTTGTTGTTCCTGTTGTAATTTTTGTTGATGTTCAAGTTCTTGTTGCTGAATTAATTTCTGTTGTTCCATAATAGCTTTAAGAAAATCATTATGTGGATATGACGGATTTGGTAAACGATCAGAATTTTTTGAACTTTCACCACTTATATTACGTAACAGACGCATTGCTTCGCGATTTGTTTTAATTTCAGCTGCTCGTTTAGCGATCTCTATTCAACAAAAGGCAAGGTTTGTTATTTTTATTTTTGAATATCTAGAAAAACGAACCTTCTTGTTCTAAACGAAGTTTTCGATTTTCTTCATATATCTGTTGAAATAAATCGTGTGGTTGATGATGATCATTTATACCATTGTTATGACTTGGTGTGACTGATGGACTTGAAATGGTGGAACTTTTTGTTGGTGTTTCATTTTCATATTCATATCGAATACGACGAAATTTAGGATTTATTTCTACTATACGATTGACTATTTCATCTTCTGTTGATTCATTAAAGATTATCTAGAAGTAAAACCAAACATAAACTTATCTTTGTAAAACGTAAGAAAATAATTTTACTTTTCCATCTGAACCTTCTTTTGGTTCATGAAAATGGCCAATATGTACTTTTGAACTAAATGTAAAATGTGAACGATCTAAATCAGTGATCTTCTTCTTTGTTAAATACTAAAATAGAACTAAATTAAAATAAATTCTTTGTTTTTCATATTAATTTACTCGATCGATTTCTTGAAATGAACGTAATTTTCTTCCACATGGTGCGTAATACGAGACATCACCACGTACACCGGTGCGCGTTATAGCTCGAACAATAGTTACACGTTTCCATCTGAAGAAGAAGAAGGAAAAACATGAATAAATTGATTGGCCCATAAAATCCAAATTAACAATTCATACCCGCGATTTAATGGTATTCGTACTAGTGTTTCATTGACTTCCTCACCCTTTCGTCGTTTTGGATTCGGATCAGAATCGTCTAAAATTTATTTCATTATGCAAATCAATAGAAACAAAAAGAAATTTTCATTACTAGTACCATCATCATTTGATCGTGACTCATCTGCAGATTGTGTATTTGGTGTTTGACGATTCGATGCTGTCTCGTTAATACTACTTCGACGACTTAAATTTAATAAGCTATCACGTAGATCATTTGTATTCGATGGATCACTCTAAATAGAATGAAACCCGGAGTCATTCATTTATGTATTTTCAAATAATTAATAACAAAAAAACAAATATTTAGACGACGGGTTTAGAAAACGCACGAGTATATCTTCCCGTAACGATTGATCGAAACATGATTATATAAAATATTTATTTGTTTATGTTTCAATCTTTTTAAAAAGAGCCAGCAGACATTTGAAAACAACAATTTTTATAAGTGGCAAATTTATTCGGTAGAGTGATAGAGAAATTCAGGACTTTTTCATGATCATTTACAGGCTGGTTTTCGTATAGAAATTAAGAAAATTCCCTTTATGAGCGCCTATTTCCTTAGCAAAATTTATTCTCTATTAAAGAACGACTATGAACAAATAAATCATTAATATAAGAGTTTGTTGATGATTTCTTAGTCTTTCATTTGTTGTATTAAAACTAGTTCTCAATTCAATTCTAGGTAATCTTTTTCAACTGAAACGATATCCAAACTTGTTAAACATCAACTCATAACTCCTAAACAAGAAATCCTTGAATTTATATTTCAGAAGAATTTCTATTGTAACCTAAACAGTTGAAATTCCTACATGAACCTGAGAGAAAACGTCTCAAGAATCCCATAGAATAAATAGATATGGTATGAATGTGGATGTGTTAGTTGGACTCATTTCTCTATACAAAGTTACGCCTACTCACACTCTTTTGGGATATCAGATGCGAAGTAGTCAACAAAAATAATAGATTTTCAATGGCGAACTCATGACAATTCAAATTAGTTTCTAGCCGGATTAATCCAATATAGATCGAAGCATGAAAAAAAAATGCAAAGACCAGTTTTTATGCAGGTTCCTTGAAAATTCGAATGAATAAATAGATTTTTTCGATCATTCGTTACTTAAAAAAATTTTCGCATTTGTCCAACTATGATAGAGAACAAAATAAAAATTCTCACATCATCAACTGTTGTCTCTTTCATAGGTTTAAATGCCCATAAATCATGTGATGGTTGTTTATAAAATGAATTTTCAAAGAGGATCGGTTTAAAGGTTGGATCAATCGATGATGAAAATGATGCGATTGAAGATGATGCAAGAACATCATGTGATGATTTCATCTTTGATTAGCATGTATTGTTAAAGAGAGAAAAAGAAGAAGAATAGAAAATCTTTGAAACTTACTAATGCTGAATGAAGAAGACTTAGATTTGTTGATAAAATCTTTTGTGATTGATTTTTTGACGAAGATTTTTCTTGATTTAGCTCCTGTTCTTCAGTTAATGCTCGAATTGATTTAGCTCGTTTTTTCGACTAAAACAGGTCATTTATAGAAGAGAATGTTTTATTTATTTTCTATGTACTTTTGAACTTGATTCGTTAAGTATAGGATTGAGTGATGATGAATGTTTATTTTCAGATGATACATTTTTTTGTGATTGTTTTGATTTAGACTTGAACGAGAGAGAGAGAGAGAGAAACAAAAAGAAAAATATTTTTTTAGAAAGTTTTAATAGAATTTTGATTTACTGTTTGATGTGAAATTGATTCTTTGGAATCTACAAAAAGTAGAAGAAAAACAAACTTTTGTAATAACAAAATCTATATCAAATTTTGATTAAAATTACCTGTGGTTTTATCAGAAGGTAAATTATTAAATGTATCCATAAATTTTGTCGGGGATGTAAACCAATCAGGTGATAAAAATGGATAGAATGTAGTAGCTGGATTCATTAATGAAGATGATAAACTTGAAAATGGATAAGACGTTGTAGAATTTAATGACGAATTATTATTCGTTCCTGCTGCTGTAGAAGATGAATTTGTTGATGCTGTTTGTGAAAGTAAAGATGGGAGAAAATAAGGAAACGTATAACCACCAGTAGCACCAACGTTTGCAGCTGCAAACGCTAGTGGATCAAGCATAGCTGAAGTATTATTATTATTATTATTATTATTATTGTTAGTAGAAGATATTTTTGCTGATGATGATGTTGATAATGAATTTGTATTTGGTTTTGGTTTTGAAGAACGTGATGATTTATTTAAATTATTCGATGATGAACGACGAGATGATGTTGATGATGAAGATGTAGATGTAGGACGAGTGTGAGATTCATCGATTGTTTTTGATGTCGATTTTTTATCATGATTAGTATCAGTTGATAATACTTGTGAAGAGTTACTAATAGGATTTATTGATTTTGATTTTGAAGATTTTACTTTTTGAGTAGCTAAAATATTCGTTGATTATAATAGTTTTATGATGAAATAATGATTATATATAATTTACTTTTCGATTTTTCTATTTCTGGTTGTTTGCTAAATGCATTCATAAGAAAACCTAACTGTTTAGCATATTCATTATAATCAACATTCATGTTCGTCGTTGATAAACCATTTGACCAAAGATCAGTTGCTGGTGAAATCATAGGATTATTTGGTAGTAATGGAGATGGTGAAGGAAAACCAGTTGCAGCGGACGAGGTAAAACTGTTCAACGATGAAAAGTTTGGTGTAGGTAAACCAAATGGTGGGAATGCGCCAAATGACGACATCGATGAGAAACCCAATGGAGAACCCCAAGGGAGATCTATAAAATATTATTATGCATATGAAGAAAAACAACAATGCTTCTTATATAAAAAAGAAAGAAAGAAACCATACTATTAAAAGTTGAAGCAAGGTCATCTTGTTGCTTTTTTGTCATCGTTTCTTTGCTATTGCTCATGGTCGTTGTTATTGCTGATCAGAAAATGAACATGAAGTGCACATACAATATACACACGACCACCGGGAATGAAAGATGAATCTTTCTTCTTCTTCTGTTGTTGCACACAGCATCATTGTGTGAACATCACATCTAGAAATAAGAGGCATGCACATTATTCTCCCTCTCTCTCCCTCCCTCTCTCTCTCTCTCTCTCTCTCATCGGTCAGTGATGTGGTGGTGGCATGAGAAGAGTAGAGAGAAAAACGAATACACACATACACAAGATTGTGCCCGCTTGCCGCCGACGAGCGTCGACGACGTTCAGCATCCATTATTGACACTTTTCTCTTCTATACGCATACATAGACTGACACCATTTGTGAGCGTCTTAATTTGATTTTGCTGCCTGGGTGTGTTGATTTTCTCTTCTAGCATCACTAAGCAGAGTTTTTTCCTTACATGTAAAAATAAGATGTAATGACATTCAATGGGGCGGAGATTGGCGAGTCAACTCGTGTGCAAGATATACTTTGTATAATATATATTTATATATGAGGAGAAAAAAAAACACTGAATAAAAAAAGAAAAAACGTTTAGTTAGGAAGAGAAAAAGACAAAGTAAAAGGAAAGAAAGGTACCCCACAAATAAGAAGAAAGGATGAGTTATAACATGAAAAGAAGACGAAGAAAGAAAATGGAAATAAAAATAAATATGTGTATGTATAAAGAGCGAAAATGTTGCTTGTTTTTCTTTTTTCTTACTAATAAAATTAAAAGAAAAAGAAAACGAATGCATGTGAGTGTGTGGGTGAAAAGAAGAGGAGTAAAATCGACTACGACCGTCGCGATTAACAGGAAACAGTATCTGCTGCCATACACACAACAGAGACAAGAACAACTAAAATGCTCAATAGCAATAGCAACGACGACAATAACAACGTCAAGAAAGGCGATTCTCTTCTTTTTCCTTGACTATGAAACAAAAAACTTGCTTGCACGCTCCTCTCGTTCACTGCTCATGTTATTGTTGATGATAATGATCACAGAAAGTGGTGTATGTGTGTGATGCTAGTCATTGTAGTTATAGACGTAGTGCCTTCTAATCGTAAGAGCAAGAAGAAGACGGATGAATGAATGATTGTGAGAAGGCAGGCAAACTATCGAACAAAAAACGGAATGAGTGTGTGTGTGAGAGAGAGAGAGAGAGAGAGAGAGAAAATGAGTTGTTTCTATATTTTTTTTTCATCTATTTGCACTCAATGCTGACGTGTGTGTGTGTGTTGCACCCTTGTGTATGTGTGTATGTGCACGAATAAAGCAGACAAATCGACAAGTAAGCAGCACATCATTGTATATGTGTGTCTCGATTACTTGTAGTATTTCATTGCCTTGTTCCTTCTCTTCTTTTTTTTTAATAAAGCATAAACGTATACTTATTGAAGTACACGTGGTTTGTCGGGCATCAATATAGTACTCAGTCAAATTCTCTTTTCTTTTACATATGACTATTCTCAATATTTAACAGTCAGTCCGATAACCAGCAACATCATCAGTGACATATGAATTGTAAGCAATAGTAGTAATTTTCCGTCTACAAACCTTTTTTGCCCCTCCGGTGTGTGGTCGTACTGTAACATTGAAAAAATAAGAAGACGAGAAAGAATGACAGCACAAACACACTCAAAAAAAAGCGAACACATAACTGTTCCTTCTCGCTGTCTCTCTCACTCTCCTTCTTTTTTTACGCCTCGTTATTGCTCTCATTTTTAGGTTTTCGTATTTAAACAAAATCATTCGTTGCTGCTGCTGCTGCTCTGCTGCGTCATTGTACCTCTTTTCTGCTCCTTCTCATCGACGCGCATTCGCATTCGCATTCGCACACACACACACACACATCATCATCATCATCGTCTACTCTGTTTCTCTTATAAGCAGATTTATATCTTTTATGGAGAAACATACCACATCTTTCGTGTAGTAACATAACACAACAATAATCAGACAGACCAAGAAAAAGAGAAAAGAGAGCGATCGCACACGTCATTGTAGTGAAGAGAGAGAGAGAGCGAGCGAAAGATATGCTGTTGTCGTTGATGATGATGATGATTTGCCAAGCTGCATCATTCGTGAATCTAAAATCGTCGCATTTCTTCTTTCTTTAGTTTTCTTTTCTCTTCTCGTTTAGAAATAACAGTCATCCCCTCTCCTTTTTTGTTCGTGATCACTGTAACTTTTTATTGATTGACCGCTTGCTTCTTCAAGACGATTTAATGATAACACTCGTATTCGTTTACAAATTCAATAATGGCCATCTATCATTCTTATTTTCTTCTTCTTTTTTCAGATATTATGATAAAGATACAGCATAGATACAAAAAAATACATACACCCGTTTTCTTTTCTTGAATTGGGTATATAGTCGTCGTTAAAGACAGTATGTGAAAACAATAACCTTCCGCGCTTGTTTTTGTGTTAGTAGAGATAGAATGCGACCATTTTATAGACGAGAACGATGGCATGGTACATACAATTCATTGCTCTATTTCATATTCTTTCTATCACTCTTCTACTCCACCCTACCACTAGTAAAACTATCACTTGGCTATAGTGCGTTTTGGACTTTGCACGACTACACATAGAGCATAATATGTATGTATATACAAAATTACAAGACATGCATAATGATTGTGATACATAAAACTGAATAACAACTAACACTCAAACTATTGAAGAACGATGTCAATATAAAAATAATTCTGTTCGCTTTCTTACTTGTTCACCTTCTTTGTTGACAGCGGATGATGTCAAAAGCGACATGCACATAAAAATGTTCATGAAGAAAGACAGAGCACAAGAAAGTATAGAAATTAAATGCGTGTGTGAGAAGATGTCGACAACGTCAAATACTCATTCACAATGTTCAGCAACCTACTAACCTAATTTGCATTCAATGCGCACATTGGCAGGCAATCGCAATGTATGCACGGCGGACGACTGAAAAGCTGTAAAAGAAGAAAGATATGTGATCTCCATCCTTAGCGTTTACTTGTCGTCAACGGTAGATGATGACTCTTAGAAACACACAAATATATATATATATAGAGAAATAGATAGATAGATAGATAGATAGATATATAGATGCATAAAAAGAGAGAGAGAGAGAGAGAGAAAGGGAATACGCAAGCGACATCCGACATTGCTCTGGCACTAGTGTCAAACACATATATACATGGCGGCATCGTTAAGATAAGAAACCGTCAGGCGAGGGGTAAAGCAAGTGATCGATTGAAAGCATAGCAATGAAAAGAAGAAAAATCGGCGACGATGTTTGTCATAACCAATCTGAAACAAAGAAAGCAAAATACATCATCATCATCATCTACTCCAACTAGAAAAAGATTTTCCTTTTTCTTCTCGAAGGACAACAACATCTATGACAGATATTTATATGTATATATATATACATATACACGTACAAACATCAATTATAGGATAAAATAATATTAAAATTAATGTAGTTAGCTGCGGAAATAAAATTTTGACTTAAGAATTTATTATGCAATATGAATATAGCTAGTGATTTATGGCAATATTTTTAAAAGCGAACATTTAGAGAATAATGTGTTAATGTTGTTAGGAAAAGTATCAATGAATATCATAATGCAAATCAAGTTGACGACAGCATGAGAAGCAAGATAAGTACGTTTGTGTAATATGACAATATTCTCTATTCTCACATTCAAAAATATTATATGTGTATTGAAAGAAAACAGAATATTACCATCGAAAGTTTTCTACTATGTATTCAATATAATGTCGAATTTCATTGTGAAAAGCTTTGACATGTAGTAACTTACTTATCGGCTATAACTGATAATCGAAACAACATCGTATTATCAAATAAAAAACTCGACAGAGTTTCTAGTTAGTATTTTACTTTTTATTGATAAATGAATCGATTCGTCAAACACAGAAAGATTAAATTGTTTCAAACTTTTCTTGTTGTGAGAAACAATTAAATTGAATAAGTGCAAAAGAAAATCAGAATGATTGACATTTCAACATAAAAAATACTTGCAATGACAGATCAGGTGAAGTAGTTGACTCAATGGATCACGATGACGCTCAAACATTAATCAGCCTTTTAAAATTCATATAGAATCATTTGAGTTTTCTCAATTTAAAATTTGTAAGCGCATTATTTTCTGTTTAGTACGAAAGTTAAAATGTAAGGTAATATTTCCTATTGAAGGTTTGAATTTATTTGATACACCATTGAGCATATATTAACATAATATATGTTTTTGCTGTAGAACGGAAGTATGAATTAAGCTAATATTTTCAGCACATATTCGCTTGATAGTTAACTGTGCGTGTAGTAATTTAAGCTCATTTGCCAATGCTTTCAATTAGTTAGAGGAACACAAATTAAATTTATGTGCGTGTTCCTATGCAACTTATTTTTAGTAGTATTAAGTCTGAAAATTACTTTTAATTAAGTGAGAAACAAAGAAAATAATGTTAAATTCACAATACCAATGAAAGTTGTTGTTTTCTTCTATAAAGGGCTCAATATATATATATATATACATATATATATAATAGAAATTCCGCATCTTCAATCGGAAATGTCGACTTGCTGTCAAAAAAATGTGGGCTAGAGTTTATGTCTTTGCGGAAGAAAAAATCTGATAAACTAACTAGGAGATGTTCTCCAGTGATTACGACTGGAGCAAATAATCAACACAAAAGTTATTTGATCCATCGAATAGTTTTATCGTAGATCATAAATAAATTTTGTCATGATTTTTAACAGAAAAAATAAAACCACGAGAGACACTGCTTATACTATCTTAATTTCAAAGAGCCGATGATACAACTCACTATTTAAAAAGAAAAACATATTTTCCATCCTATTAACCAATAAACTAACCAGTGAAATCGACTGTTAGTCAGTTTTTCTTCTGAGAAAGTTTACATATCATTAAATACTAAAACTATCTGAAGATAATAACAGT